AAAAGAAGGAGAGACAGGTGCTGACCGGCTGGAAAGATCCGGCCAAGGCGAGAGACAGTGAGCGGGACGACCTTCAGAAAAGAAGGAGAGACAGGTGCTGACCGGCTAGAAAGATCCGGCCAAAGTACGAGACAGTGAGCAGGACAACCTTCACAAGCAAAGGGAGACAGATACTTACAAACTGTAAAGATCCAGCCAAGGTGAGAGAGCATGAGATTCAGAGATCACCACTATATGTTACTGATTTTCTTACCAAAATATGGGGGAACCTATATGCAGTGGCAACCAAATATTGTTGATATGTTTTGCGCTTTTGCCAGCCTTCAGTACTACTGGCTTTTGATTCATCTGATACATATATGTCAGTTTGAAGTTCCATTGATAGGTTGCTTTACATACAGTTACGCAAACTATATTTGACTGCATGACGGACACAGATCTTTGTATTGCATCTTTGTACTGATGCAAACAAAAGCTTCAGTACATCATCATCTATGGATTCTTCAGTCCTCTCAACAAGGGCTGCACATTGCTTGTATGATTCATCATTCACATGTTCTAAACCTATTCATATTAATGTTAATGACTGGATACAATACTCTGATGATTCTTGTGATCATTACCTTTCATAAAGCAGTATGCTTTGGGTGGATGAATGGCTCTTTTATTCCAATCTGTCTCTAGCATTCTCAGATAGTTTTCTATTTCCTTCTCGATGACCTGTTTAGTTATGTCCCTTCGGCTGATTCCCTTCTCACGAAGATGCTCCTTTGCCTTGATGTATTGGCTGTCACATTTGGTGAATATCGCAATGACTGGGACTGACATTCAGAGTGGGAAAGAATGGTTAGCATGTAACACAATTTCATAATACCGACTATACCTGGATGTGTTCCACTGTCGAAGAATTTCATCTCAGCGTCCACAAGTGGGCGATCACTGTCGACGGGCATGCAAAACCTTATCAACCAAATTATACATGAGCATGAATTATCATTTTCAGAAAGGGTATGGACGACACCAGATGGCATGCAGCCTGCTGCTTAGTTCACCCTCCTCCGAACGGTTCTTGATGAAATCCCGTACAGTCTGCAGCTCTGCTTCAGACCCGGACTCAAAGCCACCGGAGTCATGGAACACAAAGCCCGGATTAGCTTCATAGACGATCTCATCCTCAATATTGTGTATGCCGCGCTAGTAGGATGAACGGGGTTCAGCAGTTTCACTCAAGAAAGTCAGTCCGCTCAGGAAAGTCAGTCCGCTGAGGGAGTGATATACACACCTCTTCGCTTGGCGACACATTGACCTAGAGCCATCCAGAAACATTTAGTTAGTATAGGAAGGGATCGTTCTCCGATGTACATACTATTTTTCCGCCTTTAGTGTACACAACCGGAGGGTCCGTGGTGTTGCACATCCTTTGACAGAGCGTGGTTTTGCCTGCGTTGGCTCGACCGATTACCAAGATGCGAAAACGTCTGCACTTCGCCCGAAGCTGAAGTGTTTCCGCAAAGTAGTCTTCGTTTTGGTCATTTGGAGACGGCACCCTTGGCTGCTCGCTGTTAGCGGAGGCCATGACGAACGATGCGGAGGGTTGACTGTGAATCGTCGACGTGGTCGACTGAAAGCAGCAGGGTTAGCGCTCTAGTTCGGGATCAAGCCCTTTGCCCTCACCCACCGTGATATAAATACCAGCCAATGGATATTTCAGACGAGAATGTCGAATACGCTATCTCTCATCACGACATTAATTACTCACACAAAGCTGCACATGTATGAGGCTGGACCGCAAGGCTCGTCGATGGAAGGTATAGCTATGAGGTAGAGGAAACTACTAGTAGTATACTCGCCCGGGCTGCCTTCAAATGTCCCAAAAGAATCACCGACACAAGACAGCTATCGAAAAGCATACACTGCCACTTGAGGCCGTACTACTACGAACATCGTATCGTACAATCGAGTCTACGTGTCTCGTCATGTAGCCTCATGCGGCGTATACCGATGCTCGTTAATCAGACGGACGAGTTCATCCAGTACATAATCCTTGTCTGCAAATCGGAATGTTTTCGTTCTTGCAACGAACTCCGCAATGCCATCGCGAACCAATCCAAAGACCTTCGAGCTCGAGTACTTCTCTACCAAAGCGTTGACACTCTCATTTGACACGGCATGTCCCTGTAGCGTCTCGTGAAAGATCCGCTGCATTACATTGGTGAGATGCACGATGTATCCCATCAGGCAGCGGACGGTGTGTGGCCTACTAACGTAGTGAGACACTTGGTGAGGTCACCGAGAAGTACGGACTCACGTAGTCGTGTAGGTGTCGTATACCCAGTGCGCGAAAAACGTAGCAGCGAACACGGTCGGTGCCACAATGGGTGCGACGGGGCCCGATACCGCACCCGCCACACCGGATAAAGTACCAGCGAGAGCAACACCCTTCGATCTGACGCCATGGCTCAGTATGTACAAAGAGGATACATCAAAATATGCGTACAAGGCCTTGCGTCCCGAAGCACTGGAGAATTTGTCCAGGTCCTGCACTAGTCGAGTGATGCAGGACTCGAACTCTTCGGAGATGAGAAGCTATGGTAATGCAACGATGTGAGCGATTGGCCTCGCCCTACGATGCACAGCGCACCTTGTCGGGATCAGGAATGTTCCATGGTATGACGATGTCTTTGTGAAGAACTGCCAGACATTCGCGCATTCCTAAGCCAGGAAAATGCGTGCCTGACGCAAGTCCTCGCCAGTACTCTGCAGGGACCAACTATGAGATGTGAAACTAGAAACAGCAACATGGACCGGCGTACTTTTCTTGCCTACGCTTTGATCATCGATTGAACCATGAGTGCGGGCAGCAATGCTTCATATAGGGAAATACCCACCGAATAGCCAGAGCAACCTTACTGTCCATGTCCACCCTCTGGGCAGACGCCATGAGCGTCACGGATGTAAACCCGACACCGTCCGATGGTCCTTGAGGCTCTTCTTCTGATATTTCGTCTTGAGTCTGTTCGACGAGTTGGATCTGCTCTTCAGTGACCTGGATTAACTTTGACAGGGTAGGTGTGTAGGAGTCCTTCACTGGACGATGTAGGTTAGGGATTGTTGGAGAAGCGCAGCCCTGATTTACGCACCAGACACATTCACGATTGGCAACGAGCGACACTCCGTCTCGGACATAAACTTTAGTAACGGAGCGCAACGCTGATTGTAGGCCTCCTCCGCGAGCGAACGGCAGCGTATGTCGAACTCATCGTCGTCGATGTCTGGATCCGAGATTTGGTCCTCCATCGCGAGGACGAGTCGGTCGTACTTCGTAAATACCACCACCATCGCAATATCTGCTGCAATAATCAGCATAAAGCAGGATTTTAGGATATTAGTTCAGTCGTGTGGACTTACCTTTCGGAACTGACCGCAACAAGTCTTCCGTTCCTGTCTCGAGGGCCCTACCGCCCGCCCAGGGCACCTCGATACAAAGCCTAGAATGGCAGTAAGTGCTCAGCTCAAAGTGTACCCACCCCAGGTAGCCATCGAAACGCACCATATAACATGGACTCGGTCGGAAAGCTTCGACTCACGACAGCGTCTCTTGATGAACGCCGTGAGCTCTTTGAACTTCGTTTCACCTCCCGGCTCGTACCCTTGCGAATCATGGATGACGAAGCGCTCGTTGTCCTTCGATACGAGTTCTTTTTCGATGTCGCAGATACCAGCACGATCGTGAGAGGGCTCCTGCAGAATCTCGAGTTCAGCAACGCCGGACCCCGACAGTGAAGAAGATCAACTCACGAGTGTGTCGACCTTGAAAACCTCTTTGATCAGAGATGTCTTGCCAGACCCAGTCTTTGAGGCGCTGTCGTAATCAGACTACAGTCCTATGTTCGATATGTGTGGTCAAGCAGAACTTCACCTTGCCCACGACAAGGATCCGGATTCTGCACGATGGTAACGGAACATGAAGATAAGTGTTGATTTCAACGAGCAACGTATTTAAACAGGCGTGCCTCTGACCTTCCCTGATAATCTCCTCGATTACAGGCTCCAATGGTACATTAGACATGGATGGTGTACGACTTGGATCTTGGCGGGGGGACACAAAGGAGAGAACGGGAGTGAAGGGCAGGGTTGAGGGTCAAGGAGAGCTGTTCGTTGTGGCGCCCGATGCAGTGCAGTCGCTCTCATGACGGAATAGTGTAGGCATGGAGGGGGCTGGGTTGAGGGTCAAAGCCAAGGAGGCTTGCTCGTTTCCGCTGCTGTGCAGTTGCTCACACGATGGGATTGCGCCTGAGCATGCTGACGCCCAAGTCACCAGCCAGATAAGCCTCCGAGGTATATACATAGAACAAACTGAGAATAAAACCTCGATCCGTAGGTCCGGAGCATCGAACGAAACCCAGGTATATCCATTCAAGGCCGAACACCGCGAGCCTACCATAAGCCTTGCCGAAATTTCTGACATTTACGACGGCACAACTTATTCCTGACGGCTTAGTCATCGAATTGAAAGGATCGCGCCCTGGGCTGCATACTCGAAAGGATTTACAGTCATGAGTCCATATCTCATACTGAAATGTCATTCGAGCCATGTCATATCACAATCCACGCTCGTCGAACAGAGCGGCGCTCGCAGACAGCGCTCGCGGTATTGCCTTCAGCAGAAAAATACGAACATGTTCGCACTCGAACTACAAACTCCCGAGCTCTCGTAATATTCACCTTTCCTGAGAACCTGAAAACATCTAAGACGAAGACGAACGCCTTGAGAGCCGATTTTGGAGCTGAGTATTGTGGTCCGCGTGCATTGAACAGCGCACGGATTCGCCTTGTAATTCATACAACGCATACACTTCGTGATGAGAGGATGCATATTTCGTGTGATCCCAAACAGTCACAACGTGTGCGAACGACGGGAATACATGTCTGAACGTTTCTCGACTAGTATTTGAGCGAAAGAACACCCGCCCGACACCAAGACATTACCGAGGCAAACAGCATAAACAGCACACCGCAGCGAAGGAGGAAGGAAAACGCACCGTACAGCTCCCTCGACTTCCTCTAGTCCTAGCGACAGTCTTCGTCTCGTTACCTTTCGATCCACATGGCTCGATGCCGATGGTAAAGGCGCAGGCCGATGTAGCTGGTACAGGCCCCTTCGTCGCCGTTCTCGTCCGCTGCGATGGTCCCTCTGATGTCGACGGTAGATCCTTTCCATACGAACACACTCTCAACTCCATGCCAATCTCACCTCCTTGCCAATCTCTCCTCCCAGCCATTGCACGCCTTACACCCGAATGTGCCTCCCCGCGCCGTCCCTTCCTCAGTGACCCAACAGTTCCTCTATTCCTTCCCTCTCCATCTCCGTTTTTATTTCCACCTTCGCGTTCGCGTTCTCCTTCTCGATCTGCCCTCGCTCCTCTCTTCGCCCCAGGTCCCAAGTGTGCTGCTTCTCCATCGCCAGCGCCATCATGAACATTACCACCTCCCGATCCACCCGGCTCATTTTCCGCCTCTTCGATCCGCCCGCTGTTGCAAATCCGCGTCCTCTGTGATGCTTTCGTCTACGTCTTTTTCTCCCGATCCCAAGTGCGTAAATTCTAGTGGACTGATGAAGCGGGAGTGGGAATGGCACGTGTGGGAGACTGAGGAATGGTGGATGGGCAGAAGCTCGAAGGGTGGTCTTCGAGAGTCCGGGGTGAGGTGTCAGTGTCGGTTTGGACGCATATTTCGACGTGGAAGTCCCTTCCACATCTACACGTGAGAGTGAGGTCTGAGTAGGACAATTTAGGCGGGACAGGGCACCCAGAGAACGTAAAAGAGAGTAGAGCGAGCGGCGATAGAAGAGCTGATACGGATGAGGTCAAAGAGGGTCGGAGTCGCAATTCATCCTATAATCGACCTTATACTCTCCAACGTCGTACATCGCGCGTTGCCGACGTGGTTAGATCTTGTTCGACGAGGTTTCTGCTGTATATAAGGAGACGCGGTGAGGGAAGGAGATTGAGAAGCAAACTAAACGTGCCGGTGCCCGAGTGCAGCTTATGCAAACAATGATTCGCCTCGCATACCGGTTATACTGCCCTTAGAGACTTGTTTGTTCTTGTCTGGCGGGTTTGGTGTGGGATGGATGCCACGAGAGGCTGTGAGCTGGATTGAATGGTGGATTGTGACTGAAGAGAACCGGAAGCTATGAGTGTGGCGTGCGGGCGACATGGTGGCGCGTACCGTGTTTCAAATTATAGGTCGAGCGAGATCATTTGCGGAGCAGCGACGTCTTTCCAACGTCCTGCTCAGTGACCAATAAACTTCCCGGTAAGTCGACATGTTCTGTCTTGGGGAGAAGTTCCTGACAATGCAATCATTCAGCTCAAGTAGTACAAGTGTCGTCATTTATCCCAACTTTCGATCACCTACCCCAGCACACCGAGACGATGCAGAATCCGAACTTGACAACAATCAATGCATCGCGCTCTCTACATCGCGGAAATTCAGAACTAAATATTCTCTGAATTGTAAGGAATCTCCGTTTATCATTATTGCATTCTCAAAAGCGGACTACCTTGCCCAAAGGTTCCTTGTCGAAGCGATCATGGTCGCAGACTGGTCACAGTTTTTGGAAAACGCTCGGCTGTTCGCCACATCGAAGATCGGTTCAAAAAGACTTTCCACGAGCGTGTCCTCCAGAAAGCTGACTGCATGCCACGTATTCAAAAGCTTATCATCGATTCTGACATACCTCTCGCCGAACTCGAAGAGGACGCCTGCCTCTTGCTTTCTCGTCTGTCCATGCTCGCAGAAATGAGGCTACCGATGTTCTCAGGTTGCCTTTCACCGGCCAACATGAGAGCTACGACTGGCTTGAAGCGATTGAAAAGTCTCGAAGTCACGCGTCGAGACTCAAAGTTTTCTGGTAACAGTCATGCAACCCAGTCGTTCCAGCTACCGCACGGCACAGATGATCCTTATCCTTCCCTTCAATCTTTGTCGTTCGCCGCCACCGCTACGGACGCACTAGCTTTGCTAATAGGACTCAATCCTCTGACTTTTTTGACCACATTTGAATGACACTTGATGTCTGCGCATGCCTCGACCGCCTCTCTACTGGAGCTCCTGCTGGCAGCGGCAGAAGCGCACCCTGTACTGGAGAGGCTTGGGCTTGGGCTTGTCCCGTTGAATGACGGCCCAGGAGACCGACATACGATGAATCAATATGGATTCGAAACGCTCTCGACAATATCTTGCTTTACTCACCTCAGGTCATTCACCATTCATGCACCTCATCCTTTGCAGCTCACAGAATAACAGCTCGATATATCTGAGCGTGAGCGAGTTCATGAGACTGGGCTACGTAGGGCGGTAGAGGAGCTTGAGAATCTTCGACTACAATTCGAAGGGCTGCACACCTATGCTGTGCGTCAACCAATATTCGATTTCACAATCCAATCTGCTCATTCAACGATTGTTTTCCTCCATCACAAGTACAGGAAGGAAAGAACAAAGACGACCCCTCTACATGCTGATCAAATGGCAGGAGTGTCTGAGTGGAATCCGCTGTTATTTAGTATTTGTTCGGTAGGCATTGAAGACAGCTTGTTTACCTTCCTTGCGGTCGAACCTCAAATGTAACGCGAGAATGTGCGGGTATAGTGCGGACCAGTGCTCAGGACTGATCTGGCACGGATTTTCGTCTTCGTCGAGAGAGGCTTGCCGGAACGTTCCCTTGAGAGACTTCGGTTTGGCAACATCAGCCCAACCTGAGAGCCTGACTATCTCCTCTTTGACTTCCTGTATACGATGTCCCGGTCAGAAAGAGTCGTGTGAAGATGAGCCTTGCTTCCTAACCTGGTACGTTTTACCTTCCAGATGAGCTCTTAAGAGCACTATTCGCTTGTGGTCTTTCTTGCGCGATCTAGACATCTTCACGCCAGGTCTACACCATACATTCCACTGTGTAAGTGCAACCACGATCTGGGGAGGCATGGCTGCAGGAGAAGAAAGTGGGGTCGCGGGGTTGTTACCGAGCCTGAGGGCTTGCAATTGCTCAAGCAACGAAATGGCGGAAGAGGCCTCCATCGTAACTGTAGGATGGGAGCCTGAGAAGCTACGGGAAGAGATGTGTAGCTTTTATATGAAGATGTACTGCTGTTTATTCTTAGAGAGGCCTTGATCATAACTTGCCAGCTAAGGCGATCAAATGATTATTATGGAGAAAGTGTGGCGTTAGCTGCGTTGATAGGTCGCAACCCATGACCTATAACACCTACCCACACACATCCCTAAGCCTGAGGTAGCGATAATCTCGCTGACGGTTGTGTAAATATGCACTGCTGTAAAAAGGTGTAATGCTGACAAGCCCGATGATAAAAACGTCGAGAATACTAATAACACATCGAGAAGTTGAACCCCTACGAACTTTTCACCTACTTATCCTTCCTCGTGACCAATTAGGATAGATATCCGTGCAAGTTAACTCTAACCCATCCCGACCGTCGTAGACATAAAGACTAGTCTGGACGTGACCCTATACAGTCGAAGCGTTCTCTGGGACCGGAAGCATCAACCACATCTCCTTATCCTCCCACATCTCCTTCCCACCTCTGTCCCAGCGCCACTTGCACGCCACAAGAACGACTATAGAAACGAGTGCCCATGCCATGATCCTCGGAGGCGTAGGGAAAAGCACCTCCATGAAACTCTTAATAACGGCATTTCCTTGAGACAAAGGAGGAGCCATGATGTATCCATGACCAACCGTCGTTTGCGACTCGGCAAGAAGTAAGGCGACAGCGTAGGCGAAGATGTACGTGAAGAGCGCGAAGGTGGCGATTGGCGTAGAGAGAGGTGAGAAATGAGGAGATGTGGAAAGGGATTGGATAGGTACGTTCAATGGTACCTCGCCAACAGGGTTCAATCTGGATGCAGATGTCTTCGCTGTGTCATCGTGGGAATCGGCTGAGTTGGCGTAGGGTGGGTTGCTGTTAGGTGGGGTGCTGTTAGAAGTTTCCAATTCGATGTGATCCCCACGCTCAGAAAGGCCGGCGATGGCTCGTGTAACTTCGTGACGATAAACGTGAGCAATGATGTTACCTATAAGGGTTTTCAGTAAGATATGACACGTTTTAACACTAGGACGAGCATCTTACCGGTACAGAAAGTCGCGACGACCTGGGTGAAAGTAGACAACTTATGGATGCCATAGTATAAGACTTCCTCCATAGGACTCCAGGGAGCGTCGTCAGTCCAAAGGGATGAGAAGAGCATGAGGAGCCAATAAAGGTAGGCGACACCGAAAAGAAACAACATATCCAGTTTGACTGCCTTCCCAAGTGTCGCTGGTGCGTTCCCATGGTGATACTGGGGCCCATCACGGAGGACGAAGAAGGACAAGGAGGAGATAACGATTTCCCAAAGGCTGTAGCTGTCTGCATACACGATCGCGGTGCCAGCGAGGACGGCACTAATAAATAGTAGTGAGTATAGGGGCCGCTTGTAAGTTCTGGCCTGTGTGTTGGCCGTCGCAATTCGCGCAACGGTCCCTAAAGAGGTAGCTTGTGCATGAGGAAGTGTTTCGGGATGATCACGGCGATAGATGAACATACCGTCTTTGTTCCATTGTCGGACTACAATCCTCTTGTTTAGTGCATAATCGACCACCTGTAAACCAGAAGTAAGATCCAATCATTGATCAACGCCAGTGTCTGATGCTTGGACAATTGAGAGGCAGCCATGGAGATCCTTACAGTAATAAGAGCAACGCATGACAAGAGCAACGTCAAAATTGTGCAGACCCACTCCAAAACCATTTCTGTCTTAGTTGTGAATCCGTAAACGAATGTAGCAAGAAGCACAAAGGCCGCTCCGTAGGCACAAAGTAGAACTCTGTTCTTCTGTTCATATGCCCGAAAGTTCGTCGACTCTGTGAATGGCCTGATGGGTAAGTCGGAAACATCGAACGTTTTCGCCGCTCTCAACATCTAAATGATTCGAAGGGAAATAGGTGGCAAATAAGTCAACTTCGTAGGCCTGAGTGGATCAAAACATACCGAGAGCGAGGATAGCGATGCTAGATATATCGCAACGCAGGATGTGAATGCGCTAGCAAAGATGTTCTGGTATCCCACACCAAGACTCGTCTCAATTGCAGACATGTGCTGTTCACGTATGAGACGCACAAAATCCTCAAGCCCAGGAAAGGACATGATGGTAGCTGGCAAGGAGAATGAATACTAGACGCTTTGTGGCTATCGGCTTTATATATCATAGTGAGGCTGTGTAAAAGACTCAAGGCTCAGTCATTCAACTCTCGATGCCAGACGCCACCATCAACAACTTTGACCAGCATTCGATGGGAGAACTGCCTCATCTCTGTCAATTCTGCTGCTAGTGTCATTAGTTGGTCGTTAGCTTTCTCTTCCTTCCGGCGGGCGAAGAACCAAACATCCACAAACATCCAAGGTCATCCATACGCCCGCCATCGAGCACGGCCTATCTACGGCACCAGGGTAGTATTTCAACTGCGGTGACCTGGAAAAAGTGCAGTGTCAAAAGATACAATAAACGATCAAGCAGAGAACTTCTATCTCACCGGCACCAGTAACAATGTCCGACCCAGATGCCTAAACCACAGGAAGCCTGGAAGATACTCGTCTGTTAGATAGAAAGGGGATGGTACCGCGCAGTATCGTAATCGGTGTATGACGATGATCTGAGGCAGTAGGTTTACTGTGCATGATTGATACAACAGAAAATGATCGGGTGCAACTTCGCCACAGTGGCTAAGGTAGATGTAGTGCTCTCACCCAACTTCACTCATAAAATATATAATGCAATACATCGGAAGCCGCTGTCATCATGTGAAGGTTTCCAAACGCCAGTTCATATCGGAGCTAAACCCTACGAAGGCTCTTGACCAAAGTCCAAGACAACCAGCTCACTACCATCCGCCAAAGTCAGATTCTCAGTGTGGCTTATCATCCACAGAATGTCCCAAAGGCACTCACCGCTTTGAAATCTACATACAACGCCGACACGTGTGGGAACAAATCCTCCCAAAACGCACTCGTAATTTTCGACGGCGTCTTATCCTCATTATACGCGGCTTTCGCGAACGTAGCCTTCAAAGACCCGGGCTTGCGATAAGCGCTCCACCCGGAATGAATCGATATCTCCTCTTGGACTTCCTAGTATGCAGTATGCACGCACAATCGTCCTGAGTGAGCAAACGGTGCTATGCATATGGATATTGGGCATGGGTTGCGTACCGCGTAAGTCTTTCCTGCGAAGTGAGACCGAGGAAACGCGAGCTGTTCCGTCGCCTCCTTGATATTCCCGAAATAATCGTATCGTGTAATGATGACGATGATCTGAGGTGGTTGTGAGGCACCGGCGGAGTCGACGTCACGGTCTGCTTGAGATTGTAGTGGCGAAAGAGATTGAGGCGAGAACGGTGGGCCCGTATGCACCTGGGACGAAGCGGGGAAACTTGCGTTGTACGCGTTGGGTGAGATGGCATCGGACGGTGTCGTTGAGCCGGAGGGATTCGCGAAGTTGACCATGGTGAACGGACTAATGATGGGTTAAGATATTGCGACCAGGTAAAAAGGCCACAAGAAGGTGGTGAACTCTGCAGTGAAGTGAACGATAAAAGCTACTGAGAGTACCGTGCGATAGGGGCCAAGTATCAATCAAAGCCGGTAGCTCTCGTGTTCGAAAGCTGTGAGAATGTGGCACGGCCCGCTTTGCGCCCCATCAATGGCTGTGACGAGAATAGCACATAGAGGTGTATATTGGGATTCCAACCTAAGAGCAGTACATAAGCAACGTTTGAATCTGAAGCTGGCCAGGAGCACTGAAAGACTTTTCGAGACGATTATATTTTCGACCGCAAGACGAGGAGAAGCTATTCCTGTCAAGTTGACGAGTGTACATGCTCAGAGAATTAGTACGCGTCGCCATACTTCTGCGACTTCAGAAGTAGAAAATGATAAGTATCACGGAGATAAACACCAGGAGGTACGGTAGCAGTTAGATACAATATCGAGTCCGAGGAGATGCATGAGATTGTCTAGTCTAGATATAAGACGGCTGTCTTATCAGATGAACTTCTCTGTGCGTCCATATAACATAGAAGGGGACGCGGTAGTATCGTATACAGCCCGAATCCTAAGCCATGGGCGGAGCCTGAATCATTCTACTTATAGGTGGGCACAACAAGTCGCTCGATTGAACGAACATATCACCTTTTGCCTGTTGGACGATCACTATGAATAGCTCTCGGACTATGTATAAGACAGAGCTCAAGCATAAACGGGGTCATCACGTGCAGCGTGAGACTCCTCCGTGACGCGTCTTGCAAGAGCAATGTTTAATGCTTTCGTCGTCGTTCTTGACGGTACGCTACATCGCACAAGTCAAAATAAAGAAATGCAGCACCAACATTTATTCAATGCCAACGCATTTCACACCTTCAATGCAACAGTTTGCCTTCAATGTGTCCCTATCCTGTCGGTATAGACATTCTTTGTCTACATTTAGCACACAGGCCGACTTGGCGGTCTCGTCAGGCTCCTGCACGTATATGCTTACCAGCATATCTGGTATTCATAATATGGGCACAGAATCTGATATTAGAGCTCATTTTCATCAAAGTCTTTGTGCCATAGTTTGAAGGCTCGCTGTGAACAGGAACCAATGTGCACAAGTGGTGTAGAAGGTCTTGTCAGCATGGGCCACACTGAGATCCACAAGAGAAATATGTCTTGGCAAATAAGTACAGTCTGTACATGAGCACCGAGCTCATAAAACAATGAATATGCTCTTTCTCAGTTCTTACATGATTTTTTTGTGAAGATGAGACATTGTCGAGGGTCATACAGCTCAGGCTTGGCTCAGGCATAAGTACTCGAAGCCCCGACGACAGGTGCCACTGAGTGCCACAATTACCGCTGTCGACACTGTGAGGCTATACCGACAAGTCAGGGAGCATTTGGTAGAATTCTGTTGCATACTAAAGAGAGTACTGTATTTATACTAATAAATGTTAGAAACCGATTGTCTCATTTCGAGCTGTGTGTGTCTAGGGAGCGTCCGCTATGTCAGGCGAGGCATTAAATGTCGCACTCTCGACGCGGAAGTGTCACTCGTTGTCACGCTGCACGTGATGACCCCGTTTATGCTTGAGCTCTGTCTTATCCTTCTTGACCTTCCGCTTGTTTCTTACGGGCCTGGTCTTCTATGTAATCTGCATAACTCCTTTCTCGCGTGCCTCCTTCAAGTACGGTCTTATATGACTCTCTCAAGGAGATGCGCGGCATGTGAGAAGTAGGTCTAGACGGCAAAATAGATGGAGCATGACCGTGAGCGACGGTAAGAGGACATTGACTCCTAGCGACGTTATTAGAGCACTCATCAAGTACTCATAGACGGAGGCAGTGACGGATCAGAGACGCAGTAGAGCAGGTGCGGTACGAGGCTCCGGGACAGCGCAACGCGAGTAGAGTCGGAGGAGACTTGAGAACGCGATGAGAGAGTTGGGTAGCGGTCTCACGATTCGCCCCCCCATCAAGAAGGCTCCGCGAGTCCTTGCGGTGATGAAATGATGGACCTACACCATCATCCCCACCCCCTTGGAAGTTTGTCAGAATGAAACGACTCAGCTGGTGAAGAATTGAAACATACTGTAGCCTACTGCGCTTTGAACGACGAAACAGTATCCCGATACCGACCGTACTTATCGGATTACTACTCTGCAAGGACTTTCACTGTTCGTGCCCGGTATATAGCTCGACGATTCGGGTGTCTTGACATTGATGCGATGTGTCCGGCGTGGGTACGAAATCGGCTCTCATTTCTCCGTCCCGTGGGCATCTGCATACACTCTTACGACGGGTTGATTCGTCTGATACCGTTTCTGAGAGGAGATGGTGCCATGGGGGCACGATGAGGATTCTAGAGGCCTATCCGGGACTTAGTGATTCGAGCACCTATAGCTACTGAGTGTAAGTAGCCCGAGAGGACCGATCGCGAACAGAACAGCGCTATTAGAGCAGTAAAAACTGTTAGTCAGCGGTCGTGTGTGGTCGGGGCGGGGGTACTATTCAGCGTCAGTACAAAGCGAATCACTCATCCTGTCCCAATTGTCGTGTTAATAAGATTGTCGAAGGTTGAACAGAGGTTATGGCGGTGTGCCTCGGAGGAGCCTGTACTGCAATTCGCCAGTTAGATGTGGATAACCGGGCGGCCTCCTCAACCGTCCTAGCCAAGAAATATCAGCACAAGATGGCATAAGCGAGTCGTGTGCGAGACAATGATGGCAGCTGCGACCGGCGAGCAGAATACTGGTGGTCGTCGATAGGTCCCAAAAAGAAACGTGGGCGCTTAGGAGGGTGGGAGCGATGAGCAAAAGCAGGCGCTTACGTCCAGGCGGAAGCAAAAGCCGGTGTGAGCCGTGCTGCCGGTCGATCATAACTACGACCCTGGCTCGACTTGTCGATTATATTCGCGCTTTGGTTTGCTCTTCCTCACTGCGCGCGTCCGTATGTGATGCGACCCAGTTCGCTCAAATGTCTTCCCGTTTCTCTCCTCTTTCTTGTGCTTGTTGAACTTTGGTCGACTGGGGTGCTTGCTGAGAATGTAGGTCCTTATTTCTCATCGGTTTCTACGGCTGTACTTGGGTGTATACGACTGCCGAGTAACAGGGCATACTGACGTTTTGTTCGTGCTATTTCGTCTCTAGGACGAGTCGAGCTCGGCTTGCGAGCAGTATAAGGTGCCTAATGCACTCCAATGACTTTAACCATATCATGACCAAAGTCATTGACCATATTCGTAGGTCCTCGCCAACAGTAACGGCAACAACCCCTGCGATGTTGCCCTCAATCTCCGGACGCCTTGCGAGCCTGGAGTCAATGTCACCGCTCCCGGTACGCCCACTTTGACCCTCGGACGATGCCTCTATACTCATAGTTGACTCTCAATCACACTGAAGCATACACCAAGTGCTCCTGGTAAGCTTATTCCCTTGATTGTCTGTTTACACTTCGGTCTCGCGTACCTGCTCTTTGCCCGACATACTCTCTCCCGACTGCGGAGGTCAAATAGTCCACAGCCTCGTGTCCAAGGGCAACTCCACGACGCACGGAAGCACTTGCGTCTATATCTCAGCGTATACATTCCCGTAAAACCTGACTGTTCAGCGTCTCGTATATTTGGGTCGGTCGTGGTCAACTGTGGCGCCAACGCACCTTGGGTTCGTTTCGATCTTTTCTATACTCTCGGATCCTTCGAACTCCCTCCAGTCGCGCTATGGTCTCAGTACGAAACTCCTTCGTCTGAGTTTTGAACACACCCCGCGGCCATTCTTCTTCCCGGTCCGCAAAGGCTGCTCCGGTCTGGTGTGGTTAACCCACTCAGTGTATCGGGTGGCTTGCCACGCAGGTCCATAATATTATGGGACACTGCTTCTCCGGAATCCTTCTATATTACTTGCGTCTCTTCATTGCACACTGAGCTTCGTAGCGCGCTCACGCCATTGCTTCCTCGCTTTGAGGCGCACCATGGGTCCTCCGGGAGCGCTTATAGCTCCTATAATTGACATTCTCGTGACATCCCAGACCCGAAAATAGCGGATATGACAGTCTGTTTTCTTTCCTCGTCCCATCGTTGGGCTTCTGGAGCACTTTCAACCACTTCGAAGTGGTATTTTTGAGCGTCTCGAGGCATGATAAGAAGCACGTAGGCCCCTGAAGACGCCCTGGTGGAGATAGATAGAGGTTTTCGTTCAGGAAGGTCAGAACCCGATGCTGGTGTACCTACCGTGTATAGAGACCGGCAATCTCTCTGGAGTCCGAAGAGTGATAAATGGACATTTTTCGGAGTTCGTGCAGTTCTCTACATCAAAAGTGGCAAAGAGTTCGGACTGCTCAGGGTATACCTGGCCCCCCGCCCGCGTGGTCTAGAAGTCGCATAGTTGGAACGTTTGATGTGCAGATGTTAAGATTACTCAGTAGACGCCGTTCTCATAGACGTGGATTTGAATGATCTTTGATCCATATAGGGGGCTTGAGGCGTTTCAGCCTTCTGCTCTAGTCGGGATTTGATCGAGGAAGTGTTGCGTTGTTGAGCGGATGATAAAGCGAATTGAAGCTTCACCTAAAATATTGTCAATGAACCTAGCTACTCGTTGGGTCGCCCTCATGTTCTTTACTTCTGTTGAAGTTGAGCTGGGGCTCCGAGCTCCGAAGGGTGGAATCATAGTATGCCACCATGCGCCATGTGGACCGAACTGTCCCTTCTATCAAACTCCAAACCTTCTCCATTGAACGACGTTCTTGTTCCTTTTCTATTGAACCTTCTGGTCCCATACTCATCACTGTTATAACTTTTCACACAGCAACACGGTCGTCTACAACCTCGTCTCTGCCTGCACCATCTGCCCTCAAATCTGGGACCCCAACTTCTCTGATGATTCTGATGACTCCGAAGACCTTCCCGACCTTTTACCCAACTTCCCAGGTTATCGTAACTGGACAAGTGATTGCCAATGGAAGGCTCCAGCAAAGTCGTATCCGCTTTTCGACGACAATGGGACAGGAAATGTCTCGAAGAGTGCCGTGGACGTGCCAAAGTGGGCTTTTATTCCATTGGACTCTCAAGGAAAGTTCGATGTACAGAATGCGATGAACGGTATATATCCTTTTCTTCTTCTCCTAATCCCCATAACCGGTTTTCTTCACCCCCTTTCGATTGTGTATACCCCAATATATGTCCCGTGACTGATTATCTATCTTCCCCCTTCTGACACAGTCGCCAACCCCCCACCGATCTCCTGGTCTGCCCTCCAAATCGCCCTTCCTATCTCTGTCTCCCTTGTTCTCCTCATCGGCTTCACGACTTTCTACCTGTACCGACACTACCGCAAACATCACGCCCTTCCCTACCAATGGTCCCATTTCTTCCTTTCTATAGCCGCCTTCTTCGCTATCTTTGGCTGCTCGTGCGCTCGACGTGTCAAACGTGCGCGTAGGGCGCAAGAGTGGGACATTGATGGCGCGGCGGAAGATCGGGCTCGGGAGCATAATCGCAGAGACGAGGACGGCGAGGCCTCGATACCGATGATGTCTCATACTCGATCCGGATCGAGTATGTCGAATGCGACGTTTGCGACGAATGATACGGGAAATACGGGTGGGACCACGGGGAAAGGTAGTGTGAGAAGTAGGGCGCGGGCGAGGGGAGCTGCGATTGAGTGGGGGCTGGATAAGTGGGTTTTGGGGCCGATGAAGGCGTTGTTTGGGGGGAGGAGGATTATGCCGGTTAGGAAGAGACAGACGAGTGATGGGTTTTCGATTGATGAGGATGCGATTGGTGGTGATGGCATTATAGCAGGGAGCGGGAGTGGCAGTGGCAGTGGAAGGACGGACGCTGAGACTGGCGTGGGGTCGGGTACAGCAGGGAGTAGTTGGAGGAGTTGGTGGGCTCATAGTGTCGGAAGGAGTCGAGGGACGCCATCCAGTGAAAGGAGTTCTAGAGGAAGGAGGACAAGGACGAGAAACGGGAACGATACCACACGAATTACGGTCGACAGGGCGCCAAACCGGATGCCGAGTGACCACGATGAACAGGATCTGGAGGGACATGTGTACGGACCCGTTAGTGGGCCTAGAGGGACTGGAGCCAGTGTGAGCAGAGGCCCAGGACCGTACGTCCCAATCTCGAACTTGTCGTCTCCGCCGGACGACGAAGACCGGGAGAACATCATCTTCGATTACCGCAGCTACGGTGATTCTTGGGATCAGAAGAATCACAATCGCCACCCTCCTCACTCACTGGCAGTGGACACCGATCCAACGGACAACTACGACCGGAGAGAGGACGAATCAAACGAGGCCCCACCAAGTGTCATTCTCATATCCAAAACAGGAGAAAACTTCAGCATCAATACACACAGTGCTCTATCACCGTCTGCTTCGATGTCGGTTTCGACGCCACATCCCACGAGTAGTGGTAAGAGTGGACGAGCGAGTAAGGGCAGCATGACGGGTACGGCCAGTGGGAGCGGTCATAGTGGTCCTGGACCTGGTGAAGCCTCGGGTTCTGGTTCCGGTCAGAGAGGTGGACCACCATCGAGTTGGGAGCGGAGGAATGTCCGACAGGATACGGTGATGTCTATCGGGACTGAGGCTACCGTGGGATCCGGGGTTGCGTCCCAGTCTAATTTGCCTGGAGCTCGTGGTGCGAGGTCGAGAGTTCCTCCAATACTACAGCCGTCATTACCTTCGCCGCCTCTTCCGTCAGCATTTGGCACTGGGCAGGGAAGGTCTTCGTCACCACCTCCGATGCTTAGAAAAGCAGATGGGAACGAATACGGTCCTGCCAACATGGCTCAACCTCTCGAGGATGGCGGTGTCCAGGTAATGCGGGGAGCGGGAGGAGGGACGATTGGCACTGTGAAGTCTATCGCGACGGATGCCACGGCGAGGTCAGGAACCCTATCGCCATCCGCATCCGTTGCGTTTACTTCTGGGCCGTCATCGTATGCTCAAGGGCAAGGGCAGGGACGCAAGGGAGCGTATGGTGTAGGGGGTGGTGCCGGAGGCCCTGGGAATGCGGGAAGAATCAGACCGGGGACGATTGATACTCTTGGAACGGAGGCGACGTTCTCGACGAAGGCCACGAATGGATCGTCACAGTCATCAACCCATGGTGGCGGTCAAGGAAGCTCATTGTTTACCTCGGCCTCTTTTTCCAAGAGCTCGAGTGCTCATGCAACCTCGATGCCGGTGGTAGAGGCGAGCGTAGGGAGAGCAGATGGTGTGTACGGTAAAGGAGAAGTCGAGGTGCAGAGTCCGAAGGACATGGAAGACTGGCCGAAAGCATCAGGCACAGTTAAACAACGAGATAGAAGCAGTGTAGAGGTAGTACCACCCACACCTGCTGCATGGAGAGAAGATGTGAGTTGATCCTTCTGAAAACATGATGAGTATGGACCATTGATGTGTTTCTCGATTAGCCATTCGCTTCGTATGTTCCTCCACAGCTACAACCTACGCCACCGCCACCGCCACCGCCACCACCCCAGCTCATGACATCCTCTTCTTCGTCATCAAGCCAAAGCCTTCAGCCTTCGGCAACAATGCAGTCGCCTTGGTATCACCCTTACCAATCGAGACATCCCGCATTATCCACAATCGCCTCTGTCCCCTCATCATCCAGTGTGGCACTCGCATCTACTGGCTCCCCAGCATCCGTTGCAATACCGCTTCACACCCAGCACTCCAATCCCGATCTACAACGGAGCCCCAACGCCGTTCCCAGAAGTCTCGGACACAAGGCTTCTGCAGAGTCGACAAGCTCGGCGATGAAGAAGGGGCGCGCAAATAGACCGCCTCCGTTCGCTTCATTCTCTGTGACATCCTCGTCACCCGACCTAACAATATACAACAGACAGGAGTCCTCGAGCTCAGTGATTTCAGAGGGAAACGAAGCTGAATTCGGGTATCTTCCTGAGTCGGGTGACCAATATGTTCAGCATCGCGGGCATGCGAGAAACGGATCGAGTTCTACGTCTCCCGCACTGGCAACTGGCCTCTCGCGTCAGTTCATGGACACATCGCCTGAACATGGATCTCTTCCAACCGCTACGCAAGCAGAATTCTCACCTTCCTTCAAGCCATCCACTCAGTCTCCTCCCTACACCTCTTCTTATACGCGTTCGCATACGCGAGAGTACTCGAATCAGTCATACGAGCCAACTTCCTCGCACATACTCTCACCATCGCATTCACCATCTCTTTCTCCTGGGCAGCCCCTTGTATCGCCATATTCTCCGCCTGCTCCTCTTTCTCCGCCATCATCTAGTACAATAACACATGTACGAACAACTTCCAATCCTCATGTACGGCAACTCCCTCAAATTCCGACACAGCAACCACAACCACAAGCACGATCGCCTCCGCCACAGCTCCTGCGTTTCCACTCTGGATCACCCTCAAATCTACCAATAGATCCCGATTCGCCGTCTAACTTACTTCCTACGTCTGTCAGATCTGCTGGGTATAACCCGTTCCAGCCTGTGGCGTATCAGAATGGTGAGCAAGCGCATGGGCAGGGGTATGCAAACATTAGCCCTGGATCAGTAGCGAGGTATGGTGGGTATGGGGAAGGAATGGATGCACTGGCTGTCCTTGAAACGCCCGAAAACACTGCGGATTATCGATGACATATCCCGGTCATATTCTGTGTTTTGGACTTCGTCTGATCTCGTTGGCATTCCGATTATCTGTTTATATCTCATTGCGGTCAATACTGCTGATGGACACTGTACGAGAACTTATCCCTCACGACTAATGATACCACAACCAAAGGACTGTTGCTTATTTGTGGAATGTTTTCTTCTTCGTTTTCACTCTCGTCGACCTTTTGAGTCTTTTGTATATATATCTTTATTGATCAGAACTCGACGCTCTCTTCCTCGCTCTGCCTAACTGCTGCTGCTGCTGATGTATGTTATTAGTATAGCCTCCTTCTTTTCTTTCATGATTTTAGCGTGTCATTTTTTTCGTCGCGACAGACGATCTTTCGAAGCCCGGGACACTCCGGGGCCACAGTCACCCGGGAAGCCACGTGTCGTTGTTGCCGCGAGCTCCTTTGTCGCCACAATTGAAGCCCATCTTGGAACAAACGCTGTCAGTGACACGGTTCTTCTCCCGCTATTGATCTGTGTCCACTTCCTCTAAAAAGCTTAAGTCGTGATTTTGCCGGTCTCCTACCCACTACAATACCACTGCGCATCATGCCTTTGACTTCGTATGCTCCGTTAAACCTATGCGTGCACAAGCTAGATGCAACGTCACCTCGCTCAATATCCTGGCCACAACTCGCGATAGATACGATTGAAGCCTTAACGATTCCTCTGCCAAGTTGGCTTACTATGGTGGGTTCTTGGTAACTGACATGTCTTCTCTCCGGAACTGAGTTATAAATGCGTTTAGGGCCCATACCCCTTCTTATGTGACTCGTCAAGATCGCTACTCGATGAACTGCAGGCTGCGACCCCAGAACAGTACGCTGACTCCAGCCTGACGCAAGACATGAATCTTTTTCAGAGTCTCGATACTGTACTGTCTGCAGTCTCTGCGATGCGCGCCGCACACTACTTCTTCGGGGGAGGGCCGAATCCTAGAGCTCCTTTGTTCGTCGGACTCGTTCAAAGCGTACTCCTCGCACAGTCGCGTGATTTAATTCTGCGGTGAGCAATGGGTCATCGCTGTCATATATTATTGGTCTATTTACTCACTTCCTCTCATAGAGAATATTTTGAATTCGTTCTGCCGCGGTATCCGTACCTTGACTCAGAGAGTTCGCTGTATGAGCTTCTTCCGCGATATTCCCGGGCAACTTTAACTGGGTTCTGTCCTATTGAGACCCGCAAGTGGCAGGAGGAACACTCAGACGACCCGGACAACTTAGACAACTTAGACGACACTCAGATATTCCATTACGGTTGCGACAACCACATCTTCATCGATAAAGACTTACAACCAGACGTGGCCTGCGTTTTCGTCATGGCCGAGCAACGCAATATATACCACGCGCTCTCGAGTGCGCTATACCACAGACGTGCCGTCGGAATCCACGAACCTATCATTGGCTTGACCTTCGGAGAACATGGTTCCTCTCTGCATCTCGTTCTTGCTTGGCTAGAGAAAGATATGATTCAGTTAGACCAGGCCCTTGTGAGTTTTTCTCTGGCGGCTTTCCCGCCCCTTTCCCTGAGTTTTGTTACCTTTCTAGCCGGTGGTTCACCTTGTACATGCTCCGTTAGAAGCGGGTGGTACAACCTCGAATGGTGTCTTCGACATGCGCAATCCGATAGCAGCACTCTATCTTACCCGTGTACTACACTCTCTGCCCCAGAATCTTGCATGCATAACCTCCCAGGCGATTCACGAGAGCAAATCCTCACCGATGAACATCGATATGCAGCTGGCTCTTTCCTGGCGCGCTGATCAGATCCTTCCCGAAATTGAAGCCGCCCCTGTGAACGAAGTAATTTCTGCCTGGGTCGAGAGTTTGCCAATTTATAAGTAGGTCCACTCTATTACTCTTCGCTCATTTGTTGTTTATCTCCACCACGTACAGTCTTTCCGCCACTGGAGAAGCAAGTCAGTCACCGGACTCGCCAGCGGAGGTAGGTACCACGAGTCATGTTGCAATACTACATAACTCATGTGTCCTCTTAGGCTAGATCTCAAAGCAAAAACAGTAGCTCGGATGCAGGGAAGGCCAGCAGCAAAGCCCTGTCAAACCTGGGGTCAGTCATCGTTACCCTTGACTTGAATCACAACGAAAGCGAGATTAACCATATTATCCGTTACTACTCCACAGGCATGTGGGATCTGTGGGTGCCGTTGAACTCGTAGCCCATGCTAGCTCGACGATAGACGAGACTCTGTGAGTTCATGCGCGGACCCCAGCTCAGCCGTATTATTCTGACCTGAGTACTTCGACCAACATAGATTTGCGGCAGCCTCCTCATCTAACCCTAGAGAGGTTGATCAAATGACCCATTGGACACTCCATCGCAATGTCTTGCGAGAAAGCAAAGCTCCGCCCGAGGCATACGAAACTTTAGCCCAGGACCATGACCGTGGAACCTATGTCAAGTACTGTAAGGAATACGATTACATTGTAGCTCTGGGCTGGCCGATCACATGGGTAACTGTCGTACATGTACTCCTGCTCACGCATTGTTCAACACTTACTGAAACACAGCCAAGGAGGACCTTCCTCAGGTAGAACCAGATTTAGAACCCTTGCTTCATGAACTACACCGCCAACATACGGTTCGCGAGGACTGCCCAAGGCGCTTACCAATCCAAGTCATCACGGACCCCATATTATCAAGCTCCTAGAGCATCGTCTACAAGATCTTCTGCGGGTTGTTAAAGATGCGATTCGAATGAAAGAGGCTTCAGAGCAGGTAAAGGTTCCAGAGGCTATGATGCGAACCGGGTTTGAGCGCTTGATCCGACTCTTTTTTGACGGAGAAGACGAGACAAACCGACTCTCCCTGTGCGTCATCTCTCCTTTCCATTGGGTCCAAATTTAATTCTGAGATGTTCATACTAGTTCGGAGGTACCGATCTCGATGCCACGCAACACCCTCGCTGACGCAGTAATGGCCAAACAAGAAAAGGGCGCGCGAGCCGAGTCCGTCACGTTCCAATGGGGAACAAGGATCCCAGGAACCATCCAGCAGCATCGCGCGAACCTCGAACTTGATATTTTTGTCCTTCTCAACCTCAACGACGAAGCCAGAGATCCACAACTCGGAATTATGGCAGCGAATGCGGAGGTCGCTCGGGATCTTACCACCCGCGCTGTGTGGAAATCGCAGGACGACCCAGACGCGGTTATGAAACGGGCTCTGTGGGAGCCGTCGACCGGAACTGTCGATAATATAGGGCTGGTCCAAATCAAAGACTTCTTCGACTTCGAGAATCCTTACACGACGGACGACATTAATGACTTCACGATTTTCGACATCCTTGGGAGGAAGAAAAAAGATTCTGCATCTCAAAGTAAGATGATAGAGACGCTGCAATGTCTGCCTGGTCGTCTGACCCGAACAAATGACTCTCGCGATCCGTTCGTGTCGGCCCGCCACGAGTACCTAGTAGAATCGACCGATCTTCCACAACGAATGGCCAGCTCGCAGACCCGTTTGTCTTTCGCTTTTCTTGCTCCACTGAGTACTTATAGCTTACCTCTGTTCTTCTGTTCTGAATCAAGTTTCGCCGTCTAGTGTTCAGTCTCCGAGCGCAGTTGAACACGAACTACCGACCCAGTGTATGTCTCCACTCCCTTCCGCCATATTGATATATTACCGAATTTTTCCAAGCGATTAGGCAGGATGAGCTTATGAACCTTTTCCGGGACCTTTTTCTTCCGGTCTTTGTGTCAAAACATGAAAAAGAAAAGGACGTATTTTCTATCCAAGGGCCAAACCAAGTACGAAGTTATACAGTCTCCGCTCTCAAGTATCTTGCAGCATGTGGCGTAGAGGACTTTTTAATATTCAGCTTATACACGGAGGGCACTGTGGGTGTGGTACAAGCTGGCTGGGAGGAGAAGGGGGATCAACGTATGGTAAGGTTTTTTCTTATTTGTCGCGTACCAAGGCTCATGATTACACCAGAGGAATGATCCAACAAAGGGCGGAACTCACCTCTTAGACCGCAATTGTCAAGCCTTCGACATTTACAACGTCCTCGGCGCTTTCAACTTTGCTATCTTCCTCGCTAAACTTGCGCATAACCACGTCCCGGAACTTCTCAAAAGGTTTGAAGTGCAGAGGCTTGATTTGCTCAGGAAGATTCGGGAGAAGAATGTAGAGCTGAAATGGAAGTACTCTCATCAGATGGAGGAGCAAGCGTTCAAAAAGGCGAAAGACAAGGTTATCAAAACCGACGAGGACCGCCGCGAGCAGGAGATCTGAGAGAGGCTGTGAAGAAAAAAGCCTCCACGAACGAGACAGGAAGCTGATGGGTTCTGTGGACGAGGTGACCAAATTTTTTGTGGACGATTTTGCTGTCAGTCAATGTTTTTGTTGTGTCTTTGGCGACTGTTACAAACAATCCAAGTTTGATCCAAGTTCGGAGCGTTCTTGACGCAGGTGCCACACGATGCATGAAGAGTTGTGTGCCACTCTTCCGACTATCCGGCTCTTGAACTCAATGACGCAGGATAGTTCGGTTGCACACAGACGAACTTCGTACAGACCATACTCCCTCCGGGCTCTTTCTCTCCTCCTTGTCAGCTGTTCGAGTCGCTTAGAAAACATCTTTGCTAGAATATTGTCTGCCCTGCTCCGCTCAGTATCCTCAGCAATCGAGGTTGAGCTAGGGATTGTGCTGTGACCTCACGCCATTTGAACCGTTGCCACGATGACTACCACTACCAGAAAGATTACCTTGAACCCTCCGAACACAACGAGCTTCCAGCCGAGCATCAGCTTGGATCACATCATAGGCACTTGGTACGAGGACACAAGTCTCTCGGGCTGACTTGCGCGTTCTAACTGTTGGTCGTTGCTCCGATTCACTGACGTCTCTCCCCTAACAGGCATGTAACACATTCTACCTTGCCGCTGTGGAAAGTCAGTTGTATACTCACTGAGGCGACATGGCCAACTTAATGATTCCCTACGAATAGCAGATCACACTAACACCAACCTTGTTCTGTAGAACAAAAAAGACGTAACAATATCCTACACCGAACCTACCTATACCCCCTCCGGTTCTCCCCAATCTTTCAACGACATAGTCGAATATCGCTCCCTCTCCTCTCCACCAAGCAAACCACGTACTGTGATCAATGGCGTGGACACCTTGGATCTTGCCTCGCCAGAGTCGGCACCTACGAGGTTCAAGTGGCGGGGAAAGGGGTGGTTGATGATCGCGAGCTCGAAGTGGCAGCTGTTGGGGTATAACCCGCCCGGTGAGGATGGAGAGGAATGGGCGGTGACGTTCTTCGAGAAGACATTGTTTACGCCACCGGGGCTAGATGTATATGCGAGGACGGAGAAGGGACTGCCAGAGGATTTGGTGAGACGTTCATGTTCTCTCTTGAACGACGTCGCAGGCTGTGTGTCTTCTGTGATACTGATATTGCTGTGCACAGATCAAAGGAATCGTAGAAAGTCTAAAAGGCCTCGGGAATGAGGAGATTACAAAGTTGGCGGATACGTTCTTCGAGGTCCAGAGGAGCGGCACGAGCCAGTGATGCTTTCTGTAGGCCGAGAACTGCTCCTATGAGTTCATCCTTCTCCATGAATTGGCGAGCCACACGAATCCATATGCCTTTCGATAGCAGGCGGTCAATCGCCTCTATGTTTACGGCTGACATATACATGGACTTCAGGGGCACTGAAATTTGCCGTTCCCTTCATCTGCGCTTCCACTCCCATCCATACGCCGCGTCATCCACGAGACAACGGCAAACTGCATTGAACGATGTCTATGTAAAACGGAGTACGCTACTACGTATGCCACATACAGATATATCCACTCAATAGCTACTCAAACTCGAAAACCGACGTGACCACCCTGTATCATCATAAATACGAGTCTATATATCAGAAGTTTCCCGATGTCTCCATATCCTCTCGCCACAGATACGGCCAATGCACATCTCTCATCGCCCTAGCCCTGAAGCCTTACCCCGCCAATACGACGAGGCTCTAAAGCACATCGTATACGTTCGAAGTCACAGAATTACGATACTAACATGATGCAAAGGTTCGAGAATCACCAACACTCGTGAAGGAGGTCCATTCGAGTCGGGACATGTCCCAAAAGATAAAGAAAAAAAGGATCGTCAGAGACAATATCTCAAACTTAGCCAGATATTCAAAACGATCTATTTCACAAACCACCACTTATGATCATATAATCGGGAGATAGATAGATAGCAAATCAAATGATGTAGGTAGGTAACTTATGTATATACGGCCGGAGAAGCACAACAGGACTGGACGCGTTAGGACGAGAGAAAGAGAAAATAATAATTATGAAGTATGAAGATTGAAGCGTGTTCAAAGTTCATTCGCACGGTAGAGGTTTCGAAGAATCGCGCGATCGATGATAAGGGACAGTGGGAGGCATCTAGTGGGATACGTAAAATGAGTAGGTTGGTGGGCGGGGCGTGGTGTAGGTTCTGGAGTGTGAGGAGATATGTGGATATGGTGGTGGTGGTGGTGGCCAGGGCCGGGAAGGAGATGATGGATCTCGAATAAGAATGTTGGTGCAAGGAGAGACAGAAAGATCCGAAGGCCAGTATCACGACGTGTTCAACTAGCTGAGGAGGAAATCCTTGACGAGCTCGTACGAGAAGAACGACACGGAGATACTTGGCGCCACTTTCACTGTTGACCGACCGTAACGACCCAGGATATATCAGTCATACGTCGACGCACGCAAACAGGGAAGAGAGTGGACAGAAGGAGACACATACGCAGGTTGGGCCACAATCCTCGATACATCCCCAGGATACCCTCGTGTCGAATGATGACGCGGACGGCTTCGTAGGCGTTATTGTATTGATATCCCACCGCAGCGCCCATACCAACGACTTGCATTTTCCGACGCACAACGTCGAAAGGGTATGTCAGACTCTGTGAGATAGCGCCTAAATACGCCACGCCACAACATCAAAATAGAAGTTTGAAAATCCCTGTCAGCGCCATATCACCCCTCGAGGTCACAGAAAGAACGCACCAGCAAGAGCACCACATGCTAACTTCCTCATCACGCTCGTCTTCCCAGGCGGCGTAAGATATCCCCTCAACAGCTCATACGACGCGAAATTGATCCCCACATACGGCGCCACACCTAGCGCCGTGGTCACCATACCGCGATACAAAGCCCGCACGCCTCCTTCTTCGCGCATCACCTTTTGCGTCATACCCCACATTGTAAGTTCTGAAGGTGATCGGACGGCGGAGTGGTAGGCTTGTGAGAGGGCCGGTTTCGATGACGCTGAGGATGCGGATGAGGATGATGTGGCGGTGGCGCCGGGGCCTGAGGTTGAAGAGGAGACGGTAGGATTGGAGGGTGAGGATGTGGATCCGGGAGGGGAGGGAGGGGCGCTGAAGATGTTTGCGCTGGCGATGGAGAGACGGGAGCGAATGAGGTCTAGTGGGTATGTCGTACCTGTTCCGCCGACCGATAATTGTTAATAGCTACATTCAAGCTACAAGCTTCAAGACCTGAGACAAAGTTTTAACTCACAAACAGATGTGATTCCGGCCAAGGCTCCACTGACTAATCGAGTCGGGGTGTCCAGTTGTTTCGTGCCATTGCCAGTGAAGAACTGCATGGGGAGAAACATAGACGACACAAGATCAACATTTCTGCGCACCCTTCTGCAAACTTTCTCCATCTTTCTCCTACAGACAGACCAAACAGGGCCCGATGATGTTTATAGAACGACAAAGACAAGGGACACACCTTCTTCAGCTGTTCATATGTCGTAAACTGCACGGCACTGTACGGTATAATCCGCACGCAATTGATCCCGTTCCCTCTCATGTATCCTTTGAAACCCTCCTCATTCCATATCCTCACGAGCGACCGGAACACGCCCTTATACTGCTTGTCGCTCGATGTCGACTGCACCTGTCTGCCATGCCCACATCGCCGCCACAAAGTCCATCAGCTCCAACTCCATCGGGGCTCCGGTGCAGACGGAGCAAAAGAAATACGAAGCGGTGAACGGCTACGCACTGAATAATCTTTAGCCTCTCTAAAGGACTGACGACCGTCCTCGATGCAGCACCAGCGACACCTCCAGCGATAAAGTACGACGAGACTTGTGGACTGAGGAATGGAGTCTTTTCCTTGACCGCCTCGACGACTTCGGATGCGGCCGCTTTGGCTTGTGAAGATGTAGTTGAGGTCATGACGATGGTGAAGACAAGTGCAGCGCTGAGATCATCGACAGAGAGAAGAGTTTAAAAAAAGAAAAGAGTGGCGAAGATGAATGTTTATGTAGATGTGGGGACGGAGAGCGAGGATGCTGCTTATAGAAAGCTTGCGGCCTGCGTCGGAGGGGATCGAGGGCGATGGGTACGGTTGTGGTGGCACAAGCACGCGCTAGCTGGCTTTGACAGATGGCTGGCCCGTGTTGGGGTGGTGATGTCGTCGTCGTCGGCGTCGTCGTCCAGGAGGCTCAAGGCAAATGGCTGGCAAAGGTAAACCGTACACGCTGCACCGATGATGGCATAAATTTTGAGCTCGTTTGACGGGATAAGAAACTCGTTTCATCGGGCCACAGGATCTCGCTGCTGATTAGATTACGGCTCCAGACGGGTACATCTGCGGGGAAATTTGGGGAAACGGACAAGGCAAGTATATATGTTCGAGTCTACAATGTCTTTTATGTGTACATCTACGGCGGCATTAAACATGTTACAAACACAGCAGAAGTCAAGGTTTACAGTCAAGGATACGAAGCGAAAGATATTGGGATCCAGAAGGATGAGGAACAGTTCAATCGATAGTGCTCGTGGCCAAGTACCATTGGTCCGTTGTTCCGAGTCCGACGAGAGCTTGAACTTCGCATGAAACGCAATCAAAGGATGGAGGGGTAGACCGTTCAACCGGTATAGGTTGTGAGAAGAGGCGCTCGAGATGTGGCTCACGACGCCACATCAGCAGCATATTTCGGGTACTCGACACAAGAAACTATAAACAGGGTGAAGGGGACATAAAGATAAACAGCAAGGATCTTCGAAAGAGCAGGAAATTCCCTGCCTCAAAAGAGACTCCTGTGGCCGATTTGGTAGCCCCCTTGTGGGGCACCGTAGGCTCCAAAAGGTGAGTACGTGTCAAGGTCATTTATATTGCTACTGCCAGCAACGTAGAGCGATGCTCGACGCCAACAAAATGGGAGTCATGGCGGGATCCGAGTGCATAGGCTGCCTTTGTCAAAATATATAAGCCACCAGCAACCGTGATCACAGGGCGACGATCTGACCTTAGGTTTCGCGTCGATTCCGATCCATCGCGGGTAGGGATGAGAGCGAACAGCCCGGATGAGGTGACTTGGCGTGTTGTTCCAGGCGCTTCTACGACGACTGAAGGAGCTGTCAGTGAGTGAAACGTGAGGTAGAGCTGCGCGGAGTGTCTGGAGCAGAGACCGTGTCCAGACGTGGGGTTGGTTGCTGCTCGCAAAAAAGTTGACCATCAAGAAAGTCGAAGTGAAGACCGAATCTTCTCCGGTCCATCCATAGTTGTACGACTTGTTTCGTCTCCTTCCATGGCCTACATCGGGCCCAAGAGGTCAGTGGATGCCGCGAAGATAGTTCTCTGGTAGAATGAGGGACACGAAAGGGGCACGAGGCTTCCCTCATTCCTAGTTTTACTTTTCTGGACTATCGAACAGGAATCAAGCGATAACAACGTCTTTGAACAATACCGGCCTCAGTTGGTAGTCACAAAGGATTGGTATAACGATAAGGTCGGATCGTGGCACCGTACGCCACACTGGATGCGAACACGAGGCTATCCCCACAGATCTACCTTTGGAGACAGAAAGCGCAAAGCGACACGAATCAGAAGGCTTCATCTCCGTTTTGACAAACAAATGAGGATAACAGAACAGTGTCACTAACCTAAACACGACCCAGCATCGCCTCATACTTCCTTCTATACTCATCTTTGTCCTTCTCGACCGCGATGACCGCCATTTCCTTTTCGAACAACAAAGACATCATTGCTCTGATTGTCTCCCATCCCTGTACACGTGCGCTAGGGCTCCTTCCTTGTGCGATGAGATCTTGATCATCTCCATTCATACTCCATTTCAGAACCGAAGGATCTCGAAGCAGCGACGTCAAAAAACATAAAATCGGGACAAAGGCCTCGTTTGGCAAGCGATATCGTGTGCCGACAGCGGGTGAAAACCTTACGTCAAGTTCTTCGAGGCTCAGCATACGAGGTATCTTGGTGCAACTTCCGTTGAACGTGAATGCGGACGGTTGAGAGCTGTCGTCACTAAGAACGTCAACGTATACGACAAATTTTCGAAGCTTGGGACAATGGCGAGCGAAATGAATGAGCGAGGTAGCTGGTAGAGTGGGGATCTCCTCCGTCGACGGGCAATGATCGAGTGCGAACTCTTTGAGCGATGGCCAGCGTGATGCGAGGGCCTGAACGTCCGCGTCGGTAGCAAGCAGCGGGTTTGCGTCTTGGATACGAAAATTCGTAAGTCGGGAGAAGGGGAGCAGATCGACTATGTCTGAAAAAGTACGCTTGGGAGGGGGAAGAGGGAAGTAATCGTCAGTGCTGAGGGCAAGCATTATTTCCAGTGTGCCGAGGGAAGTAAATTTTCTGGAGAGCGCATCCAGGAAAGAGGGCAGCGCGTTTTTCTTCTCTGGTTCTCGTTCGTGGACGATGTGAATACGGAGAGAGAGGATATTTGTCGATGGAAAGTTGGCCTGGGTGAGAAAGGAGGATGCGTCCTCGAAGGTAGCGGCAAATGCGAGGTGTTGAAGAGATTGAAAGGCATTCGGTTGGAGTTCGCAGGCGAATGGTTCGACGCCGCTGAGCGAGTAAGGCTCCAAGAGATTATCCTCATCTATGTCAGAGTCGAGGACGATAACATTGAGGGTCTCGTAGCGTGAAAGGGCAGTTGCTACTTTCTGAGTGAAGTGGTATATCGGGAGCGTGAGTTTCGAGAGTCGGGGTAACCTCAAGCAAAGGTTGCATAACAGGCGCTCAAAATCATTGGGAAGGGAACGATCGGTCTTCATCTCAAGATTCTCTATCAAGGGCATCCTGTCCAGGACTGTATCCACGAAGACCTTAAATTCATCTGCAGTGGGCCAGGGGGTTTCGACGCCTTCAACGTACACTTCATCGAGGAAGAATATCAACGATCTCACTGAATCGTGCATGAATGTAGCGTCGCGCAGCGCGGGACCCAGAACGCAGCCTCTGAATTCTCGGAGGTTAGCGAATATAGGAATTTGCGTACGCGATGTCGCTATATCATTGGGTGACTTTCCGTAGGGGGTTTGTGCACATTTCAGACGCCTAGATCACAGAAAGGAGGCTCAGAGCGACTGTTGATTGGCTGAGGCCCTCATATCTGTGCTTCTGCGCGTCAAGGAACACTCCTAGACTGCTACGGAAAGTCACCCATTGAGAGCATCGAAGGACAGCCGGAATTTGTCGACACTGAACTCGTCCTTGAGAACGCGAACACGAGGGGCTCGTTGAAGAAATTTGGACCATTCCGTGGCAGTAGGTCGCTCCGTAAAACTCTATGAGGGAACGTCGGTGAAAACGTAAATCGACTTTAGTCTATTCTGAGAGCTGTTTCGTTTGTAGAGTAGACGCGTGCAGCGGAGGGACGGAGTGCAAGGACTACTCACAGTTTCCGACCAACACAAATCGTAGAAGAGTACTTCTCTGGCCTCCATTTTTGTGAGAGCCTTGAAGACGCTTCGTAGCCGAACTTTCCTCCACAAGGCGTTCAGGGCGAGCTCCATCCACGTCTTGCACACCCTTGAGTTGCGCGCATTATCTGACTCCCGTGAATAGTCAAAAATATGGGCCAAGAGCTCCTGTATCGCGACTGCCTGGTGCATATTTCTGAGGCGGCGGAGGGCAAGAATGTATAATTAAATGTCAGCGATTGGCTCTGTAAGACATTTGAGGGGTTAGCAATGATCGAGTAGGATCCATAAGGTGTCAACCTGACCTCGAGTGCCGTTCAGTACGCGGATTGTGATAGTGAGGAATGCACGGAAGCTGGTCTCCAAGACACCGAGTTGACTCGGTTTCGAGGTAGATCGAAACTTGACGAAATCCAGGGATCGCTCCAAAAGCGATTTGGCGGTGGCACGCACCGTGAATCCCGTCCTAACAGGTTTTGGGGGTATGCGGAACGAAAAGAGCTCTCGTTGCTTGAGAGAAAGATGACCGTCAAGTTTGAGTCAGGGTTTGAGTCGCAACAAAACAAAGTTGTCATTCTCTCGCCCTCGTTCCGCCTGACCCGGCCCCGGCATTTCCCGGTTGCCTTGCCACGCATCGCCCAAAGGGGAGCCATTTCTCTCGCGTGGCCAGTCATTGTCTTGCTTGAGACGACGTTTCCATTCTCTTTTGTGGGCCTGTTTGTCCTTGTAACCACGGCGCTTCTACTGGCATCGACCCGTGGGGTTAATTCATCGCCCAATGCTTGCCAAGGCATCCACGATCGTCATTGTTCGGTTGTTCTTGTTTCTACCTGAATTACCAAGTCGAGAAGAATGCTAGGGTCTCGTGTGTCTTCCGGTCTCCCTCGCGCTCGGCACCACTGTCCGTGCTATGGAGATCCAGGCACGGTGCCCCGCCAGATACAGTATATAAGTCTGTCGTCCGCGAGGTCTTCTGTCAAGTCGAAAACAGCCACTCCTTCCACCCCGCCTCTCCTTTCTCTTTTTCTTAATCTTCCAATCATTCGAGCAGCGCTCGCTAGTTTCTCTTTCTTTCTCCGCTGGTCTCTCGGGTCTTTGATACTTTGAGAAGCCAAGCCTTTCTCGTTCTGCCACCAAGCTCACGAACATGGTTCAAATATCCTCCCTTTTTGTTACGCTCGCGGCAGTTTCTGCATCTCTTGCTGCACCAGCCCGAGTTCAAAAGCGTATCGCCCAAACCACCTCCGACTCCACGAAAAAGTGGGAGGCCGCTTGTGTGAGTGTTCCATTCTTATGGGTTATTTTTACGACACTTGTGTGATTGACGGCTTGACCGATCTTCAGGATGCTGCCGGTGGCGGCGCTCAATGCAACACCATCGCTGTGAACGCGTTCGGCACCCTTCTTGCTGCTGCAGGCAACTGCGACCAGCAGGATAGTGCCGACACTATGATCACGCTCGCGAAGTCCCTCAACAACGATGCCGACATGATCAAGTTTGCCCAGATTTTTGCCCAGCAGCCTCGGAATACGGTGCGTGACTTGTTGCCTTGCCCACTGTTTTGTCTTCTCACTGTCCCTCTGAACATTTTCGCCACGACGATCACATGGTCCCTCCTCGTCCAAATATGCAACCATGTGTACCGTTGTCACCCACTCTCGGTTATGTTTCTGTTCCACTAGCCCAATTCCCTCGCAGTCCCCTACTGCCAATCTGCACCGACCAATTCCGAACTCAATGGGTTGTTCCAATGTCAATTCCAAGGTGCCTCGGAGACGACCTTTGTCGGTAATCTCGCTGTCGGCGATGCAGGCACGATCCCATTCGGCATGACCTCCGCTGTGAACCCTGCAGGATCTTGCCCCGCAAATCCCTCGGGACCGATTGCGGATGGGACGCAGTTGGTCGACCAGGTCTCGAGCCCGGGGACCGTCTCCAGCTCTTCAGGTTCAAGCTCTAACTCGAGTTCAAGTTCGTCTTCCTCGGCGGACACTTCGAGTGCTGCCGCTGTGGCTTCCAGCGCCGTAGGTGCAGCGGCCGCATCTTCGACCTCGACCCCGACCGCTGCCACTTCGTCCAGTTCTTCACCTTCGTCGTCGTCTTCGAGTTTCCAACTGTCCAACGGCCAAGCCGCCCAAACTCTGAACGCTCAATTCGCCAGCATTAGTGCCAGCGACTCCTGCAGCGGCGCGTACTTTTTTCTGTCCCTTGCTTACATCCGTTCAGGTTCTAACCCGAAATCACTCATTGAACAGATGGTGATTCAGCCTGCGTTGGTGGTGGCTTTGCTCAGTGCTCCGGTGGCACCTGGCAAGTAACGGCCTGCGCAGCATCTACTCAATGCTTCGCTCTTCCGCTCGTGAACAAAGCCGGAACAAGCCTTTCGTGTGACACACAGGAGGATGCGGAGGCTAGGATTGCGGCTACGGGGGCGACGGGCGGATTGACTGGTGACGGATCCTCGTCCTCTTCTGCATCTGCTGCATCAGGTGTTTCGTCTACCGCGGTGACAGCAAGTGCGGCGGCGAATGTGGCAGCTGTGACTTCGAGCGCTGCGAGCTCGGCTGCAAGCGCGACGTCTTCTTCGGCGAGCTCAGGCTTCCAACTCACCAATGGTCAAACTGCTCAATCCATGAACGCGCAGTTCGCTAGCCTTAGCGCTAGTGATTCATGCAGTGGTGCGTCCTCATTCATGCTACTCGGGTACAAACTTAAGTAGCTCACGCTGATTGCTCTTCATACTCGACAGATGGAGACTCAGCCTGTATTGGTGGTGGCTTCGCTCAATGCTCCGGTGGCACCTGGCAAGTGACCGCCTGCGCTGCATCCACGCAGTGCTTCGCACTCCCGCTCGTGAACAGTGCAGGTACTAGTATCACTTGCGATACACAGGCAGATGCAGAGTCGAGGATCGCAGCGACGGGGGCGACTGGAGGGATCGATGGGTCTTCCTGAACGTAGACTCGATGATCGTGAGTAGGCTAGGGCGTTCTAAACCCAGCATACAATTTCTTGGTGTTTATTTCTTGGCTTGTCATTATTTTCTTATTTCCTGTGTCGCTCGATGCGAGCAGTCTGGCTACTGGCACTTGCTTTCTTTTGCATTGGATCGGCTTATGCCCATGTCTGCGCACCTCTGTACTGGATCATCTAATGTCTCGGTATACCCCTCATGAGTACTGCAGCATTGTAATACTTATACGCATACATACATGACTGAACCTATTTGTACACATATTTTTTAGCCAAGACCGTTTAAGTTCGCTGCCGCGGTAGCTCCTGTGGACGAAGCGTGAGTACACCACTGTAGCGTTCTGCCATATGGTAGCAACGGAAGAGCATCGAGCCACCGCCATTCGCATCCTAAAGCAGACCAGTTCGCACTGGTTCGTATAGCTCAAACATGACAAGAAAATATATTCGAACATCTATGGAAATATGTATGGATGGAGATATGATGTGGAGAGGCCTTATGTGCCAAATAGATAGGTAGCTTCTCTCTATCAACATATTCCAGTTGCCCGCCACAAATCTCGCCACACCGGGCCAGACGGTTGCGCGCAGGAAAAACCGCTTGACAAGATTTCTGATCATGAAACGGCTGTGGTAACTGGTTATCAGATGCGTGTAATCTCCCTCTCTCACAGGGAACAGATTCGAGACGAAGGCTTTCTCTGAGAACAACCGTTCTGGCTGCTCGCACTCTTATAAAAAGCTCTCCGGATAAGGGTCCCTCACTGCTCAGCATTCAACTTCGGGCTTTTTCCTCCACCTTTGCTACACTCAGGTCGCCACATTGCTCTATCATGCCTTCATCTCAAACTTCGGATCACAGTCAAACGGTCGCAGGCGAGGAAGCCGTTGCAGCCTGGTTGGATTCCCTCCCTGAGTCCGACACGCACCTGATCTACTCAACGTCTTCTACGACAAAGGATTTTATCGCGAAGCAGTTCGTCTCAGAGGCTCACGGTTTCATAGGGCTAATGATAACAATTGTTCGGACGTGGATGGTAGCGGATAGCAACTGCAGCGGTCCGCCAAAGGAGCTAGTTGACGCACTCCATTTAACAGACACAGGAAGGCCGTTGAGGGAGGACGCCGTTTTCCTGTTCGGCAAACATCCTCTACCACGGTTCCTTCTACTTGCGTGTGGTGAGCACCAATCGACGTTGTCGGATCCTGGCCCAATGTGTGGTTGACTACGATTGATATCTTTTCAGTACCGGAATCGGAGCTCAACAGGCTGTAAGTGTCACTTTCTCCTTGTGGCACCATACGATGCGAGCGTAGCTGACATCGGAATATCAGAGATGCTTTGTTACACGCTGGTTTCCAGCAAGAGTACATCGGAGGGGCATTGACGCGGTTCATGACTGCCTTCGAGTTATGCAAGGCGGACTACAAACCGCAGAGACACTACGGCCGCGTCATTCCCATCGTGCAATCTAGCGGTTCTGGTAAATCACGTCTGGTCAAGGAGCTTTCAAAGACAGTAAGTGTGTCATACAATATATTCTAGGCGTACATCTAACGCTTGGCTTGGTGTATCACTCCTGTAGCATCCTCTCGTCAGTGTGTGCTTCCGAGACGATGCTAAGCCCACGTCTGGGTGGCCTCCAGGTGATGTACCTCCACAGGAGTTCTTCGCGCTGCATGCCCGGACGAAACACTATAAGGTATGTTTATTTCTCATATGTCTGCGGAATGGTAATTGTTTACTTGTGCGCACGATCAATGTCTCAATTAGGGCGAAGAACAGGCCGCTGCTTTCTTGGGTGCGCTGATGGAGGTCATCTCCGAGACGATAGATATTTCCAAGAAAGATATACTGGCCGACTGGGATCATCCTGCACCTGGGGAGGAAGAACAAAGCTCTAGGAGACGACTTCTACAACTAGCCATGGCTCGCGCCACCACCGTTCTATCAACCCACACGTCTTGGCTAGAGTCGGAGCGCGAGTGGATAACGCGCCTCAAAGAAATGAGTTCCCGCACCTCTACGTCCCCAAAGAAAATAGATTTCCCTCTCACTACGTCTGTCGACTGGCACAAGATACTCTTCCAGAAGTTCTGCACCAAGGGCTTCAATGATCTCAACGACAAGCTGGTGGCACTCGGACACGATACTTTCTTCCTCACTTTGGATGAATGCGCTGCACTCGGCGAAACGACGGAGCCTGTTGACATAGATCCCTTGTCGCACATTACTCTCATCGCCATGCATAGGATCCTCAAAGCAGCAGACACTCTGAACACCAAGGTTCAGTTTTGGTTTCTTCTCCTCGATACGGACCCCAGTAGGTATCTTCGCGAGCCATCGGGACCACGGAACTCGTCCAGCCGCTTGGTTAGGCCATTGTTGCCCCTCCCTCCGTTCGTGTATCTTGGCTTTAATCAGATGGCGCATGGAATCAAGATCAGAACGGCACGAGAAGCGCTCAGTATCAAACATCTTCAACGATTCGGGAGACCAGTGAGTGTCTCGCACCGTTTCGTCCATTTTCCCCATTGTTCACCGACTGACCAACGCTTTATAGTATTGGTCTACGTTACCCCCTTCCATGGTAGTCCAATCCGCGACCGAGAAGTTATTCTGTGTATCGAAATACAGTCCTGTCAAGTTCTATGCTGGATATGAAGATCATGCCTTTGCGGCATTCGCTTCGCGCGCTGCCCTCGAGCTATGTAACAATGAGGCAGGAACACGTCTCGCAGCCGAAGACGTTAACCATCACATGCGGGTCGTGACTGCTATCGTTGGCGATAAAGTGGAGACCAAGGCCCCATCGGAGCCCGCTCTCGCCCTTGCCGCAGCTACCGCGTTGACGGCTAACGAGGAGGTATACAACACGGCGTTGAACACTCTGCTCAATTTGATCCTTAAAGACCTTATTCACAATCGCGGAGATCAGGGCGAGCTCTGCAGTCGCCTGCTCTTCATCCTTTCCCGAGATCAGGCTGCCCTCTCAGTTCACGGAAAGTTCATGGACGAACACAAGACCCACGTGCATGCAGTCACACTCGCAGCTATACTCGAGACGCTGCTCGGTCCACAGTATGGTTGCCCTGACCCTATGTCCCCGTTACTCCCCAAAATCCGAACATTCTGCCGCGCGCGGTTCGTCCATTGGACGCATTTCCATACCCTGACGAGGACACTCGACGAGATACCGGTTGATCTGCTCGAGTGGGCGTGGTTCGTCGGCGCTGCTATTCAGTGCGCGCATAATCAGCCCGTCATCGACGGGTTCATGGTTCATTACTTCGGCGACCTCGACAAGCCATACGATCGGGAACGTCTAGGTATCGTCGCCTGGCAGACTAAGGCAAAGGAGGAGAGCGCTGCGCACGAACTCGGGTCACTTCTCACCGTTCCGCCAATCGTGTATAAAGACGAGAATGGTATCGCGCGACGTGTCAAGGACGAGACGATCGTAATACTCATGGACTTCCGTACTGAGATCGGTGAGAGCGGATCGGGGACCCAGCTATTGCATCGTCCAGCCGCCACTCCGTACGACGCACCGAACTTGAACAAGACACAAAAGGACAGGATTTGGAACGGATATTGCGATCCAGCGCGTGGAGAGAAAGAGCCGAAGAACTTCTTCGTTCATATTCGCGGTCGGGAACGGGAGCAGTACCCCGTTTTGAGGGATTACAGCCGGCCGCTCCGCGACCTCTTTATCAGTAGCCTGTTCGGAAGTCTGCCCGTGGGATTGCAGTTATTAGAGCAAAAGATGGATAGGCTGATGAACCAGTTCGAGTATTCCGGCGAGGACGATTGAAAAGACTTTTGGGGTATCCAGCTCTGAGAGCAATGGTCGATACTCTCTTTTCGCACCGCGTCGGTGAGCTGAACGATACTAGATAGAAAGAGCCAAAAGTAAAAGTGAAATGTACAACTGACCTACAAACTGGAGTGTATAGAATATACAATGTTTCATGGCGGTCTTGGGTGCGAGACGACGCCACTAGGACGTTTCTCAGTCCTGGACCATATAATACGGCTGGAAACTTTTTTTGCGAGTTATCGTGTTCCGAGAGCAGCTGCAATGGGGTGGGCGATCGATGCTATGGCACGAGAACAAAATATGTTGTAGCCCTCCGATTGACTGTAACCTAAGTTAGCAGTCTCGGTCGCTGGTCCATACAAGCAAAAGTAGCTCCGGTGATGCGCATAGAGAAATCGCATCTGCCGGAAGATTCCAAGAGAGGAAAAACAGCAAGACACGAAGTCGGACTGGCTCGCTTCGTTCTGATGGATCGATAAGACGTGGCCGAAGGAGGACTCTCGACTGTATGACGTCAGAGACGGCTCAGAAGAGTTGCTTTGAAGGCAACATGATGGGGAAATCCGGGGCCCCAGGGGGAAGATGTTTATGTCTTCACCATATGTTTTCGCTTGTAGAGATGAACGTTGAACATGAACGACAGGCTTTTGCAGGTGGCCAAGTGACAGTCTACTTCGAAAGGGCAAGATATATATATAAACGGGCTGAATTTGCTGGGAAATATCAGGCCGGGGCCGAACGGCGAATTGAGGGTAAATCTAGAAGGAAAGGCGCGACGACGTCATGGATGAACGCGTTGAATATAAAACAGGAAGTGCGACGCGTCCGCTCGAGTTCGCCTCGTCTCTTCTTCCTTATCCTCTTGGTCCCTCCAGCTAGTATATCATGGCCGCAAGGAAATTGCAGCAGTCCATCTTCGCGTCGTCGTCACCGGCGTTGGGCTCAGATTCACCCCCTCGCGCAGAAAATCCCCTTAAAATCAACATACCCAAACCCGGTTCATCTGCACCTCCCAACCCGCTACCTCAGACCAAACAGCCTGCGGCGACGGATGCGTCTCCAAAAGCGAACCAAGATGGAGACGAGGTGCTGTCGTATAGAGACAGGCTGAAGAAGAAGCTAGGGGCGAAGTACGAAGGCGTAGAGCGCTATCGTCTCGACCAGGATGAGAAGAAGGAAAGACATTGGAAGAGGTGGGGACCTTACCTCTCCGACAGACAATGGGTAGGCTTCTTTCATCTTACGCTTGCTCGAAGTCGTGTTTCTCGTCTTTTGGTGCTGTCGCGCGCGGTGTGCGGCTTTATCGTCTTTCATTCGACGCTCTCTCCTATCGCTGTTTGGGTTAGGGCTCGCTTGTCGTTCTTCATATCGATCTCTCCGTGAATCACTGTTGGGGACAAAGCTCCACACTGGACATCTTGCTTTCGCGTGTCTGACTTCTTCTTACGTTCAACATACCTCCGCTTCTGGTGACTCTGCGGAACGCTACTCCGGAAATGATGGCCTTCTTGCCCGGGTTCGATATCAAGTGGCTGCTTTTGCGCCTTTGTTCTAGGGCAAGCATTTGCGATGCTCACAATTCGCTTCATGACGCATCTCGTCTTTGCACTCGGAATACCGATGGAGGATATCCCCTCACCGCACTCCGATAGTCCATATCTTACACCCGTCTCTGCGCAAGCGGTGAAACTCCCTTCGCAATGTCGACCCCGTCGTATCTTGATTATGTCCTTCGGTTTGCTTCGAGGCGGAGTCTCAATCCTTCCCTGTTGATGTTCATCTACATGACTACTACATTCTACCATTCACTTCAACATCAATTAACTAACACTATATTTCTCTCCTTTGGTACAGGCTACCGTTCGCGAAGACTACTCCGCCGATGGCAACGTCTGGGAATCCTTCCCGCACGAACAAGCCCGCTCCCGCGCCTACCGCTGGGGCGAAGACGGAATCGCCGGCATCTCCGACAACCACCAACGTCTCTGCTTCGGCCTCTCCCTCTGGAACGGCGAAGACCGGATGCTCAAAGAGCGGCACTTTGGCGTCGGCGGCCCGCAGGGGAACCACGGCGAGGACGTGAAGGAGCTGTATTACTATCTGGACTCGACGCCGACGCATAGCTATATGAAGTTTTTGTATAAGTATACGCAGAGGGCGTATCCGTATGAGCAGCTTGTGGAGGAGAATAGGATGAGGAGTAGGGAGGTTGCAGAGTATGAGATTTTGGATTCGGACGCGTTTGAGGAGGATAGGTATTGGGACGTTTTCGTCGAGGTGGGTTTTTCCTCCCTTCCGCTCTTCCCCTCTTCTTCTTTGTCGAATTCATCCACCGTGCATGACTGACCTCTACCTCCCTCCCAACTCTCCCGCTTCCCCTCCATCGTATATACAGTACGCAAAAGACGAAGACACGCCCGACAACGTCTACATCCGCATCACGGCATACAACCGCGGTCCCGACCCCGCCACGCTGCATATCATCCCCCAGCTCTGGTTCCCCAACTTCTGGTCCTGGCCCCTCCCCACGCCCAAAAAACCGAAAATGAGCGCGACGGGCGAGAATCGCATCACGGCCGTGCACGAGAGCTTGGGCAAGGTGCATCTGTATTGTTTGCCGAGTCCGCCCCCGGTGGGACCGAATGGGGAGCCGGTTCCTTCTGGCACGGGTACTCGTGCGGAGGGTGGGGATGCGGTGGAGGGTGAGGAGTGTGGAGAAGAGGATGTGGAAGGAGAGGAAGAAGAGGGAGAGTCGGTGGAGCCGGAATTGTTGTTCACGGAGAACAATACGAATTTCAAGAGACTCTGGGGCGTCCCGAACGAGACTGAATTCGTGAAAGACGCGTTCCACGATCATATTATTCCTAACCATAGACCACCCGGTCAAAAACTAGCGAACGGACATTTTCAGACCGAGGGCGCGGATAGGGGTGAAGCTGCGTCGGGCCAACCTTCGAATGGACATGCGAATGCGAATGGAGGAGGGACGGGAGAGGATGGGTCGCCGGAGGGGAGCGAGAGGTCGACGCCGACGCCGAATGGGAATGCAAGGGGAGGAGGTTTCAATTTCGTGAACCCAGAGAAGAAGGGGACGAAGGCTGCGGCTCATTATACGTTCGCGAACGTACCCGGGAACGGCGGCTGCGCCGTCGTCCGTCTCAAACTCGTGCCTTCCTCCTTCTCCGCGTCCACCTCCACCTCCACATCCTCCTCCGCCCCCTCTTCCGTCTCTGCCTCCGGTCCCGAGTCGGATCCTACGTTAGAAGATGAAGGGTTGTTTGACGACGCGATGGAGGAGCGCAGGCAGGAGGCGGACGAATTTTATGGGAAGTTGGTGTTGGGGCCCGTCAGCGATGATTTGAAGGCGATTATGAGGCAGGCGATGGGTGGCATGATGTGGACGAAGCAGTATTATAGGTTTGTTTGTGAGGAGTGGTTGAATGGGGATAAGGCGCAGCCGCCGCCACCTTGGGAGAGGAAGGAGAAGACGCCTAATAAGGTGCGTTGGCTTTTCTCTTTGGATTTGAGGGAGAGGCGACTGATGGGATTATGTGTAGCATTGGAAACATTTGCATGCGGCGGATATTCTTTCCATGCCGGATAAGTGCGTCCTTTTCCACAACCCTCCCCTTTTACCACCCCCATTGCATCTCCAACTAACCAGAACCCTCACACCCATCCTCTCCCACACAGATGGGAATACCCCTACTTTGCCGCCTGGGACTCCGCCTTCCACTGCATCCCGCTCGCGGCCATCGACCCTGCCTTCGCGAAGAAACAGCTCGATCTCCTGACCAGAGAATGGTACATGAAGCCGGACGGCCAGATCCCTGCGTACGAGTGGAACTTTGGGGACGTGAACCCGCCGGTGCATGCCTGGGCGACGTTTAGGGTGTTCAAGATCGAGAGGAAGCTGTATGGGAGGGAGGATCTGCAGTTCTTGGAGAGGGTGTTTCAGAAGCTGTTGTTGAATTTTACGTGGTGAGTTGGGGTGGTCCTGTTCTGCTGTTCGTGGTGGAGTATGGTGGTGTGTTGCGTGGTGTGTTTACTGACGTTATGTGGCGCTGTGTGACGTGGGATTTAGGTGGGTTAACCGAAAGGACGAAGGCGGGAACAACGTGTTCGAGGGAGGGTTCCTTGGCTTGGATAATATCGGAGTGTTTAATCGTTCGGAGTCGTTGCCCACTGGTGGTCAGCTCAGACAGGCTGACGGGACGGCGTGGATGGCGTTTTATGCGTTGAATATGTGAGCCCCTTATTTCTTTTACTGAGTAAAGAGTGTCCGAGCAATGTGCTGATGAGGATGCCCTGACAGGTTGAGCATGGCACTCGAACTGGCGAAACATAACCCCGTGTATGAGGATATCGCCTCCAAGTTCTTCGAGGTGAGCCGTTCTCTGTCCGATAACAATAATGTATGAACAGTTCTGATGGAGTTCCGCCCTCAGCACTTCATCTTCATCGCCGACGCCATGACCTTCTACCAAGGCACCGAGTCCACCCCTCTCTGGTCCGAAGACGAAGGCTTCTACTTCGACGCCATCCAATGGGGCCCCGGGAACGCCATGCAACTCCCCGTCCGCTCCCTCGTCGGTCTCATACCTCTCTACGCAACCCTCACTCTCGAGCCGTCCACGGTGAACCGTTTCCCCGGCTTCAAAAAGCGGATGGAATGGTTCATCGACAACCGGCCCGAGATGAGCGAGCGCAACATGGCGAACATGAAGACTCGCGGGAAGGGTGAGCGCTTCCTCCTCGCGCTGGCGAGCAAGGAGAGGCTGGTGAAGATATTGGAGAAGATGTTGGACGAGGGAGAGTTCTTGAGCGAGCATGGGATCAGGAGTCTGAGTAAGAAGCATAAGGAGCAGCCGTGGGGGATGGATGTGAATGGGCAGAGGCATGAGGTTAATTATTGGCCCGGGGAGAGTAAGTCGGGGATGTTTGGAGGAAACTCGAACTGGAGGGGTCCAATTTGTGAGTGTCGCTCTTCTTTACGTCCGTTGTTTTTCCCGTTTGTGACTGACCGACCGCTATGTTGTTTGATGGTACAGGGCTCGCGGTCAACTTCCTCCTCATTGAGTCCCTGCAACGTTTCCACCAGTACTACGGTGACGATCTCCAGGTAGAGTGTCCCACCGGCTCTGGAGACTTCATGAACCTCGCGAACGTCGCTGAGGAGATCCAGCATCGGATCATACATATCTTTGGGCGCGATGTGGGTGGGAGGAGGGCGTCGAATGGGGGAAATCAGAGGCTGGATTTCGATCCGCACTTTAGGGATTATGTGTGGTTTTATGAGGTGCGTTTTCGTTTTGAGATTATTTACTCCATCTGTTGCCTTTTTGTCCCTTCCCCTGTCCATTGCATTTGGCGCTGTGTTTCTGGTGCGGATATTGACCATACTTGTTTTCCTGTAGTATTTCCACGGGGACGATGGCCGTGGGCTGGGCGCGTCGCATCAGACGGGATGGTCGGGTCTCGTCGCGCATCATATTCTGCAGAGCGGAGCGAGCTGTCGGTTGCCAAAGACGCCAAGGAGTGCGTTCATAATTCTCTTTTTGTTCAACCCTTTTGCTTTGACTGATCTGGATTCTGTCTGTAATGACTTTCAGCTCCCCGGTCGATGGCGCACCACTACTTTGACGAGACGATCGATTCACAATCGGAGTATGGGGATGAGGTGCAGTCGCTCATGAGCGCGTATAGTACCGCGGACGCGAATACGCTGGGCGACCTTTCGCCCGATGCGTTGTAGGAGAGCATACAGTTGAGATACATGCCGACAATACCGTGTCTCAGCCCCCTCGCCACGACACAGAAGGAACCTAGATGATATTCTAGATGTATGAGTAGACGGTAGAATGTAGGAGTTTTGACTAGAGAGCAGATGTCGTACGTCCATTAGATGCGCTGTGGACACTCTTGAGCTCTGGCTTGGTCTGGTTCGGACTCGTGTTTATTGTTTGTTTGTTCGATTATACTCGTTATACGTTTTTGTTGTCTTGATATCCTCTGTTACGGCTCTTCTACACATTGCCTGGCCGTCTGCATTCTCATACACACATACATACACCTGCATACACACAAACACAAACACACATACACATAAGATATCACAGAATTCGGGTCCATATCCACGATCACCTTTTCACCTTGTGTAGGAGTATTTGAAGAGTAAAGTAATCATGACCTTATTGCAAATGCTTGTGGAACGGCGAATAATAGTAAGATAAAAATAGTGCGGAAGGGAGAACCTGAACACGACACGCAGATCTCTGGTTGTCCATGGGTAATAAACAAGCAAGAGCGATGACCGCTGCCGAGTGCATGCCGATTACTAGAGCGAGAACCACCCAGTGATCGTCGAGCAAGAGTACTGAGATCTGAGAGGCCAAGTATTACCACAGCTGAGGAGTCTGGAGCCACTGCGTCGTGCGGGTTCCAGCGACGGGAATCCGCAAACAAAGAACATCCCCTCGGTGGTTATCCACTTCGTCGGCGAACTCTCGACTCCAGCCGTCTGGCAGTTGCCATTCGCAAGACGTTGTCGAGTCCACAGATGGGTCCAAGGGACAGACAAGGTAGTATACAACTTTGACCTGAAGATCGACGTTCGGGCTGACTTCCTTGAAAAGCTGGTGCATACGATGCTTGATTGTGCGAATCAGAGCGTAGCCACGGTGGCTTGGAGTCTAACGGTGATTGTCCGGACAGCATGCGATGTGCGACCACTTCGAAGACGTAGCCCGCGAGGCTCACGCTCTCCGTGAAGTGGCAAAGACACCAAAACATTTTCGAAAGGCACTGATCGTCCTTCTCCATTAACGCGAGCACCGCTGACTTTGCGATTCGGATAGATTTGAAGTCGATTCGCCAACCGTCGTGGCCGTTCAGGTCTTTCACGTAAGGCGACATGGCGATAATTCGTGATTGATGATAAGACAAAGCGCGTTGGTCTCGGAACGTCTTGGCGAGTGATTGTAAGTCGTTGTAGTCGAAGGATTCAAGGGCCTGAGCGTGAGCATCCCTCGTCTGTATCGGTTTGAAGATCGCGTCGAAGACGTCGCGGGGAGCAAAACCGAACTCTTCGGTGGCATTCTGCACTAGGAGCTCGATTGCGTCGTCCACCTCATTCTTCTGGTTGATGCCGACCATGTCGGCGTCCACGTTATCATGCATGCTATCGAGATTCTTGTCCTTCTGCCTCCTCAGGACCCTGAGCGCATCCGTAATTTCAGGATCCTGAGCGGAAGGCTCTGTCGACTCTGCAGACAGAGCTTTGGCCAAGTTGTTGCGATATTCAACATAGTTGGCTTGTAAACGGAGGCTGTGGAGGAGATGAAAGATGTTCAGCAGTGAGCTCATATCCTGTTAGGCCAGACAGAATGCAAAGAAGGGATCAGCTTGCGCACCCACACAGGAGCTCCGTGAAACTCCACAAAGACATCCCCCACTCGCGGCCACCTGTCTGCCTTAGCCAATATTTCCATCGTATCGGGTTTGGGCCGGAAACCTGGATCGGCCAGATGTCTGAGTCGCCATCGATAGGCGCCCCCTTATCACGGTAGTCCACGTCAATTAAGGCCCAAGGCGGATTATAATATCCAGGACCCTCAGGGAGGTAGGAGAAGCCAGATGAAGTTGGGTGCATGTAGGCACGGCCAGCGAAGAAGAGATAGATATTGGAGGAGTTGCACCAGAGCACGACCTGGCTGGCCGAAAGGAGTCGTATGAGCGTGTACTCGAGAAACATAGATTTTCCTGTGAGTGTCTTAGTCAATCCTAGTGGTATATCATGGATCTGGTCCCCTAAACATACCAGTGCCCGGCTGCCCAGTAATCACTGCGCCTTTCCTTGACCCCAGATCCTTCTGCCGAAGGTGCATCAAGCGGTGAAAAAACTCGTCATAGGATCGTGGAACAAGGATTCGGCTTCCCGCCGTCTTCAACGAATGGAACTGCAGGAGAGGTTTGCCGGTCTGGCTGAGCCCAACTTCTATCTCGTAGGGGTGCGCGGTAGACTCGGGGAAGTTAGCGCCACGCCATTTCGTATAAAATTCTTGGATACGGTTGGGAGCTGCATGCCAGTTTGCCTTGTCCTCCTCTGGCCATGTCCAACCATTCTCGACGACTAGAGGACCGGCGTGCATGATTTACGTTCGGTATTGTGAGTAGTAGTACAGACGAATTGGACTTGAAGGGTGCTCACTTGTGTCAGATCCCTTGGCCAAAACATCATCGATATACGATGAATCAACGCCCTCCATGGCAAGGGAAAATTTCGAGTCTTATTATATACTGCCCTCGATGATGGACGATGCAGGTAAAGCGAGACACGGCATGACACGGCGTGAAATTAATTCAAAAGCGGACTTATATCCTATTCACGTGACCGTGTTCTGATCACTTTGAATTCAAACATCGACTTTATTCCTCATTTAAATATCAACTTGCGTCTGTCCATCGTGTATTCTAAAGGATCATTGTGCATTTCTTCCAAGAGTAAGCAGTTCATTGAGGACGTAGCGGGAGAGAGATAGAAAAAGAGTCAAACGAGAGCGAGTAGAGACAGAGGAGAGAGGGAGAACCTGAAAGATCAATAAAGAGGGAGAGCGAGAGACTAGTCAGTGAGAGGTATATACAGTATGTAAATCTGAGCAGGAAATAAACCAAGCGAGGGAAAGAGTGAGAGGATGGAAAAAATGTGCATTCAGCGATGGGCAACGTCAATTGTAATGGAGATGAGAAATGGAATAGAGATGAAGAAAGTCGACAAAATAGAATGTAATGAATAGATAAGCATACACTGACACTGTGACTGTAAGAGGACGCAAGGTATCAGAAAGCAAAGAGACAAGAAGAAAAGAAGCAAAAACAGGATAGAAAAGAAACTATGCCAAGCAACCAGCACTAACACGACGTTTCATACATAGATCAATCAACCATCACATCTCCATATCCTCTCACCACGACACGACGTTCACTTCCCTCCCCCCAAACCGGCCGCCTCAGCCCCCTCAGTCAAATGCTTCATCACCGTCTTCGCCCAATCATCGTCCGCCTCATCCTTCTTCTTCCCATCATCGCCCTCATCGTCCCACAAACTCAACCTCCCATAAGTCGCAGACGTATACGAAGCCGACGATGGCGCACTCTTCAACGACAACGTCGGACTTCGAGTCCCACTCTGACTTTGATTCGGCGCAGGCCTGGGACCGTGCGGCCTCGCTGTGCTCCCCTTCCTCGACGTCGGTAGCGGCACTGATTCCGTTGTTGGGGCAGAAAGCTGAAGCGTCGCGGTCGAGGCTATAGCCGTCTCCGTAGAACTGTTCGTACTGTTCGTCGTAGGAGTGTGGTACCGCGAAAACGGCGGTGAAGAAAGTACAGGAGAAGTCGGCCTGAACAGCGCATGGGCGGAAGCGGAAGCGGAACGAGCTCTACCACTCGAAGTCGCAGTGGGCGTCGTCGGCGTCTCACCCTCTTTACTCCCCAAGACCTCCCCGAAATCGAACGGCGTGCTATCGATAGGCGTATCCAACACCGGCGGCGAACTCAACCTCGACTGTCTATACTGCTCCGGCATCGGCATCCCCATCATCCCATAATGTCTACTCGGCGAGAGGCCACCAGAAGAGCCGGCCCCGAACCCAGCAGGCGACGATAAGGAGGGCGACATCTGCCCAGCCGTTCCGATCAATTCCAGAGGCCCCGAGATCTGAATGCCACCCTTCTTGTCGCTTCCGCTTGGACCGGCAGTCTTCAACGACGAGATTGACTTCTTGCCGAACAAGGCGCTGATGCTGGGTTTCTTCATCCTCATCGCTCTGCCCAACGATCCTGCGCCTCCGTTAGATGATGTTGTTGACCCTGAAGGTGAAGGAGCGACCTTGTCCGAGCCACCTGACCTAGACGACGTAGTGGTAGAAACCGACAACAAATGGGTAGAATGTCTGTTCGAGGGTGTCGAGGGTGTCTGGGGGACCGACCACGAAGAAGGGAAGACGGCCGTGCTAGGCCTAGTATCCGACGTAGAAACGCCGATCTGCAAGCGCGAATGTGGTCTCGAAGCCGGAGAGCTTGTAGACGGGAAGACGACACGATCGTCATCTCCCGGAGGCATAGGGAGTGATATATGCGGCTGCTGAAGGGCGAGTTTCGCGGGTTTCGGCGAATGAACGACCGAACCTGTGTCGCTGGTGGTGGTGGTCGCAGGTGTAGCAGCGTTCGGATCCGGGGTTTCAAGTTCAGCGGCGGTCGTGCTATTGTTGGCGCTGGTCTGTAAGTTGAAGGCGGGCGTCGATGGCTGAGAAGATGGTTGTCGATGCGCTTCGTCGCCTCCGTTCCGCACCTGGGACGTCAGAGTAAGAAGATCCGAACCAGACTTAGACCGTGGCCGTGCGATGGCAGTGCCTTTCTTGGGTCTGGCGGTAGGGACGAGAGGTGCGGTTCCAACGAACTGAGAAGACGCGGGACTCTTCTTCGCCGGACCTTCGACGGAGGTTGATGCGGTGTTCAAACTCTCACTGCTGCTCCACATCATCCTTGGTGAGGTCGGATTGGTCTGAACTGAGCTCTCCGGCGACAATGGCCGCGTAGCCATCGAAGCAGGCGTTACCGGACGAGGAGATAGCGAGGCTGGGGTCGTAGGACGGGCGGACATCGATCCAGGCGTCACAGGACGACTAGACATCGACGCAGGAGTGAGCGGACGCGTCGACATCGATCCAGGCGTGACCGGCCCAGCAGACAAAGATGCCGGAGTGAGGGGACGAGGGGACGCAGAAGTGGAGAAGAACGAGTCTGAAGAGGTATCCTTGCTCGAGGTCGTCGCCGTAGTCGCCTCCGAAGCAGATGATGCCGACGCCTCCATCTGTGTCGGGACGGGGACCACAGAACGTGACGAGAATGGGTTCGGATTATCGAATACGACGGCTTCCTCGCGGGCGTCGTGGTGGTCTTCCTGCTTCACCTCTTCCTCCTCCTCTTCTTCATCACTATCATCCTCCACCACAGGCCCCCTCGGCGGCACCGGCGGCTCCCAAACTTCCTTAACCTCACAAAGCACCCTCAGCACCCCAGGACTCATGTTCAAACTCGGACAAAACACCAGCGTCAAATTGCTCAACGGCATCTTCGTCCCTCCTCCTCCGCCCTCCCCGTTCGTCCCCTTCGCCCGCTTCGCCGTCTCGTTGATAAGATCAACCACAGTCCTCAGCAGGTCCCGATTCTCCCTCGGAAGACGAACGATGAGGGAGGCAAAGTGGCGCACGAGGGACGTCGAGGGCGGACGGATGCCAGACAGGTTGGGCAGACCGAGGGTTGAGAGCGATGGAGGTTTCCTCATGGTAGGGATACCGCCCATCACAACACCACCGCCACCTGGCTGCATTCCAGCACGAGGACCAGAAGGCAACGTTGGGCCGCGCATGCCACCCATCTGAGGGGGTGATGTCCCAGCGGCGGCGGCAGCTTCGACCCGGGCCAGTTCCTCCGACCTGCGAGCGTTGTTCTCGGCGATCATGGCGGCTTCGAAGTACGGGTTGAGGGCGTGAGTGAGGATAGGTTCCGGCACTGAAAAGTGACGAAATAGTCAATATTGTGGTTTACTTAGGGACGAACGATAGAAACATACGTTCGCGCAAGTACGCCTTGAACACGGATGAGACCGCATGCGGATCCAGATCTCCTGGCGTACACTCCGAGATATCATAATCTGCGCCCGTATCGAACTCGGCCCTCAGCTTTGAGACGTGCGACGCACGGCCGCTGATCCTGTATTCGCAAAAGATTCGTCAGGTCAAGAAATATCCCACACATCCGTCGTCTTGAGTGCAATATATTGGTCAGGCTAACCCCAACACCCCCATCATCTCAAGTCCAACACAGACTGCATCACGCAAAAAAGACAGATCTATGAAACATATGCAAGATAGAAGAACAACGCACCGGAAAAGCCCTTCCTCCTCAAGCCCCCACTTCAACAAGTGTTGCGCACACCTCAGCACCAACGCCGGTATCAGCCTCCTCTCCAACGCGTCTAGACTGTCCGTATCTGGATGGGGATCTGTGCCTGTCATCAAACAAAGTGTTAGTAAACCTGCACGAACAAGACTAAGGGCGAGGGAAAGAAAATATATGAAGACAAATCAAAAGTCAAGACAGACAGGGGCTCAAGCCCAAATCCAACAAGATCAGCCATACAAACTCAAACCTCAAACCTCAGACCGCCCTCGAACCTCGAGCCTCGAATCTCCAAGAAGGAAAGAAAAAAGAACACTCACCCCACGCACCCATCTCCCTCCTAACCCCCTCCACCGCCGTCTCCCTCACACACCCCCTCAACTCCTTCCCAAACACCAATCCTCTCCCTCCCTGCCCTTGTCCAGCATACGCGACCAAAGGCCCCCTCAAACACCTCCCCAAATACGGCCCCGAAACGCTCACCGCGCTCCCTCCTTTACCCCCATGTCCGTGTCCATGTCCGTGTCCGTGTCCGTTCTTCCCACCACCCCCACCCCCGCCAAACGCACCCCCCACACTCCCAAACGCGCCTCCCCAACCACCACCGCCACCACCTCCACCTCCTCCTCCTCCACTACTACTCGAGACGCCAAAGTCACCCCCCTCATCCCCACTAACACTCACACTGCTCGCCCCACTCGAATCTTTATCTCGTCCCCCGGACGTAATACTACTCGCCATACTCCACGACCCGCTCGGCGCGTTCTGCGTATGTCCCTGTCCATGCCCATGTTTACTCGACCCTGCGCCTCCATGCCCGTGCTTGCTCGAGCCCTGCCCACCTCCATCATTCCCCGTCCGCCTCGACTTGAATGACATTCCCATATTCGACATGAATGCCGCAGCGGCCGCGGCTGCTGAGCTCGCCGAGGCAGAGACGGACGAAGGAGCGGGAGAGGGGGAGGGGTGGGGTGGTGCGTGTTGGTGCGGGTTCAGATGTGATTGTTGGTGGGGGTTCAAATGCGAATGCGACGGCTGGTGTTGTTGTGAATGTGGGAGTGGAAGAGAGGCCTGATGTTGATGTGGGACAGGAGGAACGGAGGACGAAGAGCCTCCCATCGCACCTCCACCCGCAACAGTCGGCGCGCTCATATTCGGATGTGTCCTCCCCAAACTTCCTCCCTTCATCCCCATCCCCATCCCGTGCTCACTCTCACTCCCCGCCATCCCTCCAACCCCAATACCCCCCACACTCGGACTCCTCCCATGCGCATATCCATACCCACCCCCAAGTCCATCATACACACCGACACCCGCACCCGCTCCCGCTCCATGAAACGCGCTCGGCGGCGCCGCTCCTCCTGCTGTCCTCCCTCCCCACCTCCCCCCCGCCTCACTCTCACTCATCGCCCCATCCCTACTCCCAGCACCCCCACCCCCACCACTACTCGAAATACTCCCCCAAGCCCTCCCCATCCTCTCCACCGCCTTCTTCCCGAACCCTCCCAGCCCCAACCCGCCCACAATACCTCCCGCCCCAATCGCCCCAGATCCCGAACCGAGGAACGTCGTTTGTCTGAAGGAAGAAGGGACTGCGATGGCGTTGGCGTTGGGCGCGATGGGGCGACGGCGGGGTTGGGAGGATGTGTTGATTGAGTTGTGGCTCAGGCTCGGATTGTTGTTGTGGCTCAGGCTCGGGTTGTTGTTGTTACTGTTACTGTGGGTCGATGTCGAAGGTGGAGAACTAGGCGTATACGGCAACGGCCTCTCCATCCTATCCAACCTCTCCAACCGCTCAGACCTCTCCATCGCCCTCGGCGCAAACTCATACTCCTCGCTCGACTGCGACAGAGCGCCCGAATATGCAGAATGTATAGAATGCGCGGAATGGATCGAGTTGTTCGAGATGGAGTGGGCGGCGATAGAGTTGTTCGAGGCGGAATGTGTGTGTGCATGTCCATGTCCCGTTATCGAGCCCGAATGACCATGCCCAGAAACCGAGCCCGAATGCGAATGTGACCCACTCCCCGTTCCCAACGACGAAGAAAGCTCAGGCGCAGGCGAATGAATACCCTGCAACCTAATCCTCGCTCCCCCTCCCACACCCAATCCCGACGAATGTGACGGCGACGGCGACACGACACCTCCCCCTCCGCCTCCCCCTCCTACCGCACGATAACTCACCGGCGGCGGCGAGACCGACCTCTCTGATGCCGACGTAGACGTAGAAGTGGACGTCGAAGCTGATCCAGCTCCAGCTCCTCCTCCTCCTCCTGCAACAGCGACAGGAAGCCGTATCGAATGTCTCTTCTCTTTCTTTCCCGTCTTGCGCACCGAAACGGGCACAGAAGCCAAACTCGACGAACTCGAGCTATCCATGTCCATGTCCATGTCCACGCCTCCGTCCTCTTCATCCTCATCCTCCGACTCCGACTCCGACTCCGTTCCCGATCCCGACGCAGACGCCGACGCACTTCCCGATGCTTGCCCCCCGTGGTCTCCGTGTCCGCCGTAGGAGTACGCATACCCACCCCCCTCATCCCCATCTTCCTCCTCCGGCATAACATACTCCGCATCCGTAATCAACGCGCTCAACCTCTGATTCTTCCCTCTCTCCCTCTCCTCCCTGCCCTCCCTACCACCCTGTCCATGTCCAGCAGGAACCACAGTATAAGTCGACTGCAGACTCTCGGCCAGACTCACCGGTCTTGGCGTCCGACTCCCGCTTCCTGTCCCTCCTCCTCCATTCCCTCCTCCACCTCCACCTCCACTTCCACTCCCTGTCCCTCCTCCACTTCCGTACCCAGTTCCAGAGCCATACCCATAGCCAGAGCCGGGACGAAGCGTATTGTGCGATGTAGTCGTCGCATCCGAACGACGGCGATCTTCTTTTAACTTTTCGTCTTCCGCGTTTCGGGGGTGGGGGCGGGGGCGGAGGGGTCCGATGGGTGCGGGGGATGGGGTAGGTGACGGCGAGGGTGAGGGGGACGGGGAGGGTGATGGGGAGGGTGCGGACGAAAATGGTTGTGGTAAGGGTGAGGCGGGAGATGGAGAGGATGCGGGTACGGATGTGGTAGTGGTGGTAGTGTGTCCAGACGCAGACGCAGATGAAGACGCAGATGAAGGATCGCCACCACTGGGCAAAATCGGAGATGTGTTCCCGGTCATATACTCGATCGCAGCGGATATACTAGGTGAATTGACCATGACCGATCCACGCTGTGGCGGGGCGTTCAACACCTGAGGCTCGTCGTCCTCCCCTCTATCCTCCTCCTGCTTACGGTCCTTTCCCTCCTGGTCGTGCTGTTTACGGTCTTGATCTTCCCTTTCTTGGTCCTGGCGTTGGCGCTGGTGCTGATGCTGATCCTTCGTGGGTGACTTGGAGGGTACGGGCGGTGGAGGGGGCGACATCGGTACAGGCGACGACGAGGATAAAGCCGAATGAGCATGACTATGATTCGACGAAATACGCCCGAGGCCAAGTCCGTGTCCAAGTCCGATACCGAAAATCTCATTGCGCTCTTTATCCTGACTAGGCCCCCTATCGCTCCCCGAGCGTCTCGAGCGGAAAGAATGCACGGACGGCGAGGAAGGCGGTTTGTTGACGAGTCCATGACCGTGAGCCGAACTGGAAGTGGAAGTAAAAGGTTTCTCCTTTGCCGGGAGGGGGAGTGGGAGTGGGAAGGACGAAGGGCCTGGGGAGTGTGTTTGTGTGTTCGGATGAGAGGAGTCTTCGGTCTTCTTGCGACGGCCTGCGAAGACGCGGCGGAGGCGGGAGCCGACGGCGGATGATGAGGTGGGTTGTTTGGCTGCTGCTGCTGATGAGGACGATGATGACGATGGAGTCTGTCCCATCGCCTGAGCCTGAGCCTGGGTTTGGGTTTGGGATGGAGTGTGCTGATGATGATGATGATGGGGTTGTTGTGTGTATGCCTGAGACGGTTGAGACTGTAGCGACGATGATCTGGAGGCGGGTAGAATAGGCCTGTGGCGCTGGCTGTTTGTTATTGTGGCGTGTGGCAGCGGCGGAGAAGTCGAAAGAGAAGAGCCGTCCGAGGGTAAGATGTCTGACTGGGAAGAGTTCGAGGGCGGAGCGGGGAGGAGGACGGAGGAGGAGGGAGAGGAGGAGAAGGAGTCGAAAGAGGCCTGGGACATCGAGGCAGCGGTGTTTGCGCCGAGGCGAGGGGCGTGCATCAGGCGCAGCGCTAAGCACGGCCCAGCGTACTTCTTCTATAGATATCCTCTTTGCCCGAATCGATTATCGCTGAGAAACAAACTCTGCAGGCTGCAACACGCCAGTTAGCTCACAGTCGTCGAAGCCAGCAGCCCTGCGATCAACACACGCACCTTGCGCGCTCTAGCGTTGCATCGAGCAGACGGCCGGAAACCTCGCGTTGGCGGCGTTGGGGATGATGATGGTGGTGGTTAGAAGAAGAGATAAGGAGGCGCAGGGCCGCTATCGACGGCGACGACGACGACGGGGCGACGACAACGAGGGCACGGGGCGTGGCAATCACGAAAGAAGCTCAACCTAAATTGGTCCGCGCATGCCCTCCGCAGCCACCGTCCCGGGTCCCCCCTTTCTGCGGACTGTGGCGACTGTGCTCGTTCTACATTTACTGTACTATGGCGTATGGGTACAGCTTCTGCCTCCGCTCGTCTTTCTACGTCTAATCGTTAATGAGCTCGGATCCGGAGTTGTCGGGATGGTGAAAGGGAACGTAGTCCAAAATTCCAAACAACGGGTGCCACAGCGGATGTAAAAATATATCGGGGCTGTCACTGCGTCTTTTGCTCTGTAGGACTGTGCGCTCTACGCTAGGTCTACGAGGAGTGGAGCAGGAGTAGCACGCAAGGTAGCGCAACTTGTCTACCTTTGTTCGACGTCCATCTTTCGACGCGTAGCCATGCTGCACAGTCGGTGCTATCAACAGTAGAACTGCTGTGTCACCGACTGTCTACGCCTCTTAAGTATCCACATCACGACTTGCAAACTCTGTGTAGCACTGTCTGGCCACCCCGGGTAGGAAGGCCATGGTTGTGCTCACGAATTGATCCCGATCTATCTTGAGAACACGTATTCGGGACCTATTTAGATCATTCAGACTCGCATGCTTTGATCATGTAGATAAGATTGCTGTGGTAGTAATAAAATGATCTGACACCCTGACACAGCCATATCTACAGACAATGAGACGGATATAACTGGAGTAAATGGCGCTACATGGCCACTGGCAGGCAGGAAAACCCTGCAGGCTTGTGCAAGCGAGCTAGAAGGCACAGGCACACTTGTTCACTTGTTCTCCATATTCTTCGGAAAGCCCAATATTTGTCTCGAACAAGAAGACAAATAAAATGAGCCGGGGCACGTGTCTCCAACATCTTTGAGCTTCAATATGCAAAACATGCCGCATATTGCGGAAGGAGTAGCCAGGCAACAACCGTTCAGATAGCGGTACAAGGTGGGGTGTGCCTAGAGAAGAGAGAATATAAAATGCTCAGGTCAGTTTGCAGAAGGCCGCCACTGGTAGATCACCTCGAACGACCATGACCGACTCGACTAGTTATACTGGCATACCTCTGTCTGGATCGGACAACTATACCGCACTATCCGGCAGTGAGGAGACTTATTCCATGCCAACCGGCACTCAATATGACACCTCTGGCACCTCCCAACAAGCCGCCCAGCTAGCAAACCATCATGTCCGTTGATTACTGATAACCTATCCTCTGTCAATGCCCAAACTGACGACATAACGTAGGGTACTGGAATCGTACCTCAAAACTACGGTTTTGGTCAGTACATGCTGACGCCTCAGTCAAATACAGGCCAGATGCACCAGGCAGTACATCATGTGCGTGTTCTTCCGATCACCTTCACAAAATATCTCAGCCGCTCATTTTTGAGTTACTTCTGAATAGAACGGCATGGCGGGATACGCACCTATGCAGGAAGGTTATACGAACTGGAATCTACCTCCATCAAACCAGATAATTCCACCCGCTCAGAACTTCCTTCCGCCTCTCGGCCAGACCCTCATCTCAACAACGGAACTTACACGGTTGCAGGACAATTTCTCGAGCACGATGGAGAAGGTGAACGTGGCGATCAATAGGCTAGAGAAGTTGGAGGCCGATGTAATCGCACTGAAGCAGAAGGATTCGGAAGTTGGTAAGGCTCGGAAGGGGAAAAAGAGTGGAGAGGGCGATGCAGACGGACCTCGACCTTCGACAGAGGCAGAGGTTAGTACAAAAGTCATACTCGATCATTGATATATTCTTACCGCTGAACGTTCAGAATTTTGTACAAGCCAAGTTTCAGTCTGCTGTCGGTATCAGCAACCCTGTGGGCAGAGGTAAGAAGTGGGCCATACCACCACCTCTTGAAGCGGACGACGCACCACGCATGAACGCAACGGGTACCACTCGTCTCTGGAATCCGGACTGGAGACAGTCGTCGACTACGTCGACGAACCAGGAGTTCATTGATCATTTAGTGGAGTTGCTTCTGTCGGAGGAAGAACATAAGGATGAGGATAAGGTCAGTCGTTTCCACTCAGTATCCTAGATATCATTGCTGACGAACCATCAGCGTTTACTTTCGAACTTGCCATCAGGAAAGTGTAAGAAGATGGTGACCACCTACTTCAACAACACCGCACGGCGTTGGAAGAGTGAGAACTTTGAGGCGAGTGGTGAGAAGGCGAAGGCAAATGAAGCACGTACTCGTCGTCAACTCCGTAAGAAGCGGGTTCGTCCATTCAGAACGCTTCTTTGACTTCTCTATCTGACGTCTGTGGCATCTGCATCGTATAGGCTGCTACAAAAATGCGTCAGGGAGCCCAAGTTCTTGCGGAGAAGCTGGGTGATACCGCGTGTGTTGGCATTGACGAACTTATACATACGGAGTGGATGGACTCACAGCATAGTACATCCGGTGAAGCTAATGACGAGGAGTGGGAGAATCGCAGGGTGGCAATGGGCGGAGGGGCAAATCAGAAGGGTATAGAATTGCGACAAAAGGAATGGGTCTCGCCTTGGGTGTGTATGCTCTAATTCACCTTCCTCGTCTACCTCGTTCTGACATGGCCAAAAGTTACGGAAGCTATGGGGATACATGCTTTCCGTTGCCCGTGAGGCAGATGAACAAGCAAAAGCTAGACCAGCAAGCAATCAGGAGCTCATGAGATTTCGTGGGCCTTCTGCTAATAGTAACACAAGTGCACCACCGATGGCGACGAACCTCAAGCCTTGCCGTAACTGTGTTCGCGACTCCTGGGCAGAAGCTCATCCCCACCACGTCTTCCCCAGCGCTAACACGACACATACAGCGATGCAGATAGATGTCGCGATGGCCGTTCTTGATCCTCGGTATGTGGCATACTATGAGTGTGATGCGGATGATGAGGGTGAAGTAATGTAGGCTAGGCAGAGGATGCGGGTACTTAGAAGGTGTTAATGACCAAAATAGATATACTGCAACGATCTCACCAGTCTTAGCAGCGTCGCCCTTTCTGTGAATGAAAATTGTTAGATGTAGTAACGGACTGTGCTACGAACACAAAATGACATACCGTCCTGAGTACATGTGGGGGTGGGGATGGGGTGGCGGGGAAAAAGATGAAGACAGGATGTTGAGAAAGAGAAGAGACAGGCGAAAATCCGGAGGTAAAGAAGGATGGAGTGAACGTTTCAGTCCACACAGATTGTCTGTCATGGTCTCATATATAGAGAGCACTGATACGTAGCATTCCTAGGCTGCAGCTGAAACCCATTATGGGCTGGCAACTAGAAAAATAGAGACAGAGATTGGTTTTGAGTATGTATCGGCCTACTTACACAGCACGGAACGAAGGAAGAGTAGGTAGGACATAGATACCGTGTACTTGATGTGGCGCGACATGTACACTGACTTGACAGGGTTGGTTCTCAACTAGGGAGCGCTGCCTTCGTCAGCTGGCAACCTTGCTTGATGGGTTGACCGCTGCCTTACGCAACTCATCCCCATTTTTTCTTTGACAAAGACTTCAAGTTCACGGTGTAACGGTGATTATTCGTTTCATAACCATGGCATGTATGTACTCACACTCGCGACCCCTGTTCGTTCAGAATTTCCCGCCGCACTTCTTCTCCGGCGCCTGGCTCATACTATATCGTACTTCTACGTCATTCCCGTTTCTACCACATCTCACTCCATGTTTCACGGTTGTACATAGTAGCCTCCTGGCACTGTGTTGCTATCATCTGCGACTTCATCCGACATTGCACCTTCAAATTGAGTTCAAGATTGCCAGCATGAATGCACCTCGGAACTAATGGAGAGGTTCACTCTGCATCATAAAAAAACACTCACGAAAATTACTATAGCTTTGTTCACAGATAATAGTGCGTGCAATCGGGGAGTGAATTTGGGAGAGAACTTCCACTTGGCAATGAACCCGGGAGTGAACCGCCTGAAACGCTGGAGAACAACAATGAACATGCACTTTGTTAAGCCCAGTCCATTGCTTAAGTAGCTAACATGGATGGGTGCAAAGTAGAGCCAACACCAATCACGATGGGCCGTAGTAGCTCTTAGTACGTTCGTACACAGGAACGGCGAAGTAATCGTGGCAAAACTCAGTCTTAGCAAACCGAAACGGACTAAGTACAAGGGGAGCGCAGTCTCCGCTAGCTTTCAACCTTGATGGGATTGCAGCTCCGCTACGAAATGCACACAACAAAAGTGTAGCCGGGGAGTGACCTACTTCAAGGAAGAGAGATCGCGTGGGAGAGCGATGTTGGAGAAAGTGAACCTGGAGTGGGGTGGTGCCCAGAGTAACAACGGCTACAAATTGTTGTAGTGGGACTACGCCACCATATTTGGCTTTGTTTGTTTTTGGCAACCTTGGCGGCTTCCGGGGGTGGGAAGGACCTAGCAAGCAAGGTAATTGCATATACAATTTTGTTCTGTTTTGTTTGAGTATCGGGTACGGGGGTAAGAATGACCGTCTCGAAGCAAGGGGATACTGTCTATATATGTCTAGAGCACTGAGTGCTGCGATGCCCGGTTCTATCTGTCACTACGCTCCCCTTTCTCCACATCTACACATTCAAGACCATCCTTCTTCTCCCCCGAATTTTCGCCCGTCCCATCTCTCACATCCACATTCACTTCCTCTCCCCCATCCTTCTCTTTCTCATTCTCTTTCCCAACCTCCTTCCCCTCACCCTCCTTCCCTTTCCTCCCCCACACCCGTCCCCACCCCCACCCCCTCCCCTCAAACCCCGGCACCCTCTCCCCCCCAATCCCCACCCCCAAAACCCAACACCCCCCACAACCCCCACATAAAACCTCCACACATCTCTCAACGCACCCGCATACGCCCTTCTTATCCCCTCCCTCAGTTCCGGGTCCAAATCCGCAGGCAGGTCGAGGGAGGCGGCGGAGTGAGATATGGAGGTGCGGAGGGAGGGGGGCGTGCTGGCGGGGAGGGAGGAGAGGAGGATGTTGTTGAGGAGGGAGGAGGAGATTGCGAGGCCGAAGCTATGTGGTGGGTTATTAGAATGATGATTGAACTGAACTTTGAAGACTGTGTCTCTGTTAAGAGGAAGGGAAACTCACGCGCCACCTAACGTCCTCGCAAAATTTCGCATCCCCGTCACGACTGCCCGATCGATCGCTGGCGCTGCTGCCTGTGCGGCCACCAGAGCTGTAAATCAATGTGCGCAGAGGATTCAGTAACGATTTGAGAACGCGAAAATACCAGTAGGAACAGGTAGTAATCCAGAATTGAAGACGCGGAAATAATCAACTTGAAAGCAAGCTCAATAACAGAGTTCGTTATCCTGGCGTCAACGCCACTCTCCCCATGCTCTTTAGTATATTCGTTCTCGTCTCTGCGTCTCCTCTCGTTGCGCCGCAACGAGGCGCCACGATCGCATCTGAAACGAAACCAACCGCCGCGCAGAAATGATTCCAGTAGGGAACCGAGCGCTGAGCCGTTATTGAACATTCATCATTCCTTGCATCTTCACCGCAAGCCACAAGTAGACCTCCAAAACCCACAGCAAGCATCCTTCATATCGTCTAATATTAATATCCGCTGCCAGTGCGCCACGTCGTCTAGCGCTAGCTTACGCCGCATATGCACGAAGAGCGGAGCAGGACAAGTCCAACGACGGCATTATACCTGCACTACTACTACTAGTAGCACCTAACTGGAGTTATGTAGTAACCGAGACGAGACTTCAAGATGCTCAGGCGGGCAGAAGATTAGGACTGGCCATGGTCAATCGTGACGAGCTCCTACATGCCCGCGTTACGAACCAGGGGGCGTTCTTGGATCTCCATCCCGTCGACTTATTGACGAAGAGTTGGACACGCGGGTATTCCCACAGGAATACATGAAGCGGGACGCAGGATGCAGACACTGGCATGTCCGCGTCCGGATTTGGAGGCACAAGACACCAGACGAAAGAGAGAGAAAAGAATGACTAGAACCAAGCAAAACGGAAGAACTCACTAGTCTGTAACGTCGCCCCGACGCCTATACCACAAACGACGAGATACCCTACGATCTTCGCTCGTTTATCGCCCACGCCTCCGCTCCCGTCGCCCGTGCCTGTCATATCCAACCAAATGAAAAAGGTCATCAACACCACCACCTCATCTCGCCATTTCATGCACAACATTGAACATTGAACGAAAACGCTTGAACCAGAAACAACGCACCATAACTCCCATCAAACAAACTGATCAACCCCTGCCCGATCAACCACACCGAAAACCCAAAGACGATCTGCGGCTTCATCTGCCCCGTGCGCATCGTGATTTGGCCCATGGCGACGGAGGCGAAGGTCTGGACGAGGAGGAGCGAGAGGAGGTAGCATGCGGAGAGGATGGTCGACATTTGGAGGAGGGATTGGAAGTAGATCGGGAGGCTGCAAGGAAGGAGAGAGCATTTGTGCGGGTTGAGGGAGAGAAATGTTGTTGAGAGGCTTACAAGAAGAGGTTGCCGTAGTAGACCATCCTGTATGAGAAGAAATAAGCGTGGCTGAAATGTGGATCAATGAGCGAGGTACTCACCCAACTCCGACCGTCTGCACGATGATACACCCCACCGTTCTAATCTTAAACAACCTCACTATCCAAACCAAACCCAAAGTCAACCTCTCCTTCTTCACAACCTCGACTCGAGAAAAATATAATACTCACGCGGCAAAACAGGCAATCTCGCAACCTTCCACTCCACTAGCACAAAAGCCACCCACATCACCCCTCCCACCACCAACATACTAATAACCAACGCCGAATCCCACGCGTACGTCGCGCCGCCAGCGCTGATCGGCACCAGCACAAGGATATTCGCGCCGAGAGAGAGGAGCGAGCCGAGAAAGTCGATCTTTGCGAGTTTGGAGCGGATGTTGCCGCGCACTTTCACGAGCGGGATGAAGAAGTGGATGAGGGTTATGCAGAGGAGTGTCAGGGGTGGTGTGCACCTGATTGAAAACGTGCGGAGTTATTGACGGTGTGGGTGGATGGTTGAGCTTGAGCTTGAGCTTCGGAGGAAGGGGGTAGGTACTGAGTCGAACGCACCAGAATGTCCATCGCCAGGTAACTTTTTGCGAGAAGACGGCACCGACGAAGGGGCCCTATCCCGAAAAAATGTGAGTTTTGTAATTTTGAGTATATGGCGATTCGCAACGTCAGACGTACCACAGCTGAACCGAGAGCTACAGCACACGCGTTGAAACCCTGCCACTTTCCTCGTTCGCGTAGGGTAGTCTGACATTGCATCGCACCAACCAGTCCCTGTCATCACCTATTCCTGAGTTACAGCATTCAACGTCAGGATACTCACCACATCGGACATAATGATCATCGCCATATTATTGATACCTGTTCAGTCAATCGCGTTGACCGTCTGGATTCTCGGGAGAGACATGGACCAGAGAGCGAGGATAAAGTACCCACCTCCCCCGCCTATACCCGCAACCGCTCTGAACACATAGAGTTGCACTGGAGTCTGTGCGAATCCACATAGCAGATCGCCGATGGCGAAGATGATGAGGGCGCCGATGAGGAGTGCTTTCCGACTTGTGGAGGTGAATACGGATGTAAGTTTCTATGTCATTTTGACTGTAGCAAGGTAGAGAGGGAAAAGTGATGATATAATGCTCACCCAAAGATATCAGAAAGTCTTCCGTAGATAAGTTGACAGCTCGTACTGCAAGTCCAGAGGCGACACGCCACAGTCAGTCGACGCCACTTATTCCATTGCCAAGCCGCCTTCACTTCCTCCACCTCGCCCGTCTATCCAAGAGACATCGCGACCCGAACGGCATCGAAATGATTCACGGGTAGTAGAAGGAACAAAACGAAGACAAAATGGAGTATAGAAGAAACGCACTTCGCCACCAAATAACTTGTCCCAACCCAACTAATCGACTGTCCCGCACCAAGCTCCTTCGCAATCATCGGCGCCGCCGTCGCTACGCTCGTACTGTCCAAGAAACTCAAGAACAGACTAAGGCCAAGTCCGCAGAAGATGATGGACTTGGTGAGCGTGGAGAGTTCCGTCGAGGATTGGTCTTGGAGGACTACTTTCTTTTTCTTGAATCTGTATTTACTCGTGCTGGGATTGACGGATTCTATACCGGGTACAAGACCAGATTTAGCGGCATCTGGAGGGGAGTTGGAAGGCGTGACGGTTCTAGTCGTGCTCGTAGAGGTGTAGTGTGCGTTCGAAGGAGCGTCAGGGACTCCTTCGAGACGAGGATCGGGGTCGTCTGCCATCCTCAGCAGTCGTCAGGATCCCAGAACAGAGCGTGAACAAGTCGTGAATTTTCGTAGAGCACAGAGTAGCCCGAGCTGTCTTCCCTAGGCCTCCCAGTCGCCTTTGGTAAGACGAAAATACCGTCGAAGTCGAAGCAAGTGAAAGGCGAGGAGAGCGTTGGGGTCCACGTACGTATAACATCCCGCTCATGCCCATGATACCCATAGCCAATATCATATGTTCTATTTGCTAAAAACAAAACGAAGAACGGTTCGTACAACGTCGTGGTCGGCGTGTGGAACAAGTTTTGCCTTGCTGGCCTTTCGTATCTTCGCGCCGATGGAAGGGGCTCGGTCCATGTTGGTTTCGGATATATCGGCAGTTATAAATAAGTTGTAGCCAATCAGAGTGAGGGCCACAATATCTTTTGTTCTCGTGCCACAGCATCCCTTAAAGGTGTCACTGTCAGTCGAGATTCCTCCGACCACGTCTCCTCGATCCATCACAATGAAGCGAGCCAGTCCGACTTCATGCGCGGGGCAATGAGGAATCTGTCGCCTCAGACTCCGTTCTTTCTCGGCTACATTCGTCCTAGACTGCGAGTTGTTCAGTGGCATTTGCTTTCATGAATCGTCTCGAGGGACTCGGAGACAGTACTCCCCAGCAAGAGGAAAGTGGTCTAGATGGATACGGGTCGTAGAGACGTCGAACCGAGTCATGTTCATCATCTTGATGTCGAAGGCAGCTCCCGCAGGCTCTGGACGATGGCTCAAATTTTTCATTATGGCAACTGCCGAGTCGCTTTGGGATATTTTGCAATCCTGCGCTCGCCTTCGGTGGCAGAACTACTTACTACTTCTCTTAAAGCATGTAAGTACGTGCGACACGTATGGTATACGAGCGAGCTAGAATATTCATTGGCTCAATATTTTGCTGGGCTGATTCCTAATAGGAGCGATCGCGGGTAAAACCGGGTGTGTCACAACCACGGAGTCCCCTATTGAGTCGCTGGTTAAATTCCTTCCATCGTGGTCGACGACTTTGCGACGACTGTGTCTAATACGACCCACGGCGCAACACCATGGAAAACTCCGACTCTTCCAGTAACCACGAATTCTTCGCCCTCGCATCCGATGCAGGTGAGTATCCCAAAGCCCGTCCATCCGTCCTATCTCGATGTTGATGTCTCGCCTACTCTTTCTTCCAGTCGTCGAAAACGGTTGGATATGGTCGGACGAGGACAAGGCCCAATGGCAGCCAGGACCTTCCTCGGTACAAGAGTTCTACGCAAAGTGGCGTGGCGCTACTCTTCCCGACCATACTTCGCTTCCCTACGAGATAGAAGTCGGGTTACACGAAGACGGCACACCCCTCCTCCCATTCCATGCACACGACACGGCGGAAACTCGAATTTTGATCACGAAGACGTACGAAGATATATTCCACCGCTTGTTGGACCTTCGTCGAGTGGGCAAGAGTTCCAGGGGCGCCGTGATCACTGGCCAGCCGGGCACTGGTACGTTCAAAGGATACCAGATCCCCCGTATGTGAATGTGACGACGACTGACTAAATCACATCCCTCTAGGAAAATCCACTTTCCTCAAATACATGCTCATACGACTCCTCTCAACCAGTCAAGTGGTACTCCTATGCAACACCACCATCATCCATCTCTTCTTCGACGGTCACGTCTACTCTCGCCCTGCCTCATACGGCTTCCACTACCTCCCTAAACTTCCAGGGTTCGATAATCTGGCCCCTTGGGCATTAATCGACGTGGACTTTCAAGATGTCGGGGCACCGTTGGATAATGATTCAGATGTCTGGCCGATTCAGGTTTCCGATCCGAATCCGATACGATGGAAATCCTGGCTCGAGCGTTTTGGTGGTGTCGAGTGGGGAATGCCTCTGTGGAACTTCGAGGACCTTCTCCATGGGTGCGTAGTCTGGTCCCTTCGTTATATTCCGTTCGCACTACATACGTCATTGATTCCAACTGAGTATTGAATGACCTCCATCTCTGTCATAGTCTTCGTCTGCAAGTTGGCTACGCTGAATATCGCAACAGTCTGTCCGAGGCTCTCTCTGCGAAATCAACACACCGGCCCGATTCTCAAGACGTCGCGATCGCGGATGCCCTCGAAGTCCTCAAGAGAGAGAAGGATTTGAATCTCGACGACATGCGCGATGACGTGGACACCGACACGGTCGTCGAATCAACCGAGAAGGACGAGGTGGACGACGCACTTGAGGTCCTAGTGGGCAATGCCACCGAAGAGGTCGGTTTTGCCCCCCGCGATGTCTACGGTTTAATCTTCGCGTCCAGACGGATGAAGAACGACCGCGTCAGGGCGCTCAAAACATTCGACTACAGCGCCTTGGAATCACTCAGCAAGACATTCCAGAACACGCGGGCTTTGACTTATGGGCAGTCACTCGTCGTCGCGGTGTCGCCGTACCAGAGAGGGTTATTTGATGATGACGGTTGGAAGATGGACTTCAAGTCTATTAGGATTGCGAAGGAGGCGGTGCTTAAGTTGATGGAGAAGGACGATCAGCAGCTTTTGGGGATGTATAGGTCTTTGTGTCACTCTGAGGATACTTAGTGAGCCTAGCGGGATACGTCTTCGAAGAGATCACACATCGCATGCTATCCGGACGCTCGCAGAATATGCACCTTTGACTCCTTCATCATCACCTTCGACCCTCAGTCCCAGACGCCGGTCATTGGGTGGTTTCTCGCTCAGGTATTCGGGACGTACGACTGTGGCCATCGCTCTGGATCTTGTCTGTGTACGCGACGATCAGAGACTTTACTATCGTGCCCTGGATCTCGCCTTCCCCCTAATTCATGCTGATATTCATTCGCACCACGGTTGTTCACATTCAGGAGTGACTGATTGCTTTTTTGTACCCATGCTGTTCCCAAATCGTGAACAGGCGGTCGTAGATGGCCCCGAATTTGTGTTATCTTGTGTGTTGTATGTATGAGTTTTAGTATGTGAATGCGAGCTTTTACTGAAGTTCGGATGCTGAATTGATTTGCATACAAGCGAGAAAGCAGGGCACATGTACATCAGAGCATACTGTCGTCGCGCAGAACGATCCACATCTCTACGTTAGCAATCCTTCCCACCACTGGGCACCACCTATAATACACCACCGCGTTGAAACGAGGTCAGTAAAGTCGTACATACCAAGCTCAGAAAGAAAGAAAAGACGACGGCCAGCCTACCGCAATCAGGATTATGAAAGAGGAAGTAATTTGCCTTGTTCGTCGAGCGCGTCTCTCGGTCCTACTTTCCATGACCAGAATGGACCTGAATAATCAGACGAGAGGTCAACGCTGAGAGTGTGAAGGAGATATGGCGAAATAAAGTTATCTCACCCAAAGGGTCCATGTGTTCGTGCTCAGCGCTGGTCCACATACCCAGGACGCCAGTGGCAGAACCCACTCCTCCGAGTTGAACACCCTCAGACTGCCACTCTCCTTCATCGTCTTCGCGTCTCGTCCGCTGAGTGAGTATAACCAACCACATAATCCACATTATTAGCACCTCTAAGCACCAACATGCTGAAGAGCGAAAGGATGTAGTATGAAACTCACAAGACTCCACCTTACATTCCCGTCCCCAACCATCTCCACCCTTCCCCTGACCCTCAGACCATCCGAAAGCTGGTTCGAGCTTCCCGCGAGCTGTCCGACCACGTTTATTGGCGGTCGATGTGGCCATCTCGAGTTGGGTGGGACGGTGCCGAAGAGAGTTATGCGGAGGGTGAAAGGGATGATGCGCATGACTTCGAAGAGGTCAGGATCGTCGAAACGTCTCGTTATAGGTCGGACCTGTAAGGAAGAGTCGGTGTAAGATAGTTATAGTAGAAACTGGAAAGTCTAGAGTGGACGAACGTTGTTTGCTGGGCGAAGGACATCATGAACGTCAGATTTCAGGCTGTAGTTCGCTTGGGAATGTAGTAAAACTCACCAATCAAGTCACGATAGTCGATCCAACATACACAACGCCTGGAATCATCCAAAAAAACAAAAATCAGCAATCTACCCCGAACACATCCTCAGCCACACCACTGACCTCCACTGACCCTCCACCCCCGCCCAATCCCAGTTCTCATCCTCTTCCCCACTACCTTTCCCCTGACTCATCTCCCTTTCCCTCTCCCGCTCTCTCTCCCTCAACATCCTCTCCACATCCATCCCGGGCGCCGAGCCCATCCTCAACCCATCCAATCCCACCAGTGCTCTCAACGCCTTGACATGTCTCTTCAACAACAAATCTCTCAGATTGCCCTCGACGACCTGTCTCGCCGCGCTCAGCCAGTTCCAGTCGAACTTCAAGTCCATCGCTGATAAGTTCTTCTTCTTCGACGGCTGCCTCCCTGATCCTGGATGGCCATAATCTGCACCATGACTATCGTCTTCGTTACGAGATGATGTGGAGGAAGAGACTTCAGAGTCGCGTTCCATTGGTTCTTCTTCAGCCTCGTCGTCGTGCAACTCGAACATATCCGCTGCGTCGACGTAATCTGGATCTTCGACGTCGTCTTCGTCGATCTCCGCTAGCTCGATTAGCTGAAGCGAATGGGTATGCCCATCTTGTCCTCCACCGTTCTCAACACCTCCGGCGCCACTTCCTTCGCCGCCCTCATCTTGATCGCCATCCGCGCCTCCGCCTTCGTCCCCAGTCCCATCCTCACCTGCGTCTTCGTCCTCATCGTCATCATCCCTACTCTCAATCCAAACATGAGTCCTCCCTTCCAAAGCATCCTCCCCCGCAAACATCGAAGCTCCCGGATCCCTCAAATGAACGAACGGGCCCCATAATCTCTGCGGATGCACATACCGCATATTGTAAACTTTGATGCGCGCCAGGCGGCGGCTTTCTTCGGCTGAGGATATGTGAGGCGAAGACGAATGAGAAGGGGAGGGGTGAGGGTGAGAGGAGGAAGAAGAGGACGCGTTGAATTCGAATTGTGCAGCGAGGGATTCTTCTTCCGGCTCTTCTGGTTCGGGTTCTATCCCGTCGTTCGCAGGAATGTGGGCATGATCCCCATCTTCGTCGACCGAAAGCTCAGGGTCCATGTCCGCATCCGTGTCCGACGAACTCGACCCGCTCGTCTCCCCAGTTTCTTCATAAGTCGCCTCCCCATGAGCCTGCAATATTGCCTCTGTATCCTCCGGCATCGGTGGTATCGTCATAGCGGACCATCCTCCAGCACCAGCACCAGCACCAGCACCAGCGGAGCTCCCAGTTTCGTTTGCGGTAGACGTGTCACGATTCAAAGTCTCTCCCTGGCCCCCATCCCCCTCTCCAAACGCCTCCATCAACCCCGTCTGCGCAACTAACTTCCAGAAGAGTTCATCCTCCGCTCTTGGACGCTCTGCAACCGTTAATCCCACCCCGTCTTCCTTAAATATAGAAAGAGCCCGGGGCCGCATTATCGTTATCGCGTGGCGAATGAGAGGGGCGAGCCAGAGAAGGTTTAGGGAGGGGACGAATGAGGAGGTTGTAGGCGTCATTGTCGTTGCACTGCTAGGTAGAGTGGTGAGGTGGGCGTGAGCAGTGGCGAACGGATGCGATGCTTGTATCGTCTGCGCGACGATGGACATCGAGTGGGGTGGGAAGACGGGGTAGGGCGTTCGGAGGTCTGGGATGGTGGAGGATGTGAAAGAGGAGAGAGAGGAGGGAGAGGGAAGGGGTGCGGACGTGGAGAGTACTGAGAGCAGACATTGTAAAGCAGTTGCTAAGTCGGATGAGGTGGGTGGTAGTGAGGCCGTAGGGGCGGCTGAGTGAGAGGGGGGTGTGGCTGCTTTCGATTTACCCTTGCTTTTGTTATTGGATTTGGATTTGGACGGCGAGGAAGACGAATGACGAGTCGAGAGTGATGATGACCGGAGGGTGGCGCGTCTACCTGTAGCTGGACGACTGGCGTCGTTATCTTCGTCGCCGTTGGTGGTACCAGGTCGATTGAACCTGGCTTCCATCCTGGATGCGTATCTCTTAAGGAACAACCCCGTCCATATCCTACGCTTATACTCCTCTTCCCAAGGAAACTCGTCCACCTTCAAGGCCGTTTTCGAACTCGTCGAAGCTCTGGCCTCGCCTTTCCCTTTCCCCTTCGTACTCCCCCTTTTCTTCCGCTTCTCCTTCTCCATCACACTCTCTTCTCTCTCCTCCTCGGCCCCACACCCCCACTCCCCAACGCTCCACCCCACTCCGCCCCTCGGATCATCCCAACAAGCCAAAAACATCCTCATCCACAAATGACTATGAAGCGGCTGATACACGCATTCGCGTAAGAATCTGCATGTGCGTGCGAGGCTGGAGACAGTGGTGGGATGGCCAGAGAGGGCAGTGTGGACTATTATTTGTTCGATGAGTTCTAGAGGCAGGGAGGGGAGCGATAGGGACGGAGAGGTGAGCTGGGTTGGAGAGACGGGTTGGGTAGATATGGATGGGAGGGCGGAGGACATGGTTGTGGTCTAGAGAATAGAGAAGACGTGTGAGTAAACTGAGCCTATATATAGAAAGAACTGGGAGAGTAAGCACCAAGAGCGAAAATTCAGCTCCCATGAGAGACATAGAAAGCAAGCCATACTGGTACTAGCAAAAACAGGAATATGTACTTGCAGTCACCACACCCGTTCAAGCTGATCTCCCGAGGGATGCAATTGTCTGTAATTGTACCTAGTTGCCTCATTTGCGAGGCTTGAGGTCGGAGGAAATTTCAACAGACAGGGCTCGTGGGTCGTTACCACAGACAGATACTATTGCAAACGCAAAACGAAACCTTGCCGATATAATTTTTGTGTTGGTCTGTCTGACGGACCTCGATAATTGTTGGCCTCGGTGCGAACAGTGAATATCCTCGTATCATCTTTTCGAGCGAGATGATACGATACAAGCACAGCAGAACGCAGAGGAATACCAGCACTATCTTGCGACAGCGATCCCTGTGTTCCACGACGACTGTACGGTGTGATGGCGTCTTTCAATACCCAGTCAATTGCAAAGGGATACTCACGACGAGTAGTAGTAACCCTCAGGAGTGCTAGATCCAGAAGTCCAGTGCTAACTGATGTCTAGGGGGAAATCGTCCAGAGACTCGTCACGGTTAAGCTCCAAGTTGCTCAACGTCTTGGTTGTCTCTGACCTCACGGGACGGAGACGGAGACGATGTGGGGAGCTGACTCTTGCGGTGGGTGCGTTCCGCACAACTCGGGCCACTCCGGGGCCACACTGAGTCTAAAGCCACGTGTTTTTTTTGTTGGTGTCGCCACAGGCTTTTTTTAGTCGCGCTATTGTTCTTCAGTTCTGTCTTCCCTCCACCTCCAACAGCTCAGGTTACAGTTTTACCAGCAGACCTTCTGAGCGACTCACGTTGCTGTAAATTATGCCTCTTGCTTCGTATGCTCCGTTGAACCTGTGCGTGCACAACCTACTAGATGCGAAACGACTTCAACCAGTATCTTGGCCGCAACTCGCGAGAGATACGATTGAAGCGTTGACAACACCTCTGCCACGCTGGCTCAGTATAGTCGGTCATTCTATCTGACATAGTTTTAGCCTATTATTAAATCATAGATTTCTTTAGGGCCCATATCCATTTCTATGTGAATCGTCAAGATCGATACTCGCTGAACTGCAGGGTGCGGCCCCAGGACAATGCTCTGACTCCAATCTGACGCAGGACAGGGAACTTTTCCAGTGTCTCGATACTTTATTGTCTGTGGTCGTTGCGATGCGTGCTGCACACCACTCCTTCCAGGGAGGGCCAAATCCTAGAACTCCTTTGTTCGTCGGACTCGTTCAAAGCGTAATCCTCGCACAGTCGCGTGATTTAATCCTGCGGTAAGCAATGCGTTGTCGCGGTCGTTGTGATTGTCCTGTTTACTCACTTCCTCTCACAGAGAATATCTTGAATTTGTTCTCCCGCGATATCCGTATCTTGACTCAGAGAGTTCGTTATATGAGCTTCTTCCGCGATATTCTCGGGCGACTTTAACTGGGTTCTGTTCCATGGAGACCCGCAAGTGGCCGGAGGAGTCAGAAGAGGTCTCTGAGGACCTGGAGGAGTCATGCGATGTCACAAATGATCTAGAGGAGCCAGAAAATCTCACGAAGGATCTAGAGGAGTCGGACGAGGTCACGGAGGATCTGGACACGATGTCGGTGTCCATTGACCACGACGACGATTTTCACATCTGTGGACCACACTGTCTTTGTCTAGGGTCTGACTTGCCCGCACACACCCCCCTAGACATCTCCGAGGAACACTCAGCCGACTCAGACGACCCAGACAACTTAGACAACTTAGACGGCTTAGACGGCTTAGACGACACTCAGATGTTCCATCACGGTTGCGACAAACACATCTTCATCAATAAAGACTTACAATCAGACGTGGCCTGCGTTTTCGTCATGGCCGAGCAACGTAATATATACCATGCGCTTTCGAGTGCGCTATACCACAGACGTGCCGTCGGAATTCACGAACCTATCATTGGCTTGACCTTCGGAGAACATGGCTCTCGTCTGCATCTCATTCTTGCTTGGCTAGAGAAAGATCTGATTCATTTAGACCAGGCCCTTGTGAGTTTTTCTCAGGCTGCTTTCCTGCCTCTCGCCCTGAGTTTCCTCACCTTTCTAGCCGGTGGTTCACCTTGTGCATGCTCCGTTCGAAGCGGGTGGTACGACCTCGAATGGTGTCTTCGACATGCGCGATCCGATAGCAGCACTCTATCTTGCCCGTGTACTACGCTCTCTGCCCCAGAATCTGCCATGCATAACCTCCCAGGCGATTCACGAGAGCAAATCCTCGCCGATGGACATCGATATGCAGATGGCCCTTTCCTGGCGCGCTGATCAGATCCTCCCCAATATTGAGGCCGCTCCTGTGCACGAAGTAATTTATGCCTGGGTCGAGAGCTTGCCAACTTATAAGTAGGTCCATTCTATCGTTCTTCACTCTTTTGTCCTGTTTATCTCTGTCGCGTACAGTCTTTCCGCCGCTGGAGAAACAAGATATTCGCTGGACTCGCCAGCAAAGGTACGTAGTATCGCAACATGACTCGTGGTACCTAGCTCATGCGTGCTCTTAGGCTAGATCACAAAGCAGAAGTAATGGTTCGAGCGTAGGCAAGGCCAGCAGCAAAGCCCAATCTAACCTGTCGTTAGTCTCCAATACTCTTGATCGTCATCAAGACTAACAATATTCTTCTTCATGTATAGGCCTGCGGATGAGAATATGGCTTCACATCATCTTGGCGCAACATTTGATCCTACACGGTATGTTGCAACATTTTGATCAAGAAAGCTATCGACAAGTGACCGAAACTGGTTGTATTTCAGAGCGATAGCAGCACGTAACAAGAGGACCAGCGCGTTGACTGCCTTTTCTATGTCGGAGTAAGTTCAACGTGATATGCCCTGTGCTCCCCATTCCTGATTTGTATTACTTCTAGATTTGCAGCCATAGCATCATCGCCTGGGCAGGTCGATGCCATGACTTATTGGATACTTAACCGTACCGGCATGCGAGAGATGAAAGCTTTGCCCGAGATGTACGAGATCCTAAAGAAGGAGCGGGGGACCTACGTTGAGTACTGCAAGACCTACGATGCACTTGTGGCCCTCAGCTGGCCGTTCGCATGGAAGACTATTGTATGTACCTCTACACCTACGCGCTGTCAGCACCTACTAAATCATAGTGAAGAACGACCTCCCACCGGTGGATCCAGATCTTGAATGGCTGCGTCAGTTGCTATGGGACATGTATGAAGCTCGCGTGCGCTGCCCCGACGGGCGCTTGCCCATAGAAGAGCTAAAAGATCCTGCCTTGGTGCAACTCGTGACTGACCGATTTCAAGACCTTTTGCGAGTAGTTAGAGATGCACTTGGCATGAAACGAGATGCACCCGATGTCAAGATTCCAGAGGCCACATACCGAAGTGGTTTTGACCGCCTGATTAGGTTGTTCTTTGACGGTGCAGGGGAGGCTGCTGCAAAACGACTGTCCATGTGCGTTTTTTCGAGCTCAGTTTTTTTAATCACATTTTATCCTACTCTAATATGCTTGCACCAGCCTGGAGTCCAGGATTTCAATGCCACGAAATGATCTGGCTGATGCGGTAATGAGCAAGCATACAGGAGGCATGAAGGCAGTCAGGCCCGTCATACGCCTGTGGGGGGACACCTCAACGAGCGCCATTGTACAGCATCAGCAGCATCTCAGAGAGGATGCCCGTATCATTCAGGATCTCGTTGATCAAGGTTTACAGCCCGAGCTTATGGCAGCGAATGCGCGGGCTGCCCGCAACCTTCTCAACAGAACCGTAGAAAGCGTGGTAGACTCAAATGATCCAGATGAAGTCCTGAAACGGGCTTTGCGGGAGCCGCTGACCGGCACAGTCGATAACCTAGGTCTCGTCCAGATCAAGGATTTTTTTGCAGTGGACAAGCCTCTACCAGCGCAAGACATAAACGACTTCGCGCTCTTCGATATCTCCGAGAAGAAATACGATGATTTTGCTTCCCAGAGCGAGGCTATAGAGAAGCTGCAGCCTGTCCCTCCGAATCCTTTGACTCGTCCCAATGACTCTCGTGATCCATTTATGACGGCTCGTCACGATTACCTGGTTGATTTGGCCGACCCGCCACAACAACTGACTCCAGGCTCGCAGATTTGTTTGTTCCCCGCCGTTATTCTGTCGTCTTCATGATTATTGATGGTCCGTGTTCTTTTTGCTATAGCTCCACTACTTAGTGTTCAACCCTCCAGCACAGCACAACCTAGAAACCAAAGTGAGTATACGTCCCCGCTTCTTTTCGTTCGATGCTTGTCTCATCAAATGTTGCCAGTGACTGAGCAAGAAGAGTTCCTAAATCTGTCCCAAGACTTTTTCCTTCCGATCTTTGTGGCGGGATACAAAAAGCAGGAGGACCAAGTTTTCATCCAAGGTCCGAACAAAGTGCGAAGCTACCTCATTGCGGCTCTCAAGTTCCTAGCAGCCTGTGATATAACGGAATTCTTGGTGTTTAGCCTGTGTACGGAGGGCACCGTGGGAGTGATACAGGCTGGTTGGAAGGAGAGTGTTCCAATCCCAGTATGCATTTTCCGACTCGCAGTTCTCGCCTAGGCTCATAGAATGATTAGAAAGGTGACCCCACCGAGGGCGGAATTCATCTCCTTGACCGAAACTGTCAGGCCTTCGACATCTCCAACGTCCTTGGCGCTTTCAACTTCGCCGTATTCCTGGCTAAACTCGCGCACAACCACGTCCCTAGACTTCTCGAAAGATTCACAGAAGGCAAGCAGCGTGAGGTGCGCAGGAGACTGCGCGAGCAGAAAGACAAGACGAAATGGAAGTACGCTGACCAGATGCAAGAGCCTGCGTTCAAGACTGCGAGAGAGGAGGCCATCGCGGCCGACAAGAAACGTCGCGAGCAGGAGATGGAGACCCGGTAGGAAGCACCCACGAACTACTTATACGGGAAGCTGATGGTCGGATTGTCGGCCTGTGTTATTGTCGTATTTTCGCTGTCGCTCTCTTTCCGATCGCTCTGATATTCAAGTTGTGTCGTCGCAAGTTGTTATCCATTGTTGTCGAATTGGCTATCCCTCTGTATCGTCGATCACTATTGCACTTTTACTGCACTGTCACACCATTTATCTTTGTTTCTGTGGGACTACTTACCGGAATACTCAACGATCCTTACTGTAACGTCTGGAAAGTAACTCTGATTCGAGGTCGGACGTCGTGGTGCCACAGTGACAAACTCGGACAGAGATGTTGGTGGCGCAGGCTCAGATAAGATAAGATAAGATCAATCATCTCCCCTATACATATCCAAGATCCGTCCCAGATCGAGATTAATTCGCCCCTCTCCAACCCCTCTCACCGCCATCTCGACATCGTCTCCTCTCATCGACATCCGCATCGACAGGTAACCGATTCAGGTATGTCTTTCATGGCATTGATCACTAGTATGGATGAGAATCAAATTGTTGACAAATGTGTGTGCGATCTATAGGACTTGTTACGGTGATCATCAGGACATCACTAGCATCGCCTCCGAACCCGAGTACATACCCCAGGATAATCGAGTACTTAGGAGATCTTCTGACTGCCGTATCGCGTGGCCAAACATCGCACCCAGAGCTCATAACATAGCCAGCACCAGCACACGACCACACCCTCCATCTCACGATGTGTACGTTCTCCCTCATTCTCCTCCTCTCGCCCTCCTTCCTAACCACCAAAATCTAGCCGCAACCGCAACCACAACCGCCCCACCGCCCACCACAACCTCCGACACCTCCCCGCGCCCGCAACCCCCCAAACGTCAATCCACGCTCGACGAAGCCGCGTTAGCGGCGCTCGAGAAGAAGCTAGGCGAGAGGCCGGAGAAGAGTGAGTTGCAGGAGAGGAATATACTTAAAGGTGCGTATTGTCCTCATGGGTTCAGGGGTATCTGTTATGTGGAGGGCCGAGGAGGGTGGAGGGTGGAGGGAGGATAAAGTTGATGTTGACTTGATTTGGATGGCGGTATAATAGACGATAAAGTCGCACCGGCACTGCAAGCCGCGAAGGAGAAATTGGAGCGGTCTCAGCTCGAGGTACGTACATGCATCTCCGTCAGCCCTCACCTTGAATGTCTGTTTACTGACTCTCAACGCTCATGCGCACGGATGGTGACCTACAGGACAAGCTCGACAACGCGCTCCAGAAACGTCCGAAGCCGGAGGAGCTCGTCAAGGAGGGGATCCTTCAAGGTATGTACAGTGCCGATACCGTTTACCTTCTTCATCTCTGTGGCTAGCATCACTTACGCATTGTTTTGCAGCCGACGAAGCGCCAACCATCTGAACATCCAATTACTGTCAGCCTAAATCTAAGCGCCCCTATCTACCTCAGAGGTCAGGACGGATATTTCGCTCGTCGTATTTATTGACTTTTGAACGGATGATATGAATCTGATGGACAGTCGACTTCTCGTGGTTGGATTTTCAGTTCCCATTCATGGGAAGGAAGGAAGGAAGGAAGGAAGGAAGGAAGGAGTCAAAACGTTGTAGTAGTATCTCGAAATCTGAATCAAGCTGTACCTATACAAAGTGTCTTTCTTTACACCCTTCTGTCCTCTTGTCCTCTCTTGTCTTGCCTTCTATTGTCCAAACAATTCAAAATTAAACCTACACCGAGCAGACTCTACTGGTGCCGCCGTGAGCGTTAACCCTCATGCCTCCACTGATGAACGCTTCTGAATTGAACGTCGTACATATTGTGGCACACTGTATGTAACGACCTGGGCGCCGGCGCCACAAACGCGTCAGGTCTGCTTACTTCAGAATCAGACCTTCAACGAAAACGCAAAGCCGGCGCGACGCCTCACGCTGCCGCCAACAACAATTTCGTGTTCTCTGTTTTCTGTTTCGTGCCCATTCGAATCGGACTGTCCACCACCTTTGCTGCTCCTCTGAACACACAACAACGTTCCCTGCATATTTCATCCATCCATAGTCGTACCCCCCCCCTGAACGAAGAAAAGCATCATCCAACTTTTCGCCCGCCACCGGGACGAACGAAAGGACCGCTTCTTGTTCACAATCCAACCCGACCCAACAGGCGAAACGCAAGAAAAGTATAACAAATCTCGAGCCCATCTAACAACTCCAACTCCGAGCTCGACTCAACCCATCGAACCATCCACAAACCCAAACCCGAACCCGACTCGAAAAACCCACACAAATGCTCACCATCCGACGAATAACGACTCGTTTCCCCTTCCTCCGCACCGTAACCCAACCCCTCCTCCCTCTAACAACCCGTCTCTCCCCCTCCCTCCCCCTCTCCACCTCTTCTTCTTCCTCACCACTCACACACACCCCACGACCCGCCCATCCCTCCTCTCTCCGTCTCTTCCACCCTTCTTCCTCCCGCCTCTCCTCCTCCAATTCCAACTCACCGCCACCCTCACCCGGCAGTGAAGGGGGGGAAGGGGAAGAAGGAGGGAAAGCAGGACAGACATTGACTCAACGTCTCAAGAGCCTAATCAAAGCCTACGGCTGGTACGCCCTCGGCGTCTACATCGTCCTCTCCACCCTCGACTTCTCCCTCGCCTTCGCAGGCGTGAACCTCCTCGGGGCCGAATACGTCTCCGGCGCCGTCGCCAAACTGAAAGAAAACCTCGCAGACCGTTTAGATTTGCCTTCTAGTGCGGCGGGGGCAGGAGAGGGAGGCGGGGCATTGGGGAGGGTGGTGGGGATGATGGGGTGGGGAAGGCCGGAGGAGCCGGGGAGGGAGGATGTGGAGGTTGAGAGTGTGGAGAGGGATTTGGGAGGGGAGAAGGGAGGGAGGGAGGGGTTGTATGCTATGATTGTGGGTACCCTTCATTTCTCCTTGTCTTGTCTATATATCCACACTTCGCCCATTCACTCCCCTATCGACTTACTGACCACCCTACCCCCAACAGGTAATAGCCTACACAGTGCACAAAACCCTCTTCCTCCCCCTCCGCGTCGGCCTCACAGCCTACCTCACACCGCGCCTCGTAGGTTGGCTGCGCACGCGGGGATGGGCGGGCGGCGAGGGCACGCGCAGGGCGGGGAGAGAGATTAGGGAGAGGTTGAAGGAGAGGAGGGAGGAGAGGAGGGGGAGAAGGGGGGATTGAGTGAGTGAGTGAGTGAGTGAGTGAGTGAGTGAGTGGGGAAGGGGGGAGAGGGGAAGGGGAAGGGGGAAAGAGGTAAAGTAATGGGTGATGGGTTATGGATTGTACTAGACGGGCGGGACGGGACACGCGTTCGAATTCCCCCTCGCATATATCGTATCTCTCTCCGGTATACTTAAACTATCGCAATATTTGCATCCCTCTTTGTTCGTGTTCATGTTCGAGTTTGAGTTTGAGCCCGGCATTTATCCACGTATCATCATATCATATCATATCATCGCAAACCACAGCACACCACATCTCATTTCATACTTACATACTCGAATACAAGTAGTGACATACACCTAAAAGCACAGGTTTGGATGAGAATCAGACAGGCTACAGCGTAGGGAGGTATGTATATATGTGGCTCACACATACTCATACTCAACTTACGCCACACACTTCAAGCTTCGAGCTTCAAATCGCGATATTTATCGTTGACCCCACTATCTGAGTCTCCAAAGTGCACGGTCTCCCACCGACCTACCCGCGCCAGACATTACCAAACACCAAACACCAAACGTTAACAATCGAATCACCTCTACTCAAATAATCCCACAAGCACGACCACAAGCACGAAAAACAAAGAACAAAGAACAATACAACACAGTACCGAAACCGAACCCACGGATATCGTCCACTTGTACCACTTGGTTGCATAATTACATGCGTGCATGAAGGAACGATGGATGGGGTAGAGCGTTGGAAAGAGGGAAAGGGAGATGAATGGGGAGGATGGGAAGGATGGAAAGGACAAGGATGGAAGGATGGAGTGAAAGGATAGAACGATAAGCCAAACCGAGAGCATAAGGATAACCCGCCACCCAAAGCAAAAAGAAGAAACACCCTCGTCACCATGAATGAATAAAAGAATGATGGGAGCACCGTGAACGTACGCAGCAACACATCCACGCTAGACTGTCACGACGAACGAGCGAGCAAGGTCTTACATAGGTCTGCATCTACACCGGTGTGGCGGTCAATGCGGCCCTAGCCTTCGCAGCGCAATGCGGACAGAGCCGACAGAAGAGCTCGACCATAGGCCATGTGATCGTAGCCTACAACACCGACACCAACATCGTCAGCACTCGCACGATAGAAATGAGAGAAGAAAGAGAGAAAGGATAAAAAAGGACTCACCAGTCCGCCCTCCCTCGCCTGCGCAAGCGTCGCCGTCGACGTCCCATGCTTCTTATGCGCATAAATCAAGACATCATAAATCTGTGGCAACACCGGAATCCTCAAAAACGCATCGAGCCCCTCCCTCTCCCTCTCCCTCTCCTTCTCCTTCCCCGTCGCCACCGCCGCACTCGTCGCCGCACCCGACGAACCCGACCCCGACCCAGACGCAGAGCCCGCGATCGAAGCGGGCGGAGGCCCCGGATTCGCCGGTGGCTTGACAGACGATGATCCCCCCACCCCAGCCGCCGCCCCAGCCCCATACGCCGACACCCCACTCGCATAGCTGCTCGATATCCTAGCCGGAAACGCCTCCCCATCGACCTCCGCCATAAACTCCGCCCTAAGCCTCTCCTCCCTCTCCCTCCCGACCGCATAATACGCCTCCTTCGGCACCAGCACAAGATTATACTTCCTGCTCCCGCTCCTCGCATGGTGTATCATCGTCCATGCCCTCAAGCTGGGGCTCACCGCGCCCTCGTCGCCTTTGGACACGCATTTCGCGAGCGCGGCGTACGCTTCTGGCGCGAATGCGGAGACTTCGGCGACGTCGGCGGGGAGGTCTTTCAGGAAGTTGAGCAGCGCTTCGTCGTACGCCGCGCGGACGGGCATCTCGAGCGGGTTGATGGTGCGGATGCCTTGGAGGACCGCGCGCGGGAGCGGCGCGAATTTGGAGTGGTACCATGGTTCGATGTGGCGTGCGTGTGGGAGGAGGTTCGCGTCGAAGAAAGAGGGTCGGGAGCCGACGGGGGGCGGATTCGGGTGGTGGTGGTGGCCGTGCTCTCTGTCTCTATCTCTATGCTCCCTGCCGTCTCGGTCCCTGTCTCGGTCCCTGTGGTGCCCGCCGTGCAGGTGTGGAGGGGCACTGCTGGATGAGGAGGGCCCGGCGTGTGGGATGGGGTCGCCCATGGACCAGATGTGTTCGTATTTTGCGCGTTTGTGCGCTTGCTTGCTGCCGCCGTCCGAATCGTCGTCGTCTGAACCGGAGGAGAAGTCGTACATCGTGGAGGGGACTTTGCTGCCCTGTATGCCTTTTGGCGTCATGTGACGTTAGCGCTCCGTCAAAGCGTCAAAGGGGATAAAAGGAATGGATGAAAGGCAAACAAAAGGCGTACCGTTGACGAGGAAGGAGGCCCGGGTGGCGTTGGGGTTACCTGCGTAGCCGTGGTGTCCTGGTGGAGCGTGTGGAAGCGGTTCGGGTTTCAGTCGTTCCTTGTCTGCGGGCAGTTTGTGTCTCTTCTTTGGTGTGTAGTTGCATTCTGCGGTCTTGTCAAGCGTACAGTGGTTGCAAACGGGCAGGTTTCGGTCGCACTGACCGAAACAGCGTTGTCGAAGGATAGACATGAGTGGAGAGCGTGGGCAGGAAATGCGATGGAGTGCGCACCTTCAAGTTGTGATGCCGACATCTATCGCATCGAGGGATGCCACGATGGGCTGGGGTAGGTAACGGTGTATACTTGCAGTCGCGATTGACCCAAGAACAATGATTGCATGTTGGCAGCACCCTGTCACACTACACACGCACACACATCCGCAACACAACAGCAACAATAAAACGCACGCACACACAAAGTCAATCCAGTGTCCAGGGTCACACAACGATTATGGATGAATAAGGCAACTAGGAATCGAACGTACCTTCAAGTTGTTCAACCTGCAATGATCACACCTTGGTTTTCCTCTCCTTCCTTTCCACTGCGACTGGCGCGCCATGTACATTGATGGATTGGGGATACGAATGGTCAGGTTGGATTCGTCGAGGGGTTCATCGCCTAGCGGAGGCGTGCCCATGGGTGATTCGGAGTCCATAGTGTCAGTTTACGTATACGACGAAGTTCCGGTGGACGTTGAAAGGGGGTTGCGAGGAGTTGAGGAAGGGGGGGAATGGGGACAGTGATGGTGTGTGATGTAGATTGTCGAACGAAGCAAGTCCGGAAAGGGAGAAGAAGGAATGATGAATGAGGCTTCGGCGTGTAGCGGGGTCGAACGTGCCACGGGCTCGTGTTACCCACGCAAGGGCGTCGAAAATGCTAGCTCTTCAAGAAACGAAACTTTCCCGCTGTATAACAATCTGAGCCGTCGGATTCTCAAGAAGAAAATATTGGGGTGTCCTGGGGTGACGGTGGCGGACGAGAGCGAGGGAGATGGTGGTCGAGGGGAGAGAAACGCATTCGAGTGGGCGCTCGCTTCCGGGACTAGGTTCATTCTAAGCGTGACGTTACCGTGACACCCTTTTTTCCCAGGTCCTTGCAGCCAATCAGGGGCGTGACGGAGTTTGAATCGTCGCCTATGTTTGTCTTTCTTTCCGCTCTTGTCGTCTGCCACTGCGCTCATTCCCAGCGAAGATAGTTCAGCATTCTTGTGGTGGGCTTGCTCTCCATTGCTGAGCGTGATCCCGCAGTCTATCGTTTTTTGTCGTTGGGATCATGCTCTCGGGCTGCTCGTTCAACGGTTCTCAGCTCTGAACAAACAAGGTTAACGTTGATTACTTATTCCATCATTGACTCACGCGATAACCCACGAGTCGCGGTATCACCCGGCACTCGGTCCTCTTTACGTTACCGACTCCGTCCTTCCTGAGCATCGCAAGAGCATCGTCGAGGCCGTTCATCACGACGAGTTCAAAATCATCAGGGAGATATCGCAAAGAGACCCCCACTGGTATCCCTGTACTTCGCTAAGAAGATCGAGTGTCTCCATATGATTCATGTATGCTCATGACATCTTTCTATCGCGCTTCATCAGCTGACTCGGAGTTCGCCGTGAGAGCATACAGCGTCTACAGGTCCTTCGGATTGGCCTTGTTGACCTGGATCATTCTAGGTCAGAGCGCGTTCGCAGTGAACTCTGCCGCGTACATACTGTATATCCATATTCCACCTATAGCGACATTCATAGTATTCTTAACCGTGACTCTTCCTGCGACATTCTCACCCCACACCTCGCACAGGAGTTCTGTGCTTCCGCCACGATGTTGGACATCGTTGTTCTTTCTCAGAATTGGAGATCCTCGGTCGGTCTAATGTATGGAACCTTGACTTCGTCCACCTCTTCCTGCATCATCATCATCATCGGAGCTAATTATACACTCACGCTCATGTGTAGGCTAACGTACGTTGTTTCATGCTCACAATTCCATCGCAGAAGCCTGGTGTAGTCTCATGGGAGAAATCGCCACCAACGTTCTCTGAGTCCTCGAGTTTGCTGCATCGGTCAGTTCAGACGAGTCGACTCGCGCACCCGGTAGTACTACCCCATCATATCAGAAAAAGCGGAACTGCAGCACTTCGACTACTTACCTCCACCCAACCTCCGTCTGGTGCAAAACCACCGGGGCAGGATGAGAAAGAAGACTTCTCTCAGGTTGTGGCGAAAGGCCAGATCGAACGTGGTGACGGCGGCTGAGAGGCCGGAGTTGCTTCTTCGGGAAAGCGTCCCGGAACAGGTAAGTTACGACTCCGTTCTGTTTTTTTCGGCCTTCGTCTCCTGACACAAGAATCATGGTTTACAGCTTTCGATGAGATTCATAGTGTATTTTGTGGGTCGTCGGTTTGCATTCGTTCGTGAAGGAAATCACATAACTCATATTTTCAATCGACAGGCTATTTTTATCGTCCAAGATTATCAATTCAAATACCGCGCGCTATATCCTCCGGTTCGTATCGTCTCCGGCCCAGCAGCTAGCTTCCAAAGAAAGAGGCCTCGCAAACGTTCCTTCTAAGCCCGCCACACGCACCGAAGCACCTCAACTCGCTCATGACACTGTGCGAGCGCATCGAACAACCCACATGCTCACGCTTCCCTCCCCGCTCGTCCTACGCCACATCAGTAAAACCATGCTTTCCGAACCTGCTTCTCCTCCCTCTCTCTATCCCCTATCCGCATTCGGGTCCTTCGGTAGCGAACGTGGTATACATAGCTCCGAAAACGATCTGCGTCGCGCCCTATGAAAGAAGAAGTCGAGGGACAGAGGGACATGCGTTTCGTCATTCGAGGGCTTCTGCTGCTCGTTGCCTGATGCCCGTGAACAGGTACATAAGACCATCTCCCCGAGCTGTCCTTCTTCCCGCCCTGTGGACATCCTCAGACGTCTTCCCCTTTACCTGCGTTCAACCCTGCGCATCAGTCCGTCGAGCTCATCAACTTACCTGTCCGTATACCCTCACTTCGATGTCTCGTCTCGCTGTAGCCTCCGTCTTGCTCGCCCAGGCACTCCTCGCTCTTTCTGTACCCAGTCAAACACCCACTCTCGTCGAGCGTGCTGTCGCTTACTACGACCCGAATGCTAACGGCGGATCCATGCTCGACGACGCTGGATCTGGTGGCGGCGAGCCTTTGAACGTCAGTTTGATTTCCCCTTCTCCTTCATCATTGTCGATCTATGATTCACTTGCGCGACATCTCACACATGGCACATTTTCAGGTGATCATCTCGGGTTTGAGCTCTGCAGACGTTCTCACCGACGACGGCGTGCTCAACTATGCGCGCGCAATCGGGTTGTAAGTGCCCTTCATCTCCAATCTTCACCATTACCTTCGTCCTTGCCCCCCAACCCCATCAAAATCACATGCATACGCACGCGTCCCCTGGTCCCTCGCCCGTCGCTTCTTCTCTTTCTGGTCGAAGATCCTTTCTTTTCATTTGACGTCTCCTTCGCACGCCCCACACTTGATCTCTTCCACGCCTCTCCATGTGATTCAAAATACACACGATACTGCAGCTGACACCCTTCCCCATTCCCCATTCCCCATCTTCCGTTTCCCTTGTTCGACACAATGTGCATGCATCCAACCTCGACACATGCACTCGTGTACTCATGCATGCATACAATACAGCTCGACAGAATGCTTCGGGATTCACCTCGGGAACCCACAGTCCGCTAATCTCGGCGACGGGAACGGATGGGTGAACCAGACCGTCGAGCTGCGTCAGGTAATTGTTCAATTGTTCAACAAAAAAGGGGGTCGGTATATTGACTATATCTGGAAAATTGGTCGTTAGGATTATGGAGATGCGGATGTGGGGACGTGTTTGGAGAGGTCAGTCGTCGTTGTTTGTTCCGGCTCCAGGGGGAAATTTTTTTGAGACCAAGACTGCTGATCTTGTGGTTTTTTGATAGTTTGATTGGGGGCAACCATTTCAGGGTGTATCGCCAGAATGGGACACAGGCGGATAGTGGGGCTTTGTTCCTTGCGTATGTGCTCCTCTCTCTCCCTCTCTCCCTCTCTCCCTCTCTCCCTCTCTCCCTCTCTCCCTCTCTCCCTCTCTCCCTCTCTCCCTCTCTCCTTCTCTCCCTCTCTCCCTCTCTCCCTCTGTGCTTGCTGTGTTGGAGAGGATTCTGACCATGAGTTGTGTGTCAATTAAATCCATGCATACAGTGTCTCGAAAGAGGAAGATGTCACGGAGGGTCATACGATCGTTCCTGACGGGTACGATATCGGGCGGTACGTTCTCCCCTGCTGTCTCTGAATCTGAACGGAGCAAATACTGATTGGGGTTGGAACTCATTGTGCATCTGAATCACGTAGGGATAACCTCGTCACCAGCGCCGTCGGCTCCACATCTTACGGCGGCGTCTCCTACACGACCACAGCGCAGAACGTCACAGGTTTGTTGGCGGCGGGGAGTGTGGGTGTTAACCACGGTATGTATTTCCCCTCCTTCCCTTCCCTACTCTTCTCTTCTCTACGCTACTCTTCCGAGGATCAGTCTCTCATCCTTCGTATCGGTGCGCAACAGATATCGCCGTGGACGGAATCGTGACCCTCCTCACCGTCACCATCGATTGAAGGACTACTGCTTGCCGTATCCGTATTTGCAAGCATGGTTGTATCTTATTCTCTTCTCTTCTTACTCTTCTCCTTCTTGGGGTACCGGTCCGTCTTGCGCTGAACGTTTGAACATTTGCATTTGATGTATACGTTATACCCACTCTGACTTTGACGACGCAATATGAAGTTATGAATCACGATTTGTCTGATTCCTTCCTTTCCTTCCTTTTCTTTTCTGGGTCATCGAGAGGTAGGTTTCATTCGTGTGGCGAAGCTCATAAGTATACAGTACCCCCACACCTCCAACTCACCTTCCATCAAATAAACCATCCCTTCTGAATCTCTCAAACGGAAAAAAAAAAATCGCACACCGTCTCGTCTCAACAAAGTGGAGTGGGATTTGCATAAGGTGCATGAAAGAACAGAACAGTCCATCATGACGATTTTGCGCAAGGGCGACTGCACAGTATCGTACACGTGCGAGACCAAAGCTCGAATCTGTACTGGGACCAGGGCAGGGTTCATTCATAACATTACCGTAACTTAAGCTTAGCTGAGCAGTGGGCGATTCACGTTTGGCGAGGAAGAGAACTTTGGGGAGGGGGGGAAGGAAGAGGAGCAAACACAATGGCATGGTGGATGGAAGAAGGGGAGAAGGGGAGGGGGCTGGGATACTTACTCGTATAGGACGCAAGTCTAGAAGGTGAATTTTGAATACAACGGAACGAGAACGAGAACGAGAACAGGAAGAGGGGGCTGAATTTGATACCGATCGTGATCATACGGGTATGTGCTAGACGTGCAACGGTGCATAGACTTCCTGGATGTAAAAAGAAACAGAAAAAAAGACAAAGGAATGTGAAAAATACAATGCGAACGGAACTTCAACAGGACGACGACGACGACGACACCAATTGCAAGAAAAAAAGAGGTTGCGATGCAGTGAGTTTGAAAGACAGACCAAACCAAACGAAATGCGACGTCGACGAAACCAATGGCCCACTCCCATCCTTTGATGCTACGTACCACCGGCATCTTCACTGCGAAACGCCACATGATGCTGTGCCGCCACCTCGCAAGACTGGGATATCGATCCAACGTCTTACATCCACTCGTCGTCAGAGTCGTCAGAGTCGAGGTTGATCATATTCTGCTGCTGCTGCTGTTCTTCTGCTTCTTCCGTTCCAGCCACCTCGACATCTTCTTCGTCCCCAACAACCTCAACCTCCTCTTCCTCATCATCCACCTCGATATCAACAACCTCTTGCTCTTCTTGCTCTTCCTCATCCTCCAAGCCCTTCCCAATCGGCAAATAATCCGCCACCTCCTCGCTCGACCTCACATGATGACCCTGTCCATGACCCTTCTCATACTCCATAACCTTCTCAACCTCCTCATTATCCATCTCCTCGTCCAGACTAACCACGATCGGGCTGACTTCTTGGGAATCAGGCGCCGCCGAGTGTCCGGAGCTGTTGTCTTCGTCTTCGTCCTCGTACGCGTACGCGTCTTCTTCCTCGTATGGAGGAGAAAAGAGCGCGTCGGCCTCGGACGCTGCGACTTCGGCGCGGGTTTGACGGCGGACGCGCGAGAGGACTTCGTCGAGCTGGAGGAAGTTGTTGTCGTCCTGGGCGAATTTGCGATGTTTGCGGCTGACGATGTGCTAAAAAAATATCCAAAAAAGAAAGCCATCAGCATTTGAACACCCATAAAAAAGGGGCATTGAAAGACTCACGTCGGCAAAGTCGGTAAACTTCGCCTTGCAGCACTCGCAATATCCAGGCTTCGACCCCTCCTCCCTTTTCGGCAACTTCAGCGTGTTGGTAGACTTGCTTTTCCTCAGCATCTTCCTCTCTGGAATAGCCTCTGGTGGACCCATCGTGCCCTTTCGGACTCCGCCCGGTTGGTCCTCTGTACCAGGGTTGACCTTGCGCGAAGTGACGACGTGTTGCTGGATTCCCTTCCGCAGGCTTGGGTGCAGCAGAGCCGTATTCCTTCCAAGACCACTGCCGTGGCTCATCCCACCAGCAGTTGAGGTGGTCCCGACTGTGGAAGTGATAGCGACGCTGTTGCCCGAAGCCGCCATGTACGCTCCGCTCCCGATATACCCAGACGCATTAGCCGACTCCATCAAGTCCACATCTCCATCCTCCGCCCCGAATCCGAGGCCGTGAATGCCTGACTCGCCTGGAGCTCCCAGGGAAGCCCTCTTCCTCAGCTGGACCATCGACATCGTTCTCCTCAAATCACTCCCTTTAGTCATCATCTCCTTCTCCCTCTCCTTCTCTTCTCTGGCCTTCGCCCTCATAGCCTCCTCCTCCCTCAACCTCATGCTCTCGTCCCTCTTCATCTGTCTCTCCCTCTCCTTCACCTTCGCGATCCTCCTCTTCCTCTCCTCGTCCCTCTCCTTCTCCTGTCTCTCGTTCCTCACGACCCTCCTCGCTTCTCGTTCATCATACTCAATAAACGGACTCCTCGCCTTCGGATGACAATAAAGCACAGGCCACGCCCCTTCTTCCCTCCCATCCTCCTTCCTCTTATGAACCGGATACTCGATCGCATTAATCGTCGCCATCTCCTGCCACAGATCCTCCACCAACACGAAATAACTCCCCTTCGTGAAGTATCGGTAATTATGGCGTTTCTCGCGCGGATCGCGTTCGGTCGTGCCGTGCAGACGTTCGTATTCAAGATTGCGGGCGAGGGTGCGCGTAGGGACGGAGGTACTTGCAGAGGCACTGGTGAGGAGGGAGGGGGCGGGGAGACGGGATGTGGATGTGACGGCGGTGACGGCGGCGGACGTGGAGGTGTCGAGGCAGCGATCGAGGACGGATTCGAGCTTGGCGATGCTCCAGATTTTCATGTTGAAGTTCTGGGCTTTGCGTACGATGTTGTTCTCGTAACTCGGTGGTGGCACGGCATCTTCGCCGGGTCTACAAGTTATGTCATGATTAGGTCGCGAAGAAAGGGGTGGTGGAGTGAAAGGAGATGAAATTAGAGGTACGAACCTGCCTCGAGGGCGCATTGGGCTTTTGAGGATACGGGACTTTGAGACGTTCTCTTTGTTCGTGAGGTTGAGCTCTTCGGAGGGGAGAGGTTTGTTGGTGATCAAGTGTGTTATTTCTTTGCAGAAGAAATCCTCGATGTTCTGAATTCGAAGAATAGTCAGTACAAACTCCAACCAGCGAAGCCACAATCAAGACGATGACGAGGTTAAAAACTCGGCACGAGATCGTGATACCACCACAAGAGGACAACGATATGGAAAGTAATGAGAGGAAAAGAAACCGACACGCACCGCCCCAAGCCTAGTCAACCGATCTTCAATTCTCTTCTTCGCCAACGACTCCTCCGGGCCAAACACATCGTCGTCGATATGGAAAGTCCACCCAGGAAACGCCCTCGTATACTTCACCTTGAACTCCTCCTTCTGAGCTTCCCTTTCTGCACGCTTCTGTTCCCTCCGCTTAGCCTCCTCACGTTCGCGAGATGCATTAGCCTTCGGGCTGAAAGTCAGAGGTGGTTGGCCAGAAGTTTGCGCGTGTGCTGAGGGCTGACGTTTCGTCGGGGAAGGCGGCACGGGCTTGAGACGTTTAGGGTGGATGTCGTGGGTGTCACGGTGGTCGGGTGAACGGGCTCGCTTGATAGATGTCGACGACCCAGATCGCGAAAAAGTGCCTCCAGTCGTTGAACGCGTCGGCTTCGGCGAGCCCAACGCGGGAAATGGTAGAACTGTTTGGCGCGAATTGAGGTTGGGGCGACGCGAGCTGGTAGCCATCGTTGATTGTGTCGCCGGCTGCTGCGTCGAGAACGATGATAAACGCGTGTCGGACGCTGAATGGTCGTATTATACAAGAGAGTTGAAGGCAAGAAAGACGAGTTCAACGTCGTCGCCGATGGCGATGGCGACGGCGATGGTGGTGGTCGAAGTCAACACGCTTCTGCAGAGTGTCGTGATGTGGCTAAGCGGCGCCAAACAAACAACGCGTGACTTCCCGAACCTCTCCCTCTCGGACTTTCTGCTCTGGGGCGACTCGACGCAGTACTCCACCGTCTATCCAGCTGTGTACCTAAGCTCGAATGTCAAGTATAAAGGTCTCGATAGTACAGATAAACCGTGTTTGTCGTAGCCTGTGCACCACGCGTCTTAAATGTGTGGCGCCCCAAAATCAGATGCACCGGTCTTCGAGCGCATGTCTAGTGGAAAGACTTTCTTATGATAGGATTTCCTATACAGTGTTCTCAAAATTTTTATTCTACCTGTCAAGCTCAAATTTGCCCGCCAAAGAAAATACAAGGGGACACAATGGTGCCACACAACCTCGACGCGACAAGGTCACTGGACCGCGTTGGAAACACGACGCGTCTGTGGCGGCGTCTACGCGTTTACGCGACGCGACGCGTTGCGTGCAAGCGCGCGACCTGTCACCTCAGTACTGGGAAGATTATTACTGGCATGCATACATATTCTAAATCGTTGCATCGAAACATTACGTTGAAGGTCAAGATAATATTTCGATCAGAATGGCTGCCTCGTGGACTGCTTCAGGCGATTTTTACCGTCGAGGCTTACTCGTCGTCATTGATGCTGCTAACACTGTCCGTCTCGACAGCAGATTGAACGGAGTCTTCACCAGGAAGACATCAAGTCTCTGAATGTGTTTCCTGATAGTGCTAGACAATTAACGTCATAGTCAGAATAAACATTACCAATCAGCAAAGAGTGCAAGTGGAGACATACCTCGCTCAACTCCCTGTAACCACGAAATCCTAAACCACAGCGCATACAGCACGGATGACAATCGGACGTGTCAAAATGTCGTTGCCGGGTCACCGCATCTCGGAGCTGACCGTGAGCGCAGCGTTTGCACTCAGGTAGTTTCAACTGCTGTTTGCTGGTCGGAGACCTGGTCCAACGTAGCCGAGGTGAAGGATAACACTTCGATTTGGTGATTCGGCTGTAAGGGTGCGTTTTATGTTTATGCTGTAGACATCATTTGTGGTAAGCTTCGACCATCGCAGCTCGTTGGAAGAGAATGGGGGGATTATTTGGGACCTACGGCGTGTAGTTCACCCCTTCTAAGGCGAGCGGGGCAGCTAGGGCAAGATACCATATCGGTATGGCAGACTTGGAAATGCTAGTAGATATGGTCACGGTGAGCCCATATAAGCCAACAATATCATATCCGACGAAGGTGCCTGTCAGCTTACACTCCATAAGTGTGCGCCCTTCACTGCCTCCCCACAGGTCTCACATGTGCCATATGTCTTCGGCTCGCTATAGCTTGATCTCGAAGGACCCTGGATAACGGGGGAGACCTTATGTTTGGGCTCCAAGTCGACCTAAGTTGAATGAGAATGGTCGCAAGTGGTCATGAGAAGACTACAGGATATTTAGTGCTTATCAGACATACTGTTTTGGCTTTACCCTTGGGCTTGGTACCAGCCTTCGCTTTGACCTTCTTCCGACCAGACGTAGGAGCCTTCTCATTCTGGCCGTGGGTCCTAGCTTTATGCTGTAGGAGAATACACTGAGATCTGGAGAAGAGCTGGGTATTTTTTAGTATCATGAAGAACGACGAACCCTCTCCAAATTCTTCGTCAATAATCGGGTCTTACAAACATCGCAGCGGACGAAGATTCGTCCTGAAGAATTATTGTGGGAAAGAGGTCCAGTGTGGACAGGAGTTACGCCGCGGGCGGGTGTGGCTTGTGCAGATATCTCGCCATGTAAAGAGGGTACAACTGGAGGTGGAGGGGTAGCACGGAAAGGCGCAGAAAGAACCACTGATAATATCCGGGTCTGGGGTGCGCGAGCAGCAGGCACGCCGCGTACTGGAAGGAGGCCATGAACGGAAGCAGTGCGTACAGTGCGCGCAGTGGATGGAGGATAAACAGGAGGTGAGCCAGGAAGCGTGGTGCGGATACGAGATACGGCCTGGGGAAGAGGTTCGGCCCCGGGAGTAGGCGTAGATAGGGCAGAAGATGTTTGAGGAGGGACATATGTCTGGGGAGGTGGAGGTGCACGGGGAAAAGGTACGATGCGGGCTGAAAGTGCGGGAAGCCATACACCTGGCATATCATGGCGAGAAGGCCTAACCGCATTGACAGCAGGAGGAGCAGGATGTCCATGCTGTCTTCGGCGGTGCTACGAATTGGAGTCAGGTCTGCCATCCTCTTGTATGAAGTTGAACGGCCTACCCTGTCTAACTTCTTGGACAACACTTTAGATTTACAAGAGGGGCAGTCGACGTACTCGGGTAGGTTGGGCTGATTCGGAGGACCGGCGGCACTAGCACTAGCGCCACAGGAATACATGGTTGGTTGGCTTTGCATGGATACAAGCGAAATACTACTCACTGATTCGTTGAACCCTCCGCAGGAGTAAATTGACGGCGACTAGCACGGAACATTGATGAATCCCTCAGTTCAATGATGACCGACTACGAACTGGTAGCACTACGTTAGGAATTCCCTTGACAACAATCAAGTTTGAGTTCAGAGTGTCCTTGAGATTCGACGGTCCGTCATTTCGACCGGTGGGAGGGGTCTGAGAGAAGAGGGCCGGCAGTGACAACACTCTCCTTATACTTATAGCCTTCGAAGTTAATGATCGTATGCGCGAGGCGACTGCAAGGTCTTGAAGCGAACAGCAGACATTGAGTAGTGGATGATAGCACCACTTTACGCCTCAATACAAAGCAAGTTTATAAGGGAAGCCAATCAGAATTACTGTGGCGTGACCTGGGCGTAACCTTGATGTGATCTCGAAGCACCGAGATGAATCTGCATGTCAGATGCAATGAGGATGTGTAGAAATATTTACACGGACTGTACGACTGCAGCTTGCAGGCTGGTTGCACTGTGTCTGACCTAGAGTGAAGGACGAAGACGATCTTTGGCCTGGGCAAAGACGCAATTACAATCTTTCTGCGGGTTATTGCTCAGTCCATCAGCAGTAACAATATACGGCAATTCACTCACAGAAAGCCCGCCGAGCTCGTGGAATTCGAAAGAAGACAATCATGACGAAGGGAATCGATAGCTGGTAAAAAGACTCTTCAGAATGTCCTCCTCGTTATCCTCCTCATTGACAGAGTCGCCGTCGAGACAGTTGGAAAACCGACGGGAGTCTTCACTAGACATGCCAAGTTCCCCTATGCACCTTTGAAGATGCTAAAATAAAAGCAGGTCATGATCAGAGTGAGAAATCCTTCAGCCCTGAACGAGTTTGGCCCAAACCTACCGCACAATACTCCTCATGGCCACGAAACCCGGAGCGACACAGTAGGCAGAATGGATGGAAATCGGAGGTGGAAAAGTGATGTTTCCGGTCCAGATCGTTTCGGAACTTGCGATGAGCACATCGTTTGCACTCAGTCAGCTTGACATGTTTTTTGAGCATACTTTTTAACTCGGGTGAGTACTTGACACTGTTGATGTGGTCGTGTGTATCTTGAAGCTATATGTATACATTTTGTCAGCCTCACTCATCAACTCGTATGAAAAGGTCCAAGAAAGTTGATTGAGATCATTTGGACATGGAGAGATAGAGAGATCAAGTACATGCCATGATCAGAACGAGAAATCAAGTCTATTATTTACCTTCGATGAGTTTGGGGAACTCTTATTGTCTCCACGCATCTCACGAGTAACGTAACTCTTCGGGGGGCTCGAAGGAACGTAGGTAACGGATGGATCGCCGAGTCTCGCCTGCGCCTGAGTAGGAATATCGATGGAGCGTAGTCGAAGCAAAATGAAAAATGAGATCGTTCTCATTAAAGAAATAGCTATCGACAGACACACCTTCCTCGATATACCCTTAGAATTATTCTCAGGGCAGTTGGGAGTACCCTTTCTGCCAGTCCGCCCGACGGCAGCCTTCTTGCCATGGACCCTTTGCCGATGCTGAACAACCACACTCGTTATCTATTATATATTCCCACCAAGATGAATGACATACCTTCTTCAGGCTCTTCTCCAGAATATGTCTATTGCAGGCATGACACCGGACGAGGGAACCAGGCCGAGGTGGTGGGGCACGTCGGAAAGGAGGACGGACACGGCGAGGAGGTCGTAGGCGGACGTAAAGTGTCTGGGGTCGTAGGCCGACAGAAAGTGTGCGAGGCGGAGGCGGTGCAGTATACTCGTGCATCTTGTTCCGGTGCTAGAAAGTCGCTTATAGGTCAGCGCCACGTTATTTGGTGCAGGTAAGAACTTTACCCTCTCCAGGTTCTTCAGAAGTAATCTGGCATTGCACTTAGGGCACCTCACATAGTCGCGCAACTTGGGCAGAGGGTCAGTAGCTGCAATATGGTCCTGGGGAGACATGGGTAGCCCGTTCTCCTTGAACCTGAGGGAGTCGGGCCTCAGCTTCATGGCATTCTCGCGAGGTGTCGAAGAGATAGACTTGGATGAGTTGACCGGCGAGGCTCTCAAAGGTTGGCACGTTTTCCGACGAGGCATCTCCAATTCTTGGAAAGTCCGAGTTCTTCTAGCCTGAACTCTTCGTCACATTAAATAGATATGAACGATAGATCATTGACTTGCTATAGCGAAACCGTACGTACCTTGCAGCTCGTTCTTCAAGAGTTCGGCGACAAGAAGAATCAAGGAAGAGAAGGACGACAGTTGCAACCCCAAGCCCTATACTTATAGCCTCTCTAAGTCGAGACGAGCATGAGGGGTCAGCGAGGCATTTCAGAAGGAGTCAATGCACCAAAGAAAGTATCTCAAGCCCTCAAAAAAGCGGCGAAGCTATGGGCCTGGTCAATCATAATTGATGTGGCGACCATGGGAGCACTCGTGACGGGCACAGAATAGTGACGGATAGATACAAATGTCTAGATGAGTATTCGTTGGTTCATGGCCGGCATACGCTACAGGCCTACAGATACGCAGGTGTCTCGGGACAGACATATTTTCGGAGAAGTAATTCTGATCTCCTTCATGACTATTTATGCAAATCGTTAATCAACACGTCAAACGCATACGAGAATACACTTACAACAAGCACTGTGATTTCCATCGTGAATCTTCCATATCCTCCCATCCGGAGCCATCCTATTTCGGTCAATGCCTCGACTCACGAACTTGCGCCTTGCTTCTTCCCTAAATACTCAATCCACCACTCCTCGAATCCAGTTGTCCCGAGACCGCCCTCGATGCCGAGATCCTCCGTCTCACGGACGTATAGCTGAGTATCGCGAGGTCTCGGGGTGGAGCCTACGAGAGCGGGTGACGAGGGAAGAGCAGATAAGTGAAACAATACGGAAGGCATCGAGAAGAAGTGAGATGGGTGAAAGAGTCTTCACGAACCTGGTGCAGGCTCATCCGCTTGTGGGATGATGTGTTTATGTGGGACACCAAGGATGCCAGCGAAGATGAGGCAAATTTCGTATTTCGTGAAGGGTTCTGGAGAAGAGTAGTGTATTATTGGGGGGAGGGTCTTCCGCTTCGGTAGAGCTATGGCAAAAGTTTCCCCAAGTAAAACAAAGGTTAATGTCGAAGAGATATTCGGAACAACGGGCGAAGAGACTGACCTGACATGCGGACGAGGAAGTTCGCGATATCGATGACATTCGTTGGGTATCTGGTCTGGTAATGGTCCATCTTGTAGGTCTTTCCAGACTGGTCTTGCACGACATCTAGCAGGATATTGATGGCAGAGTCTGCGTTACTCGGTGCAGGTCCGTAGCTAGCGCCACACGCCACATGACGTCAGTAGCGAGCTGGCAGGGATATAGGACTTGGACTCACAGGACAGGAACTCGTAGGACAACGGACTTAGAGCCCTCAATTCCAAGGACTGCGATTTCCCCATCCCGTTTCGTCTCACCATATAGTTGGAGCGGGTTTGTCCGTGCTGAAGGAACGTACGGTGGCGAGGTTCCGTCAAAGACATAGTCTGTTCGAATGACAAACAATTGTAAGACAACAGATTACGAATCACCGAAGATAGTTTGGCATACCAGTAGAGATATATATCAGGGTAAACCCATATTTCTTTGAGAGTTTTGCAAGGTTCTCCGGAACAGATATATTCAGCTGAGATGTATCGTTAGCAATCAGTGCTCTTGCAAGGGTGTAAAAGATGGGCGATTGTGATACCTTCTTGGTGCCCTCTGGATCCTGTGTGAACGCACGTTAACCGCCGATGTGACTACGATGTCCGCATAGAGAGAAGATGCGCAGGGTGTGTTCAGATGTGATAGAGACGGACATACCTTCTCAGCAACATCAGGCTTCCTCTCCGCCGCACAATGCACAATCCCTGCCGATCAAGTCAAACATCAACGCTCATCGAGTCCAATCTTTACAAGAACGACTCTCGGGACTCGATGCATTCCGACCAATGGTTGCAATTTATGCCTCACACCAACTTGAATCAAAGTCTGGCATACTCATCAGGAGATAACTCACAGTCGGGCTTGAACTCCTTGACAAGCTCCTCTAACTTCTCCGAATCCAGTAGATCAATGACCTTCAAGGAGCCCTTGGGGCGAGTATAAGCGAGTCCTAGGACTTCATTACTCGCTGGAGCGTTGGTGAAAGCGTCGTAGACGGCTGTTCCGAGAACCCCTGATGCACCTATATTACAAAGAACTCTGTTGACCAAGGGCACAATTGAAATCGAAAGGGACCTAAAGCATTCCTGTCACAATGACTTTCATTTCCTTGCGAAGTTGTTTGAGATGGTGAAGGAGAGAAACGAAAGACCGAGTAAGTTGGCAGAAGCTGAAAGCCCCTGGCAGCCCCTAGCATCCACGACTCCGGGCCGGTGCCTCCAGGTGGCACTTTCACAGCTTTGCCACAACTTTCTCTACCATGAGCCACTGATGGTGCGCTGCACTTATGAGTGCTTTCAAAGGCCAATCGTGGTTTAAGATATGTATGGTAAAAACCATTGGCGAGCCAGGGCGAATGATATTTCGATAAGCACCCGAAGACGGTAAGGCGTCATGCAGGAAGAAATTTATGTTGAGGTTTCTGCGCCAATATGATCCTAGGAATACATAGCCGAGTGTATTGACAAACAGGCAAGTACACTCCCCAAGTCTCAAGGATTCAACGGAGGATATTGATCAACTGGTTGGGCGAAAGATGCTCTAGCTCTACTGCTCTACCAGTCCATGTCCGTCTTCGGCTTCACATGCGACACATCCACATCCAAACCGACAGGGACGTTCATGGGGGAAGCAATATTCATCTGCCTACAGACACAGCAACAAGTATGAGTAAATGGACGAGTACAACAAAGTCAAAGGAAGAGAATGGAGGGTAAAGGCATAACGATGATAGGATATGAAAGATAACTCACTGTGGGTACCGGTACCTCCGCAAGGGTGGTGTCTTCGCATCCTGCGTCAGCAATATCGCTCCCATCCTAGCAAAAGACATGTCCAGATGTTTATCGTTGATACGATCCCAAATCTCTTTGGGCGTGCGTTGGCTATAGAGAAAGTCGGTAACGAGATTGGCTTCTCCTTTCGCCGGCGCGTATTTGTAGAAGGCGACGAGGCCTGCAGCGCCAACGATAGTGTATATCCACCCTCTGGAGGCAAAACCTAAAGCGTAGCAAGTATATCAGAATATGCATAGCGACTTCACGGGCGTAGCAGAGCGATATAACGAGACGTGAACGGGACCTTCTTCGGGGTACTGGGTAGCGTCGTGATGATGATCTACGGCATGGGCGTCGTGGTGCTCATCGTGAGCAGCAGTAGAGGCTCGCCTGGTTTGGGAAGAAAGTGAAGGAGAGGATTTGGCTCTCGTAGCGAGGGCAGCCGCTCTAGCTAGCGACATATCGTGGATAGGCTGGTTTCGAGCAACCTGTGGAGGGTGTCGGGTAACTGCAGTAACGTCTACGTCACAGTGACCTTCTGTGACCGGATACAGCCGGAGACCCACCTTTCGTCACGTTGTAGTCCGGCCGTCCTTTCAACTTGACCACCGACATCTTCTAAAGCTCAAGCCTATCCACTGCTCCACTGTGATCCGAGCACACGCTATATTTCCTGGCACTATCTCGTCCACTTAGACTCAGCCTACAATTCATATTCTGCATTAGACGCATACATATTCAGACGCAGTATATTACTCAGCGTTCATTCATCATGCCCTCGAGTTCTCAGAGACCCAACCCGCCCACGATTCACATAGAGTTCCCGCCCTCAGCCTTTGACTCTGGAAGTCCTCGCACTCTCCCCTTTGACTCAGGCATATACGCTGTCAGCCCGAAGGGTGGACCGAAGTTACTAGACAGAAACAACACCACTGGCCACAGTCTCCCGCCGCCCTCGTTCATGATCCGCGGGGGCAACAATTCTCAGGATACATCTGCCTCACCATCAAGCTCCTGCTCTTCGCTGCTGCCTTCTAGCTCGACCTCTACCTCTTGGTCTGACAGTTTCTCCGCGGCGTCTACCTCGTTTAGCGGCGTCGCTCCTTCAAAGTCGCTTCCTCAGATCACCATCACCCGTCCACTTTCAACCGTCCCACCGCCAGTTCTTCCGAGTAACTCACCGCATAACATTGCTCTTGATCTTTACGGCACTACTGTGGTTTCGGACAACAAACCTCTTCCAGCACTTCCCTCCAGGTGCTCATCTGACATCGCCGATCTTCCATCCCCTACCACTTCGCACACGCTTAGCTCTTTGCATGCTCGTGTCAGACGCTCTCGCCTGAGTACTGTATTCGGCGTTACAACTCTGCCGCCTATGCCCTCTCCACTCACGCGCAATGTTCGGAATGGTCGGGGGCCCGAGCCTTCCTCTGTACCAGTGCCTCGAGATTGCGCGCACACACAGGTCCACACCACCCACGCTCTGGAATCCTCTGCTAAAGCTTTGCCAACTCGGCTGCCATCCGCGTCGGAGAAGCGAACCCCTCAAGTGCAAGGACCACAGACGACCCAGCAACTCGCTAAGTCCGTCTCTAGGTATCTCAAGATGATGGACAAAGAGATGGATCGGGAGTTCAAACGCTTGAGGGATCATGTCGCCGAGGTCAAGGACGCCATGGAGAAGCTGCGAGAGGAAAGAGAGGGACGGGCTAGGATCCAGACACAGAAGGATGTGGAATTGGCTCAGAGGAAAATGGAGGAAGAAATGTCTCGAAGAAGGAGTTTCTCAAAGGTGGAGGAGGATAAAGTGAAGAAGCCACCTAGGATCCCGACAATGGTCTTTCCCGTGGTGTGATTGGGTTGTTGGAGGCACGTTTACATCTGGGTGTTGCTGAAGGACGTTGGATGACCCTCAACTATACTATTTGCTAATATCATTTGGTACAGTTCCAGTTCTAGTCTCTCGATGAGACACTTCGTTCGTTCTTCGTTTAGCATCAACTAGCGCTGATTCACTGTTTATATATGGTATGCCGCGGTCTCCGCGCCAAATCCCGGGCCCTCACCTTTTAGATAGTTCGACGTACAAAGTTGCTCAACGTCGTCGAGACGTTGGACTGTGAGTCGTTACCAACATGGTCAATTATTTTGTTTGTCTCTTCCCCCGTTGATTTCCAACGCGCTCATCGTACTAGTGCCGCCGTTACTCGTCGGTGGTGCTTGGAATGATGGTACCTAAAAGTTCCGCCGGTAAGCTGAAGGTTTCTTTTTTACCCGACCCGGACAGAAGTCGTCTCTTGTTCAGACCAGTCTAGGAAGGATACTAACTTGCGCCTCTCTTACTCCGTCTTCCAGACAGCCCGAACGAAGTTTCAGAGCCAGGCGGACGTTATTCCTTCCCTTCTCGCTCCCACTGCTTACGAGGTGGACCTCTCCTTTGGGTCTCTCCCGATTGTGTGCCCATATGCACTCTATATCTATCCTGGCGCCTTAACGTACAATACGATCTTGTCCTCTCATCGCGTGCTATACACAATCTCGACAGCGGAACAGGCGGAACGTCCTTTTGATGGCACAGCCTGATAATTTCCGACTCCTGAGAGATATGGCTACCGCAATTTCTCGCAGCCACGCCACAACGATGTGTGTAAGTGTAGAGTAGATCCTTGTCCCACCTTCATCTCGTCCCACCTTCATTGGCCCTGATGATCCCTGCGTCTTCACGGGAATACCCAACCAGGGCTCCTGGTAGACAAGGCTCGAGTTTGGCTCGTCGGACAAGAAATCTCCCTATGATCAACAGCGGTCATATCCAGATGTTGTGCGGCCAGACTCTCACTTTCTCTCCCTGCGCCTCCCCGTACCATGTGTATGTGTATTACTTATCGGGCTATTTATGTCTCCACACGTCGAGCTAGGTCCGTACTCGAAAGAAGTCAAGCCGACTATATTTGCGTAAGTTTTACAGCTGTGTATAAATCTTCCGAGTCGCTCATATATACTCATATAGTGACAACTGAAGCTTATGCTCGCTCTACAACTCTGGGATAGTTCACACTCGGCCTTGTCATCTAAGCTGAACGAGACATAACGCATAGGCTTTCACTCTTGGTTTCTCGCTCAAGGTGGTCTTCGGTGAACGATCCGCAGTAGCATGGAGATTGGGAGGGAGGGAAGGATTCTAAGTGTTGACACTAAAGGCCCACCGTGTACGAGCGTCTGAAAACATACGACTTTACGGTCGTTCAAAAGAAGTCAATTATTCTGATTTATAGGTAATACTTTTGGGGCGGTACGTAAATGTGCTCGATGACGCAGCAAGTAAACTGTACGATCTACAGTCGCTGTACAATGATTGTTACATCGTCTATCCACTTCTCGTCCATCTCAACAGTAAGATATTTTGAAACTTCCCGTACATCATCACCACCCAGTGCGTCACGAAGAAGAGAAAGTGCTGCATTACCCGCCTGTGTTCGTGAATCCAGCGCTCTCCCGACAACCCTCGCCCAGTGATTCGCTAGCTCGCTCCTTGCACGACGCTCCGGAGGATATAGATCTGGAAGTCCGTCAGAGCAAAGCATGAGAAACATGTCCCTCGGCTTCCCGGACGCAACTTTAGGCAGCGGGATATGATGTACGTCAGGCGTGCTCGAGACATATGGAGGGCTTCGCACGCGAGCGATATACGTCTCCGGTATCTCAACGTTCCATTCGTGCCGGAGATTCAAAAGAACCCGTTGCGAATACACAGCAGGTATCTTGAGCCAAGTGTCGCCGATAGCTGCCAAGAGGGCCGCTTGAGTCTAATGAGACGGGTAGAATAGACGTGAGACTCACATCGGGTTGGACCCAGATAGCCGACGATTCGGTTATCTTTGGCGCAGTCCTTTTCGCCGGGATGTTCATGCTTGATTCGCGCAAGCTCGCGCATGTTGTCGCCATCGTGTAGGGCGGTGGTAAAAGTCGCATGCCACTGCCCCGATGGGTTACGAGAGCCGAGGACTATGGCATGAGCGTTAGCACGAGAATACCAAAACCGCCAAAGTAAGGTCGTGGGTTGAGGCACATACCAGCTTGGCAGTCGCCCAGGTTTGCTATCCAAAGGTGGCTTCTGCTCGGGTCTGTCAGAGTGAGCAAGGCTGTGGTGCCCTGCAGGCACTTGATGGCGGCAGTATAGTTACGTCCTCCGGATGACCGGTCGTCGACGATGCTGCGAACCTGCTCGTCGGACATGCGCTGAAGCGCAGATGGACCGCCGGGAAACAGGTTGATGAAATCTGAGGTGACGGTGTGGTCGAAGCGCATGACGGCATCGGCAAGGATGGTCGATATTTGGTCGACTGAGAAAGGAGATCGGGCGCAGGAGCGCAGGTACGCATCGAGGGAATGTTTGACCATGGCAGGGATCGAGTGCGCGGCGTGATCCACGGTAAGATGACCTACATGGCCTAAAGCGTGATATGAAGTCAGTGAGACAATTTTGCGAGAAGCTTTTGAGTTGGACAGACCGTCGAAGATCGCAGTAAAAACCCACGTGCCGAATGACAAGGGCCAATGCTCGATACGACAGCGATCCTGGCTCCGTTCTTCGTAGAGCTGACACGGTTGGAAGGTGACTCCGTCTACCCCTTCCACGGTTCGGGGACGAGACAAGGTTTTGAGCTCCTGTGTTAGACGTGGTTCTGATAGCATGCGATAGGTCCAACGATGAGGGCCACCGCGACCCATGGAGGTCGTTGCGAACTCGCGAACTTCATCGAGAGCACGCAGGTGGTCTCCAGGATTAGCAGCCGAGAGGGAGATGACGGGGTGATGGTACATATGGAGCGACTACCAGGTTAGCGAAGTATTGATTGGAAGGCGGTTCTCTCCTCTTATAAGCATGCCTCCCGAGGGACATGGTGCTCTGCTTCGTGCCTGGATCCCGCTGGGGCCCTGCTGGACACTGGTAAATTTAGTTGCCATAAACGACGGACGTACTCGCAGATTACACGGAGTTCGTCTCATCTCTTCAAGACAAGGGTCGGAGTGAAGCACGGTGGATGGACCGGATGTAGCCATCGCCATGGTACGACATGACAGAATCGACTGGAGTCGGGGACCCGTAGGCTACGGGACATTAAAGAAAGCCGTGTGGCCGAGTCTATCTTCGTGGTGAATGAGGCAAGAGCAACAGAAGCAGATACCCAAAGGACATAAGAACCGCAGCCAACCTCAGAAAATTAGTCCTCCGAGGCTCAGTTCAGATCTCTACCAGTTGACACCAGCATACGGGTTGAATGAGGTGTTCTTCAAGGATTTTCCAAGATCATGCGGCACGGTTCCTCTGACATACGCCATCAGGGAAGAGAAGTTCAGATTCAAAGGTAGAAGTCAAGCTATATCAGGCGAGAAGACCATGTTCAGCGACGCCAGTCCGAGGTTGACGCATGATGGACGACCAGGGAACGTCTGTACGATTGAAAGTGCCACGAGTTCAAAGCCGGTACCGTGAGAAATGACATCCCGGAAACCGCCGAGCGCCGAAGTCAACAAATAGACGGCAACCATTTTGCTGGCTAGCAAATCCTTTATCGATGTCCAGGTTCCTTGGAGGAAAGTGTTCCTTGACTTTCTCGTATCATCACGATTACTTTGACGCTAGAGGAAATACTTGGGTCTATTAATGAGGCGGGTCGTACCCTCTTTGTCTTTGGGCGCGTCTGAGCAACACCTGAGCCTGATGGTCCATCTGCCAGATACGAGTGTCATACTCATACTCGCGCAGCCGTCACATATGCAGCTTTGGGGTCTCGGGTACCAGTCTTGGGCCACACGCGTACCTACGTTCCTGTGAAAATTGCTTCTCTTGCGAGCTGATGTGAGCTCTATCATTCGGGAGCTGATGGTGGACCAACGCGTGGAAAGATACTCTGGCATGTACATGCATGATTTCAGTACTTGTGCCGACCCCAGATCCACTGCATGTGTACCGACAAAGGACTACCGATACCTGTTCCTTTTACGATACGGTTTGGGCTTACACTCTGACTCGTTCTCTTGCGTCTTGTCATCCATGCGGCCACTACGCTCTCGCCCTCGTCAGACTGTCGTTCGGTCAACAGGCAAGCTGTCTGTTACCCGGATCAGCATGCGGACAACAGACTAGCTGTGCTCGAGTGTTTTTCTTGGGGATTGTCCTCGATGCTTGCTGCATGATGACGCCAGATGAGACTGATTATCTCCCCTGGCGCTCCGTCTCGAAGAATTGCGTCTCGTGCCGGAGTTCCCTGGCCATTCTAACCCAAGGACCCTAAAGCGACCTGCTACTCTTCTCAAGAACATTCTGTTTATCATCACAACTTACGAAGTCGATGAGTCCACTTTAATGTCTAGTCTGAATGGGTTTTTGTCCCGCCGCTCAGCGCTCATCTCGCAGCTTTCATGAACCACCGGATCTGGTGTCCGCGGGTGCTGCCTTCGCATATAAATTTGCCGCTGGGATTCTTCGTGATGACATGCTCTACCTTGTCTGCTCGATCCCCGTCAATCTCCTTCTCGAATCAAAGTAACAGCGTCCAGGCCCTCCGAGACCCAGTCTATGACGAAGAATTTCCAGCTCGCGAGCAGATTACTCTCGTTGTGGACTGTCGTTTTCTTTTCTTTCCTAGCAGCCGCAAGCCTAGAAATCGGCTAATTGGTGAGCGTCAACTAACTTTCCCAACCGCGGAACCATCACATATCTTTAACCGGTCAGGCTAGCTATGTAGTACAATTCAGTCGATCTAATTCCTAAATTAAAAAAAGAACCCTCATTTAACTGATTTTAGGCGTGACTAGACCGTCACGAGCTCCTTCGGAATGTACTTGTCAAGTCGCCGCTATGCTGCTACATCATCGGCATCGAACTGTGCGTAAATGCCGGGGCACCGATGCGTATCGTCACAGCTACTCATATCCTTGAACCGGGACTCTTCCCAGGTGTCAAGGTTATCGAAATTGACACCGAGAAAGTTTAAATCATCACCATGACGTTGCAGAGCCATTCGAGCTCAGCGCCACAAAGCGGAATTCTGTCTTCCGCGATCTCCCAGATACGATACTTTTCCTATCGTACCAGCGTATCATCCTCTTACCCGTCCTGCTCCATCGCCGCGAACAAGGTTACACCTGAGGTTCCCCACACGACGGAGCCGCTCAAGATGCCAAGGCCTTCCCTTCGCCCCCATCTCTTCCATGCACCGGCTTCCTCTCCGACTCATCGCCACCGAGCTTTCTTTGGACCTCCTTCTAGAGGGGATGTGCAACTCCGCGAGTACTGACGATATCGAGGGGAAAAAACACGAAAGTCTTCGTCAACACTGGAAGTTATCGATGTGCTGGTGATTATAGCCCATCCATCCATCTCGTCTATATGTCCCCTATGGTGTTCCAACCTTAATTTCGACAGACTCATAGATTGAATCGTGGACCGATAGAGGGCACTCCAAGTACGTATTCATGTCGTACTCCCCCCGGTATTCACCGCACCTTATTCCAATAGAGAATTGGGACTGGAAATCCCAACTCAGTTCGACACGAGGGTGATTCTACAGCCTCCGCTCCACCATCGGAATATGTTTGGCAGGTGATCATAATACCCAGTACTTCAGTAGCTGCGCATAGTAACTCTGCTACAACGTTGCTTGGAGGAAGGAGCAGTAAAGTACGTCAAGTGCCTCATCGAACATCTCTTCTTGCGAGTCGGTCGGGGTCCGGAGCACTCTCGTCAACGCCCCACAGGTTCTGAGGTTCGTCGTTTTCATGGAGCTTGACTTCTCCAGGTTGAGTGGGCCGATGAGGTTGCTTATACGCCGTTAACATTAGCGGCGCGATTGGCCGCTTTGATTGCGTCGTCCCGAGGATCCTCCTTATATCCTTGGTGACATCCATCCTCCAAAAATACAGGCTGTGCTAACAACGCTTTTTTTCTACCTTCGTTTTTGTGAGGTTTTGCATGCAGACTTCATGCACATAGAGAGCAAAGTCCTCTTTGAACATTCTCTCTTTCATAAAGACATTTCTCCCACGCGGGGAAGATTGATAGTATTTCATACTTCTTGACGGGTTTCCTTGTGCATCAGGACCGAGACCTCTGCTCACGTATGGCCTTCGGGTTCTTCGAAGCAATCATGGACACGAGGTATTCATTTCGGTAAGTTCAAAGGCTGTCGCATGGGTCCCGGGTGGATTTGGGATATCCGGTTTCTGAACGAGAAGATAGAAATACGTACCACGGAGAGATGCAGCCTCCCTGCACATTCTTCAACAGGAAAGCTTCGAGACGGCTACATGGAAGGAGAACGTGCTTGCAGCCAGAGTCAACGTACATGCGGGAGCTACCTTTGATTTGGAACCTGGTATACGACTGTGGCTAGTAGCATATTTGTTTGGTAGGGAAGGGTTTTTCTTGGAGGAGTCAAAGATCGAGGGTTGCACGACTTCTCCTGGACTGAATTCTTCCGCTGAGGCTCGAATAAAGGTCGAGGTTGGCCGAGCTCAGTCTAAAGTATCACCACCACAATCATGCTCAACTTTGGCATTGGAGCTTGAGACGATCATGAATTGACAGTCGTAACTTGTCGATATTTTGGCATCTGGCGATCTTGCCACCGCCACACCAACATTCGGTGTGGCGCTTTCACGTGAGCCGGCGCGACGCGTCGGTGGCGCTGAAATTTTGGCGGTTGCCGAGAATGGACGGCCTCACAAAATTTTGGATCGATCAGTCGGGTTCCTCACCTTTGCTGCCAGCTCTCGTCTTCCCTCGCGGTCTTGCTCACCCCTCTATTGTGCTCTGGTCGGGCATAATCTCTAATTTTTTGCTAGAAAGCTAGCCGTTCTATGCATCCAGTGCCAGCCCTCTGCGGCGTACCTGCGACTGGTCCCTCTCGATAGCATCGTCAAATCGAAACTCGAAAATTAAACAGCTTGGCCAGATTCGAAGCAGTCTCTGGCATACGCTCGTCGACAGCTCGACGTAATACAGCCTACCGCATCTACACCATACGCACGCACAGAAACACACAACATCTCTCCGGTTCGAAGTAGGACTCATCCTATACACCCTCCACAACTTATGGCAGATCTCCTCCATGACCCCACCGACATCACCACCGTCAACTCTGCCATCAATCCTAATCCAGATGGTTTGAGCCCCAGCGATGACGGGTCAGAGACTAACTCAGGCCCGTTTGAAGGCCCAGAAAAGCTACTGGAGATCTGGTTCGCTCCGTCACCTTATGACGTGCCTGATGCGGCGCAACCAGACGAGAATGGGAAGTTTGGGTTGAGGAAGGTCAAAAGAGAAGTGTGGGAGGAGATGCTGGATCTTGTGAAGTGTAAAGTGTTGAGCGTCGTAGAGGGAAAGGAGATAGATGCATATCTGCTTAGGTGGGTCTTTATGGCATTTGGTTATGTTCCTTTCCGTATGTTCTCTGCGCGACCGATCATATGCGGGGGCGTGATGGAATGAGGCCAAAAGCCCTCATCTCGTCATTCTTGCCTATTTCCGTGTCCTTGTGCAACGGCGTCCGATTTCGAAGTCGCTATATCCGGAACTGACAACCGACCTTCCTATTTTTCACTCAGCGAATCTTCCCTTTTCATTTCACCACACCGTCTCATACTCAAAACCTGCGGCACAACCCTTAACCTTCTCGGTCTTCCCCGTATCCTTAACATCGCCGCTACCCAGGCATCTCTGCCCACAGTCCACCGCTGCTTCTACTCCCGTAAATCCTACTTTTTCCCCGAGCGCCAGAAAGGACCGCACCGTGAATGGAAACACGAAGTAGAGTACCTCGACGCCATTTTCAAGGCTCGGGATGATCATTGCGTCAAACATACCGATAGTTTGCACACGCATGGCGACGGCGCGAGTGGCAGAGGTATAGGTGGCGCAGCGTACACGGTGGGCAAAGTGAATGGCGACCACTGGTTGCTCTATATCATGGGGCCAGACGAAGACGGCGAGCAATCTCAGTTGCCCTCTCCTGTCGCTCCTCCACGCCCCTTGGGTGACACGGAGGCTGCCAACGGCGACGCTGTCACATCGAACGGGAACGCAAACACACATAACATCCATGGCGATCGCCTCACGCCGCCCAACACTGACTACACCATCGAGATCCTCATGACGCACCTCTCCCGCCGCGCAGCCAGCGCATTCGAATTCGACGAGCCTTCTACGACTGCTGGTGGCGGGGAGGAAAGTCCGCTGGAGAGGGCTCAAACTCTTTCACGTAAAATTGGCATAACGGAGCTCTTCCCGGAGGATGCGACGACGCTCGATGCCTATGCCTTCACGCCATGCGGTTATTCCGCCAACGCTCTCCTTCGCTGGGGCGAAGACGCTCCCGTCCCCGCCATCAACGGCGATGTCCATCCGCCCGCCGAAGGTGGCGAAGGATACTACACCATTCACGTCACACCAGAAGAAGGCTGGTCCTACGCCTCTTTCGAATGTAACGTCCCCCTCGCTCCAGATCATTCCTCCTCCAACGCCGCCGCCATGAGCCCTACCGACGAAGAACGAGCCAGCGCGCGTGGCCAGATCCCTGATATGCGGACCCTCATCAGACGGGTAGTCGATATCTTCGAGCCGGGGAAGATTTCGCTGACGTTGTTCATCAGCTCGGGCGTGGATGAGGAGGCGGAGCTGGGGCATAGTGCAGTGGAGAGGGCGCAGAGGGCGTTTAGGGCTGCGTTATCTGCACCTCCTGGGAAGAGGGCGCCGCCGCCGCCGGTGGACGGAGAGACGAGGGGCGGGAGGGTGTATAAGAGGACCGACAAGATCAACTACGAGTTTGGTGGGTACGATCTCGCGTTCGCGAGTTTCGAGTTGGTGGGGTGAGGTGATGTTGGTGGGGTCGGCGACATCTGTTGAAAGGAGGCATGGACGGTGTTGCCCATGTGTCTGTGCTACAAAGTAGAGCTGAATCAGACCTCACTGAAAGAATATGTGCTGCCGTTGTATACCTGTTTTATTGAATCGCTCCTGTATCGTTTATTTCAATTCTGCCTCTGTTTCTCGAGTCTCCTCTATGATGTTTCTACTATCTTCTCACGATTCTCTCTATCTAATCTACACCCTATGCTGTCGGACTTCGTTAGCTCGCCAATGTGACGCGTGAAACTCGTGAGCATATAACTCCTGGGTTCATTAGAGGTGAAAATGGTCTGCGAACATTTACAAGACCGAATTGCTATCAGAACCGTCTACAGCGGAGAACAAAAGAGGTTCACAGCTCCTCATTCCCTGCGATTATAATCAGCGATCGAGAACAGCACAATGTGTCTGCTGGTGTCTGATCCGATGGAGATAGAGGGCGGCAGCAGTGCAGTGGTCAGGAGGCAAGCCCAATCGGGTAACCCATTGTGGCTGACGCTAGGACGCGTCTCGACGCGTCGTGGGAAGCGGGGGCGCATGCTCAATGTGGCGTTTGTGTTGTGCTTTGTCCCATTGCCACAAAGCTATAAAGAGGGCCTTCGCGGCTCGCTTGGGCCTCCCTTGTTCTTCCCTCCCTTTCTTCTTGACCATCACATTGCACGCGTTTCCAACATCGCATCTATCGCAACTACAACCACAACCGCGACCACGAACACAACAATAACGGACGCGCCACACATACAGCCTCTCGTGACACATCGCCTTCTGTCCACATCGCCTGTGCTCTCAATTCGAACCTCATACAGTACGAATGATATTTCATTTGTGCACGATACGAATCTCACGTCTGCATTATCTAGTTGACCCTTCTTGAAGGATTGCTTCTTGTCCTTACCCCGGTCATCCAGACATAACGCGCCACTCACCTCCAATACTATGAACCCGAACAACACACCCGCGTCATCCTCCTCACAGCCATCAGCATACCCTCCCAGATTCTCCCTCGCCGTATTTCCTGACCAAGTCGGCTTTCAAATCGTCCAGGACGACGGGCATGGCAAGGTCCAAAAGGTCGAGAACCTGGCCATAATCCCTCCAGCTAAGCTCCGTGAGCTACAGATGTACCTTCGCTCCCGCCAAACGGCGCCGTATCCAGAACGCCCTTTTGAGGTTCTCTATGAGGGGCAGACCAAGTACGATCCGCTGTGTGTCCTGAAACCATCCTCCACTCGACCCGCACCCCCTTCTCTCCCTCTTGAGCCGCAACTTCGCCTTCTCCCTCTTCATGAGAGTGACTACTGTGGGAAGCACACGATTGGGCACCCTTACGTTGATCGCTATCTCTCGCGACCCCGTCTTACTCGACCACGGGCTAAGATCCCAGCTGAGCGTCAGGACGCTCTGCTCTTTGCTCTCGGGGCAGCGAAAGTGCTGTACGAACCGAGTCATCCGAAATATTCGTTCTTCTGGCCTCGAGACGATGAAGTAAAGAAGGAGACGATACAATTGATGTATGATGTGTGGAGTGCGTGCTCTCTCCTTTTTGCTGCCCTCTCCATCCCCGATCGCGACTCTCGAACCCCGTGCCCACTCCTTCCTGTCTTATCTGAACTAACATTCTGCTTCCATCTCCAGGTTTCGACGACTTCCCTATCTACTTGCCCAGAGCCCATCTTCCACAATCGATTCTCCTCGATGTCTCCAATTTCGTCCGTCTGCACCACGAACACCGTTTCTCCTCTAAATACGCGCGCCACCCACATTCACGCCTCGGCTATAACTTCCACCACTCGTCTTCTTCATCGTCTCACCACTCACACAAATGCACCCACGCACCACCGTCCATAGCCGTCTACAAACACCTTAAGAAGGGAGACCATGATAGCTCCCATTGGCTCCCGTATCCGAGGCAAGAATGTAACGTTTTTGATGGGATGGTGGTAGCAGAGAGTGAGTACTGGGAGGAGAAAAAGAAGCAAGCAGAAGCCGTAGCTGCGAGAGATGCGAAGAAAGTGAAAAAGAAGAGGGAGGAAGTGAAGGTGAAAGAGGAGAAAGAGAGGAAGGCTATGTGGGAGAGGACGATCGTGTCTCTCAAGGCATCGAAGGAGGCGCGTGGAGAGGTGGTGACTGAAGAACAGGTACGACGCGAGCTCGAAGGGATGCGGGATGCGGAGATGGAGTGCGTTGGAACAGAGGGCGAAGAGACCGAGGACGATATGGTGGGGGAGAAGGTGGAAGTAGAGGTGGTGGAAGCAGAGGTGGTGGAGGTAGAGGAGGTGGCGGCGCCCGAAGTTCCTGCGGCATCGTCCAAACGCAAACGCGCCCCGGCTCAGCCCAAGGTCAGCAAGGCAGCCGCAAATCCCCCGGCTCCAACCCAGGCTAAGGGGAAGGGTAAAGGCAAGAAGACCATACAGCCTGCTCCACCTCAAAATGCCGCCACCGCCACCACTTCACAACCTATTCCTGCTGCCAACCCTTCTTTGTCACCCACTCGTGTAACCGCACCTCTTCCCAAGCGCAAGAACGCTTCCAGGGGAAAGCGCGCGGCAGCTTCAAATGTCGTCGCTGTCGCTGACCCCGTTGTGGCTCCTGCTCCCGAAAACTCACCGCCACCTGCGAAACGTCGCAAGACTGGTGCAGCCTCAGCGACTAACGACCCCAGCGCCACGGATCCAGCTGCACGGAAAGCCACTCGTGGCACTCACAGTCGCTCCAAGTCCAACGAGAGCAACCGTATAGCGTTGACCAGCGACACTGCGGTTAACGTGAACGGCGAGGGCGACGCATCGGCCTCCGCTGCCGCCACTCCTTCCGGACCACTCACAACACTCCCGACCCCCCGACCTGAAGCAGGCGCTCTTCCTCAGTTCGAGTCTAGGGACGAGAAAGAGTCGGTACTGCTGGAGATTCAAGCTCAGGGGGGTTCCGAGGTTGTCGAGAATGCGAGCAAGACGAAGGGCAAGGGTAAGAAGCGGAAGGCCGAGGCTACCACCTCTGCTACCCACGTTTCGAAAAGGACGCGCCGAGCAGAGCCCGAACCTCTACCTGCACCTGAGCCCGCTCCTGGTGCCGGTGCCGCTGTCGATGCGGAGGCCATGGACGTCGACGTCGACGGTGAGGTGCAAGCTCCGCCCGTACCTGAGACCGAGACCTCGAAGGTTGCCGACGAGCAGAATACCAAGCCGAAGCGCACGAGAAAGCCCTCGAGCAAAGCGGTACAAGCTGCCGCCGTGGAAAGGGCTGCCACTGGGGGTACGGGCCCTGCTAGAGGTAGGGGCGTCAAGTCCCGCGGGGTACGTAGGACTTAGGCGCAGACCAGAGTGGATGGGAGGAAGGCGATCTCGCTGAGGAAGAAAGGGCGATCGTGGGCTATAGTGAGTCGAGTCTTCCTATATTTTTTAGCCTATCGTGTTGCAATGCCGAGGACCGTGCTGATCCTGGGCTTTTGATGATCCTAGACTCATGGTCATATCCATTGCCATCCCCGCTGATCTACTCAAATATTCGTCTCTAGGAGACGTTCCATTCGCCTTTCTATCCTCCACCCCTCGTCAGCCGCATAAGCCGAGTTCCACCTCCAACACAACACTTAGCATCCTTGAACCTTTTCGCCACACGAAGCATCCATTGTTCCCGTTCCAAAACAATTCATCTCTTTCTTCCCGCTGCCTTAGCAGATTTTCTCAATCGTCGACCACGACCACGACTCCACTCCGCATCCCATTCCTCAAGGTTTCATACCTGCCCATGCAAGCGCGCCACGCTGCGCCGTTGGGCCACATACTCGTTTTGTATCATCACACACACTTCCAAGTTGTCTGTATCGCTGATAGAGCTTGCGTGTATCTCCATCTCCATCTCTGTTGTTTTGACTGTTTTTCCACACTAGCTATCGTCTCACATCGCTTTCCACCTTGCTTACACTCGCATATCCGCTACGGATATCGTTGCTGTCTGATTTCTTATTCCTTTCCACTTATTCGCAAAGGTTTCCTCGCTCCATGACCGCACAATCATCTCTCTGTTTTTACTCTACGACTGCATTACGATACGTTTTAAACTGCTCTCTCGCTCTCTCGCTCTTACTTGCTGCTCCCATCGTTTGCTCCTCACATTATGTCTCGTTCATCCTTTGCCATCAAATGCTCTGGTATCCCCCTTTGGTCCTCTGTTTTCAATTCTCTTCTCGTCCACATCTAGTTTTCTCTTCTACCCCTCGCTCCTCCCGCACCTTACAGGTTTCACTCAGATACATACCTCTGCCGCATAGCAGCGCATGCTCCCCCCGTGTTTCTGGTACGCTTTACCGTCTTCTACCACGTTCTACGGATCTCTTTAGATATTTATCGCGGATGTATTTGTATCCTGTTCTCGTGGCTCTTGCCTTATATCCTACTACCATTTTTACATCGGTTTCGTTCTATCGTGTTGCCACACTGGCTGTAATACACTACACTTTGGTGGGCTCTGGATGCATCACTTCGAGCTCTCACCTCACTCCCAACGAATCATCAATGATGGGCATCTTCACATATGTTCGAGGCAAATGTCTGCGCGAGTCGTGATATAAGCGTCAACCTTGGCTGGTGTGCCATATTATGGCGGCCGAACGCCACTGTGGCACCATCCGCCGAAGGGTTTGAATAGGCGCCCGTACGACAAAAATAGGTTCGCCTACTTTTGGACATTCCATTGACCGTCACCCTCTTTTCGTCGCTTTATCCTGACCTCGCTATGCTGTGACTCTGAAACCTTCTGTGACATTCGATCCCTCACTGCATGCTTCGCCAACTTCACTCGGGGACAGTTTCTAGGTTGACAGTTGAAAGCATTGGCACGACTGGCACTGGCACTGCCAGTGAAGGAACAATAAATATTAAGTAACTAATTCATGATAATGTCGAAAGAAGCCGCGCCGCGGCACTTGATCCGATATCCGATGACTGTACTTTCCCAAATTGGGACGTCACTTTGAAAGAGAGTCCATTTGCGGACACGGTCGAGAACCTCAAAAGTGAAATTGGGTCTGTTACATAAGACAATCCTTGCTACCCACTGCTGTTTCCCGCGACCTGCTCTCTGGCTTTCTCCACCATCTTTGCTCCTCTCAGCCCTGTGCCCTTCTCTCAACCGTCTCCTTGTCACAATCGCAATCGCACCAAGACAAACTGTCGACGAAATATATCTACTGTCGGCGTGTACTACCGTCACGTCCTGCTCTCGGCTCCCTCGTCATATCCCTACACCCTGACACAGAGTAAACACCATGTTTTCTCGCGACTATTTTTCTCCGCCATCACCCTCGCAGACCACACGCTCCTCATCTCCCGACTCCCCTTGGTCGCCTCCCTCCCTCCGATCTAGGTTCCCCGAATCGGGGGAGCGTTTCACAAGAAAAATGACTCCCGTCCCAGGGGTGACCATCGGTCATCCATCCTCAACGACAACGCACCCTCCGGTGCCTTCGACCGCCCCATCCGTTCCACCCCTCCCTTCCAATCCGTCCGACCTCGCAGCGTTAGCGTTGCAGGCCGTGTGGAAACCTACAATACATCCACACTACAACACGTTGTGGCCTGAAAGCTACGAGGGCAAAATAGAGAGGGCGAATATGATCTTTGAAAGGTGGCCGGTGTCTAGTGCGTATCGTTTCCTCGCGTCGTTTGTTTTCCCTTCTCCTTCCCCCCCTCCAGCACGGCCACTCCCTTCTCCCTCCATATCGGTACTGCCCGTTTATTTTACATAATTCTCACACGATGCCCTATTGCTTCCAGAAAACCTCCTCCTCATGACCTCCTCCCCCGAAACCCTCGTCTCCCTCGTCATCTTCATAAGCGAGCACCACGCGCAAAAGACATCCTCCCCAGGCTATTCCTTTACCACGTGTACTCATACACGTCCCGACATGGAGCCCATTGCGGAGCACTTCGAGCTGATCGAAGAGCAATGGGGCAAGACCATTGCTGTATTCGGCGATCCCAGCCAATTCAAGGGAATACATCCAGGCGGGATTAGATGCAAGGTGTTGGAAGAGGTGCTGGAACAGAGGCGCGATGTGACGATAAGGAAAGTGACCTTGGAGAGGGCGGTGGAGGAAAGAAGGGCCAGGATGGCGGAGCAAGAGAGGAGAATGGAGGATGCGAGGTTGGAAAGAGAAGAAATCGAGCGGAAAAAGGCGGAGGATGAGAAAGCTAAAGAGCAGCAACGGGTTGAGAAGGACAATCAGAAGAGAGAGAGAGAGGAGAGAAAGAAAGAGAGGGAGCAAAAGAGACTGGAGAGAGAAGAGGCGAAGCTAAGAAAGGCGAAAGAGAAGGAAGCGAAAGCGAAAGAAAAGGAGGCGAAAGCGAAAGAAAAGGAGAAGAAGGCCAAGCAGATCCTCCCGAGCAACAATGCGCGGACAAGGACCAAGAGGGTGGATGCCGCGAAGAGGGCGGCGCAGACGTCGTCGACGCCGAAGGCAAAGAAGGGCGGGAGGACACCGAAGCCTGTTCCTACTCTTGAGCTGGAGCCTTTCGATGGACAGGACCATGATGAGGAGGCGGACGCCAACAGCGACGTTGAAGATGAGGCAGAGAACGAGAACGAGGCGACGGAGGAGGTGCAGGAGGCAGAGATGGATGCTCCAGTCGCATCTTCCTCGCAACACTCAAAAGGCAGACGCGCCCCTGCTCCATCCGACTCAAGGAAAACGGTTACCCGGAGAAAGAAGGATCAGAACGATACTCAGGCCACTCAACCTTCCTCCACTCTCGCCCCCGCCACCCCCGCTCCTTCGCACGAAACTCAGGGCTCTGACCGGAAAGCACAGACCCGTCCGGTGAAGTCTCTCCCTGGGCGCAAGACCCGCTCCGGGAACATCAGCGCTGACACGGTCCCTGCTACCACGCCGACCATCATCCCCACAAACTCGACTGCTCTTCCAGTTCCAGCGACCCCCGAGCCCGTCTACCAACGCCGTATGACCGCTCTGGGAAAGACAGAGGTCCACGGAGATCCGGAATCGGAGGGGGAGGATAAGGAAAATCTTCCGACACCTCCGCGCCCTCAGGCTCATTCATCGCCCATCAGGATTCGGATCTCGAAGTCCCAACGTCGAACTATCCAGCCCGTATCCAGTGCAGGTGCAGGCAGCAGCGAGGCAGATACTCTGCCGAGAACTCAGGCTGCCCAGGAGTCTGAGACGAATGAGCGTGGAAAGGGGAAAGGGGCTCGGGCTCCAGCCACTGCAGTGCGGGTCTCGAAGAGGAAGCGTGGCCTTGAGCCTACAGAACCTGAACCAGAGCCCTCACTGAGCCTTGATGTCGACGTCGACGTAGAGGTCCAGGTGGATGCCCACGGCGCAGAAGTCTTGCCTGGGACTGTGGACCAAGAAGAAGCGGTCCCCCAGGTTGCGACGGGTGTATCTAAGGAGCCAGAGGCATTGGGGAAGGGCAAGCGCACGAGGAGGAGTACCCCGAAGGCGATAGAGGCGGTGAAAAGTCAGAACGGTAGGGGGCGTAAGGCTGCCAAGAGGAACTGAGTTTTCCTGGAGGTCTCGATGTGTTTTGGTAAGTCATAGTCTCTCTTTCCCTTGGATTCCTCCCGTGATACGGATGCAATACTTGGATATGGTTGTTGTATCTTTTTGCCTTGGTTAGTTTCTTTTCTCGCTATCATTCAATTGCTCTCGTTGTCTTTTCAGGCCTCCCTTTGCGTTGCTCTCTCAGTCGCTACTTCTGCTCTACATGTTATGCTTTCCATCGTCTATCCAATCACACCCTTCATGATCGCTTTCCTGCTCTACCTATCATCAGCATGTTCCAGTCGTCATTTTGAGTAAGTACTCCAAAGTTTTTTGTAATAAATACTGTAGTCAAGTTTCCAGTCCATTGTTACCTATCATCAGCTCTCTATTTGGACCACGAGTCAAACCGAGAAACCAAAGCGAAAGTATGGGATGAACAATAAATTACGCGCTGTTTAGGCGACCACTATGTCTGGAATCTACATTCCCCCACAGGTTTCGAGTCGAACACTATGGCATATATAAGTGCGTTCTGAATGTCCAAGGACCAAGGCAAACCCAAGATTCCTCCGTCCTATGGGTCCTCGGCAGTCCTCAGTCATTCTGACTCTTATACTTAGACTTGTGACTCTTCCTTGGAAGCGCGGCTACCGTGACTGGTGTGTCAAAGATCAAAATCTTGAGTCCGTTCTCCACGGTTTCAGTGTGTCACGCCGTGTGGCACTCGACGCTTTGAATGGCAAGTGTGGCGTTGCTAACGCTGACTCACATCGCTTACAAACCTCCTTACACTCCTTCGGAGCCGTCTCAAACGTTAACGCTCTTGCCACAGCCGTGCTTTATAGCACCTCTTCTTCCACCTCCATCTCAAAATCCCAAACCCTCACGCCCACACAGAGAATCAAATCAATTATGGCCGACGAACAACACCTATTCACCTGCCTATCATGCTCGATCGCATTCCATACCGCAGAGGAACAGCGTATGCATTTTTTTCTACCCTTTACCTCTCTCTAGCATCGTTAATTTATTCTCGCTTTTTTTTTCTCTTTATGTGTGATCATGGCATGATTTGGGTGATATAGGTCTGCATTACCGCTCAGACCACCATCGCTATAACATGAAGCGCAGAGTGGCATCGCTTCCTCCCGTCAGCGTCGAGACTTTCAATCAGAAGGTTTTGGAGCGGAGGCAGGAGACGGCGGTGATGCTCTCGCCGAAGGGAGAGACTTGTGACATATGCAAGTGCGTCGATCGTTTTCTTATGTTGCTCTTCATAAATTTGGGAGCCCCTCGATTTTTTTTCTCCTACAACCCCTACTGCGAATTGCGGATTTTTCTTCGGTGATGCGCGATGGCTGACTGTGCGACGGTTTATTATAGTAAATCATACACTACGGAAAATGCGTATCGATCGCATATGGCTTCTAAGAAACATAGAGACAACGAGCTCAAAGCTGCCATCCGTCTCTCAAAGCAAGTCGACGAGCCAGAGGTCGAAACCGACGAGCCCGCCACAGTCGCAGAAACTGACGCCACAATGGACTCCGCAGAACCCGCCGCATCTATCGCACTCGAACCTATCGCTGAATCTGCTCCTGCTACAGGTGTCGCTATGCAGGTCGATGCCGAGGCGGACGACGAAGAGATCAACCAAACAATAGACCAAAAGATCGCTTCCGCCCGCTCGCGCCTCTCCCCAGCCCACTGCCTCTTCTGTACCACCGTCTCCCCCTCGCTCCCCGAAAACCTCACGCATATGTCCATCGCGCACTCCTTCTTCGTCCCCGAAGCGGACTACCTCGTCGATCTGACCGGCCTCATCACCTACCTCGGCGAAAAGATCGCGGTAGGAAACGTTTGCATCTATTGTAATGGGAAGGGGAGAGAGTTCAGGACGGTGGAGGCGGTGAGGAAACATATGGTGGATAAGAGCCATTGTAAGATCGCTTATGAGGCGGAGAAGGATAGGCTTGAGGTTTCGGATTATTATGATTTCGAGGCGAGTTATCCGGATGCGGAGGAGAGGAAGCAGAGGAGGGCGGAGAGGGCTGCGAAGAAGGAAGAAAGGAGGGCAGAGAGGGAGGCGAAGAGGGTGCAGGAGGAGAAGGAAGCTGGGTGGGAGGACGACGAGGAGATTGAGGAAGGGATGGAGGTCGATGAGGTTGTGGATGAGGAAGTGTCGGAGAATGATGAAGACGGCGATGAGGATACGGAGTCTGAGCTCTCCGAAGAGGAAGGGAATCAGATCACGTATGGAGACTCGCACCTCGAGCTCGTACTCCCCTCCGGCGCACGTATAGGCCACCGATCGATGCGTCGCTACTATTCTCAGTCCTTCAGGCCCACAGCACCGAGGATGCGCAACGGCAAGCCAGAGGACCCGAACTCGGGTGCGGCACTGGTCAGGAAGCTGTTGGCGGACAAGAACTCGGCGTTGGTGCCGTTGAAAGGAGGGTTTGGTGCGTTTGGCAGCGGGACTGAGGTAGTGAAGGCGAGGAATAAGGGTGAGGCGAAGGAGGCTGGGAGACATGTCAGAGAGTTTAGGGATATGAAGAGGAGGGAGAACTTCAAGACGAAGGTTGGATTCAGGCACAACAGCCAGAAACATTTCAGGGACCCGTTGCTCCAGGTATGTTTTTTGTGGTTCTACTCCGTGGCACAAGTCGCTGATATCTTCTTGTCTAGTGATTGGCACACTGTCGGATCATCATGTCGTCTGCTTGCATTTCCACACGCTTGTATCCTTTTCGAGTATTTGTAGTCCTGTGTCAGTTTCTGTAGCTGCTCTGTAGCAATTCTTGATGTGCTCTCAACGTTGTTCCTTCTCGCTTACCTTGCGCCTGAGCGCGTGGCCCACCATCCCCTGCGTCCTGATCACACATGCATGAGTTACATGCCCTTTCTTTCCTTCTCATTTCCTCGACATCTCGTCGGGCCTTTACCTCGAGTGATCGACGCGCTTGTCGTGTGTTCTCCATGTGTGCATCAAAAATTTTGAAATGGGACCGCCGGTGCCTTGAATTGCTGCCAAAAACCCTTCGACCTGTCTCCACCTCGTTTGAGGGCTTAATAAACTCCCTAAATTTGGACCAAGCTCGTGGCCCTTCTGCACACCTGAAACAAATATTCAAGGCAGTGTGAGCGCCTGGAGAACGCGACGCATTCCTGCAGCGTTCAATGCCTAGCCCACGTGGCGTAGTGGCCTGGGAGCGGTTCGAATAAACGAACAGAGCCCAAAACGGGGCGGGTTCTCGACGCTGTCGGCAACGGTGACAACCTGTGGTTTCCAAGGTCGGTCCTTATTACCTCTCTCTCCCGACTCTCATTTGCCGTCCCGTCCGACAACGTCGAGCGTCGTGCTCAACGTCCCCCACCCTCTTTAGGATACCCCCGCCGCTGGTCTATGCGCCCTCCACACCCGCCATGAACCGAATATCATCGCAATCATGGCTCCTACCTCTCCTCTGCCTCTTTTTCTTTTCTCACTATAACTTCGTCATGGCCGCGCTTCCTCTTGTCGACTTCGACCGCATGGGCAGCGTCGGCCTCGGTGGTGCGTTTGCAGGCCTCGATCTTTTCAATTCGAGCGGGTCGTCCGTCTCCTTCGACTCGTCTACCTCGACCCTGCTCTCCCGCTCATCGGACGGCGCCCTCACCCGCCTCGGGGCCACAAACTCTGGAGGCTCTATTCTCGCAGGATGCGCTCTCTCAAACACATTCTATTTCGCCGGCTCTTTTTCTTCCATCAATGGTACATCAGCCTCTAACATCGCTTCCTACTCCGGCTCCTCCTTCTCCGCGCTCGGCTCGAACGGTCCCTCAGGCCAAGTCAACGCCCTCTACTGCGACTCGGCGAACAACCAGATCTGGGCTGGTGGAGATTTCACCGACGCTGTTCTTGTATGGGATGCGAAGCAGAATTCGTGGTCGTCTGCGCCTTTCGGCGGTCTCACGGGCGCGGGAGGCGAGGTCCTCTCCATCACGACCAACTCCTCCGCATCGTCCCTCTTCTTCGCCGGTTCCTTCCTCGCTTCATTCCAGGGTAATGGAACGACCGTCAACAACACCAACAACCCTAACGTTCCATTCTCTACCGGGGCTACATCATTCTCGTCGTCACTCGTTCCCATCCCGCTTCAGGGTGCGGAAATAGAGGGACAACCGTCGTCATCGGACTCGTCGTTCAGCGATATCGCCAACATCCTGTGTCCGGCGGGAGATGATGGGGCGGGGAATACGTGGTTCGGCGCGGATGGGAGCAGTGCGCAGGTTACGGCGAGGACGTTTTCGTTCCTTAGTGCGAGTGGGATCAGGTTGGGCAACACGTTCCTTGACGGGCGTGGGACGACTGGATTCAGGTCAGTTTTTTCTCTCATTTCTGCAGCTTGAATTTCCTTCGGTCGGTTGCAGTCTCGGTGGACTTGACGGATCCCGCATCTTTCGAACATGATATCTCAAAATAGAAATGCATGTTCCGTTCTTGCTCGGAGACGGAAGCAAATCTGAAACGAGACTCCTCCATCCTCATTTTCTCCTCGTGTGCATTGGACTTCCTTTTCTGACTTCTCATTCACAGCGTAACCACCATCCCAGACAACACCGTTCGCCAACTGCACTACGTCGACCCGTCCTCAGGCCAAAACACAACCTGTACCGACCCTTGCCCACTCTCGACTGACTCCTCCGTCCTCTACCAGGACTTCACCTTTGACAGCACACTCGACATCACCGGTGTTCAGGTCACCCTTTCCCAGTGGCAAGGTTCTGGCCCCGGTCTCCACATCTTCCAGCTCCTGTCCTCCGGCGCCTTCGCCTCCGCCATCTCCAGTCAGAACAACGTTTCTTGTTTCGCTCCCGGTGCCTCAAACACCTCGCGCACCGGGACTTGGACGGAGAAAGACGTGAACACGAATATTGCTGGGACGACGGAGGAGGTTCTCGTCTCCACAGTCGCTGTAGGCACGTCCGCTGCGGATGGACCGAGCTTCACCTGGATGCCGTATGTGTCTGCATCAGGACAGTACGACATCAACATGCTTGTTCCAGGATGCACAAATTTCCAGGACTGCGCGCTGAGGACGAGCGTCCAGGTCACGGTCTTCCCCGGTGGCGATCAGAACCCATGGGTCACGACGGTCGATCAGACGAACACGGACGATGCGACGACGCTGATCTTCAGTGGTGAGGTCGTGCCTTCTTCTACGGACTTCGTCATGACCGTCGAGATGACGCTTGCCGACAACCCGACCGGAAGCGGGCAGGATGGACAATATGAGATCGTGGCCGATCGGATCCAGCTTATCTTGACGGAGGCGGCAAATTCGACTTCAAGTAGCGGTGGGAACACCACGACGACGTCTGGCACGAAAACCGCATTTGGTTTCTTCGAGTGGCCCATCGACTCGTCGAGTACCGTGAACGCCACTTCCACGCTTTCCAACTCTACCGAGACGGCCCTCGATACCATCGGGTTCGATCTGTTCACCGAACTTGGCGGTAGCTCCAGTTTGTCTTCCTCTTCCACCAAGACTGCCATCGCGGCTGTTGCGCACCACTCGTCCGGAGCTATCTTCCTCGGCGGCACTTTCACCGCTTCCAGTCCCAGCGCGAGCAACATCGTCATGTTCAAGAACGGTGCTCTTTCAACACTCTCGAACAATGGTCTCAACGGTCCCGTCACCTCTCTCGCTCTCGATGGCGACACCCTCTATGTCGGCGGTTCCTTCACCGATACCGCGTCCTCTTCCAACTCTGGCCTCCAGGGCATCGCAATATATGACGTCTCGCAAGACAAATGGTCTGCGCTTCAAGCAGGCGTTAACGGTGCCGTCAAATCGCTCGACTTCATCCCGTCATCCAATCAACTCCAGGTCGTCGGTAACTTCACGACAATACTCTCCAGTTCGTCGAGCGACACCGTCGGGACAGATTCTGCGGGTTTGGCTGTCTGGAATGCGAGCAGTAGTGCGTGGGTGAACAGTGGTGGATTCTTGGTCGGAGGGATGACGTTCGTTGGCAATGGAACGAGCACGGGAAGCACGTTCTTGGCTGGCAATGTGGCTTCCGAGTTGCAGTTTGGCGCGAGTGGAATGGTCTTGCTTACGAACGGCAACTCGGACGAGAATGAAGGAGCACCAGGAGTGACGCCCCTCGGTGTTACGCTCGATAACTCCGTCACTTCGTCCTCAAACTCGTCATCCACGAGCAGCAAGAAGAGACGATCGATCTTGCACGCTCACGCCCGTTCTTCGTCTTCGTCTTCATCTCTGGCTGCCAAGACTTGGATCCCCAACATCAAGATTCCTCGCATGTTCGCTCGTCAAACTTCCTCTTCGAGCCTTCCGGACCTTCCTACCGATCCCACAGCACCCGCACCCGCCGTTCTCGCAGGCGCGTTTTGGACTAACACGACGTCTGGACACGAGATCGCGATCATGGGCGGGAACTTCTCCTTCACCAACGGTTCCACCACCTCCGAAGCTGTCGCCTTCTACGATCTTAGCACTAGCACCCTGTCTCCCCTGACTGGAGATGGAACCCTCAACGGCACCGTCCGTACCCTTCTCGTCCAGGACGACATCCTCTATATCGGTGGAGAGTTCAACATGGTCGACTCTTCTTCGTCTTCCACCGTTAATGGTTTCGCGATCTATGACCTCGTCAATCGCGCGTGGCAGATCTCGTCGCTTCAGGCTTTGGGCGCTGGTTCCACCTCTACTGATGACGTCGTCGTGAGGTCGATCACGGTGTCGACGAGCGATACGGATAAGATCATTGTGGCCGGGTCGTTTGTGCAGGCTGGGAGTTTGTCGTGTAAGGGGATTTGTTCGTGGGGTGCGAGTGAGAAACAGTGGAATACGCTTGGGAGTGGGATTACGGGTGAAGTTGCGTCGGTGGTGTATGCTGGTGTACGTCTCCTTTCCTACATTTCCTTTCCTTTCTGGCACTTCGACTATGGAAGCTGACCGTGTATTGCGTTTTTGGGTCGTGTTTGTAGAGCAATCAAGAGACACTTGTTGCGGGTGGTTCGATCTCGTTAGATGGTGGGAGTACGGCAAGTTATGTTGCTCAGTACACGTTCTCGAACACGAGTTGGAGTACCGTTGGTGATAGTAGCTCGCTTTCGGGCCCTGTCACTGCCGTCGAGGTCAACAACGGCAATGCGAGCAGTATCTTCGCTGCTGGACGGTATGTGTGATCCTCTTTTTCCTTGTCTTGTCCATTGATATACTCATTGTGACACAGATCCTCCGATGGCACGAGCTCCTTCATGTCCTTCTGGAACGGCCAAGCGTGGTCCACTCTCGACTCGAACTTTGCCGATGTCACGAACGTCACTCAGCTTACCATGGTCCCCCTCCAGGACACGCACTCCGCTAACAGCATCGTCGAGCAGGACAGGATGCTCATGATCTCGGGCAGCTTGCAGGACTCGTCGTTCGGGAACGCTTCGGCGGTGCTGTTCGATGGGCAGAGCTTCATTCCGTATATCGTTTCTAGCTCTAGCGACGGGTCGCCGGGTGTGGTGTCGCAGTTGTTCAGGAGCTTGTCGACGTTTAGCTTTACCCAGAAGCGTGAGTGACCTTGCTTTGGATTCGTTCGATTTGATGTGCTCACCGAGGTCTTTTGAATTTCTAGACTTCTTGGCTACGGGTATCGTGATCCTCATATCTATAGCCATCGCTGCCGGTGTCGTCTTCCTCCTCGTCCTCATCGGCATCCTCTGGACGCTCTTCTCCCGTCGCGACGACGCTCTCAACAACAAGTACGATGCCGGTGCCGAAGGTGAAGAAGATGACGAATCAGCACACCACAGGCCCTCATCGCTCCTCGCACACATCAACGCAGCAACGCGCACCACCATCCTCGGTACCCAAAGCCCCTTCGACCAGTTCAACTACGAGAAGGAGGCCGCGGCCGCCGCCGCCGCAGGAGGTGCTGGGGCTGCGATGGCCGCGCACGAGCACGGTCAGGGGTATGACGACGAGGGCGGTGCGACGGCGGAGGGGGCAGGCCACGATGCGTTTGGGCCGGATGGAAGCAATTATTTGAGGGCGGAGACGCCGTCGGATGCGATTGTGGGAGGGATGGGGGGCGATGAGGATGTGGGGAGGACGGGGCATGCGAGGTTTTCGTTTGATGGGTCGGGAGATGGGGAGTTGGCGTTGAGGGAGGGCCAGGAGTTGGAGATTTTGGATGATAGGGATCATTCGTGAGTTTCTTGATTTCGCTCTTCGAGGATCGGGAACTTTGACTGATTGATCGATCTTTGTTCGTTTTTTCTCTAGGTGGTGGTATGCACGAGACCCGAGGTCTGGGGCGGAGGGTGTTGTCCCCGCCGCGTATCTGTATTAGTGATAGACCGTCCGTTTCTATACCTTTTGTCCTCTGTCTCGACCTATGCCATCTATCTTCTTATGAGTATCCTTCTTCTCCCCATCTGTCGCAACCTTACCCTACCCCACTACCGAGATATCCACCTTCACTCCCCACTTTTGTCTTACATCACCCATCAAACCCCGTCCCTCCTCTCCCCTACTTTTGCTTAGCCTCGACGTCGCCGTCGATGGACTTTTTTAAGGTACATACCCCTCCGTTCGACAGTATATTATATCTTTGGGCCCATGTATGGAAATCGTCCGTGGAAGAATGTCAACACCTCGTTCCTCCTGGATATTTCCCTGGTGTTGCAGTCGGTTGCCGATAATGGTGTTGGGTAACTGTAAATCCAGTTCGTTTGTTGTGGTCGTAGTTCTGCTTCTGATCATCTGTCGTTCTACTTTTTTTCTACAGCCTCTTTGTCCGATTTTGGCATCTTTCATCCGATCTGATTTGTCGATACCGCAAATGTTTTCGTTGCTGTTCTCTTCGCTTGGTTCAAGTACTCTGGATTTTCCGCCTTTTTTCCCGCTCGTTTCCCGCTTTCTTTTTTTCGTCTTTTTGATTTGGACCACGGACCTTTTCTAGTTACTGTATTTTTGGACATATTGGATCTTGGGTGTGTCAACCTCATGTCGCGTTTCCTGTTCATTCGCCCGTTCCATTGTTCATCGTTCGTCGCATGTCAGATTTAGAATCCACAGTTATTGTCACGGTATACCATGCTGATTCTTGCTGGGTACAAGTGCGGGGCCCAGCCAGGACCCAACCTCTGAGCGCCGGTGAATAGTTACTAGCAATCGTAGCACCTGAGCACAACCATACACATGCAACATCAAAAGCCAGAACACGGTAAGCATACAACATCCTTCCTTTAGCACAACAATCATAACCTTGTAGTGAATGTCTGATGATGATAGACTGCGGGCGGGTTTCTTCTCCATTCTGCGGGTGCTAAAACTGTCTTCGCACTCCTGTGATCCGCTCCCCATTCTTCAAAAATAATCTGATACGTCTTCCTCACCCAGTATTCCACCGACTGCCAGTCTGAGTGGACTGCACACCTTGCGACCATTTCCTTCGTCAAGTCCGCAATCTCTCCAATATAGCCTTCCTTTTTCATGACACGTATGATATCCATCACTTCCTGCAGGAACCGCTCTCCTTGGAACGGACCAGTGAGGCTTTGCAGGCCACCATGCATCCTCGCAATTTCGGAACGACGTCTATCGCTCTTCTCTCTTTCTGCACTGGGCAACATGCACACGGTGCAAGCGCAAACGAAGCCCCAGCTCTTCTCGAGGATTGCGCGCCTTTCGCTTCGAACGGCCCTGTGACGCTCTGGAGGCCCCAAGAACGAGACCTCGATTTCTTCTCCAACGGCGATATCCCGAAGTGCGTATATTCTGAGCTGTCCGCTGCCCTCGTTCCAACCGTACCGGGCATTTCGCATGCAGCCATGGTTGAAACGCGAAGCCGCGAGGAAGACGGACTCCAGAGCGACGCCGCGGGTCTCTGTTGCGAAGGCATTTGTGCAGTAGCGATCCACGACGGGGTCATCGTAACGATTGACTGCACCTGGGCTGAGCGACATGAAGGCCTCTCTCTTGGACTCGTTGAGGCCGGCGACTGTCGACTTGATGACAAATCGCTTTTGGGACCCGATAGTGAAGATAGGTTTCTCTGCCAGGATCATGTCGCCACGCTGGAATATTCGAGTGGCGAATGCGCCTAGTCCCTTGCCTACAGACTCCTTGACCTCAAATCCATCGTTCATGATTGACTCTCCTTCCGATGCGGATATCTTCTCGCATTGATCCAGGAGGGGCGTCCACTCCCCGCCAGCGTCGCTGAATGCCCATATATCTGCGGTGTGCAATAGAAGACGGTGGCATGGCCGGGCATCGGTGATATTCTCCGATGCCTAAAGACAGGATACTCACCATGTTTGGCTCCCCGGAAATCCTTTTGTTCTCGCCTTGCAATCGACCTTCGATAGAGGGCCTTCACCTCTCTAGGTGAAAGCGCAAGCGCTTTAGTGGCGTCTCCTTCGGCGTCCGGCCACCTATACGATTGAGACGATGAATACAATGCCTCCCTCAAAGAAGTTGGTGCTCACATCTCAAGCTTCAGGTAGGTCATGCATCTATTCAAGGGGTATGCGACATTAGTCGGCTCGATCTCCATCGCTCCTGTGTAGAGACGAAGGGCTTCGTGATAATCTTGGGCTCTGAATGCAGCATTACCCTAGTGTAAAGGTAGAACCCTATGTCAGATATAGAATCGAACTCGATGTACACTAGCAACATCAGCTTGATTGACACGAACCTGCTCTTTCAAAGTACTTGCAGTTATTCCCGTCATGGCGTGTTGAGATATGTGGCCGACGAATGTTTTTCTTTAGTGGTCGAGGAGGTCAGAAGTGGATTACGGTGGCGGCACTCAAGAAAGTGACCTCGAGGCTACCTCAAGGCTTTGATTGTCCCAGGCATGAAGTAGGCGCTCGCACCCAAAATTAGGACTCTAGGTGGCCGAATCGAGAAATCTTTGAACAGTTGGAATGACAAGATGGAAGCCTACGTCTAGAGTGACGAAATCATTCCTGGGAAAGGTATGATGCTGTCCGATGTCCAAATGAGTATAACAGCGCAGAGATTGCCCACTGGGAGACGGCAGCAGTGAATAAAAGCGACTCGAGGTTAGACGTCGACTGAGTGACATAATGACAGACGTTCATAAGCATTGGTCCAGAAAATTAACAGAGAGATCTGTCCAATGCTCTATGCTTCAACAGAGTTAAAGGATAAGTTCGATTCGTTCTTGGTCAGCGCGTCCGAGGATGTTTGCCAACTCGGACTTTGTACTGGCTATACCTTGTTAACAAGATAATTGCATCTTCTGAGAGAAAGGACCATCGGCAGTACTGTGCAGTACTAGCTATGCTCTCGAAAAATTGTTCCTTTGCTTGTGAGAGGAAGAGTCACGGTACAGTAGAGTTCGGCCAGATCGGGACGAGTCGGGAAGGAGACCGTCATATGTGGCCTCACGTGGCGCCGTTGATCCACACGAACTTCGCGATTCGAAATTCGAGCCTTGCTCTTGCCTTGTTGAGTCTTGACCGGTTTGACCACTGGAGCCCGGAACGAAAACTTTTGCTTCGGTCTCTCTTTCTACACAACAGCACTACTAGTGCCATGAAGATATCGGCTCTGCCCACGGTAGTCGATGCTATCTCCACTCGAGCCATCTACTCTTCGCCACATGTGGCGTCGCCTCCTCTGGGTGCTTTCTCTCGACGGTCGTCCAGCTTCAATTCATCTGAATGCTCCCAAACTCCACCATCGTCTAATGACTCTCTTTTTGTGGATATGGGTCTTGAAAAGTATATTTTGTCTGACTCTGACTCTGACTCTGAGATCCTTCCCTCTCGAGATCATTGCTTGGAGACTACTAGTACCGACTACTCTTCGCAGCCACTGGCAGACGACACACTTTCTATGACTTCCGATGACGGCATACCTTACAGTCAACTCGAAGAACCTGCTGGTCCATCTCAGAGCTGCTCACAAGCCCAAGCAATCTCTCAGGACTCCGATGATTACGATATTTTCGCTATGCTTGACCCTACGGATTCTGGATCTGATGAGGCTCTGATCGAGGTCCTCCTGAACAATATTCATGCTCCCTTAATCGTGGAGGAGCCTGAAGAGGACGAGATTTTACAACAGGAAGATGGTGACGAGGAGGCTGGTGAGGAGGGCGAAGGCCTCGACGCACGGTTTGTCTAGTTGTTCTCATCCTGATTTTTGTGGCTCAAGACTCAAGACATGCGTAGAACTCAGGCTATTCAAGGGCTTGAAGGATTGATTTTGTCGTTTCTCAGTCAACTCTGCGATGCATCTGCGGTATCAGATGACTCAGATTCCGAAGAAGACTCTATGAGCCCGAAGGCAAAAGCGAAGAAAACATCAGGAAAGAAGATTGAAATGCAGATTCTGGATCGCAAGAAGTCACCGGTCGACGGGTATACATACGCTCTCTACAAGTCTTGTGGCGCTTTGAACTAACACCCCTCTGTTGACCTCTAGTGTTTCACCCATGCGCACAATCAAGTTCCCTGGACGAGGGAAACATGCCAGCTCGCGAGTCTTTGGTGCGTGTGTGAATGTATGCGTTTTAATTCGAGCCAAATTTATGGATTCTTCACCCCAGCCCAACTCTTCCGGGTTATTGACGTGGCACATGAAGCTTTAGTCAACGATGTGCCTATCACCAAACGGTAAGCCTCGTTTAGTCTCCTTCAATGCACTGCACAAAAATTATTAAATTTTCCTTTGCCGCATACAGAGACATACACTATCAAGACGTTGCACTTTTCAAGTCTCAGAGAGTGGTGGACCAGGTATGTTCGCCTCCCTTCTCCGCCATAGTCACGGAGCATTCTAATGATACAGCCAACAGCTGATCGACGACATCTCAGCTACCATCGGCGTTGGAAGAGGGGATCTGAACGTTGTACGTTTATCTCGTTTCGGGGCTACTTGCCAACGATTCACTGACTCGTTGCTGCGTCTTTACTCTCAGCGCGCCTCTTCTAAAGGCCTTATATGCGGTTCTTCACTGGTCCTTCATCTCGTCGATGAAGGAGAGCTGGCTGTAACCGACTCGGAGGTATGGGAATATTCTGGAGCTAACTCTTCAGATTGACTTTACCTTCTTCGGGCCCACGTTTCAGGGATCTTTGATCCCCGTTGCTGAGGACATCGCTCGCTTCGACTTGAAGACAGAAATTCATTGGGTCCTGATTGTTGAGAAGGATGTATGTGATTATCAGGAACTGTATCTCAAAAAAGTTTTCTAACATATCAAGTCCCCTTTTCCCAGGCGGTATTCCAGACGCTTTGTCGGCTGCGCCTCACATATCATCCATCCCTACCAGGACCAGGACTAATCGTCACGGTGCGTAATTCTGTACTCGCACAAACCATGCACATATTGCTAACGGTGTCAGCTCTATAGGGTAAAGGATACCCCGACCTCGCCACCCGCCAACTCGTGAAGACACTCTCCGACAATCTTCCCGAAACGTTTGCCCATTTCTAAATGCCTTTCCCGCGATCGACACTGCTCTTATATGTACTCTCATCGCCTACGCAGGGTACCGATTCTGGCTTTGGTTGATGGGGATGCATACGGAATCGACATCGTCTCAGTCTACAAGTTCGGCAGTCAAGCGCTCAAGCATGAGAGTGAACGACTCGCTGCTGAGAGGGTGCAGTGCATTGGGCTCTGGTCGAGCGAACTCGGGGAGTACGTCACAGTCTTTGCCTCTTGATTCGTAATCGGGCTTGTTAAGCTGACACTGCGTGCGCTCTGCAGGCTTGGGATAGACAACAGCTCTCTACTTCAGATCTCAGCTGCCGACGAGAAAAAGGTTCGTTCTTTTTGCGCATCCTTCCACGCTAGTATAGCCCTCCTTCAGTGTATCTTCCCGCTTTCGATGCCGCGCTGACTAACTGCTATCATCAAGGCACGGAATCTGCTCCTCAGAGCGGATCCGCTCCTTCCAATGAGGTGGAAGAAAGAGCTCCAATCGATGCTCTTCACGCGTCGTAAAGCAGAAATCGAGATCCTCTCGTGCGCTAGTATCCCACCACGACCAAGTTCTTCGTCGAACATCACTTTTGAAGAGGATAGTGGGAGTGGGTACGAGCACCCGTTGGTGCGGTATCTGGTTCCGAGGATCAATGCAGCCGTAGACGAACTAGCAATGAATGTAGAGATGGGTTGATCGTATACTGTCGCTGCACCGAGAAGCTATACTTAAAAGGATTCATCGCGTAAACGTATACAACTTTGCCAGTGTCAAGGGTGGGTAAGCAATAATACAGTAGTCCTAACCTCGAGTAAGTGTACATCCGTATGTGTGCAAAAGCCACGAATCAATACTCGCACAGTTATGATGCGAAACAGAACTCAGCCCAACTATCGCCAGAATATACAGAACAGAAGGTCAGCCCCTTATCATGCACCATTTACGAAAAAGAATCTTACAAAGGCGTCCTCAGACCTCTCTATGCCCATTACTCGTCATATCCTGACTGAGAGTCGCCTCATAACTCGGAGGAGGAGCCTCCTCGTCCCTCGTCCTCCTCCGTACCCTCCGTGTGTTCCTTGTCCCTGGTCGCACACTGACCGTCGGCGAAGGAGGTCCCGCATCCGACTGATCATTCGAATCTGTAGGTGACCTCGGAACTTCATCGACCTCGTACAGGGCTGGATCTCGACTTCGTGGGTAGGTGGGCGACTGATTTTGCACAGACATGGTGGGATAGCTGATTCCATCCCCACCAGTCTGACTCGTGATTCCTGCCTCTTCCTCCTTCCTCAGATTCCCAGTCGCTGCGCCTCCCACCGCTCGTTCTGCGTCTGCCTCATTCGCGACGTTAGGCGATCTAGGCGTAGGAATCGCCAGAGGTCTCGGCACCCGACTGACATGCGACCTCTGCGATCCCGACCTCGTCATAGCACTACCGCTCGCATGAGAACCCCTCCTGAACAAGAACGGCGGGCTTCGTCCAACGACGCCCGTGAATACTGACGAGAGAAGCGAAGTCGGATGGTCATCTGCCATGCGCATCTCCGGGTGTCCCGTTGTGCGCGAGTGCGAGTCCCGGTCGAATAGGATGCTCGGGTCCGTGCCACTGGAGAGGAGATCGATCTTGTTCTTTTCGCGTCGACGGAGGGCTTGTCGGTGGCGGTAGCGACCCCAGAGGTAGAAAGCGACGACTGCCAGGATAAGAAGAACGAGAGCTAACGAACACCACGGTTAAATAGTGGACATCAGCAGGACGTTGTAGTAAGGCAAGATGGAGACCAGCTTATCGTACCCGAACCCAAAGCTATCCCGACGATCGCGCCCGTGCTTAACCTTGGACCAGAGTTCCCGTCGAGCGACTGAGAACCTGAGGATACGCCGGAGGATGAAGTCGTTGGTGTTGTAGTGGATGCTGTCATAGAACCTTTGGAGAAAGGACTTGTGGCTGTAGGGGTTGGACCATCGCCGTCTGTGTCACTGTGTCCACCGAATGTCATCATAATCGTACAGAGAAATAAAAAGGTTATTAGCACTTACCCAGAACGTGACGATCCACCATCCGGACCACCTCTCGCACTGCTCATCATGGGTTGAAGCAAAAGCAGAACAGTCAGAAATCCAATCCTGCTTTTGAGGCTGCACCTCAAGCTCGACACCGAGATTGTAGTTGTGCAGGCTAGCATCATGGTGATGGTGGTCGGAAACAAACAGACAAGAAGGTGTGCGCAGCAGGCTGTGTGCGAGTCCAAGAAAGTACGCAGGCTTGAGCGTGCGAGAAGCGTTGAAGAAACTGAGGTATGTTCCCATGCTTAACCTGTTTTTAATGCGTGTTCTGCTTGGCGTTTCTCGGAGCGATAGATCCAAGGAGGTGAGGTAATGGGTGTTGGGCGAATGAGGTGGAATGCGTAGCTGACTGAGAAGGTCCGCGGAGGAAGGTAAAGGGAGACACCATAGTAAGAGCGCAAAGGAAGAAATATGTCGCGGATGCTGATGTGCTGGTCGCGGAAAACAAAAGGTCATTGATCTTCAAGCCAAGTTAAATGAAACAAGAGACACAATATCATGGGAGTCACAGCCTGTGCCACACGGATCCCCAAGTACCATACAGCTACAAATACAGCGCAACGATAGGCAGCTACTCTCCCCTAAACGGTTGATGAGATTAAATAGACCACAACACAGGATGCAGGACAAACGTACGATATATGCACAACCACCCCGGGCCTCATAAGAAATCACGGAATGGCTTGATGTCGCTGAGTTGCTGCTCAATCTCTGAGCGCCATTTCTTGAGGTCGTTGGTACAACAACCTCCCTGACCCAAGTTTCTGCGGTGCGCACGGAGTTTGAATAATTCATCGAGGTTCAGCAACGAAGGGATGTTGTTAACGATCTGGTCGAGGATAGGAAAGGCGTATTGATCAGGCCACCATTCGCAAAGCGCCCCACCATTCCCTCCTTTCCAGCATGTGACATGCCCAGAAACTTGCAGAGTGACCGCTTTGCGACCTATAGCAACCCATTGCTGGTAATATAGGTAAGACAAAACAAAAGCAGTCAGAACCATACCTTTCGGGATCACTAAAGCCAGTATGGGTAGCTAGACAATAGACACACCCAAGGTACTACCAGATTTACAGGCAGCATCTTTATCATCTCTTCAAGAGGAATCTTGAGAGCTTGGGTCGCTGCCCCGTCCAGAACATATGGGTAGTTGTGTGTCGCTGCATACGCAACTATGGCGGAAGAGTGTTCAGGAATATGTTTCCTAGGAAGATAAAAATTCATTGTCAGTATATCATGCGCCGACTGAGAGCGGGCGTCCGCGTTACTGACCGAATGCATTGTTGGCAGTAGTTCATGGCAGAGTACACTTGGTATCTCTCTGCAGCCTCTGCGACAGCGAGGATGGTGCTGAATTCCTCGTTGTCTAAGGACGGGTGCCGCCGCGGATGGATGAATTCGAAGAGTAAATACAACGTCTTCGAGTCTTCTGCTAAGGTGACAATCTCGCTGTCATTCGAGTGGACCTCTGTCGGTGGAAGACCTCCGGTATTACACTCGAGATATTTCGTGTGAATACGGAAGTGGACGGCATCGCTGGACTGAAAGACAACGTCGGCATCGATTGAATCTGTGAAGTCAACAATAGTTATACGCGCTTGTGATCGTCAACTTTATGTGGGACTTCCCGCCATTCTCAAATGGACGGCTCTATTGAGTGCGAAATGAGGGTACTCACAGCGCTGAGAGATCCCTGAGGCTGTTGTTGTCGACATCTAGTAGCACTTAGATGGGCTGTGAGTGAGGGTAACGAACAGGAGTGCATGGAACGGAAGTTATACCGTCTATATACGCACGGACATGCTGCAACAGTGAGGCTTAGATGAAGATACTCTCAACCCTGATAAGAGACTTCACGAGACTCGAGATGTAAATGAAAAGCTTGCGGACCGAAAAGGCGCCTAGGGTACGGTATGCTGTGGCGAAGGAAGAAAGGACTCGCCACCTCAACCGTATACAGATCATCAAACCCATGGCTGTGACTGGCCGCATCCGATCCGACAACGATGACAAGATAAGGTCCTGACAACGTTGAGAGCACGTCGGAAGCATATAAATAAAATATCAGACAAAGCGCTCAGAAGTGAGTAAGGCAGGTGGTTGCAGCGAAGAAAGTGATAGAAAGAAAATAATATCCAATAACGCCTTAAACACTGAAGCCACGTGATGAACGCGTTCGAACACGCGCGCGACGCGACGCGTTGAAGTGAACGTGTGCTTAGGTAAGACGTGTTTCAGTCTCCGCCGGTCGTATAAACCCGGGCGGTTTTGGCGAGACTCTCTTCTTCTTCGTCGTCGTGTTCGTCGTCGCCCCCGCTGCCGCTCACATCGTCGTCCACATACACTTCGTAATCGCTATCGCTCACAATGAACACACCTAAAACGCCAACTAAGCACTCAGTTTTGGGTAAGCGATCCCATCGGACACAGTCGGACGACGCACCGTCGTCGCCAGCGTCGTCTTCCGATTGCTGTCAATCGTCATCATCGTCGGACACTGGCTTCACCGCAGCCTCATCTCCAGACCCAATTCCATCTCCAAAGCGTCTGAGGTCAAACTCCTCTATCGTTGATGATGGAAACAACAAGGAAAATATACCACCGTTCAAGGGTGAGGTAATCAACGACTCGCCCAGGTCTATCCGATCTCTTCGTCGTACTGCAACAGAACACCAATCCCCTTCACGCCCTCGTAGTAGTACGTTCAATGCATCTCTTTTCACACTATCTTTTGGCTCCCGATGCTGATGTCGGCATCATTAGCTCCGCGCCGTCACGCATCCATGTCCCACGTTCCTGTGACGCCGACAACGCCCGCGACCGCTATCTCCCGACTCAACGTTGACACCCCTCCCCCTACTCCTTCAGGCCTTTGCCTTCCTATTCATGCACGCGCCCGTGCTCTCCTTCGCGCTACGTGCAACAGTACCGCTAGCATTGCTGGTCGGGAATCAGAGCGGGACCTGATCACGTCATTCGTCGACTCCTTCCTCGTCACGAAACTCAACGAAGACGTTCTCGCCAACCCCGTTCTTTATATTTCAGGCTCCCCTGGGTGTGGCAAGACTGCTCTCGTGAACGCCATCCTCACCGGTCTTGAGGTTGAAATGTTTGAGAACCAGGTCAATGTCGCTATGGTCAACTGTATGGCCATGAACAGCCTCGACGGCGTCTGGGATAGATTGTTTGAAGAGCTTGGTGGCAATCGTGGCAAGGGCAAGAAGGGGAAGAGCTGTGACCTTGTTGATGGGTTGCTGAAACGTCTCCAGTCTAAATGGTATGTCCTCGTCAATACGTCTTACGTCCGATTTGTGTCTAACATTATCTTCTTCCAGCATCCTTGTGCTCGACGAGATGGACCATGTCGCAAAGACGTCGCAATCCCTGACCGCGTTGTTCTCTCTCGCTCAGAAACACGCATCAAAACTTCGCATCGTCGGTATCGCAAACACTCATACCCTGACTTCTGCTTCGAACATCTCCCTCCAAGGAGCCTCTGGTGTCAAGACTGTTCACTTCGCTCCGTACGAGCCATCCCAACTTCTTGACATCCTTCACGCTCGGCTTGCTCCCCTCACCGCCGAAGACTCTAACGTCACCCAGGAGATCCTGCGGAAGTTCCTTCCTATTCCTACCATCACCCTCCTGTCAAAAAAGATCGCTGCCCAGACTGGTGATGTTCGTGCCGTCTTTGAAGTCCTGAGGAGAGCGATCGATGTCGCTATAGGCCAGTCTACGACCATCAACTTCAGCGAAGATATCCCTCCCACCGTCACACCTGCACACATTCTCACTGCCCTTCAAGCTTACGCTCCAGCTTCGAAGGTCACCGCAGCTCCTGCTCCACGTCCCTCGTTGTTCTCTGGCTCTGCCCAGAACGTACCGACGAAGCCCAAAGCAGCTGGCAGTGCGACTGTCACACAAGTCCGCAACCTCGGCATCCAAGCCCAACTTGTTCTGTTAGCTCTGCTGGTCGCACATAAACGTCTCCAAGCTGGCCTCTCCCCATCGTCTTCTACGATGTCTGCCTCGTCAGTCGCGCCCCGTAGCCCAACTAAACTGAAGCGAAGCGCATCCACGTCTGCCTCCCTCTTTTCACCGGCCAACACAGCCTCCAATCTTTCGATCGATGTCTCTCACCTCCACGCCCTTTATACTACCATCCTCACCCGCGACGATGCCAGTAACTTCACCCCCGTCTCGCGGTCCGAGTTTTCCGACCTCGCGGGTATGCTCGAGACCCATGGCCTCGTGAACCTTGTCTCGGCCGCATCGATTCCTGGCTCACCGACGAAGAGCAAGGCTAGGAAGTTGTCTCGGTCGAGTTCGTTTGGAGGTGCGAAGGCGCTAGGGGGACAACAAGATGTGAAATTGGCGGAATGTGTCAGGATGGACGAGGTCTTGAAGGGTCTAGGCATCGAAGTCAACGATGTGGATAAGACGAAGGGCGACACGGGTAGTGATATCTCCGAGGAGGAGATGAGGGAAATCTGGCAGACCGAGATGCAGAAGGTGAAGAAAGAGGAGAAGGTTGCCACTATGAAGAGCCGAGGTGCGGTGAAGAACGGCTTCGAGGGCGCCATGGAATCGTGAACGTCTCTTCGGGCTTGGCTCTAGCGTTCGAGCTTTGTCTTATGACTGCCTGTCTACTGCTTCTCGGGACTGAGGCCTGAGGACTCCAGAGCTACCTGGACGGAATCTAGTGCAATGTCTCTGCTTCCGCATTGTCTTCGTCGACTGTTCCCTGACTGTGGACTGCAGATTTATTCCCTTTTATCTTTTCCTCCCATTTCTATCTCCGATCTTCGTCACTGTTCGTCCCGAATCATCTCGATATGTGCATCACCATAGGTTTCTATGCGTGCTGGACGTATCAATTATGGCCATCCCCCGTCTCTCTTCGTTCCTCTCACTCTGACATCTCTGGATGCACGTATCTCGCTGTGCCCTAGTAGTTTTTTCCACGCACACCATCGTCGTCGTCGCTATCAATATCCGCGTTCGCCTCTTTCTTCTTCCTTGTTGCTTTATTTTTCTTTTATATCGTTGTGTTACCTCATTCCCATTTTCATCCTTCCACTTCCCTCCACGAGGCGGGGCTCCGGCCTCCCGAATACCTCTTCACCTCCTTCCATACTTCGCGTCCTCCGTCCTGCTACCTTCACCCTCCCTCTTTGTTCTTCATCATTCCTGTTCATACGTTGTTTTCCCGAAAGGTCTCTTCGTCTGAGTTCGTAGTCGTTCGTCGTTCAGAAGTTCACGTCGTCACAGTTGTCGTTGTCGTTGTCCCTTGTACAATTGCAGAGTGGCTCGCCACACTAACACTCCATAGTTTCTGATAACTTTGGTGATACAGTGGTCGAGTTCTCATTTCTGCTCAGGATCTGGTCTGATCAATGTAAACAAACTATCTTCGGTTCGTCTGCGTGTGTTGATGGTCGATTCTCTACGAGTTTACTCTGCACGTTGTGAGCGGGAGGTCTACAGCTGTCTACAGGGAACAAATCTTGATAAGAGCTCTGCTCAGTGCTGTGGCACAAACATTGTGGCTCTCGACGTTCTCACCCGGTACGTTCCGTTTTGAACTCCGATTCGGACCTCTTCGAACTTACTCCCGACACGATTGTCTTCCTCGATAGGCTTTGAGTCTGGAATTCGAGACTAGCTCCCGACATGACTACGTCTTCCCATGTCGCCAACCTTAGAGTCAAAGCACAAGGTTTTCCGGCTTGCAGGACATCGTAGGACGGTGCCCTGTTGATCGTCAATATTGGTCATAGTAGACATTCCGATAATTTCTTGAACTGTGGCTCTTGAACCTAAAGGTGGTATCGTATTCAATATGGATTGGACTTGCTTCGACCGTCGTATTCCGTCCCTTGTCATTGACTCGATCCATCATACAGACTATCGACTAGTCTGGTGTCAGTCCTCACTTTAGTCCCTTTCAAGGTCGGACTTCGGTGTTTCTTGCAGGTTCGCTATGAATGGTCCATTAAAGACTTGGTTCTGTGCCTGTCGTCGAATGGTAGCAGACATTATGAGTTCTGTCATATCCTTTGGACATGCTTGGGAGAGGTATACACTCTTGCCATTTATGCACTTCCTGAGTGATTCTACACTGATAACACCCAAATTGTTGCGGAGCTGCGGCGAATCTTCCTAACCCTGGTCCGTGCTTGAATGCTGTTTCTGCTTCGGTCGCCGATGTGTCCAATTTCATTGGCAATATCATCAATTCCAGTTGGACAATCGTGTTTCATGCCTTGCCGACGGACATTCGCTTTAGTTTGTGCTACATCGCCACTGCATGTTGCTGCCGTACGCATGCTCTTCAGTGCCGCCAGTAGCTACTCACTGCCCATGCGCTATGGTCTTCCGTCCTTCCGTATAAGGGTTCGTCTTCGTAAAATGTGCCGTTTATTATCTTTGACTTCGATCACAAGAATGCCAGACCTTACCGCGCTGGCCATAAAGGCTGGGGCGACTCAGATCTATGTTTGGTGCCCCACAGTGCGTCAGGAGGAAAGAACCGGGATCCGCTTGTGACACCCGGGATCAACATCGCCCTTTGTTGTAGTACATAGATCGGATCAGGTGCCCTGGTCCCCTTTGTTCTCGTTCGTTACTAGGAGAACCTGGCACTAGACACTCTTGGTCCGAATCTCGTTATGTCATGGCCGTCGGACTATATAACGCGCCCTCTACCAGCGGGCCTTCATCTCTCCACAGCACTACACCTCCCCCCTCAACAGCACCGACAGGCTCCACAAAGAGTATACCTCAATAACAACAGCGGCTCTACTCTCACCATCATGGCCAACGCTACTCAGAGCGTGGCACCCTTCCGCATCGAGCCTTGGACCGACAGTCTATTCGTACCCCTTCCGACTTTCATCCACAGGACACTGCGCTCGATCTCCCAGGCGACAATGCCAGACCGCAAGTGCTTTAACGAGGAGCTTATTAATACCCTCGTTTCTCTCCCTTTTGAGTTGGCCGCTATCTCGGCGTTCGGTCCCCAGTGGTACGTAGACATGGTTGAACACGCGAGGTCTCCCGAGGACAACGTACCGGGGGTCTTGCCCGACGTGGTGAAACGGTGGGCAGATATTCAACAAGTCATCTCCGGGTCGGATTCCCGCTATTTAGCTGTGGTACCCCGAGGGTGGGCCTCCAGTATGGAGGCGAGCTATCTGCAAAAGCTTCGACTACGACTTATTCAAGAGGTCGATAGCGAAACCAACAAGAGACCGTCTATTGACCAAGGCAGCGGCTTCGATCCATTCTTCAGGATCCCGGTTTTCTATCAAATCTTTGACATACTAGCGTATACACACCGCAACCACGAGACATCCTTCGAGATGCTTCGGGCTGCGGCTGAGGCAGGTTTTGTGCGTTTTTCTGTTTCTTTGGCGTGGTCAGGGTCATTGAAATGCTTACCAGGTGGACCTTTCGTACAGGCCAATATAGCATGGATGATGACCGAAATTTTCGTCGACCTTTGTCCGACGTGTCAACGAACTGCTGCGAACAACGGGGACCTAGTGACCGACCATCCTTCGTACTTCGTCCTGCACGGTGGCCATAATCTGAACGCAGACTCCGGGTCGTAAACCCCGGGCTATCGTAGACGAACAATGCACCACGAATGAGAATCCGTGCCCCAAAATTCGTGTATTTGCTCGGTCCGGCCAGACGATTCTAGATTCGTTGCTCTCTTTCCGTTTCTCCATTGTTGACGACGCTATGGGTATATAATGATAATTGCAATTGTATATGATCATGATGTATGCAAGCATTCACTCGCCAGAGTACGATGGTGTCTACCCTCAGATGCTATAGTAGTCAATCGCGACCCTCAGCAGCCTTTCTCCACCATCCTGTAGCATCTAACTTGACGAGAAGATGGTACAGACTCGCTGTCGTGTCCAGTGCCAAATGTGGAGTACCGCTCCCAGACGCCGATGTCGAAGAAGCCTTCATCTGCTGTTGTTGCTGGAGATGTAGGAACTCGAGAGGAATGTTCGACTTCGAAGTGCCTTTGTCGACGAGCGTTTTGAGCACCATAACCTATTTGATACCAACTTGGTTCGATTAATTTGTACCGAGAGGAGTTGCAAGATGCCGGGACTTACAAAAGTCCTAATCCTCTCTCTGAGAACCTTTCCGAGTTCCTCGAGCTCTATGCTTGCATTATACTCCTTGATTCTGCGCCTCTTGATCTCGCCCGCCAAGATGCACAGCTCAAGGATGCTCTCGAGGCATGTGCGCAAGAGATCTCCGGCAGCACGCTGGGACGTACGAAGGAGACATGCTGATAGTATGGAATCGAGTGTCGTGGAGTGCATATCGCTGAGTGCGAAGATATCCGTGAATTCCTTTGCATGACTACGTCCAGACGAGTCAGGGCTTGCAGCTCGAAGTCGAGCAAGGAAAGAGTCGAAGCTAGAGCGAATGGCAGTGTCAAAAACATAGGTGCTGAGAGCGTCGACGAAGGAATGAGATATGAAGCGAAGGTTGAGCAGGAGTTGCGTTGACCCGGAGAGCGTTGGAAAGAGAGGATCGGCGGTGTCTCGAACCAAGCGGAACAACGCATTCAGAGCACTTTGAACTGTAGGATGGGATTGGAATCGAGAAACCATGAGACAAAAGTTGCCAGGAGATTGAGCTTTAATGTTGGAAGAGCGTACCTCTGAGTAATCGAAGGATGAAAGAAAACATGCGTTGGTACTTCGAGAGTGCGTCTCCCGTAATGATAACATCTAGTGGATGGGGCGGTTTGTAATCGACATATAGGAAATCCAAAGACCTATATGATGCAGAAAAGAGCAGTCAGAGACAGAGTCGACCGTTATGAGGTCACGAAAGAAAGGCGTACTCAATAGCTACAGGGAAAGCACACGTTAGAGACGGAATCGGAATCGTTTAATGGAGTTTGCACTTACAACACGGATTCAACCATCTCTCCCTACCAGTTCCGGCTGGTAAGTCTCTGATCGCAAATCCCAGCGTCGTTTCCGCCTCAGCCCATATCCCAGCCTCAGCCTCGGCCGCTGGCGCCACATTCCGTCCTTCCTCCAAATCAAGATCGAGCCGATGTGGCGCGTGAGACTCCAGTGAGTCTACAATAACTGTCCGAAGGTAGAAACTCAAGTCCGAGCCACCGGGAGGCCAAGAATTCCGCTCCCTCAGGCCAAGGCCCAATCCGACAGCCCATACTGATTCTCCAGGCCCTTCGCTCGTTTCTCCATCCGCTGGTTCGGAATGAACGGAAGATGCACGACTTGTAGCACCACTCTGCGTACGTTTTCTTGACCGCTTGCGTTCTCGCTTCTTTGCGACTGCATCCTTCGCAATAGCTCGAGCCTCGCTGCCTTCGAATTTCCAGTCGTCAGAGTCGGAGAATAGTGCCGCTTTGAGTCGATTCTTGAATGCGGTGGATGTGAGGAGAATAAATGATCGAAGAAGGGTAAGATGAGAATGGAGGTTGAGATGTGAGGAAGGGTCGAGAAACAGTGAGAGGAGGGAACGTGAAAGCGCAGTGCAATGCTGCAGGAGGGGAGATAAGACCAAGGATGTTAGGTGTGGTAGTGTCGGGGTGAGAGAAGGTAGATGAGGTGGAGAGGGGAAAGACTGGAGAAAGCTTTGAAGAGAGGCGGGCTGTGATGTCTTGTCGGCATCCTTTCCCTCTGATGGGACAGGCAAGTGGGCTCCAGGTTCGAAGGAGAACACCGCGAATTGTGACATGAGATCGAGCGGCGCATTTAGTGGTTCAAGGGTCTCCGCCTCGGAATGTATTGAGGGCTCCTCTGAGTCCACGTGCACTTGAGGGCCAACCGAAGACCGAGGAACACCTGTCCATGCTGCCTCCACCTCATCTGCAGTCCAGAACCACCTGACTGCCTCCACCTCCAAGATATCGCGCTTCAGCAGCGGATGATCAGGTTGTGCTGCTTTCAGCAACGCCAAGCTTTTCTTCGCCAGGACCAAGGTGCTCTCTACCTCCTTAGTGATGAAGGTTGGGAATAAGGTTGGGAATGAAGTTTCCTTGTCCACGTCATTTGGTTGAGCTACATCGTTGTCTTCCTCATTAAAGGCATCGAGTCCTCCAGTCAATCGAGTGTGGCGTATCTTGGGAGATGAAGAGATCTTGCGGGTGTAGCCTACGGATTCCCCGAGTGAGAGAAGGTAGTGATCCGACGTTGTGGTGAGAATATATGCCAGCATGGCTATCAGAGTGCGGGGTGAGTCTCGCTCTATGTGCGACATGAGGTGGTTATATACGTCGGAAAGGACCTCATCGGAGGATTGCGACGACGAAGGATACATGTCCGGTGCGAGGGATATGTCCTGGAAAAGATAAGCTCGAAATGAGGCCCTGTGGAACGAGAAGACGGCAACGTACACGATGGCAGAGCGATGCCATCCCGGAAAGAATGATTTCGACTTCTGCGTGGTGCATCCAAGTCGCCGACGGTCTGTGCATGAACTCGACGACCGTTATTTCACCTTTTGTAGAGAACTCAGCCAGAGATTTTCGGAGATAATCCACACAGGATGACAATGAATGTGTATAAGCGTTTATGGTCGGCCCTGCGCGGGAACAACTGCGCAAACAGAATTGAGCAAGTGATTCCTCAGTGACGCTGGTTTAACGTACCCCTCACGAAGATTTTCGCAGAATATCTCAAGTCTGCGCAGGTGGGTTCCGATGTTGATGAACCGCTGTATGAAACTAATAGAAATGTAGATTGAGCATGTTATGATTCTCATAGCACGGACTGGAGTTACCTTTGCGTGATTACTTCATCCCGTCCATCTAGAACCAGTCTCCCAGTCTTGCCTGTGTCGGTATGCGAAAGGTCAAAGGTTTCAGAGACAGGGTTCCACGTGTATAACAACGATGAATTCCCAAGAAGTAAAATCTTGATAGTTTCGAGAACGTCACTCGTGCTTGCGTGAACAGTCTCAACGTTCGGATCATGAAGGCGAGGATCTACACTGTCAACATATAAAAAATTGTGAGGGAATAACTTCTAAACAAACTGTAATTACTTACTGGTATCTGGCGCTCGAAAACAGATGATTACTCTGTTCGGAGAGGAAGGGTCCAGGGGAAGACCGATGGTCAAAAGTCGAGCGAAGCGCATCCCAGGATTTGATTTTGCTCTAGAAACAGTCGTGTCTTTGCCTCAGCTCAGAAGAACATATCTAAGAGTGTACCGTAGGAGGTTTACCGTCAGCTCTCGGTCAGAGAACATAGCACTGGTCCAAAGAACCTCAGAGGGGCGATCCTTCTCGTCGATCCACGATTCAGCAAGCGCGACGAGCTCCGGAGGTAGGACGGGTTGGACATCAGAGTAAATTGAAGGCCTAAGAGCGCTTTCATGCTTTGATTTCAGCGTGTTGAGAATTGGGTCCTGCGGTTGTTCGCGGAGTCGTGGAACGAAGAAACGAGGCTGTACTGGGAGAAGTACATCTGCGTCGGTATCGTCTGGGTCGGAGTCTGGGAGGATCAACGGCTCCAACGGTGCGAGTGGTTCAAACATGAAATTAAGAATATGAGGAAGTTTGTTTGTACTGTCAGATATTGACAGGGGTAGAGGTCACTGTGTGCGATGGATTGTAATTGTTTGCCAACACTGGCGCCACAACAACGGATTCCCGGAACCGTGACCGTGACAATGGGACTGACACGAGCGAGTGTGTCGTCTCTACTCCTGAATTTCCAGTATTAAAGACTGTTAAAGCATTCAATATTTAATGCAGAACCTACCTTTCGGATTTAGTAGCGAGGATGCGACGGCGTTGACCAAGCCGGAGTGCGGAAGAAGCGAGTCGCTGCGAGTCGTTGATCTTGTAGCACCGTGATGGTGCGTGACTATCGCCACTGTCACATAGGGGTCACACCGCATCCACGGCGCCACACAGATATGCGGGCGGTGGCACTGGCACGAACCAACCACAAATCTCCACAGATTGAGCGACAGGCCTGAATTCTTAAAGGTTGGCTTGGTGTATAACCATAATTATGTAGTTTGCTATCTAAGAGGCCTAATTATACTGCTGAGATCGGTTGTAATGTGTATACGACAGCGAGAGAGGTTTAGATCACTACTCCAAAAAAGAGGTGTGTGTGTGTATAATAGATAGCCGAGTCAAATATGTACGCGAGATGCACACCGTTGACCACGGAATGGACCGAATACTTCGGGGAGAAAAAAGCCATAAAGATAGATGGAAGCCAGTCATCTCCAGTTCGGCACCTCCAATGCAAACCAATGAGGCAAACTCCTCCAAAACACCGTCCTCGCCAACCGCACAACCCTCGCCAGCTCATTCGTGCAAGCCTGACACGCATGCATCCTCGAGTCCGGCCTCTTGATCAACTCCAACACCTCCGCCATTGCCGCCAACGGATCCGTCGTCAATCCCTTGACCACCCCATTACAATCCTTCAACAACTCCACCATCGCCAGCTCCACCGCGAACTGACAAGCCTTCTTCTTTGCATTGTGTAGAGTAGTCTCGGCGTTGTCTTCCGCGGAAAGGGACGCGAGATCGTCTGCGACGAGGTTGTGGCAGTTTTGGGAGGCCGCCCGGCCTTGGAGTTCATTGACGATGAAGGTGGAGAAGAAACGAGAACAGTGTTCGCGACCACCGAGGAGTGCGATGAGGTCTTCCTGTGAGAGGCGATGCCGAACGCCGTCATATAGATATGTAAGGCCTGCTGCGACAACGCTTGGGGACTGTGTTGACAGATCGTAGAATGCGGCGGGCAAGAGACTCAATGCGACAGGATGCGTCTGCCGAGCCAAATTAATGAGCATACTGAAGAAAAGAGTTGAGTGGTTTGATGAGTGACGATTAAATCGGAAACCATACATGGAGTTTAAAGGGCCGAGAATAGGATCGAACGCTGAGCTATTTCTAGAATCCCAGGCGACCATATCACTGGGCCATCGCTTCGACAAGAGCTCCAGAAGTTCTTTTGTCAAGCACTCGACCTCATACTTTGAGGATAGCCTCAGCAAAGTAGAAATCCGTTCGAAGTTATCGAGGCCGGTCAAAAGAGACGGGCTGTGAGATGCAACCGTTGATGGTCAGCGCACAGGCACCGCTGTCACATCCGGCAGTTAAGTGCCACTCACAGTCCATCGTAGAAAGCCCTCAATAAAAGCACCACATCTCCCTCAACATCCTCCAGCCTCAGGACCGGCCTCCCCTCGATAGTCTCACTGCACGAGTTTCCCGAAGCCAACGGCACAGAAAGCGAAGCTTGGGTCAGTTTCTCCAGGGACGGCGACCGACGAGCGATCAGGGCTCTGTGAACGAGGAAGTAAGACTCCCCAGCGACAACAGCGAGATTTCCGTCTTCGAAGCACAAGCCAAGATATCGTGTGGGACCGGCGGGAATGCAACTGTCCTGCAGAAGCTTCACAGGATCGTCGAGAGAGAAGGTTTCGGAGGCATGGTGACTGTTGGAGCTGAGTGCATTCATTGGGCGAATAAGTAGCGAGACCGTCCTAGACACCTGTTACCAAGGTTTAATAGGGAAGACGATAGCGAGAATGATTTCGAGAATTGTGGACGCAGAAGAGTCGATTCGAGGTGTGCCGCCAGCCCGCCACACCGAGATTGAACTGCGCCACCCTGCCGTTGAGTTGAACCAGGACGATCCTGGACGATCGCGATCGCGACGCGCTGGTCACATCCGCGTGCGTTGTGACTAGCGCGTTTGATAGCCAAGAGGCACCATCACAACATGTGTGACCACAAAAGAAAGGAGGTCCATGTCGGAAGGCGAAGGGACCATAGAACTTGAAGGAGAGCCTGTCGAAAGACAAGAACGAGAGGACAAGAAAAACAAGTATGAATAAACGATAGTCAGCGACGAGCGTGCAGTCTCGTCTTCAAAGAGCCACTGACAGCCCACTTATGTACAGCTCCTGACAACAGCAACCACCTCGGCGTTTGTATACATACAACTACAGCATTCCACAAAGATGGACGGTCACATGTCGACGCTCAAGTGAGAATGGAGCGCAGAGCAAATGCAAGAAGAAGCGGTATGAGAATAAAAAGAGATAAAAGCCAGATATCGAGGGAATGGACGAGAAGCAGATTTCGCAAGTATTAAGATCCGCGTTCCAAGAAGGGAGAGACGAGAAATTCGTGGCAGAATGCCTTTTTTGACACTTGGGGGCAGCATATCCACAAAATGGATCATGCTGTTGTAGCGGCAGGGGCCGCGCCCCTGTGTTCTGAGAAACCACCTGTGAGATACGAGCTATAAATGAGTGCTACCCGAAAAGATACTAAAAATTCATGACGCACCGCGGGGTCCTCCACGCCCCCTTCCACGACCACGACCACGGTGTTCGCCATCAGGACCACCTCCGCCACGCCAATCTCCGTTAGAGCCCGCGCCACCCCGACCACCTCTGAAGCCACCTGCGGAGAATTTGGGTTATCGACCGAGTCTGCATGATAAATGAAAAACAACGTACCTCGGTCTCCACCACGGAATCCACGACCACCTCTCTCGCCACCCCTCTGGAACTCAGCACCGCGGAAACCAGACCCTCGCTGTCCCCTGAACCCTCCACGGAAGCTACGGCCACGGCCTCCCTTGAACTGCGTGAAACCATCGTCATCTTGCCCGGTCGTGGGTGTCTGAGGAAGTCTCTCTTGTGAAGGAGGGAGAGGGACATGAGTGGATGGCTCGTGCTCGTGTTCAGGGACGCCAGAAGGAGGTTGTGTTGTGTCTGGGGTCGCACCACCAGACGATGTTCCGAACTTGGCATGGAGGTGAGCGATTGAAGGAAGGCCACCTTCGTCCTCGTCAGCCCAGTCAATAGCTCCAGAGGCCTATTGGGCGAGCCAGAACGGTTAGTGAAGGTAGTAAACAGCTCAGATGAACATAATTTTTAACGTACATCGGCCTGCTCAGGGGCGCCGTTCTGTTCGACGGGAACATAAACTTCGCTCTCGATGACCACTACCTTCTCGACCACGGTCTCCTCATCCTCAGCCACAGGCGCAGGTGGTGCCTCTGGCTGGCCGTTAGGAACGTTGACCCACTCGGGGTTTTCCTCTGCTGGCTGCTCGAGTTCGCTCTCCTGCATGAAGTGGAATCCACCGGAGGTAGCGGGAAGCACACCAGCGACAGATGCATCAGGTTGCCCAGACACTGACTCAGAAGGCAGAGTCTGTTGCTCGATTTCAACAACGGTTTCTGGAATTTCTTCCGACACATTGAGGAGCGTGTCGGACAGCTCGATAATACGGGCATCTGTTAGATGACGGTGAGTCCGTCAGCGGAGTTAACGAGTGTTTGAGTGTAAAACCTACATGGTAGACCACGGAATTCGCCATTGCCGCTCAATAGGCCAGATATAATCTCCGCCTTCGCCTCGCTGTCCTCACCCTTCAAGTGTTCGCCCACGGAGAAGACGATTGGAGCTTCGGAAGCTTCAAGGGAAATGGCAGAGGTTGCAGGATGGCCAGCACTAAGCATGGTGTGAAGACGGAGGAAACTAAGAATAGAGGATGCGCGCAAGAGGTTCGCTTTCTAAGCCACCCAGTCAGCGCAGGACAACACACAGAGGTGAGTTGAACAAACGTACCTGAGCTTCCGCAATAGCCTCTGTGACACGATAGGCGTCTGCCTTCTCAGCCTCCAAAGCTTTCAGGGCCTGTTCGCTGGCTAGTTCAGCTTCGTGAAGCTACAGGAATATGACAGGCGCTTAGTTTGGGCACGGCAAAAAGTTGTTGTGGCGACGCACCTCAACAGCCTTCTTGAGTTCCGTAAGCTCTTTAACCACAGCCTCAAGACCGGGAAGAGTCTTCAAAGTTCTTCGCTGGTCATCGTTCAGTTTCGAGGGATCTGTTGATGCGTAACTTTGCATACGCGTCTGGGGAGCAATACGCACGCGTCAGCGGCTACATTGACATAGCAGGAGCAGAAGCTCACGCACAATCTTCTTGGTCGCAGCCTTCAGCCTCTTGCTGATGATCTCCACCACTGGGCTACCCAAGGCTGCAGAGCCAGCAGCAGGGGCGTCTCCAGTACTCTCGGGAGCAGGTACGACAGAGCCGTTCGAACTATGAGCGACCAATTCGTCCGCGACCGCTCCCTCCTTGACATCCTCTTCAGCAGGTGCTTTCTCGACAAGAGCAGCGGAGGTAGAGTCCGGGATAGAAACAGTTGCGACAGCGGGAGATTGTGTCTGGGAGACATTGGCCTCGGAGCCCCCCTTTGCTTTCGCGGATTTACGCTTTTTCTTGATCTGGTTTTTCGAAGGGGGTGCTGGTGGTGGCGCACCGGGGACTATACGCTGAGAAATTGGTTCGGCCATTGTTTTTAGGGAAGAATGAGATTGGGTGAAGCTTTTTCGCTGTGAAGCCGGGGGAAGTTGGTCGACTTTGACTTTGGGGATGAGGGCAAGACGCGCGAGACCAGAGTTCGCGAATGCGAAGGAATGTTCACGTGAGCTTACGTAGTTGCAGGCGTCTGTATTATTTCTGAATTGACGGTGGTTGGGAAGACTCGATCAATCAAACAGTGGGCAGTAGTTGTATGGCATGGATATTTTCTATGGATGCAACCTGGGCTTCACCGATTCCTACAACGTGATGGAAACTGTCACTAATGCAGTCGATGATAACTTTACACCGCGATCCTTTCCTCATCCGTGTTCAGATGCCTCGGCAGGAAGCAAAACTTACAAGCCTCCCCAATGTCATCATATCACAGCAAACACTTCAAGTTATAACGTTCACAGAGAAGTGCCTACCGATGGACTACCAGGATATCGTTTTGACTACTTACTCGCCAAGATTCATCTACAAAGTCTGTGCCGGCAATTCCCAGGTCCGGAAGTTACCGGGAAGAACCTCGGCCCCTATAAAACGTCTCAGGCTCCAGTCTTCCACCTGCCGCCACCGAAACCCCCCAACAGCTACTCGTAAGTAACTGATTAGACCACAGGCGTATGCTCAAATGGACACTGACAAGGTGTCAGCAGCTGAACAATGCACAACGCTTTGACCATACAAGACATCTTAATCCGCATTTTCTCTTTCCTACCGACATCGGTAAACGCGACGAATGCGCGAGTCTGCAAAACGTGGCTCGAACCAGCCCTGGACAACGTGTGGTACGAAATCCATGATATATCAATGGTGCTCCAATCGTTGGCAGAAATATATATCACTGGCAAGATTCCTGTGAGTCGTTCAAACGCATGACCATTCACCCTACCGGCATCGACTCTGATACGCTGTGCGTGAAGTACTTCCTACGCCGCCCAACTCTTGAGGAATGGAGAAGGTTCCTTGTCCATTGTGGCCGTGTACACATCTTGAATTTCGATGTTTGGAAATCTTGGCGTGTTATCTCTTCGGATGCGTTAAACGCAATCGCGTACACTCGACCAACTGGATCACTGTTCACCAATCTTCAAGTCCTGCGGGCAAATTGTCCTGACAAATGGCTTGGACCCATGTTCATGAGCTCTTCTGTGACAGAACTTGCATTTTCTATCACAAAACAGCCATCGCATCCCGAGGAGATAGCATGGGCTATCGACGAGTTTGTTGCGAACATGGCGAACATAGCCTCTCTGAAGATCGAGAGCTCCATACTTTCCCCACCAGACACTGAGCCCTATATACTCCGCTTGCTAGAAGCATACCCACTCTTGACCGTGCTCTATGTCCCTTGCATGGCTCTTCTCCCGTCAATCGTAGAAGCCGCCTCTCGTCTGCCCAAGCTCCGAGTCCTTTGGAATGAACTTGGAAGAGACACGGTATACGACTCCTCGGATCCCATTACCTTCCCACCCACATTGGACGGACAATCTTTCCCGTCCTTGGAGAAGCTCTCTTTCACTGCGCATGTGCGGGAAGCGGTTCAGCTTCTTCAAAACCCTCATTTCCCCCCGCCGAGTCTGTCCTCGCTGTGCTTTCGTGCCATTATTGACACGCATAACGCGTCAAACAACAGTTTACGCCCCTTTCTACAGGCCCTGGATGAAAAATCCAAATCCATCCAGGAATTAGATATCCATATGCAGACCACGGTTGGTGAAGGTCTACGACGGGTCACCATCATATTTCCCGACATCGCTCCACTCCTGGCGCTGTCGAACCTGACTCGCTTGTATCTTCACAACGACGAGCCCATCCAAATGACGGATGACGAAGCGCAACAGCTTGCAGCTGGACTCCCGAGGCTGATCCATCTGGATCTGACGCGGGGATCTTCTCAACCCCCAACATTAACTCTCCGTTGCCTCGCTCATTTTGCACTCCATTGCCATGAGCTCACAAGGCTCGAACTCTCGCTGAACGCCCGTGACGACGTGCCTTCAGCGCATGACGCAATATCTTTTCGTCACTTGCGCTTTCTTCACCTCGGATCGTCACCCATCTCGGACCCCCAGCCTGTGATCCGGTTCTTTGCACGTTCCTTGCCCACCAAATGTCTTCTTCTCGTCTTGCAGGACGACATTATAGACGATGCAGCTGTCTATCGACCGTCTACCGGAGATGACCTGGATCGCTGCTGGAAGGAAGTTCAGAATACACTTTCGCAGGTCTTGGAGAGTACGCAGAGGTGGATTGACGTGGAGCGTTCTCTCCGAAATGAGAACGAAAAGTTGAGGAGGGAGAATGAGAGATTGATGGAAGCGCTTGCATCGCGTACACTCGTAGAGCGAGCACTGATGTCGAGACAAGAAAGCATGGAAATTTGAATGGCGGGCTCTGTAAGTTTTCGTTATATTTTGTATGTTCGAAGGTGTTCGGTGGCCGTTCATTATACAGACGGATTTTGAAGGACGTGGTCATGTTGGAAATTCCCAATTCGCGCTCAGCAATCACTGTTACTGGCAGCCCAGAAAGAATCACGACATATACCCGTTCTAGCATGTTATTTGAGCCCTTCGCATTTCAAGAGTTGTGAATCATACCGGTGACACGACAGTGATGATATATCATATCGTCTCAAGGGTTCAAAGCCCGAAGCATAGTTGTCACTCCGAATGGCCCGACAGGAGCCGGCACACCTCGCTCGGAGATTAAATTTGACAGTGCGGAGTTGTTGGGCTTTTCCCGAGCTTGCTACTGCGATACTATTACTACTTTCTGGAGCCTCTTTGCACTGTGCTTAGATCTACCCGTTCTATCTCTCGTAAACAGCTTTGCCCTGCCGTCTCATGATATCTTTCTGCTGTTGATAAGTAGATGCTCAGGCTCCAACCAAAAACAAGTCCCAAAACGGAAAACCCTTCGTGCGACACTCAGTCGAATGTGGACCTATGTGGACGATGGCTGTTTATGTGGTGCTACCAAGTCACTAATAACTCTGCGCCCATCTGAGCGCTTTACAAGTCCTTGTATTCCTCTGACTCTCAAGTTCGAGGAACCCCAATTCAACTGAAGTCGTTCTCCTGCTTGGCTCGCAATGCTGCACACTACCATGACAGAAGCAGCCTCTGGCGATGTACGACCAGAGAGCAATCCTGCCAACACCACACTCATCACTTCTCCAAGTGATAATCTCCCACCCTCGGACCCAAACTCCCCTCTCCAGCTTCTTGTTATCGTCCGCAAATTCAAGCAATCGCCCAAAGACCCGAAACTGGGCCGCCTCGAAGAGGAAAAACGACTGGTCTTCTCGAGAGATCGAGTGGAGAAGATGACCTACAATGTTCGTTCTTCCGTCCTGCTAAGCCCTGCATGCGTACTCGTACGCTACTTGTAGATTGAGTCATGGTGTTCATGACCGTTTCCAGGAAGCCTCCGAATACATCAAAGATAGGTCTGGCTTCAAGACCTACGGTGCTCCAGGTAAACTCAAAGCCACGTTCATGCAAGCAGGACTCGACGAAGATGTGAAGCCGAGCTACATCATGGAAGAGGATTGGGGCTTTCTTATTCGCCACGCTTCGGCCTTGTACATGGATTTCCAGCGGGTGAGTTCCGGCCTTGCTTTTTGTTTTGACTGCCGCTGAATTAGTTGGCTGCAATTCATGTTTTGTTTATTGTCGTGGTCTAGACGAGAGAATGGTTCTACAGTCTGCCGACTGAGGATCAGAACGAGAGCCGGAAGAGGTGGGGACATGTATGATTCGAGTGATTCACGCCGCTTGGGTCGAGTTGATCGAGGCGGGGGCCGTCGTTCGGTATCTTACCTCTGGTACATACATGTCCATCCTGCAGCCTGAGGTACTGGTTACGATAAAGAATCTACTCCGAACAGATTTTTTGTGAGAACTTCATTCCAATCCTACCAGATCTATTGTTGTGGCGCTATACATCGCAGCATTCATCCCCACGCTTCTCAAGTCACACCTTGACCTGTCCCCGGATAAATCGATCTTCTCCTCTACTATATATCTCAACCGACACGTCAGAAGCTGGTATATCTATCGCTTCCAACACCGAGACCAACAGTCCTAACCAAGCCTCTACGCTACAGAGCACTGAGAGCAGTGCACCGAGTTCTGAGGCATTCCTTCATATCGTCATCGAGCAGTCGCACCACAAACATAATACCGAGTTGTCACCGTACCAAACACTAGCAACACCATCCCTACCCTGATGTCGACCGTCGGTACTATCGCCAGCACCCAGAGCGCCAGGGTCGCTGAGTCGCCCTCGAACCCGAACCTCCCGCCACAGCTCCTCGTTGTCGTCCGAAAGCTCAGGGAGAGAATTGTAGATGAATCAGAGCCTAAAAAAACAGAGTGGGTAGTCGAAGACAATTTACGATTGATGTTTGCGAGAGCTAGAGTGGAGAATATGACTTATGAGGTTTGTGGCTTCGCTGTGCCCTTATACTTGCAGTTTTTGCCTGCTTGCTCCACATCCGACGTTATTCGCGACTGTTCTGATTGGATGCATGATCTAGCAAGCTTCTAGAATGATCGTCAACAACTCACGCTGGCGGGGTTACGGAGACCCTGATTTTATTCGCGCTACGTTCCCCAAACCGGCCGCTGACGAGGATCGGAAGCCAAGCTTTATTAGCAAAGAGGATTGGAGTTTCCTCATCAAACACGTCGCTGCCTTACATCTAGACCTTAAAAGGGTCAGTATCTTTCCGATGACATCGTCATGGATATGGGTTTATGTCGTTCATATTCTACAGTCGCAAGGATGGGTAGCCGCACAACAAGATCAGGATGGAAACCTCAGAATCTGGGGCCCAAGCTCGATGTAACGAGAAGTATCAATGCCTTGACTTCCAGCCTCAGCAAGCCGTTGTGATTATTGGACATCATCAATTGTTGTTACACCGTAACGAACAGAACCGCACGTAACAATCATTACAACCTCTATAGCAATACACATTATGCATCCACGCACGACAGAACCCGTCCGTGAGAGGGGGGAAATATCAAAAGAAAACAGAGTCCGAGAGAGGGAGAGACCACATTGAAGAAAAACCCTACCATCCCGGACTGACTACTAACTGGCATCAGCAGCGGGCACAGCACACCAATCGTAATTCCCCGCTTGGTTCGCGCCCCACCATTGTGGGAAGAGGTGAGATTTTCCACTCGCGCCTTGGACGGCGAAGGAGAGGAGGAAGACCATGACCTGTTATCGTATCGTTCTCGTCAGTTTACAGTTCACGATGCTCGGTTCGGATGATGGTATGAGGGGAGGGGAGAAGGCGTACCTGGGTTCCACCGTCGAGAGCGGCGCCGAGGATGTAGTTGTACTGTGATTGGGTATAGCCGGGTCGCATGAATAAGCCGCGCAGAGGAACGAAGGAGGGATTGGAAAAACACCTTAACAAACCACTTCGGGTACCGCGTACGGAGGTACCACTGCGAGAACCAGGCAATAGCGAAGTAGGACGTAATCGACGAGTTGATACCCACGCAGAGCCAACCCATATAATAGCTATATAAAAAAACACAACCGCACCGTGCGATTAGCATCCGTCTCGTCAAACCAGTAGTGTCGCTCGAGACATACCAAATAATAGGCGTATACAAATAATCCAACCTCAACTTCGGCCACCACCTATGCGCGGCCCAAAACGGCACCGGCACGAACAGACCGAGAAGATACGCCCACGCGACCCACTGGTACCGTTTCCCGACCGTGAAGAGTTCGTGGGAGAGAGACCAGGCGATGGCTTGCGAGTTGTATTGTTGGGGTTGTTGGCCGGACCAGATGTTGGTACCTTCGACGGAGAGGAGGATGTCGCGTTGATTGTTGATAATAGAGTTCATCATGACTGTTGTGGGGGCAAAGTCAGGTGAGTGGAGAGTATGGACAGAATATGGAAGGATCATTGGGGAAGGGGGACATACTGAAATTGAGAACAGCACCAAACAACGTTCCGAAGATCTGAGCCGTGAACGCTGCGCGAGGGGGTAATTTCGTATCTAATACCCGCCCCCAAAAAAATCAGTTTCTTTCGCGCACAGAGTGACCATGTAGGAGAAAAAAACATACATTGCGCGATCTTAAGGTCACGAAGCAACAACTGCGCTTGGACGACCGAATCTATTCGTACAAAATATCAGAATTCAGGACCGATAGCCTTTCACAAAAAGCAAAAGCTAAACTTACTGTATCCGTACAAGACGAAGTACATATTCGCCATAGGCTTGCGCGGATGGATGAACCCTGCAATCATTTGGATCTATAGTCCTTGCATAAGCCACCGAAACCAAGACATGGAAGTGGGAATGGGAATGGTCGACTTACGAAAGGCTGAATAATGAACTGCAGACCCGTGATAGCGTATAGACTCCCGAAGAACAATATCGAGATCACGGCGAGTAGACAGGCGACGATAAAACCCCACCTGACACCAACCCGAACACGTAGTCAGCATTCTGCACATAAAGAACTGTGGTGGGGAATGCTATAGATGATTCTCACCAAGGAAGCGTCGAGTCCGTTTTGTAGATGAGGACGAATGCCATGATCAGCGAAGCGATGAGAACGACGATATACCAGCTGTTCGGCGCGTCCGGGTACTACACGAATCGCCCATCATCAGCAACAGTCCCACCAAAATCCAAAGTCAGGGAAAACAAAACAAACCTTCAACATCTCCCTATAATGCGGATCCAAATCCACATCATCCGGCACCTCCCTCCTCCCCTCATCCCTCCAAAACCTCCACTCAAACTCCCTCCACATCCTCTTCAACTCGTTCGGCCGCGCCCACGTCCACGCCGCGCTCAGATCATTGCGGTTCCAGAGGAGCAGGTGCGTGAATGTGGCGGCGAGACCGAGGTTGGAGGTGAGCAGCTGGACGACCCAGGTGCCGGAGTAGAAGGGGAGACCTTGGGCGGCGAGGAGGGAGGGGTCGACTTCGTAGGCGGAGTTGAGGATGAGGGTCTGGTTGTAGGTGGAGCCGTCGGCGTTCTATGGGTTTCGAAAGAGAGTAAATTTATCCTCTTTTGATCGCATGAGCGGAGGAATAGGCTTACGAAAAGCTCTTGTGACAACTGTGGCGAAAGAATCCCGTTAAATAGGCTCGAAGGTGATGTGGAAATCCGAAAGAAGAGCACTCACGAATGGGAAATCTAAAGACGACCAGATATTCTTATAGTACACAGCGCAGAAGATGACCCTGTCACCAGCACTCCACTCAGCATCCTGTCGCTCTGAGTAGTATTGTTATTTAGAAGCACTTACATGCACATGATATACCCCAGCACATTCGAAAACTATATCACACCGCAAACACTTAGCATACTTGACCATAAATCAAAAATGGGGCAAAAACAAACCTGAGCCTGCAACGGAATAGTCATCGGATTATAACTTCCCGCGATATACTGCCAATCGAAACAGATCGACAGCAGGCCGAGTCCCTCGTTACCGTTCGAGCCACCAAACACGTAAGTGAAATTGACGCTCTTTTGTTGGTCCGCGAGGCCTGAGATCCCAGGAGCGATAGTTAGTTTATTGGTGTGGCCCAGTAAACAGAAAGAAGAGCCAAAAGAGGAGGACGAAAAGTACGTACAGAAGATGGAGAAACCGGTGAGGAGGGGGAAGATCCACTCGCTAGACAAGAAGTCAAAATCAGGCGAGCCTGAGAGAAATATGGTGAGCTAACGCACGGGAACATCTCCCAGATGAAGATCCTAGAAAACCGCACAGAAAAAAATCTTCAGGATGATGTTCGACCGGGTGAAGTGCAGAAATACTCACACTCCGAAAGCGATATAGAACAACCTCAATTTCTTCTTATTCGAAGCCCCTCCATCGCGATAAAACGCGTCAAACATGGAGACCAAAGGTAACGTCGACGGGTACAACATCTTGGACGGATACAGCAGGATCGCTACATCGGCGCCACGACGTCAGCACAGGTTAACGGTGGCACACCGTCAAAGAGAGAAAAAAAACATACATCGCATCAAGCCACCAAAGCCATAGCCCAAGAGCTGACTAGAGAACAGCAAGAAGATGGACGCCCCAGCATTGGGCGTGATGTTGTAGTACAAGCGCTGAACAGCGAGGACTTCAGTCCCGAGAGCGGAGTTGGCTGCCGCGCCGGCCATGATGACGATGAACGCGTTTTCCTATATTGCATAGATCGTCAGTATATGCACCAGGATATATTGAACGCATTCACCTTCTTGTTGAACGGGAACTGCATAGCATACACGGAGGACGGAGAAATATCAGTAAGAAGTACATAGCATATATCCAGTAAATGCGTTGTAGTGCGTACGGGGTTCAAGTATCGGAAGACGCCGCGGCGCGGGATGAAGGTCTCCATGAATATACCTGATGGAGGCAATCGATGTTTCAACAAAAGGGAGACGCATGCAAAAAGCTAAAACGCGTACCGAGGACGTATGAGATGATAGCGAGGAACATAGTCGACACTTGGACGGTTTGCTAAGTGCGAGAATAGGGGCTATTAGCCGTGGCTAATGCTTCATCGACATATGAACTCACGGGCTTGAAGTAATAAATCTCGGCTGAACGCATAGTGTATCAGTATATATGTATCGAAATAAGTCGAAGGAAAATAAAACGTACCGAGAACACCACCAAAGGCGGACAGACCAATACCGATGAAGAACGCCCTGAACGTCCAAGGCGACAAAGTCGGATCGTCGCCCGTGGAAATAACATGGGTCGCGATATCCCGCTCATTCTCGAGCACCTCAGAAAGAACCGACCCGGCCGTCTCGACGTCTGACTTCTGCCAGCGCGAATGCCCGTCGATATCCCGCTCACTGCCATCCTTCTCACCTGTCGCCTTTTCGTCTTCCGACGAAGAGGCCGTTTTCTCGTCGATGGGATGAGAGTGGTTGGGCGTGGGCTCGTTGCCCAAGACGGGCACCTGAGAGCTCATGGTGAGAAACGTCTGCCTTGACTGGAGGGTCGCGGGGAGGGTGCGTCGTCAGGCGGAGAAGCTCGGTAGGCATCTGTGCTCTGTCTATAAGTAGGATGGGTGTTCGTAAATGGAGAGGAGATAAGAGCCTATTTTTACACCGGTGTTCGTTCTTTGTTGGCCTGGCAGGGAGCAGACGGGGAGAATCAATGATGTGCGCCCTGCAACCATGTGCGACTGGTGCCGGAAAAAAGAAGTCAGCGGCGATGGTCCGTGCAAGGAAGACGAAGTGCCCTCGTGAACGTTGACGGCTTCGACGCACGCCACTCATGGACAGGCCTTTGCTGCAAGCGTACTCGAGCTTCCTTTTTCTGAGGAAGCGTGCTAGCCGTGGCGGTGTAGGCAACAGGCATAAGCGAAGTGGGCTGCGAAGAACATCGAGACGTCTACTACCCCAAAAAAGCACTCGGAACGTTCACTTCCGAATAGCTATTCGTGCGCATCTCCCGGCGGTCTGATTATGCGGGTGACGGGTCACAATAGTTCCTGTCAAGGGGTTGGGCCATATCGGAAACAAGTCAAAGGCTATGACATGATGAGGCATACTTTACTTGACGAAACGGGTTGAAAATACAGTCACAGGAAGAACGCATTGCGCAAGAGCAAATTTAACTTCGATGTTTACGAGGCGCAAGGAGCAAGGAAGCGAAAAAACATTGCATTCGGCATTCAATGAAGGCCGTAGTTGTCCTAAAAGCTGGCCCATCCTTTGTATGCCCGTATAGGTAGACCAATTAGAGGTCAACACAGATGCGCCTTTCAAATGGCAGCGGTGACTCTAAGACGAGTAAACCATGGATGATTGCAAGGATAGCATGCTCGGATCAGTCGACCTCCACGCAGTTGATCTTCCGCCACAAGGATCGACAAGGAACGTCTGCATCCAAGAGTCCATGTGCATTCGGTGATCTAAAGATGATGTGGAATGGAGACAACGAGGCTAAAAGGCAGAATCAGAACATGCGAACAAATGGAGAGCGCGGTGAAGCACAACGCGGGAAATGTTCTTACTCAATGGCTATCCGTAGGGCGTTTAGGACGGTCTCCTTCCTTCTGAAACACAGGCGAGCAGAAATTTGTTGAATGGCCTTGGATCTGTGCGTATAAGGGTAAGTTCAGTCTGCCTAGATTCCTATGAATGGCCACCCAGCTGCCCAAAAGTATTTGCAAGTAAGAGTGTCCGTATCTCAAACCAACAGCTTCGGAACATCCTGCAGTTGGGTCGTAAGGCAATTGACCAGGGGGAAAAGACTCGAAAAATATAAGCGGAAGAAAACTGGAAGGCGCCCCACAAGCAGCTATTGTCAACAATCTTGATAGATCATCAAAGCAAGACAATTCCCGTTCCAGCGCCTCTGAACAATCCGTGTGCGACGGGTATGCGGTCTCGTCAGTGGCATCCCGACTTCGGGGAACAATACGAAACCGTCGTCCAAGCCTAGTCTCGGCATGCATAAGGCACAAAGCCCATATCATAGAACATATACATCCAGAATGGCAAGTCACTCATGCGCTCCAGAACGATAGTATGCTGCAGCGAGTGGCGGCGAGCCCGAACGTTGTCAAAGTCATCACGGTCAAGTTGAGAGAAAACGCATCCACGGTCGGAACCATCGGAGCCCAACGGCGTCGGAAACATCCGGCAACCGCCGCCGCAAGTCAAGTCCACAACTCGAGCTCATCGTCGCCTCCAGCATACACACACCCTCACACACCCTCTCCAACCCTCACCGTCGTACCATGTTGCTCTCCTCCGCCCGCTCCTCCGTCGTCGCCGCCGGTCTCGGTCGACGCGCCGCCTCGGGCATCGCGCTCAAGTACGCCAACGCAGCCTACGCTGCCGCACTCGCCAAATCTCCTGCAACGCTCACCAAAGTCCAAACCGAACTGAACGCGATCTCGAAGAGCATCACCGAGGTTCCCGACCTCAAGTTCTTCGTCTCCAACCCCACGCTCAGCCAGAACGAGCGCACGCAGGGCTTGCCTGCACTTTTCGCCAAGGCTGAGGGGACCGGGGCGAAGAAGGAGGCGGTGAGCGAGGTGACGAAGAATTTGTTTGCGCTGTTGTCGGAGAATGGGAGGTTGACGGAGGCGGAGGGCGTTATTGAGGGGTTCAATGAGTTGGTGGCGAAGTATAAGGGGGAGTTGAATGTTACGGTTACGTCGGCGACGCCGTTGCCGAGGGATGTGTTGACGAAGCTTGAGTCGACGTTGAAGCAGTCGAAGACGGCGCAGGAGGCGAAGACTTTGAAGGTTACGAACAAGGTGCGTTTTGTGATGGCGCTGTTGCCATTTCATTATTGTGGTTGTGGAGCTCATGTTGGTGTTGTATCAAGGTCAACCCATCTGTTCTCGGTGGACTGGTCGTCGACTTTGGCGAGAAGACCGTCGATCTGAGCGTCTCGTCGCGCATCAGCAAGCTCAACAACCTTCTCCAACGTATGTCTCCTCTTGCTTCAATCCCTCAATTATCCTATAACTCATACGCGTGCGGCTTTATAGAATCCGTTTGAGTCTAGACATAGGATAGGGGGAGCTTCGGTCGGATGCTAGAGCCTTCACACTGCATAAAATATACTCATTTCCTGCGCTGGAGAACTCACAAACTTTTTCTGCGTGAAGCGAAAGCCGATCATACTCTGTGAATCTACTGGCGACCGTCCTTTCCAATATCACTCGTTGCATCATCCAAACATACCCCGTTCGATTACAAAAGGCCACTCTTCTTTCGCAAGTCTGTCCTGCAACTCCCAACAGCTTTGGGGGCGCTGGCATCGTGAACATCCTCGGCTTGAGTGTAACGTTTCTGTGCAAGCATCATAGCATCCTTTTATAGTCTCAATATCTCACAACACCCATTCCGACCACCGAAGATTACTTACCAACCCGTCCTCCCCGTAACAAAACCCTGAATGGCAAAATCAAAAGCTCTGAAAGTTGAAACTGATGGGTGCCACCCGTGCCACCCGGTCCGCTCTCATAAATTACGTAACCAAAAACGCGAGAAATTCGGACTCATCTCGACGAAATCCCCGCAACCCGTCTCAGTAGTCCTTTATTCGCCCCTCCGTGCGCGTCTCGTCTTCTCCGCGTTCCTCTCGTCCTCTTCCACCCATGGCTATCCAACGTCAACATTCCGCGCCCGGATGGACTGCCCTGCAGAGTACGCATTCTCATCCCCCTCTTTTTATTTTTATTCCACACGGGGAAAGGTGAAAGGGACGGTGAAAGGGAATTGATGCTGATTATTCATTATTGCTGTGGCGTCCGTTAGGTACGAACTCAGAAGACGAAGAAGATGCCGTCGTCGACGAGCTGCTCTACGACGGCTCGACCACTTCAGTCTCCGTCTCAATCGCTGGCACACCCGTCGGTAGCACTCGCAACTTGAACTCTGCCAGTGGTCCGAGTGTCAGTACTCGTGCGGGGCCTAGTACCGGTTCTAGTGTCAATGCCAGAGCTGGACCTAGCTCTGGCGCTGTTGCTGGTCCCAGTGCTGCTACTCCGAGTCAAGGCCAGAAACGCAAGAGCACACCGCATCCTTCATCCCCCCAGAAACCGGCGAAGAAAGCGCGTATGGAGGCTAGTGGGAGTGGCGCCCCTTCGACGTCGGATAAAGGAAAGGGGAAGGAGAAAGCGCACGAGCCAGAGTCGGAGAAAGCGCAAGAGAAGGATAAAGGAAAGGGGAAAGAGAAGAAGATCGAGAGAGCGTTCCCGGAGCCTCAGCCGGATGATGGCTCGTCTGGATCGGAGGGATTGCCGAGTGGGGTCACCGAACATATGCGGAAGTTGAAGGAGGCGGAGAAGAGGAAGGCGAAGGAGAAGGGCAAGGGCAAGGGGAAGGATAAAGGCAAGGGGAAGAGGAAGGGAGATGAGAGGGACGGTGCTGGTGCGGGATCTGGAGAGGAGTCGGATGCGATGGGTACGTCGATATTTTTCGCTGAGACACGAATGAATGCTGACTTGACTAAATATCGGGTCTGGGTTTGGGTAGTCCTCGAGGCGAAGAAAAAATACAAGAAACAGAGGGTATTGAACGGGAGTGGAGTTCCGAAATCGAAGTTGACCGCAGGTACGCTACATTCTCCCTCTCTGCATCCTCTCGTCTCGTCCATATTGACTGATTTGTCTCGTATCAATTGGACTTGTCACTCCAGAGGAAGTCGCTCGAGCTCAGAAGGCAGGTTTCTATCCGCTTGATAGACTTAAGTACCCGGCTGTTACACCTCGACAGAAGAAATCTGTCAACGGGAAGGACAAGGAGAAATCTAACGGCACCGGAAATACGGCTGGTGGATCTGGCACCGGTAACTTTCCCGTTCTTCATGCTTATGTGCAGCTTGTCATGCTCTAGACTCATAGATTTGACGCGTTGTTCAGGTCGCCCAGTGTTGGCGCAGAAACAGCCTCGGGCTAGTACTTCGACTCAACCTCAAGCGAGCGGATCTGGCTCTGGTCCTAGTTCTGGTTCGTATGATTACATATTCTAAATCCTCTTTGCTCTCTTTCTTATGATTACAACCAAAACACAGTTCCCGCACGGAAAAAGAACAAGGCGAAACGCAAGATTGGGCAAGGTACTCTCTCAACCCTTTCCCGTCGTTTTATTCTGCATTTGCTAACTTCATCATCGACCAGACGACGACGAGATCATCTTCATAGAGGACGACGATCCGAAACCCTCGCGGGCGCCACGTCCCTCTGGCTCTGGCTCCGCGCCGTCTAAGAAGAAACAAGCTCGACACGACCGCGAAGCTTCTGTTATCGTGATTTCGTCCGATGATGATACTTCTCGTCCACCCCCGAAGAAGAAAACACCGACAGTGGACCCGGGTTCTCCGATTATCATCAGTGATAGTGACGACGCTGTTCCACCTCCTGCATCTGCGTCCACGTCTGCTCCGAAACCTGCGTCCTCATCTGCTCCGAAATCTGCATCTATGTCCGTTCCGAAACCTGCGCCTACATCTGCTCCAAGACCCGCGTCTTCATCCGTTCCGAAACCTGCGGCCCGTTCACCAGCGAAGAACGCAACCACAACCAAGATAGAACCACCACCGACTCCAGTACGCGCACCTACGGCTTCGAGCTCTGGCACAGGGGCGGGGCCTGCGGTTTCTGCGTCTGCGCGATCTGTCGAACAGTTGCCTACGCCAGATATATCTGATGCTGATGTGCAATTGCCGGAGGTTGGAATGGATGTGGATGTGGGGATGGATGTGGATATGGGCATGTATATGGACTGGCCCTCTCCTACGCCGCCGCCACACCAGTCATCCCCGCCATCCGAACCGGCTCCGATGCCAGCTCCCGTTTCTGCTTCTTCACCTAGTCCTGCTCCCGCTCCCGTTCCTGCTTCAGCTAATGCTCATACTCCCGCACCTGCACCTGCTCCCACTCCCGCTCCCGCTTTGACTCCTCCTCCTGCCCCTGCTTCGATTCCTGCTTCGATTCCTGCTTCTACTCCTGCTCCATCTCCCGCCCCTGCTCCTGCTCCTGCTCTCTTCTTCCCTTCTCCGTCTCTTGCTTCTCCTTCCAAACCCAATATTCCGCAAGCACAAGCACAGAAACAAACCGAACCTAATAAACAGACAACCAAATCTGCTTCACCGGTGAAATCTCAGCCCCAAAGTCAGCCTCAAATTCCACGCCCGTCCACACCAGCACCCGAGCCCACACCCGCTGCAGAACCGCCCCACGGTACGAACAGCAATGCCAACGAGAAGGACAACGAGGAGGATAACAACAACGAAGGCGAAAGCGAAGTCGCCGATAGTCCACCACCTCCCGAACCTTCGACATCCGGAACCGAAGCCGACGTTCTCGACCCAGACGGCGATGGCTTCATCTACCAGAACAAGGGATACAAACGCATGTCCTCGTTCACGGATTCGCCGGACCCGCCGCCGGATGCGGATGTTGAGGTCGAGATGACGCAGAAGAAGCGGTTTGGGGATGATGAGTCGGAGGGAGGAGTGAGTGTCGATCAGGATCTGGGGAGGGTGGTGAAGAAGGGGGATGGTCTTGGGACTGAGCAGAGCGGAAGGAGGGAGGTTATGGTGGAGGACGATGAGATTGATTTCTTGGGAGAGGGTGTGGATGGTGGATCTGAGGCAGAGGTAGAGAAGCCTGTGAGCCGCTCCGGTTCCAACCGCTCTGAGTCGAAGAAGACCGCGAATTGGGGTCATGAAGGAGGGTCATCTGTGGAAAGTGCGGATGAAGTGGGCGCTGCTCAGGACGGGACAGAAGGGCTACGTTCAGACTCGCCTCCGCCATCACCATCTCCTGACGTCGGTGGGCCACAACCGGATGATGGACCAGGACCCGATGCTGACATGGAAATTGATGACTCACAACAAGCACCAGAGCCTGACGAGCAACCATCCGCACCGTCGCCACCAGCTGACTCTCCCGTGCGCCGCCTGCCCTCCTCGGAGTTGGACGAGGATATATATGTCGAGCAGGATTTGCCTATCGAACCTCCTACCGTGCCTTCGCCATCACCATCACCGTCACCACCTCCTTTCCGCTCGCCCTTGCGTCCTCCCCGGGCAGGTCGTAGAAGTCCTGTGCCCGCTTCGCTAGTTTTGCCCACCGCATCCCCACGCTCTCCGTTGAAAGCAGACGCTACGCTCATTTTGTCCGATGGCGACATGACGTCCCAGACCCATACATCTGCTGCGGGGTCTAACCAGTTGGCCGGGACAGACACTCTGCTCAGCGTGGCTACAGCACCACCGACGAGTCAGGAAACCGCTGATGAGGATATCCCAAGTGAAAGAGTTCAGACACCACAGGGCTCTGAGGGTGGCGCTGCGAGACCTTCGGTAACTACATCTGCATTTGCACCTTTACCGACACCGACACAACCCAAACCTCAAACTCAACCCGCCAACGCAACTCTTCCTTCGCTCGACTCCGAGCCTTCCGCTATACCCAGCCCACAGAGAACCACGTCCTCGGCCTCGAATTCTTCCGATTCTATCGCAGGCTCTAGTTCCTCAAGGCAGTCATCGCAGCTCCGCCACGTCGCTCGGCATAGTGGCAGGAATGGATGGTTGAGGAATACGTTGCAGTTATTGCCTCAGTCACCACGGAGGGCAAGCTCTGGAGAGCTAGGTGGGACGTCTCCTACTCGTGGGCCGAGGACCCCTCTTGTGGATTTGCAGAGGAGAATGTCTGATATTTCTCCGAGCAAGAGCGTGAGCGCGGCCAATGGTGGCGTGTCACCTTCACGGCCGACGGCTTCTCTGAAGATGACGGAGCCAGCAACGATTCAGTCAAAGATTCCCATGGCTGTGTCTTCGCCCGTGCCTCCGGCGTCTCCTGCTCCTAATGCTCATGCGCAACGTCAGAGTCCCACCACGCCTGAAGATACGTCGATGCCGAAGAGTCTTTTGTCTATCAGCCAGGACGCCCCCATCCCCGCTGTTGTAGAGCCCACCACCGTTTCACAGGATGCGGCAGTATTCCAAGAACCTAAGTCAAGCCCTGCACCTGAGCCCATGGTTGAAGACAGTCCACAACAACCTGCCCTTGACGCCATCCCCTCGCCCCGTGAGACAACTCCACCGGCTCTTGATGGTCCCATTACAGAATCTCCAGCTCCCATGGACGCGCATATACACGAAGACGTTGAGATGACCGACAGTGTGGCTCCACTTACCGCGTCTGTTCCCTCGAAGGAGACCGCCCAAGACGAGCCAGCTACCCACATTGAGCGACCAGACTCACCAATGAATATTTTCACTCGTCAATCACGGCCATACGGATTCGTCGCTGAACCTGCAATAGAGGGGGAGTTGGTTCGTAAACTGGTCCCGTCCGTTGAGGCTGTCGAGCGTCCCTCGTCCGATGGGTCCGCTATTCCAGAGGATGATCATCTCTCGAGCGTACCGAGGCATGAGGTATATATTTTCTATTGTCTTGTTGTTTTGCAGTTTCTGCCGCTAATCGGCTGCATGGTACTCTTTTTAGGAATCTCCGCGTCCCACGTCATCTTCGTCAGTACGAGCTAGGACTGAGTCGTCAGAATCCACTCCTAGTCACGTTCTCCCAAGTGTGACGATAATTCCGAAGTCAAGGACTACGTCCTTCACTCCCGATCTTGTCCCTCCCATCGCGACTTTGCCTGAGATCCGATCACAGTCAGACACTGGGTCTCCTCCTCGTACGCCTGTACCCGAAGCTCTTGCTCATGCATCAACGCCGGGTGGCCAGTCAGTTCAGAGCCCAGTGAGAGACAGTGGTGCAGGAATAGCTCCTTCCAGCCCGACTATCATGAAGAAACCGGACCAGACCTCAATCGCATCGGTGCAGAGCATGCCTCCGCCGAAGACCAGGGCCGCCGTGAGTCTCAACCGCTTCTGCAACTAATTTACATAGTTCTTATTTTTGTTTGCAGGAGTCGACGCCCCAACGGAAATCGATCAATCCTTTTTCCCAGGGAACGGAAACACACAAGTCCAAACTCACGCGCGGGTCTCTCAATGGCCCCTGGTCAGCATCGCCCACAAAAAGAGGCCTCAAAATCTTTCCACCCTCTAAGCATGGGGCCTCCTCGCAGCCACGGTCCTCGTCACAAACCCAGTCTCAGTCACACTCGCAGTCCGCACCTCTGTCAGCACCAATGTTCATCTCACCACCACCGCCTTCTCGAGCGCCGTCTCAGGCGCCACCTTCGACTAATTCCTCGCCGAAGATTGCAACATTGAAGACTGCTATATTTTCTCCATCGGTCTCTGCTCCTGCTACTCTGGCGGTATCGACTGTTCCTCCTTCAGAAGAGACGGCCCCTCTAGAGAGTCCTATCGCAGAACCTCTTCCCTCCCTCTCTGCCCAGGCTCTGTCCGAATCCACAGCTGAGCCTGCTCATCCTGAGGAACCCGTTGGACCTGTTGATTCTGTACAATCTGAACCCAGCGATAACATGGAGCTACCCGCCAGCACGTCGGAATCTCTTACCGCTCCTGCCGATCCCACCGATACTTCTGCTGGAGAGCCCGCTCCTGCTTCGTCAACGGAGATTGTACTTCCGCCCGTGTCCGGTTCGTCGTCACCTGCGGAGCTTGAAAATTCGACGTCAGCCACTCCGCCTGTGCCTCCGACATCAGCTGTTGCGTCTTCTCCGGCGCCTGCTTTGCCTTTTGTTCAGTCCGCCCGTCTTTCGGACCCGCCAGCATCTGCTCCGCCAATTATGGCTTCTCGAGATGTTATCGACTTGACTGCCGATTCAGACGAAGAAGCTCCTCCGTCGCGACGTAAGTTAATAATACACACTTTCCTGTGATATACTAAAGCGTGCATTTACAGCTCCAATCACACCGTCGTGGTTGAAATCCATTGCAAAGAAGTCGTCCTCCCAACGGTCACTCCCGGAACCGAATGTTTCTCCCTTAGCTGCAGGTCGTTTGGACAGTATTCGTCGGGCTAAGCAGAAGCAGGCCGCGCAGATTGTGGCAAGCAAATCTGCAAGTGCGGTCAAATCCCAACCTGCGGCATCGCCCGCCTGCGCTGAAAGAAAGGATATCTTTACTGAGTTCCTAGCAAAGCACAGCGGGCCCATCTCACCCACTGCTAAGCCGCGATCGAAATCGACGACCAGTCAGGCAGCTTCCTCCGACAAGCAGGAGGCCCCTGTGTCTTCGCCGGCCGTAGTGAAAGCGCCTCTCGATGTACCAAAACCAGCTCAGCCGCACCTCGAAGACACAATCATGGATGACCCATCACAACAGGCTGAACAACCGACGGTAGGTTCAGCTTCCGTCCCGCTCTTGTTCGAATCCATTAACAATCGCTTACAGGTGCACCCGCTGCCGGAGCCTGCTTCTGACACGACATCTGCCAACATACCTTCTACCTCCATGTTGTCGTTGCCCCATGTACTTCCGTCCTCAGTGCTCGAGCCAGACGTAACCCCAGAAGAAGTTATGGGCGGTGTGTCGGACGATGAAGGAACCGGCAGCCTTGTGCTAAATTATCCCGAAGATACCGATATCAGTTCTGAGCCGGTTTGTATATGCCTTCACTTCGACAAGTCATCGAGAACTGATGAAGAAAGCTAGGTGACAGACGTCGAAGAACGTGTGGAATCTCCTGTCCGCGTCCGACAACGACAGCCTCGTCAAGCCGCGTCTTCGGCTCTCGCTAATATTCGCAAATCCTACCAGCAGGTCCCACCTATACAGTCTTCACGGACGTCTTCCGCTGACCCTATGGATCTTTTCGCCGAAGAACCCATTGTCCCGCTTCCCCGTACGGCCCCCAGAGGTAGCATTTTTGATGGTCTGGAAGCGATCGCGGCAGCATGTGGAGGACACTTTCACTGTGTCACCCCTGCTGGTCTCTTGGCAGACAATCCTCCACCAGTTTATTATGCCAAGGACCTGGACTCGACCATACTAGACGAGGTGAATGCCATGCCCGAGCAATATCGCAACTCCGACAACGTTCGCGACATATTCGAGCACCTTATGCGTCAAAATACCTACGAGGACGAGCCCGATGCACCGCCCATCATGTTGCAGAACGAGTGGGATGATCAAGCTACACCACCATGGGAGTTTTACTACAGCAACCGTGTATGGTTGGGCAAAGGCGTGCCGGATCCCAATCTTGCTGCCTTGGAGGGTTGCGGTTGTGAAGGAGTTTGCGATCCGAACTCCAAGACCTGCGCGTGTTACAAGCGTAATCGACGCCTTCCAGATTTGGAGCAGGACAAATACGAAGGCTGGCCATATGAAGCTGACAAGAAGAACAAATCTAAGCCCAAGACCCTCAAATTGAAGAGCCTCGTGTATCCAGTGTTTGAGTGCAATGCCTTGTGTGGCTGCTCGGAGTCATGCGTCAATAGAGTAAGAATTGTCCTAGTTGTAATTTATGACGATCCTGATATTTCAACCTCAGAATGTCCAACACGGGCGACAAGTGCCTGTCGAGATCAAGAAAACCCTCGAGAAGGGTTGGGGTGAGTTACTTCTCGTTTCTTGAAGAGCGTTTTACTCAATGACCTTTGCAGGGGTTTTTGCCGCCGGTTCGAAGCCGATACCTGCCAACACTTATGTGGGCCTATATGCGGGAGAGCTCATCACCACGGAGGAGGCAGAGGAGAGAGGGCAGTCAGTAACTTACACTAATTTGTTTTAATGACCACCGTGCTGATTCATAACTCTCTAGCCGATACGCAGTCTTTGGACGCACGTACCTGTTTGACTTGGACTTCTGGCATATCAAACGTGTCGTTTCCCCAGCCGACGAGGGCTCCTGGGAGGCCAAGTATACCATGGATGCTCATCACGCAGGGAATGTGAGTTCGTTTTCTTCAACCGCTCAGAAACACTATTCATAAGTCTTTCTTACAGTTTACTCGCTTTTTGGTGAGTCTAAATGACGAGTTGTGTAGTTGCTAAGCTCATTATCCACTTCCAGAACCATTCCTGCGATCCGAACTGTAATATCGTGGCATGTTATATCAACGATCAGGACGTAGAGAAGCCACTTCTCGCCATCTTTACTAACCGCGAAGTCAAGCCCGGTGAAGAGCTGTGTTTTTCGTATTATGGATCCCCAGACGACGACGACGACGACCCGGTAAGTTCTATGCTGGTCTAGGTTGGAGTGGTATGACTGATTGGCGCCTTGCAGACTCAATCTTCATCTGGGCTCAAACCGCACATTGCACCCGAGGCTGCTGCCAACGTGTATAGCGAGTGCAGATGTGGGGCGCCGAACTGTAGGGGCAAGGTGTTCAACGGAGGGTCGTGATCGTGGTCTTAGGTGTGATGAATCCAATCTATTTGTGCAGTTCGAGATATCTGCTTTGCGTAATTTTTTTTTCTTTCTATCCCTTTACATCTTTCTGTTATCACTTTTATTATTTCTTCAGCTGTTCATTGTCAATGCCGAGCGTGGTTTTGCTGCTGGTTTGCCCTTCATCGGTGGCAGAAAAAGTGTGCTGCCCAAGTATCAAGCCACGCGTGGAACCACATCTAGTTCCTGTCTCGAGCTCAGTCTTGCTTCGGCAAGCTTCAATACCGGAGTTATCGAAGACTCGGCCCATAAACAAGCGACGATGATTATGTCTGAGTTTGAATCAATTGATACTCTGATTAATGCGATTTCTGCGATGCCTCTGCCTTCATATGTGTCTCTTGGGAACACGTTAGTACGCAATGCAATATCCCCATGCCTTCTCGTTCTCTTTCCTGCGTGCATATGACGGTATCTCACTCTCTAGCCATCTTCGTGACTTAGAAATCATGAACTCATGAGTGTCGGCGATTTTGGAGATGTTGATTGCAGGAAGGTGCTCACTCTCGTGAAGTCCAAAGACAATGAAGTAGCGTGTTTGATCAGGAAATCCCAATCCTTCTCTACGACACAGCCCGCCTCCCGATACTCATACTGTTCAGGACATGAAAATACGGCTTGGAGCCGACCCGGTGCGCCGAAACTTCTCCAGCCCGAACTCTCGATGATCTCTTCGAGAGCTTCCTTGATTGGTCGAACGGGCAAGTCAGACTCTTATCAGACACAGATCACAAGTAAAAGAGGTTCACGAACTTGAACGTTGTAAGACAACTCCTCAATTCGAGCTCTTGCAAGCATTAGTCGCAAGGTTCCCTCTTTGCCGTCCACCTTCGTGCATTCACCATCTTCCTTCGTATATCCTTGAAGAATGACGAGGATCACAGGCGGAAGGTTTGGTTTGAAGTTCGCAGTGGCCGTGCCAACCTTGGGAGTATTGCCGTCATTGTTCCCAAGTGAGCCGCCGCTTGCAGTCGTAGATGATGGGTTGACTTCATTGGTATCAGTGGCATTTGAGTGGCTAAAAAATCTAGATGAAGGCGCACCTGGCAAGGAGGAGGCCTGCATTGCAGTGGTGACAGAGTTTTGGGTATGGATGCTGGGCTAACGCCACATCAATTCCATATCGACGACTCAACTCAAAGTCGCACGAAGAGCTCTCCATTTTGGGAGGTTGGCACCGGTCAGTACCACTTCGGGCCGCTGGGCGCCAACGCGTCCGAAAACAAAATGTCTCAAGGAAATTGAAGGCGCAGGGACGGGTCAAGGCGGGGTGATCTTGTCCTCGCACTGAATATGACCTCGGAGTAGAAGCTATATATTATGGAACACAACAGTCCGCATACGCTTCCCATGTCCAGTCCACCGAGAAAATGCACGGCCTATTCCTGCACCACGATCCAACCATCCTGCGCCTCCTTGGGCTTATCCACCTCTCTACGAATTCCCTTGCCATCCTTCGCACTCGACCCTCCCTCAAGCGGATAATCCCACAAATCCACATCTCCTACAGCGACCCTCAACCCCGCCCAAGCCGCATCAATCACCACAGCGCCGTTCGCGATCCCAAATACCAACGTGCTGGCATAGAAAAAGTTCGCGTTGCCGGTCCCGGTGGTGATCCAGAGATGATGGAAAAGAGGGAGCAGAAGAGAGGAGTGGGCGTGTAAGAGGGCGGTGACGATAGGGTGGCGGAGGTCTGTGGCCCAAGTTGTGAGTAGCAAACGGGACGGAGCGGTGTTTGGGTTGGAGGGGAAATTCAGGAAGACGGATGATAACGAATAGTTAGTATGTAAATTGGTGATAGGGGAGAGGAAAAATTTGTGGCGTACGAGGATAGATCTCGGAAAATAGGCTCAGGAGGGATATTACAAGACCGGGATCGGCAAGTGTGGGGTATGGCTTGAATATTCCCAATATACCGAGCAGCACAAAGACTGCGAACAGAGGGTCGTGTCTGGGTAAAAACGAATGCCCTCCGTCAGCAACGACACAGTCGAACATAGGAAGTGTGAAGGTTCGTCGTAAGGAGACATGACGCACTGAAATTTTGCACAAACAGGGAATACGTAGATCAGCAAGTGAGCCTGAGAACGAAAAGTCAAACGTGAGCGAGAATACAAGAGGAGGCAAGAGGCGGCTTACAGAAAAGACCATCAGGAAGAATGGCCTGAAGTGGTCAAACATCTCAGTGAAGAAGTACCACCACAGCCCAGGATTTGGCGTGAGATCAGGAAGAGTTAATCTACGACCAAAATCCCAATGCAATGCCGAGTAAGCTAACGGAATGATACCATAGCCTCGAGACGGAAACAAAACTTACCCTGCACCCCATGTATTGCCCACCCATCCCCAACCACCCGCAATGGTGGTCGAAACTCCGGTGAGGACGAGAAAATACAGAACAAACTCGATCAACAGAGGTGAGACTGCTTTTCGAAGCTGGGATACTGACAAGCCGAGGATGGGCGACGAAGACGGATTGGCGAGGTGAGATGTAGCGTCCTCTGATATCAAAAGCAACAGGACTGGCGGAAGAATTAGGATTGACGGTAACGACAAGTGAATGGCGATTGCCAGTGTCAAGAGAGCCGGCGGCGCTTTTCCTACACATGGTTCTCAAAGCTTCAGTGGACGGAAGACGATGACACAAAGTTTGCTTACGTTTACATGCGAACATAATGGACAAGAGCAGAAGGGCATTGTCGAGAGGAGATGTCGACAAAGCCAAAGTCGAGAATAGAAGATACGGGTTGAAGAGATAGCTAAGACAAACGAGAGAAATGAAATGATGCGGACTGTGAGCGTGGGCGCGCATCACAAACGGTGCCACGTACGCAGCAGCGATAATCCAGTCTCGCGAGTCACCATCGACCGCTTTTCGAGCCCTCCATATCTGCAGAAGAGCCCAGGTAGCCATTATATCGATTGACCACCATATCACAGCACAGGACGCTTCTGACTGAGGAAGAATAGTCGTGAAAGCAGCGAGATATAAAGGAGACTGAATGAAAGGAACAGCCTGAGGGGCAAATCAACGTAATGACAAAGATTTGGATCGTACATGGCGGAATGTGCCTCCTGAATAAGGATCTATCCCGTTGCGGAATAGGTATGTACCTTCCGAAACTGTCGCCGCAACAAGGAGTGGGTGAGTCTTGGCAGAAAGCGGTGACTTGATGAACGGACGGACTTACGACTGGAGTAGGAGGTCAAAGGAGACGATAACTGAGGATCATCCTTGAGAGAACGACCGAGCGGGGACAGTGCAAGCAGAAGTCTGAAGATAGAAAGCGCAGGAAATATGAGGTCGGAAACCATGCGGATTGCCACCTGGGGGTGCCACAGCGTACTAGAACAAGAACGTTTCTGTAAAAGTCGAACAACACCGCGGGAAGCGCCACGCGGCATCTGCCGCGCTGTCAGATCGACAATTGGCAGACTCCCGTTTTGTCCGGAATGACGCAGGTTTTGGCGAGGTCGAACATGCCATTTTGCGCGAGGATGGTTATAAACACGACCCTGCAGGCATCTTCCTCTCCTCGACATGCCGTCGACCGTTCTCCTGACCCTTCCTCCTGAGCTTCTTCTCAAGGTCATCCATCTTCTGCCGACGAGTGTCGTTCGACATCTCCAGTCGACATGCAAACATCTCCGCTCTCTCGTCGAATTCTCCGGCTTTCACACATACGCCAAGCAGCTTCATTTGTCCGGCGTGCACGATGATTTCCCTCCTGGCTTCTCCTATCTTGAGCGTCTGAAGGCACTCAAACAGCGCGACGAGAACTGGGCCAGTCTTCGCCCACGCTCAATCGCCAGGATGTCCATACCGTTCCATGCCTCTGGAATATACGATCTCACAGGTGGTGTATTTCTGCTCGGCTACAAGGGCGACGCGCCTCACAGTGCCAGCACTCGTGGCTTTTGCTATACCACGTTGCCAACAATCGACAGTGATTCAAGCTCACATTCACAGACCTGGCCGAAAGTTGAATTCGGATCAGATGTCATCGATGTTGGTCTTGCAATTCCGGAGCACGACCTTATTGCAGTAGTGACGTGGTGAGCAATTCAGAGTTATTCGTTCTTCTCGTCCCCTTTTGTGTCTCTTGCATATAGACGTGCACGGACTCCGTTTTTGGACATACAAACGTGAAAAGCGTTTACGGCAAACCCCTATTTCTCGTGGATGGTCTCGCCGCCGAACCCAAGGTTTCCGAATCTGCGTTCCTTGGACTAGCTCTAATCCGATCAAACTGAGGATTCTTTCCCCATGGGCCTGTCGAAGAAAGAAAGATCGTACCCAACCGTTCGCCCACGTTCATATTCTCGTCCACGCGGCAGTGCGTCCTTTGTCCGTGGCAAGTTTTATTGAGTGGCTTTATCCTGTTGCAGCAGGGTCGAATACTCCACGATACTCTCACATTCAATTTCATCAGTTTCATCTCTGAATCGGCTGACTGATCATCCTGTAGTAAACCAGACCTCGATGCACCCTTCGAATCCTCGCTACTTGAGCTCCACCTGCTATCGGCCTCTTCACCTGGACGACCACACCCCCTCGCATTCAGGCCTGTCATCCCTGTCGACACTCGTGATCTTGTCCACGGCCACTGCAGTGTTCTCATGGAAATTGTAGGCGATTATCTCGGCCTGCTCATTACATACCCATGGGCAGTCGGAGGCCCTTCCAGTGACGCATTCTATCTTGTGCAATGGAAGCATGGGAGGTGTCATACTGTGAGTTCCATGTTCTTACTGATGTGATATTCCTACTGTATAACGCGTCCTGACTTTCGTAATTTGTGGACGAATTATTGGCAGATTATGAAGGACATGCGAAGTGGGACATACGCGCACTTTGTCTTCCTCCGAGAAGATCTCCTTCTCTTCCCAAAGATGCGCTATAACGTCCTCGAGATCTCCAAAATCATCGCTCCCACACCCGACTCAATCCCATATCTACAAACCCTCCGGACCCTGCACCTTCCCGACCTTGCGCTCTCTAGCATCCTTCGTTTCGCGTGTCGAGCGGAGCCCAACCCACCGGCTATATCTTCGCGAGCGGATCCATCGCCCTCACCTCTGTATGAGACTCAAACCCGAATGTTCCGCGACGACCCATGTTCATCCATCATCATCTTCCATCTCCTTCTACACGGCATGGCGCCCCAACACCTGAACCACCTCAATTCTTTCGTCTTCATCGCCCAACGCTCTTCACTCCTCTCCCTCCTCCCCCAGGAAGACCTCTCCCTTCCTTTCCTGCGCGCTGAATACGTGCCGACGATGGAAGAAATACATAAGAGAAAACTGGGGATGACGTGGGGAGAATGGGATGGGGAAAGGAAGACGAGGTGGTTTAGCACGGCGCAGGAAGGGATGATGCCGATGAGGTGGATTACGACGACGGCAGGAATGAGGTGGGTTACTATGGCCGAGGGAAAGAAACATGAGGTGGTAGGTGGGGGAACGGTGACTGTTAGGGATTTCAATCCGCACTGGGTGGAGAGAGTTCATGAGAGGATTGGAGACAGTCTGGAGGTGGTCGAAAGGGAGGGTGGGAGTGAAGATGAAGCGGAAGGGCTCAAGGGGACTGGTCCTGCAATGTTAACGAGACGGGTGGTCAAGGAGAAGTCAGTGCTCAACACGAACGGTTTCTTTGCTCAGCCGTTGGTGTCTAGGTTGCCGTTCGTGGAGACAGTGACGGAGGGGATGGAGAAATATGATGGTGTGTTGATGGATGAGCAGCGGATCATTGGGGTACAGGCACGTATCTTCCACAACTGGTTCTCTGTCGATCATATGACTGATCTATTGACGTGTTTCCTTGGACGCCTTTTTTAGCTTCGTGATGACGGCTTCGGAATCGGGGCGATGGACGTACACATCTTGGGCTGATTCGACAGCTCATAACATCGGATCTTGCTTCGGACATATTGCTCTCCTCTAAATAAACTATACGAACGTAGTAAATCCTGGATAATTCTGGTACTAAGTAGTATGATATACCTCTTCATCCGCTTTTACTCAGCCATACGTTGCGGATCTTTTTGTTCTACTTAATTGGTATCTTTTCTGGTGGCCCAGAACAGGCCCCGGGAAGCTCCACGAAGGGTCTTCCGAAAGTTAGCATATTTGAGGCCTCGAAAACGCTGGTTTCCTCCCGAGAGTTAGCATATTTTGGACCCCTTCGAGTTGCCTTCGAGGGAGTTCCTCCCGAAAATAGCATATTATTCTTCTATCCAGCATCGACGCGATGCCAGCCAGGATTCACAATGCCACCCTTCGAAATGAGTCGGATCTCATCTACCCTCCCGTACCGGCTGGTGTTGTTCCAGGCGAAGGGATTCTGCCTAAAACGAAGCTGGACTTGGTGATTCTAGCTGGTGAGTCCTTGCTTTCTCTTCTTCATCCACTCATTTGAGGTGACCGGCCTGTGGCCACCCTTTCATTAATAGGGACGCAGTGCGCTGCGGTCTCCGCTGCTCTTCACTTGCCCCCTCTTACCCCTAATGCTACAGCGATGGAACAGAAGCGGCAGCTGGGTGCGTTTTTCGGTGTAGCCCTTGCCTGAACAGTTTCAAGGCGAGCATCGGTCTGGGGACCCACTCGCTTTGCTGACCCTCTCTAGGAAGCCCACCTGCTATTTATGGCTTAGTTTGACCCAAGCACGCAGATTTTTCTTCGCCCGTTTCTATTGTAAAACCCTGTAATGTAGTAATTTACCTGTCGTATATTCAATGTATGGTGGCAGAGCCCAGAACGCTTCATATTTCTTGAGCTTTGAAATGTGGGACAGTGGGTGTTTCACGGCTGTTGTGCTCGAACTGCCATCTAGTACTTTTCTTAATGACATCCACGGAGAACTACTTATTCGTATAACGGTATATCTGATCACCGTTGACCATAGCAATGATTTGCTCTGGTGAATGATGCTGACGCCACACGGATGCGCGTCGGCCGTTTACTTGTTTGCGTCTGTTTGCGCAGCCTCGTCCGCGTTTGGTAATTTGTTGAACGCGTCGCCAAACAATTGCTTATCCGCGACGTCCACAGTGCCTGCTTTCTCCTATCCTCTTCGCCACCGACGACGACGACGACGACAATGGCACCGAAACAACAAAAGCTGAAGAAATCAATGTCATCGACGACTACGGGAAAGACCTCGAAACTGACAGATTACTTCACCCGCGGCAACTCTACATCGAATAAACCCTCGCAGGCCTCAGTTTTGCCCACGCCCTCGTCGTCTCAGACACAGCTTGGCACGACTCAAAGCCCGATTAGACAAACAATGAAGGGCACCAGCACGAAACCGGCTCGTTCCAGCGCGATTCCGACGCGTTCTTCACCACGGCGCGCAGCTGTAACTTCCTCGCCCAAAGACCAAGCGCCACAGCCACCCGTTCCCGCTCCTGGTCCAAGCTCTTCTACGCCCAGATCTCAGTCAAAACTCACTACTCAGCTCCATAACGAAAGGCTCTCTCGTCTGCCTGGTCCCATTTCGTCCCCACACACTCGCAGTCGCTCGAACTCTGTCCTAGAAGGTGTCACTGTGTCTCCTCGCCGGCGCCGCCGCCCTAATTCGCCCTCGAAAGCTAGCAGCGACGCTGTCTCCATGCTTCCCGCCAAACGCAAGCTGTTCTCGGAAGCGGCCTCATCATCTCTTTCCTCTGTTCCACCCACTGTCGCTGCTGAGAAAGAGAACGTCACGGGATCGCCCCGTCGTTCGCCTCGCAAGAAACCTCGTCTGTCGACTCCTGAACCCCAGCCTCCCCAGCCGCCTACAGCAGACAATGGGAAGGGCGAGGAAGGATTAGAGGTTGTTCCGAGCAGTCAGAGCGACGAGCAAGAGCTCACTATGCCGGCGAAGTTGCTTACACGATCACCGAAGGAGATCAGGGATTCCGTCGAGTCATGGAGACGCTCTGGTGCTGCTGCTGCTACCACTACCGCAGATGCTATGGATGTCGATGATGGCGTTCTTCCAACGTTCTCCTTGGCCTCTACCCTCACTCCTATCAGCTCCCGGCCTCTGACCCCCGTTGTCGACGAGGATGAAGAACAGGCCGGTGTGGCCCATGCCCCATCCTCCTCACCCGTCGCATCCCCTTCCACTTACCACGCTGATCTTCCTCCCTCCTCTCCTTCAACCCATCGTCACAACGTCGAGCCTTATGGTTCTGCTCCCGTCACACCCCTCAGGTCTCAGGAACGAGCTCAAGTGCCAACCCCAGTCGCACTCAGTCCGGCCACCAAGACGGCCCAACTCATTGCCGAAGCAAAGGCAGTAGCTTTGAGGGCAATGGAGAAGGAAGTGATTGAGCCATCTGTCCTACAGAGCTTGCCGGATATGGAGGATAGCAGCGACGAGGAGGAACATCCGTTCAAGTTTGTGAAAGGAAAGGGCAAGGAGAATGACAAAGCGAGCAGGTTTGTCACTTTTCCAGTGTCGTTCTTTCCCGTCTTGGTTGTACTCACCTTAATTCTATTCGCTCCTTATTGCTGTCCATTAGAATAACGTCTCGCTCTGCCACTTCGTCCGCCTCCCGTTCCGTCGATGACGATGACGAGGATGAAGATGAACTTCCCCGTCGTACCCGCAACCGGAACGCGCCCACACCTACACTCACATCTCCCGCCGAGTCGGACATCGCTACCTCTTCCAAACATAACCTCTGTAGTAGACGCTCCACTGTTTCGCCCCTCCCACAATTTCCTGCCACCCAATCTCTCAGGCCCACGCGTAATCGCCGCGAACCCGCTCGCGGACCTCTTCCTTCCACCGTCGCTGAATCGTCCAAACCGAAACCAAAGCCAAAGAAGGTGTTCAACCCGTTGGACGAGATGTTGAAGGAGAAGAATCGGGAGGAGAAGAAGGGGGGCGGTATAGAAGGTTTTAGAAGGGCGGAGGTGACGAGGAGAGAGGGGCATACGCCTGTGGATTGGGATATGGATGATTCCGATTCTAAGGGCGCTGAGGATATCATGGCGAAAGGCAAAGGGAAGGCTAAGGTGGTGGATCTTGGTCATGATGACTTCGAGGCGGCGAGGAGGGCGGCGCAGAGGGGTGCGAGGATGCGCTATGCTTCTGGTGCAGGTCACGATGGGGACCGAGTTGTGAAGAAGGAAGATATTGATGGAGATGAGTTAGCGGTAGGGAGGGAGGATAGGGAAAGATTGCTTGGAACCAAGGATGGAAAGAAGGTAGCGAAGATCTTGGAGATGGATGATGTTAGTGGGAGGAAGCAGAGCAGGGTTGTGGGTTTGGACGTTAGGAGGGAAGAGGAAGAGGGTGGGATGGAAGTTGATGATGGAAGCTCTTTGCCTCCATGGAAGGAGCTTGGAGAGTTAGACGGGGAAACAGAAGGCAACATGTTGACGAAGTTGCGGGATGCTGTTGAGATTAGCGGTAAGCTTCGATCTCCATCTTTTTTGTCGTCCGGCAGCTCATTCGTTTCTCGTTCTGTGACAGATACAGCGAAGATGGAATCATTGTTCAAGGTTGGTCTTCTGCGTCTCGTGAACGTGAAGAAACACCCCGGGCTCGTCCAATGGCTTTGCGAACTCGGTACGTTTCTTCAAAAGTCTTCGAACAATAACCTCTTACTGGCTTTCCTACTTTGACTCATCCACATCACCCTTTCTGTTCGTAGCTCTGTCTCTACAGCCGGAAAACGACACATTAGTCGACTCCGCCTTCGAGTTTATTCTCAGCATCGCACCTCCTCCGAACACCATCACCTCCTCCGCCTTCTCTCCTGGCACCATGATCAGCATCCTCGGACAATTGGGCATGAAACCGGAGTTCCTGGCCCACATCTCTGCATCTTGCGAACATTACTCGGGACCGCAGCTCAATCTGGACACCAAGCAGCGCGGAGACGCGTTCTTCCGCCTCTTCTCGACGTTGACGGCCTTGGCCAAGAAGAAGTGGATTCAACCTAATGATGTGCCAGACCTTGTCGTAGGCGCGCTGTTGGTCGGTATGGACGCGACTGCGACGTTGAAGGTGCAGAAAGACGTACGAAGCACTGTGGAAGCGCTTTGTGCGATCCTGTCTGACGATGACGCGACCAAACCAAACGACCTCGAGGCCTCCGTCTTCAAGAAAGTGCTCAGCCTGGCTCGTACTTTCGCTTCGTCCGAGGAGGACAAGCAGACGCAGGCCGGTTTGGAGGTGGCCAACCAGGCGAGGCTGATGGATCTGTTTATTGGCGGGTGTAAACCTGCTATGAGGATCTCGAGGGCCGTGGCACATGCTTTGATCACTCGCGCGGAGATGAAGGAGTGCGAGTATTCTGCGTTGCCGGAGTTGGATAGGATTTTGGAGACGATGTCGGAGAAGAGGGGCGTTTTCGATGTGTTGAAGTTTGATCGTGCGGACGAAAAGGTTGTTCAGGCTTTGAAGAAGGAGGACAAGGCAGCCAGCGATGATGACGAAGCAGACGACAACGAGGGCGACGATGATGATGAGTCGGATGGGCAGCCTGAGCCAGAGGAGATCAAGCCAAAGAAGAAAGAGTTCGACTACGACGAGCTGAACGACCGCATGGTCGTCCTCGCGAAAGCGCTCTCCGGGCTTGCTGACTACGTGAAGGTGGAGAAAGAGGAAGCAAGAGCGAAGAAGGAAAAAGAGAGGGCGGAGAGGGCAGAAGAGTTGGCTGTTCGGGGAGGAAGCGTTGCGTCGAGTCGGTTGAGTGGGAGGGCGGAGCAGGAAAGGGAGTTGACGGGATTGGAGGCTGTGAAGATTTGTTTGGATGGGTTGCATGGGAGGATTGGTATGTCTTTTCTATTCCTCGGTTTCTTCCTTGTATTGTCGAACAGAGAGCTGATGAGTTATTGTTATGTTGTTGTCTACAGTCGATACGCGCGCTGCTCATCTCGATAGATCACAGGCGAAGGCATCCGTCCAGCGGCTCGCGATGAGCCTGCATTATAGGAGGATGGCGGAGTTGGGTGGCGGACAGAGCGTGCTGAGGGATTTCTGGGCCGGGAGGGCCTGAGGTCGATTATCGTCGTCGTTGAGAAGCGTGGGCGACATTGTCGTCTAGTGTCGACCCTAGATAGTCGGTTATGGGTCTGGGCGTAATATGGCGTGGTGCTCGTGGTGTGTTGATATCGTTTGTTTCCTCTCTTCGTTTCTTGTGCTCTTGCAGCTGCTTCGGTCCATGTTTCGTTTTTTCTTTCTTTCATGTCTACCCTTCCAGTACCCTCTCATCCTAATCACTCCGTTACTAGTGCGTTGGACGCACAGAGACCGACTATCTTCTTTATTCTCTGTTTATATTCTTAATCGTACTTGTAAACTGCTCTTCGTCTCCACTCTGTCCTGTCCGCGTAGATTACACCTTCTTGCTGGGTCTCACAGACCACTCATACCTAGTCCTGTCTGAGGTAGAGTATCACATTCGCACTAGTCATCTGTTTGTATAGTATACCTTGCACTTTCTGCATACATACTATGGATGGCCCAGTAGTTCGACAAAATCTTGAGCTCTCCGTCTATTCCTTGTCTCGCAACCTGGGGCCCAAAAAACTTGGGGATATGTACTTTGAGGTCTCATGATTATGTTTGGGTAATCTATAAGTTTTTTGAGAGACTGGGCACTCTGCCAAAGAGATGCCGGGAAGAGGACTTTGTCGAACTCGTTCGACGCCAAGACATGCCAAGGCCCCACTCAAACTGGCTGATCGTCACTCGTTGTCACCGTCCGCCACACGGCTTCTTCAAACTCCGTCAGCACCCTTTGGCGCAGAGCCACGTGCGGAGATTGAATTCTGCCTCTGCCGCCTCTGTAACGTTTCTCCCCCTCCCTCGCATTTACGCACCAACACACAGATCGGGGTGGTAAAAAGTGTCTATATGTATTACGATATGTACTCGAATGTCTCACAAATATAACTAGATCTTCTGGGTGCTAGGATCTAGCTGTGTACCGCTTCTCGAGGGAGTCACGCTTGTCGAAGTGGCAGTTTTGACCATCTTTCATTTTCTGTACCAACAAGCATTCGGCGTGCGGATATAAAACTTTACAGCAATGGTCTTGGTACATGAAAGAACGTATGCCTATTTTTTGGGAGCCGAGCGTGAACTGACTGGAGAGGGAGAAAAAGATTACGGAGGTTGTCGAACTACTGGGTCTTGTCGAACTACTGGGCCATCCATAGTAGATTTGGATGCATGTCGCAGTCCTGTCTGATGTTTGGGAAATACGAAACGAAGAAAGATGTGGCCCCATGATGTGCGCAGTCGGGTTCTTTGCGCTCTTCTATGATTTGACGTCTAATTTTTCTCGACACCGTCATGGACATGGTCCTCTTCCGCCGGTATTCCGCCGGCTGGTGTGCCGATTGTTCCTGGAGATGTGCGATTTGAGGGAGGGGAATAAGGTGGGAAGGTGTGGCGACAGTACGCCACAGGATGTCGGATCTGATAAATGGTGCGATGGTGGATCTTATCAGATATTTTGTGACATATCCGTGCCCTGATTTACGAAATGCGCGGGCTTATCAGATAAGCGGAGGCTTCATTTCCCATCATCCGACCGCGAGCACGCTGCAAGCAGCTGGAACGGGAAAGCAAACGCAGAAGAACAGACGGTAACATTATTTGTTCGTTACTCGTTATGGGATATTCTCTCCGTCCGGTCCTCGTCAGTACGTCCGAGATGGGCTAGCTCTGACTTATGGGGACGGGAAATACAGGTGCTGCAGGACCGCCCCGACCGGAGTCAGAGCCAAAAGTATAAGGGGAAACGAGCCCCAGTGGCATGCCACCCACGCACCCTCAACACCACCCGCTCAAGCCGTCCCCGTCCGTTCTTATTCCTCTCCACCGCCTTTCTTCCCCGCCATCAACTTCGTCCTTGCCCTCGACCTACGACGACGACGGGCAGAATATGCCTTCCTTCCGACGTTCACCGCCGCCAGAGGAACAGGCCCCCCTGCTCGAAGGATCATCCGAACAGCACACGCAAAAGTCTGCAGCTGATGAGGGGGCCAGGCGGGCGTGGTGGAAGAAAGCGACCCCGTTATGGTGCGTTGGGCGTGTGGGCGCTTGTTTGCGTGTGGTGGGTGGAAGGAGAGCTGACGCTTACACGTAACATCGTACAGGATCGCACCGGTCATCTTGGTCTCTTCGCTATGCGTGAGTGATTCAGATTAAAGTCCGCTGAGCGTTCGCGTCGATCTCGAAGAACATCTATCTCGTTCAGCCGAGTATGTTGAACGGCGTTATGTCTGTTTCGACGGCTCTGCCCAGTTCCGACTGTATTCTACGAGGCTTCCTTGAGATCACAACATATTCGCACTGTGTGAAGGGCCAATGAATGTACGCTGGTATAATCTCGGATTACCACAATGTCGGTGTTCTATGATGGTACTGTGTAGGATCCGCATTCCAGAATCCCTCCGGTGCGCGTAAATCGGTTTAGCGTTAGCGTTCTCCTTGCCATTTTCAACCAGGGCCACCCAATGTGGCCCTATGCCCTCCGCTGTATTCCCGACTACGATCATGGCTGACCGAGAATGTATCATTTTACAGCGCGGGATGACTCTCGCACCCCGCGTTGAAGTATACACGCAGCTCGCATGTCGAGCCATCCACGGGAACGATCCAGTCAATCCTAACGCCACCTCCCTGTACTTCTCTCCTTCCTACGAATACGACGGATACAATACCACCAAGACTCATGATGAAGATTACGACTATGACTATACCACGATCTCACTTCCATCGCGTGGGATCGTCGATGCGGATGCCTTAGACGCTTGTAAAGGCGATCCTCGAGTCCAAGGGAGGGCGGCGAGGATTCAGGCCTGTACGTCCACATTCATGTCCCGCTCACCTGTGCAGTCAATCTGCTGGGGATGTAGCATGGTCTGGTCGTTCCGTGGCATGTAATGTCTAATACGGGACTATATATGTAGCGGTTAAGACCACGGAGAGCATCCTCAGCGCCGCCACGACAGGTTGGCTGAGCCATTTGAGCGACGTGTATGGACGGAAGAAGGTACTGGCGTTCTCGGTATTTGGAGCATTGTTCATGTACGTCGTTCTCTTTTCCCGTGCTTCGCACCACTGACCATCGTTAACGTCTTACCGTCTTTTTCAACATTCATTTATAACGTTGTGGGACTACAGGGACATCATCTACATCATGGTTCTGGAGGCAAAGTATGCTTTCGCTGAGCACGGGGAGGCGTTCATCATCATTGCACCTGTCATCGAAGGTTTCCTCGGCGCTCAATCGACCTATAACGGTCTCGTCCATGCGTAAATATCCCTTCCATTCCTCGTACCCCATCACTTTTCACCGTCTTACCCCTTCAACTCCCGGTTACTGACTCCCGACCACCGAACCCACAGTTATGCGACAGACTGCACGCCAAACGGCTCCCGCGCCCGCATTTTCTCCACAATGCAAGGCATGCTCTACGTAGGTCTCGCCTCCGGACCCTGGCTCAACGGGCTCATCCTGCACCTCGGATCAGGAAGCACGACTCGAACACTCTTCGTAGCCGCCATCATCATCGCACTCATCAATCTCTCCTTTGTCTCCTTCGTCCTCCCCGAGTCACTACCCCCGTCTTCTAGACTGAAGGAAGGTTCTAGGGACAGCAGATCGGAATCGGTTTCGTCCGGGATGACGTCGGAGAGCGCGAGTACCAGGTCGTCTATTCACCACGGACATAGACGCGGGCATGGAGGAAGAGGAGGGAGAGGGAGGAGGAGGAGGAGTGTGGTGGGTGCGGTGAAGGGCCTGGCGAAGTATGTGGCGAGACAGTTTTGGAGGCCTGTTAGGCTGTTTTTGCCGCATTGGGTGGAGGCGGGGAATGGGAAGAAGGGGAGGTGGGATTGGAATTTGACGTTGGTTGGGATCACGCTGTTTATCTATTTGTTGTCGATCGTGAGTGTTTCGTTTCTCCCCTTTTTCTGTTCCACGCCCATGCGCCTTCGTCTTCGAGTTTTTTCTTGACCGAAACGCTCGATTGGGCGGTGGGCGCCTGTGTTGTCCTGATCGCTAATTCGTTTTATTCTTGGGTGTGTAGCAAGTGTATAACTTGAAGTATCTGTATGTTCGGCATGTGTACAACTGGTCCAGCGAGACGGTGAGTTGCTATCACGTTCATAAAGAAAAAGGACGGAAGTGCTCATTTTGAGGTACCTCTGTCAGCTCGGATATTACATGTCGTGGCTCTGGATCACCCGTGCAGTGAACCTCTTGCTCATCCTCCCAAGTACGCGACATACTTCATTTCTATATGTTTCCCTGATTAAAGATTCTCTCATCCACTGTCTAGCCGTCCTGAGCTACTTTGCCCCTTCTCGCGATCCTGACGTCTCCCAAGCGACCTTCCTGGCGCGCTCCCTCGCTTTCGACCGCATCGTCACTTCAATCTCTTTCTTCACCGACGCCACGGCCAATCTGCTCGTCTCCATCACGCCTACTTCGTCGCAACCGCTCTTCATCCTCTTCACATCGTTGAATTCGTTGACGAGTGGTGGAAATCCCGCGTTACATAGTTTGGGTGCCGGGACGTTGATCGCTATCGGCAAAGGCGCGGAAGTAGGCTTGGTCTTCGGTGCGATGGGTCTAATCAACGCTGTCGCCCATGTCGTCGCTGTAAGTCTTCCCATCATCATCCTCCGATATAAGTCTAAGTGTCCCTCACTGATAAAAAAAAAAATTCCTCCGTACGCAGCCGGGTATTTACGCAGCGATCTACGGCGCCACAGTGGCCACATTCCCAAAAGCCATCTTCGCCATGTCCTCCGTCCTGCTCTACACCGCCGTCGTCATGCTCCTCCTCATCCGACCGCACGTCGAGGCCATAAAGACGGTCGAAGATGGTTCGAACGATCCGACGGACCTCAACGAGGAGGAGACGTCCGCCCTGGGCGTCGAGAACGCGTTCGCTCCCTCCGGATCGGGATCTGGCCAGAACCTCGCGAGTCCGAGCGTGCATGGTAAAAACTCGTTGGGGCGGAAGAGCCTCAGTCTTTATTCCCATTCTCGGGATGTGTCGTTGTCGCCTTATAGGGACAGGGGAGGAGAGAGACTGAATAGTCCGAGCATTGTGGTCGATGATCAGAGCGATGCGGAGGTTGAGAGTCCTCTGAGTCCGAATAGTGGAAATACTGGTGGAGGGGTGAGGAGAGAGAGATCGAGAGGGACGGGGAGGGGGAGGAGGAGGAGGAGGAGGGAGAGCGAGCTTGAGGGGTTGAGCTTGCATGGGCAGGAAGGGGAGGATGCGGAGATTGTGGCGGATAGGAGGAGGAGTTCGATGATTAGGCTTTCGATGGGTGAGGAGATGCAGGCGGGGGTGTGAGTGGTTACAATCAAGTGGATAGGTAATGGATGATGGGTAATGAATGATGGGCGATGGGCGATGGGCGATGGGCGATGGGAAGGGTTCCGGTGGCGATTGGAGTAGGCTGCGATTTGACGGACAGGGCTTGGGAAGTTAAAGGTAGTGACTGGTGTGGGTAGTATACCGGTGGACTAGGATTCTTTTGTTCTCGTGTTTATTCGTGTTTTAGGAAGACCGTTTGTGATCTTTTGATCTGCACACCACGTAATCTTCGTGCGTTTCTTGTTGTACTATAATAGTGATATCCAGATATGCCGCCGTAAGTTTCACGGCGAGGCTCTCAATTCGGAGCGGTGGCGTTCCCTCTGCGCAGTTTCGTAGAGGAAACGATGCCCCAATGACGAAACACGGCGCTTCCATAAACACTGCGCTGTTTCTGACGGGATTGAGACGGGCGCAAGATATTTCACACAAGTCTGGATATTTCGAACCGAGCAGAAGTTCAATTCAACATAAATCATATGGCATAAATGAATACTCTAGCTATTGCGAGACATGGGTTGGAAGGTGAATGCATATACAAGGCCAAATACCACGGAAAGCATATATCTAGTCATATAGTCATACAATCATACACCGACGGCATCACTCGCAGGATCCGATGAAAAGAAATGTTCGCGAACCGAGTTGCGAGGGTCTAGTGCGTAACTCGACTTGGACCAGTCGTACCACTGATCGCCAAAGAGGCCGGCCATGCAAGTATCACGCACGTTCATGAGCGGGAACTTGTGTGCTCGGTCACCCTCACTTTGAAAGAGAGGCGTGGCAATGGGCCCCGTCACCAACGTTCGCATAAAGCGAGGAATACCATGGTTGTCATCAGGAGTCTTGAGAGAGGGACCTGTAGCCCCCCGGGTCCCATGAGATCGCTCGGCCGTCGGTACGCACTGTTCGGCTGGACCCTCGGCTGCCAGCCACTCGGGCTCGGAACTCGGAAGCTCGTCGACGTCGCCGCGCTCTGCGTTCACCATCTCGTTCAAGGCAGCGAGGACTCTGGCCCTCATAACTGGGGTTGAAAAGGTCTTGTTGCCGTCCTATCCAAACGGATGATCTATTAGTATGGGTGAGGACTTTGCCGACGTGATCAAGACACACCTTGTCAGTCCTCGAATAGATGTTATCCGGCTCGACGGATTCGACAGCACTGAGGAATGTTTCGGGGTTCAGCACAAATTCACCGAGTTTCTTCGAGTATTGACCGTCGCTCCATTTCATCTGAGCAAACATGATCGTCTTGGCCTTGGTCTCCTTCTCTTCTAAAACACAGAGCCAGTCGGGGCGGGCATTATTGTCCAGCCAGAACCACGAGAAGCCTCGTCCACTCTCCACGGCCTTCGCGAGGGCTTCAGCGTTACGGGCAGTAAATCCGAAAGGCAAGTTTGGCGCTTTCGTCCAGGAGGTAGAGAACGACAAAGATTTACCGTTGCGCTTGATGACCCCTACCAGCGTAAATTCCTTGTCTGCCAACTCAGCCCAGTACCCCCCGACCTTGAAGACACGTATCAGCTTGGTATACTTGCCGCCGAAGTGATGCATCATGAGCAGAGCGAATTCCATTTGGAGTCGATATCCTTGTTCGACGTTGTTGAGCGCTTGGGTACGGAGGTCGTTCATCCAGGTCACTATATTGCCGGTGCACCTCATGAGAACGTTGCCGAGGGCGACCGGCTCGTCCATTGCGACTGGACCAACTGAGCCACCATCACGCGTGTCTTCACTGTTCTGTTTGATATACGCTATACCGGATTCTATCAATTCGGCATGCTTGGGGTGGATGATAGAGGGAAAGCTGGCGATCCCATAGCGTAAGGTAGCTGACAGGAGGGCTGACATGAAGTGCTCATCCTCTGCGAAGGAACAGACGTTAGATGAAACTGAGGAATGATAACTGCGTCTCGAGGAGGGAGTCGACGAACCTCTGGCCAATTTGAGCACCAGGTCCCAGTTGACGGCAGCTGCTACGGCCGCTATCTCATCGAGATCGGCCCGTGAAAGTGTCGCACCTGCGTCCTCGTTTCACGGCGGGGGGGTCAGTATTTGGCGCACGCCAAAGCCATTTGCATTGTCAGATCCATATCCAGGAAATAGATACCAAAATGGGACGCTCCAGATCATATATTTGTCGTAGTTTAGTGTAAAATCCATAGTTTTGCTTTGAATTCCGCTTCGGACTCGCCCAGATGAGAAGCTGAAGAAAAACAATGGTGCCCTGCAAATGGTTATATTTTTGCTGAACTATAGAGTCCTCCAAATCAAGAGACGAAGGCCCGCTTTAGACCTCAAAATGGCGTGACCCAAAGCCACTCTTTGGACTGCTCGATTCAGTGAACCAAAGGCGAGCAATCGGGCCCCATATGGAGCTCTCCATAGTCCAACTTTGGAAATTTTGCGATCTGATAGCCAATCAACGTCCGCCACGTGGCAGATTGAGCCCAAAGCCAGACTATAGAGAGCAGCATATCGGGCTCAATTGTTTGCCTTTGGTTCACCAAATCGAGCAGTCCAAATAATGGCTTTGGGTCATGCCATTTTGAGGTCTAAAGCGGGCCTTCGTCTCTTGATTTGGAGGACTCTATAGTTCAGCAAAAATATAACCATTTGCAGGGCACCATTGTTTTTCTTCAGCTTCTCATCTGGGCGAGTCCGAAGCGGAATTCAAAGCAAAACTATGGATTTTACACTAAACTACGACAAATATATGATCTGGAGCGTCCCATTTTGGTATCTATTTCCTGGATATGGATCTGACAATGCAAATGACTTTGGCGTGCGCCAAATATTGATCCCCCCGCCGTGTTTCTTCTATCGTTGACTGTGAACCCGTGGGTGGCCTGGAACATGTACTTGTCGAAAAGGCGGTGTATAGCTAGGGGCTGTTTCTCTTCATGATGACGACGTAAGCATCGGAGAAGAATATCACACCAAGCCGCGGCAATTCGTGGTCTATATTTATCATGCAAGTGAGCTGCGAAGGAGATGAAGGGCGGAGAAGGACTATCAACGAACCTGCCTGGCAACCACGATGTGCACCTAATGAGGAGATCCTCATGGACGGGATTGGTTTTCGGGCGCAGCATCCAGTCGAACTTCGGAAGAACAAGATAAGATTTCAACCATTCACCAAGTTGTTCGGCTTCGTCGAAGACCCCAGCACGATTCTTCGTGAAAATGTTACCGGCTTTCAAAGCGCTGGACGACAAGGCTTCTTGGGCAAAGCGCATGGAAAGACCGGTCCCAGAGTAGACCACATTGGTCACCATGTCATAATCGTCGCGAACTATCTTCTGGATCACTGCGAGGATAGGGCGACGCACGTTGGGGTCCCTGTCCGAGCAAAACCGGTCCAAGAACTCTTGTACGGCCCGCTGGGCCTCGTCCACCGCCATCCAGAGGGTCCTTTTGTTCAAGTTGTCTACGGGGAAGAGACGTGCATGCTTTTTGATGATAATCGTCCACAACTGGCGCGCTATAAACACACAATCGTGGTCGTCGACAGCTCGAGCGTCAGGTCCGGTAGTAATGCGAAGGGCCTCGATGAGAGCGCGGAAGATGTCGTTCGGCTGAGTTCCATCCGCGACGAGATTGGGCGCGGCCTGAATGAATAGCCACTGCAGACGAACTAGTGCAGGATCCCAATCTTCCGGTACTGAGTCGAGGAAACGAAGTAAGACTGCGAGACGGACTACGATGAGCATCCCGATGCAGCGTTGGACGATCTTCTTGTTGGCCTCAAACTGCGCTTGCGTAGTGGCTTGCTTCCACTCGGAATGATTGGGCATCATTTCCAGCAGAACCGAAAGGTCTCGAGAGCCATACCCATAGGTCTGTGCGTCTCTTCTCTCATCTGCGAACGAAAAGTAGAACCCCCAGTTCTCAGTAAGGCCCGTGAAGAGAGTCGCCGATTTCCCAGAACCAGGCGAGTTGATATAAAGGGTACTGCACGAAAGAGTCAGAGACAACGACAGGAGGCCGTTCAAAGCGATGGACACATACATAGCGTTTGACTTGTTGAACAACTCCTTAGCTTGCTCGGCGATCTTCTCGTCCTTTCCGAGGTCTTGAAGTAGCAAACAGATAATTTTACCTGGTCCAAACTCTTCGGAGAACTTATTGCCATTGCTTATGTACTTCCATATGTGATCGAAATCGTCCAATTTATCCCCGAGGTATTCTCTATATTCTTGTCGTGGCATCTTGCGAGGTGTGACTACGCAGCACCGAGTGTCAGGGAAAAGGTCCATCAAGACGTGAGAGAGCAAACTTACATAGTACGTTAGGTGGGGGCGGCTTGTCAGATACATCCGGCGGATCTACTGGCGGAGGAATCGATGCCACTAAAGGCCGAGGAATTGAACGTGGCACGGCGCGACGTGGGACGGGAGGCGGAGGCATACTCCAAGCGTCTGACAGGCAGATATATCAATTGCGTGATGACGAGAAATACTGAGAAGAACATACAATGTGTACAGGCGTTGTAGTAGTATTCCAGATTATCGTACGCTTTCAGGAAGGTCCGCATCGCATCTTGGGCCGCAGGATAACACTTGATGTACTCGCGAGCAGCTACCATCCCTTGGACTCTACCTAGCCCCAGATCGATAACAGTCTTTGCAGGGTCCACCAATTGCACCGAGTCTTCTTTATCGATCCACTCGACCATGAAATGGTCATACCAATGTTCATCAACGAATTGGATTTGCTCGGCAGTAAGGTCGGCATAAGCCACATAACCAAAGCCAAAGGTATCAGTGTGCGTCGGATGAGGGATATTTTCCTCCGGATGGGCGACTGAAGGCGAAGGATTTACGATGTTCTCTGTCACCGGAGCCTCGATACGCGTACGGCGACGAGGATGTTGGTCCTGCTCGTCATCCAGAGCCTGAGCACCACCAGTGGGAGAAGACGGTTCTGGGTGAGGTCGTTTCAGGGTATTGGGATGCGTCGTCGTGTCGGGATCAGACATGATGATGGAGGTGGAGAGCAAGACGCGACGGCGACAAAGTTCAACTCAAGTATCTGATCTGATCGCGATCGATTATTTTGACACGCCGCTCGAACTCGGGCCGACTTTCCTGACTTTTGTTCGCCTGACGGGGTTTGCCGGATCTCCACGTGGCCACGGTTGCGTTGTCGCTCACTGCCGCCATCGCTTCACCGTCTCTTCCATCGACGACATGCTCTTCACTCGCAAACGCTCCCTCTCCCTTGACTCTTTCGACTCTGAGAAACCCATGGCCAAACGTGCGCGCCGTCAAGTATTACCACAGTCTTCACCAGTTCCAGCTCCGACGAAGGTCGACTCCCTCGACAAGTCGCGGAGTCTCACGCCCTCACCTCTTTCTACAACCACATCGTCATCATCTCCTGCATCACCTCCTTCGCAGTGCTCAAATAAGCCGGAGTCATCGCTCTCCGCATCTCCGTCTTCATCTTTTGATTCCTTATCGTCATCGCTGTCTCCGGCATCATTACTTTCCAGCCTGACGCCTCCTTCCTCTCCACCCACTGTCGCATCTGTTTCGTCACCGCATACTGTGCCGAATGCTCTTCTTTCATCAGAGAACGCTGAAGCACCCCCCACATGCTCTTTCGCGAACGATGTCACGGCCGACGAGGAAGCACGCCTCACAGCGCGCTTCCAAGACGATCTTAGGCGAATCTGGGGCAATTTGGCTATTATGCAGGCGTCAATAGGTTTTTATGACCTCATTGTTCGCCTTGGTCTATGGACCGGAACGAGGGAGGAGTGTGTAACGCTAACGCGTGCCCACCCTGACCTTGTGGAAATCTTTTATAGAGTCCTTGATACCGGGGACTTCCACGAAATATCTTCCCATCGTGAGCCCGTCTTTCAATTTTTTTCTTCCTTTTTCATTCGTCTAACGCCTTTGATAGCTGCCTTCCATAATCCATTGAACCGCGTCATCGACAAAGTCATCTATAGTGTCGACCATATCTTCGCTTCAATCCGGGGCGGGAACCTTCCCTCTGCGTCCTTTCCTCCTACAAGTCTCAATTCTCGAAGCACTAGGCATCTCGAAGATCTCGATGGTCCGAGTGCTGCCAGTGACATGGTGGTCGCCGAGGAGCTCATGTACATGAAAAGGTTAGTACTCATCTCCAGGTTCTTTCGAATCGCCGATACTTAACAGGTTGTAGAAGCTACATCACGGCGATATCGACACGAAAGACGCGCCTGCTCCTCCAGGGCCTTCTACAGTACTGGGGCCTTTATTTTTCTTTCTCCACAACTAGCGCTCAGAATCAAGCTGGTATTCCGTCAACATCTCCGGACCTCGCGTTTGCCCTCAAACTACTCAGACGCTTACGGGCTTCAGCCGCTGCGGCCGGCGTCGACACGTCTCATTTAGCCGACAAAGTTTTCTATGCACTGTACCTCTCTCGGATCCTCGTTCTTTATCACTTCCTGGACAGCCTTCCATCCGATATCTCCGAGAGTCAAGCCCACAGAGAATGGCTCTATTTCCAACTCGCTCCACCGCTGACATCGGCGGGCGTCGATATATTTACGGCGGTCTTGGAGGGCGTTGCTGGAGGGGATGTTGACGATTTGCGGACGGTTGCGGAACGTAGATTATCCGCTCTAGGCTGGAGGAACCACCAGTGGTTCTCTCAATCACTCTATGGAAGTTATGTGGAGGGAGGGTTCTATGTCGATCCTCTGGAAGAAGTGCACCCACCGCTATATCTCGTCATCGATGAGATCGAGATGCCCGTTAGTGAGGGGCTCAAACCCCGAGCTGCTCGTCGGGTCGCTCGCAAGCGTGCAGAGGTCTACTCCTTACTCTGCCGACCTGATTCATCGTAATCATAGGTATGTCTTAGATTCCTGATCTCACTTCTGTCTTCTGATCTTTACCTTGTCTTCGCCAGGCGCCCGAGCTTTCCTTTTCTTTCGCCCGATCATCTATCATCAATATTCCGTCATTCTGTTCATCTTTGCTATCGTTCCTTTTCTGTTTCAGTGCTTCGTTGTGTTCTACCCGGCCTCCTTTGCAATTTCCGTGTCGGATACGACTTCCGTTCCCCCTTCGTTCAAAGGTCCCATATCTCTTCCATTCTCCCCTGATTGATTGTACAACATATATCACAGCATCTATTTAAGCTCCTTCCCTTCGCACTTCTATTTTCTCTGTTATGTACCTTGGACTTGGCCTTCACATTGTTGTCATTGATATCCTGTTTTGGTTGTGTACCTCCTGTAGTGAAGGCCAGTCATCGTCGTCTCTGTTTCTCCGTCTATCTTATATATCTATATGCTGCGCGCACTGGCTCGATTGTACGGAGGGATTCCGGCTCGGGTTCCAGCGGCGCAATCGCGTTTGTTTTTTTTTCAACCTCATAGCAGCGTGAAACACTCAAGCAGATCCGGGAGAAGATCGCAGGGCTGCTCTTCGTACGAATTCGGTGGTTCGCTCAGAGCATACTTAGATAGTGTAATGTTGTGCGGTTGTGCGGCAAATAACGCGAGCCCCTTTCGACCAAATCCAAGCGCACGCCGCCAGCCGTTCAAGACACTTTTCGGACACGTATGTACCGTTGTTGATACGTTGACATATCATCTAGAGTAGGCGTCCACAGCGAGACTAAGTTCGGACGACGAACTGGTCAAAGATTATCGTCATATCGCAACGAATAAAATCGCAATAATACAAGCAGTCCATTCTGCTGATCGCCGCATCGCCAGGCGTTCATACAACATCCATCACCTATTATCCCTTAGGTTGTTATACATTCGGTGGACACACAATATGGTTCGGTCGATCACTGAGTCGTGACGACACCATCGGGCTCTATAAGATGGGAAACAGTGCACGGTCAGTCGTTGTGGCGATCAATTGTGAAACCCGATTGTTATTTAGCTGTACAGAGGCGACGAAGTGAACGAAATACGGACCGATGTAGTCGATCTCGCTGCCTTGGAGGCTTTGGAGCTGTTGCAGGTAAGCCTCGGGGATGGTGGCAGAGAAGCCCTGACAATAAAGAAGGATACGTCAGTACTTGGACCTAGCATCTCACCAGACCGTGTACATGGAGATGTAACATACCTTCATAATGCTAGAGTCGAACTTGTTGTGAATCGAGCCACCTATCCTCGACACGAACAGAGATATCGATCAGATCGATCTTCGGCAGAAAGATATCGAAAGCGCTATAAATCGTACCTGCATTACTGAGCTCTTGCTCGTGCTTGCCAATCGTATCGGCGGAGACGTCTTTCTTGAAGACGACTATGAACTCTACGTTTACGACGGCATCATGTCCAAGCTTAGCGTTTGTATACCTACAACAGTAGTGAGTGGACAGACGAACTTCCGGACGACATTCTGTTAGATCTAGGAATACAACGAAGAACTCGAGTGACAAAGATGGTTGTTGACGGCGGAAGAGATCTAGGTAAGGAGTCCTAAAGGAGATCCGAAAGCAGCAAGAGAGAAAGCAGTCACTATGCACGAATCCACGCATGACGTAGGTGGCCGCCGCCACGGCGTTGTGGCCACAATGCGGCGTTCCCCTTCATCCCCTCCGTTTCCCTTACGTTATTTTCATCTTGGCAGTCTGTGGTCGCCCGTTGTATTTACTGCTTGAATGGTCACTATTGCTATATCACGACACACGAACTAGTGCTCTCCATAATCGCCAGCAGTATTCTGTGTGGCGTCAAACTAACCACACGGCGGCGACGCGGTCACGGTGCCGCGTTCAGCGCTAATGAGGAGTCAGGTCGCGTCCTTGTTTCTTGCCTTACTAATACAACCCCGCTTACCATCCTTCTTCTGAACGACGACGACGACAACGGCCAGGACGCGACTGTACGTTCTCTCCTCGCTGCCTGGTCTATGCTGTTTTTGAGTGGGCCTTTCTTCTCTCACCAATTCTTGAAGACTGTGACACCCAGACGCACAACGACATCGCTGTGTCAGCTCTACCAACTTCGATTAGTTCAAAACCGATACAACATGCGTACGACTCGTTCTGCATCCAGAGCTGCTGCCGGGGCCGCTACTACACCGCAACCGAACTCTGCCCCTGTCAAAGAGGCTGCGCCGCCGAAGAAACCGGCCGGAAGGGTCACCAAGCGCAAAGCCCCTGCTACTGAGTCTAACACTGCTAACGTCCCCGAATCTGAACCAACCATACCGGCTCAGAGTCCCAAAAAGAGAGCAAAAAAAATCGAAGCCGATGGCTCTAATCCACCACAAGCAAACCCGGGCGCTCACGCCGAGGCTGGTGTCACACCGGTCCTGCTTCCCGCGAAGCTGACGTTCTCCTTTGACGACGCGAAGAAGCATCTGATTGAGGAGGATGCGAGGTTTGAGGATGTGTTCAGGAGACTACCGTGCAAACCTTTTGAGAAACTGGAGAGAGTCGAGCCGTTCAGGTGAATTTCCTGGACTTGCGACACTCGAGCTTTCAACGCGGAAATCACTGATGACTTGAACTTTGCCTTAGAACCCTGACAACATCGATTCTGTTCGTTCCTTTTCTGACTTGACAGAGCCTCTCGGACGTAAACTGATGTCCGCACGCAGGGGTCAACAAATATCATGGCTTGCAGCTCGTTCTATCAATCACAGATTCGTCAGGCTCTACTTCCCTGATCTGCCTGAGAAGCCCGACGCAGAATAGTTCGCTCATTTTCTTCTTGTCGTCTGCCTCAATGTATTTGTTTGCGCAACTGACAACTTCCCTGTTCTTTGTGTAGCTGGGCCAAAGCACCTATCACTTTGTTCCCGACGCCACACCAGGTAGCAGTGACAGACCTCAATACCCTGAGGACAGCGGGACTGAGTGGGCGGAAGGCCGAGTACGGTTCGTTATAAAGCTTCCAAGTTTTGCCAGCTAGATAGTTCCCGGGTCAGTCTTAATGCTGACGAATAACTCCAGTTCAAGATCTGGCAGCGCGCTTTGCGGATGGGCGTCTGTCGGCTGAAAAACTCTTCGAAGCCGACGATGAAGAACTGTATGAGTTGCTCACGGCTGTGAGAGGAATTGGGAGGGTAAGTAGACTTTTCTTGGATTATCTTTTTCATAGAGTCCTAGAATTGACTGCGTTCTGCCTATACACGTGTGATGATTATCTTTGCAGTGGACTGGTGGGTCGTGTCTCCTTGAGAGCCTATCAGTGGAGCTGACTTATATGATATCATCCAGTGGACATGTTCGCCATATTTTCTCTTCGCCGGCCTGATATTATGCCCTACGGTTAGTCTGCCTATCAGCCTCACGTCTTCATTTCGGTCCTTACTTTTGTCAACGATTGTAGGTGACCTCGGAGTCCAACGCGGCGTGATGCGCTGGTTCCTTTCCCTACACAGCACTTCATACCGCATCGACATCTCCGCACAAAAGCTCCCCAAATCTCCCAACGAGAACCCAAAAGAAGACAATGATAAAGCCACGCCGGCCACACCAGCCACGGCTGCGACTCCAGCGAATGACCAATCTACTCAAGTCCTCGACGAAGATGACGCCTTACCCACCGTCGGACAACAAACTTCCGCCAGAAAAACCAGAGGCAAAAAGTCTGCCGCTCAATCCCAGACCTCAACCCCCACTCCCGTCTCGCTCACCGCAGCCTCGACACTCAACCTGGATGCCGCGACGCCCGTCAAGCCACCGATCGGTGGGATAGACATCGAGACACCTTCACAATTATTGGGGCCTGGGCTGGGTCTTCCTAGTATGCCTCCGCAGTTTACACCCTCCATCAATGCGACGCTGGAAGGAAGTAGCAATGGCGGTTTTGCCAATGCGACGGATGCGAAGGGGAAGGGAAAGGTTAATGGTAAGACGGCGAAGAGGCCGTTGCCGGAAGGATTGACTGTCGGTGGACTGAAGGGAAGGTTGGATGGCAAGAAGAAAATAAAGTACGTTCTCTTACCCTTCAATGATGCGAAGTCGTATATCAGTGCTGATCATCGTTGCGGTGACGGGTGTGGTCCACAGGGGCGCATTCTTGACGCCAAAGGAGATGGAGGAACTGACGGAGGGGTGGAAACCTTACCGTAGCTTGGGTAAGTCTATGTGTACTTGTCTTGGTTCCAGAATTGTGGTCTGACGATTTCGTTGTTGGTAGGCGTGTATTATATGTGGGCATTATCGGAGGAGAAGTAAGCGCGAGGAAGGCGAAATGAGCTCGGACGGAGTCGTTGTTGGGCCGCAGTGGAAAATGTTTCTATTTTGATACACTATTTCAATACCATTCTTGGGTGATGCTTGTTTAATCGAAAGACACGATCCTGGTGGAGTGTTGGCGAGCATGCAGCGAGATGTGACGACCATCCCAAAAAAGGCCCACAGCAGCTAGTAGCCTTCAAATTGTTGAGAAGCTCCCTTTCACGGGCAGCGCTTCCTCCTTTCGAGCAGCTCTATCCTTTCAAAAGACGGATTTACCTGGCACCAAGTCCGAATGCGTCGATCTCTGTGCTGTGCATGATTTTCCTAGTTTCCAAAGGCGGCGTGTGGCGTTAACCTGGTTCGCGTCGCGTGGATGACGATCCTTGTGCCGCGCGGGCTGCAGCTTCTGTTCTCACTCTCACCTCAGCTCTGCACGCCCAGCTTGCTCTCTTTCTCTGAGCTGCCCGCCGTCCTAGGCGTATAAGACTTGGTCCTCTTCGCTCCTTTGTTCCCGTATCTCAGAGTCTTATTCTCGCTTGAGCTGCTCTTCGACCGGTCTTAGCTCTAGCTTTCGTAGTCCAAGTACTAGCTGAGATGTTTGCATTTCTTAACCGGTCGACCTCTAGACTTTCGGCAAGCAAGAAATCGACGGCGGTAGCCTCGAAGGTTAGTCTTGTACAGCCCGAAACTGTCCCAGAGACGCCAGCTGCAGAAGTGCCGACGGACACAGCTACGGACGCTCCCGCTCATGTCGAGGTGACGGACACCGTGGCCGAAGTGAATGCGAATGGTGAAGGGACTGGTGTCGAGAAGGAGGTGAAGCCGGTAGAGGACAAGGTAGATGCTGCGCAGCCTGCTACTTCTTCGGGCTCTCCGGCTGCAGTGAGCTCTACGACGGGAGCAGTGGATGGACCGGATAGCACAGAGAAGGTAGCGGACAACACCGAAGATGCGAAGGGCGGAGAGGGCAGCGCTCAACTATCATCTACGAAGGCTGCTTTGGACTCGGAGCAAGCACCTCGAGCTTCTCTCTCAGTCGAAGTCCCTGAGGCGTCGGGTGCTTCACCCGCCACATCCGCACCATCCGCCCTTCCAGCCACGTCCGAGGAGGAAGATTCCGTACCCTCTCTTTCCTCTCCCACTAACGACATCAAGCTGGCTCCCCTCTCTACTCCTCCACCCCGTCGGTTCTCGCTCCAACGTCTCGGGGCTCTCCTCTCTCCTACCCACTCTCATGAATCTAAACCCATTCTCGACGCCACACACGAAGCTTCCAAACGATCGGACGCCAAAGTGGCACTGGATCATGCTCGCATCGCACATACCAAACTCTCCGCATCTGACCGTCGCGCAAAACAGTCCGCCCATGTCATTCGCGCTCTCATCATCGGCCCAGACGGTATCGTCCTGCCGCCGAGTAGACCTGTGATCGTGACGAAGGGGGAGATGAAGAAGGTCAAAGCGCAATTGCTGGAACCCAAGAGCGCCAACAAGGTCATCCTGCAACTCAAGACTCTGCCTGGAGTTAGCGTGCCCGCGTCGGATGACGTGGTGAAGGCAGAAGCAGAAGAAGTGAAGGCGAGTGGCCCGATTCACGCGGTTTGTTTCGAAGGGACGGACAAGGAGATAGAAGACAAACATTTCTCGAAGTTGAAGGCCGAGGAAGAGACTGCTCTCGCAGCCGTCGCTAGCGTAGGCATCGGTCTCTCCGCTTTCAAGCTTTCTTCCGTTACCACCGCTTCTCTCGAGTCTCTGCTGGCCACGCTGAAGGATATCAAACTCGTCTCCCTCCTTTCTGCGCCGGATTTGGGGCTGGGACAGCCGGGAGATGGGAGGGAGGGGGAGGGCATCCTGAGTGGCGCGTTACCTACAGCGGGGGCGGTCATCCAGGGCGTGGAGCAAATTACGCCGCAGTTGATGAGTCTGGGGTATGCGACAGGCAAGGCGATTATACCGAACCATGCTGGGATATATCCACCCACGGATAGGATGTCTGTTCTAACTTGTGAGTCATAATCGACTATTCTGTGTCTCCATGACTGATGACGATGCTACAGACTGGTGGGGCCTCGAACTCGTCCTTCCACCGCCCACGCTCGCCTACCTCAACGTGCGTATTGTCTCAAAATTTCGTTGTCCACTCGTTACTCAGCAGGAGATCATGTAGCAGAACGTGCCATCCATCTCGCACACTGTCATGAATTTCCTGACGGCACTGGGAGTGGTATACACCGGAGTTAGAGAGATCCTCCCATTCGCGCGTTACATCTCGCAGTACGTCGAGTTTGAATTCTCCGCCATCAAGGCGCAGAATAAAGGGAAAGGAGTTGTTTGTGCGGCTACTTGGTATGTCCCATGAATCTCCTTTCACCTAAGGCGACAGAGGATAATGTCTGATTCTTTCGTTATCTGAATACAGGATTATGCCTGCTGCGATGGTGCGTGCTCTATTAGGTCGCTCAAATTAATCGAGACCCAAACTTAATGTTCTTTGGATGTAGGTTCCGCGTCCATGGGATTTCGCCGACCCTCCATCCAAGCCAGATGTCGCTCCTATGCCAGACCTCGAGTCTCCTCCTCAAGCTCCTCCCGCACCCCCTTCCGCACCAATTTCCACCATGCCCGTCTCAGGCTCCACCCCGTCCTCCCCGCCCGTACCCACCAAACCTGGTACGCTCTCCCCACCTCCCGTCGCTCCTTCAACTCTCCCGCAGAGCCCCAAGGTCGAGACTGGACTCGTGGACTCGTGGACGGAGACGGACCCTGTGAAGGTGGATGAGGGTACGGCGACGCCGGGTGGGAAAGTTGCGCTTGTTGAGGGTGATTCGAGCGGGGATGTTCCTGGCGTACAGCTTGTGCCGCCGACGCTCCCGAGGGGGGCTGAGAGGCCTGACCTGGGAAATGAAGGTGAGGAGAAGGGAGAGGAAAGTGGTGTGGCGGTGCAGACTGTCTGAGTTTGAAGGATTTATGATGGACTATACGGAGTAGTTTGACAGTGTCCGAACCTTCACGGGGGTTTTTTTCCACTCATAGAACTTTACGACCTTTCACGACCATTTGATGAATATCGTTATGTCTTTTACGGTGCACTTGTTCTTCCTTGTAACACCCACGTTTGGGACTCTGTCCGCGTATCAGCCTTCTGTTCCCGTTCTCCGTGTTATTTGTTATCTGGATTCATATACCCTTTCTTTTTGTTATCGTGGTTTTGGTCCTTCATGTGGTAGACTTTGTGATGATTTGCATGATTCAGGTGTGGCAGTTGATTGTGGTTCGGCGAGATTTCAGTATTTTCAATGGGTGGCCCAGTGGCGAACCGCAAATGTCCGGGGTGGTAAGACTCGCGACTTATTGCGTATTTTCTCATGACCATTTCGTTTCTACGAACTTCTTTCTTTTTTGCAGCCAAAACTTGAGTCCATGCTCGATGTCTACTACAGACCCACCTGTAGACAGGGCCCCGCTCTGCTCCAGCCTACAATATTCCCCGTGACTTGTCTCAGACCTCGATGACACAACGATGAGCGATCTCGGGTGTCGCGTCCATGAGCAGCGATTCGGAAATCGGTGGCGTACGGAGTCTTTGAGGCCATGTTCCTGTTTCTCTTGGTCTTCATCGTCTTCTTCACCGACACCGACCTCAGAGCATCCTGTGCGTCCCGGTCAGCAAGTGACTCACCTGCCCCGGAGGTTCCATACTTATATCCCAGGTTTCAGGCCGTCCGAGGTTCCGTACTTCAGCGAAGGAGGCCCCTCAGTCCACTGTATACGGTGCTGCGCCGAACTTTATTCTGACTGGCAACGTTTTTGTGAAGGAGAGGAATTGAAGATGGGTTCAGATACAATGAAGAAGGATGTGAAGGCGAGCGTGAGGTATGTTTCTTTTTGAGACGGCTCCATGTAAACGACCGTTGAGTAGATATGCTCATGAAGCGTTTTAGACATTTTACACCGGCGTGGTTTGCAGTGATCATGGGTGAGCACTTTCCTCCTATCCAGATGTTACGAAAGCTTTGGAAGCCTGCTACCGGTCCACTTCCTAGGAATTGAGATATTTGTGGTGACCTATTTCTGCCTGAGTCAGGTCACGTGCCCGTCTGGATATTGCTCTGGGGCCCATGTTCGCTGAATCATAGAGATGATTCCTGTGTATACGGTCGAATCTAGATCTTTAGCTAGAATAATCTTCTCGTTTTCAGTCGTGCTTCATTCGTCATAGACGTAGCAGTCAACATGTCGTCGAGAGGAATCAACAAGACAGAGAGCTAACCATTCGTCTCAAGGCACCGGTGCAATATCTATCCTCTTCGAAAATTTCCCATATGGGAGTGCAACAACACCAATGAAGGTATTCACATCCTGGTCTTCTGACTGGGCGCTATATTGATACTGACCGTTCCGCCAGACCTTCTCAGCAATATTTTTCTTCCTCAACCTTATTCTCTTCGCCACCTTCAACGTTGTATCGCTCTTCCGATATCTGATGTTCCCGGACATCTGGTCCCTCATGTTGCGCCACCCCTCACAATCACTGTTCCTTGGGTGCTATCCCATGGGCGCCACAACGCTCATCAACGTCTCTGCGGGTCTCTTTTATAAGGAGTACGGGTTCGGAGGGACCGGATTCTTATACGGCTTATGGGGACTGTGGTGGCTCGATGTCGCAATCTCCGTTCTGTGTTGTTGGGGGCTCGTTCACATCATGTAAGTCACTCTGTTGCAACTATGTGGCCTGATTGATTAAACAAGTGTCTCACCACCTAGGGTAGTCCAACATGACCACGCCATCGCTCGCATGACGCCAGTCTGGCTCCTTCCCGTAGTGACACTCATCGTCGCATCCTCGACCGGTGGTGTTCTGACACCCTATCTCTACGCCATATCACCTGCACATGCTCTTCTCACTGCAACGACCTGCGTCCTCCTCGTCTCCATCGGCCTGTCCCTCGCACTCATGATATTGACCGTTTATCTCTACCGCCTCATCACACATGGCCCACCACCAGGAGCTAACATTCTTTCCTCATTCATACCGCTTGGACCGACGGGGCAGTCGGGCTTTGCGATCCTGTTGATCGGTCAGGCATTCAAGGAGATTCTGCCGTATGCCCACGCAGGTGATAGTGGGATATTAGCTAGCGAAGTGGCGGGAGATATCATTTGGACGGTTTGTGTGGGTTTGAGTTTCGTGTTGTGGTGTTTGGCCACGATGTGGTTGGGAATTGCATGTCTGGGTCTGCAGCATGTCTTGCGAAAAACGAGGTTCCCGTTCAAGTTGCCGTTCTGGGGCATGATCTTCCCTAATGTAAGTTGTCCCGCTAATGCCTCTTACACTACCTTTCCTCGATTCCCTTCTGTGTGTCCTAACTCGCGAAACTAATTGGTGACGTTCATTATTTCACGACACACAGGGAGTCTATGCCAACCTCACCATCCAACTCGGCAAAACCTTCGACTCTTCATTCTTCCGCGTCTGGGGCGCTATCTACGCCGTCATCACCCTCTTGCTATGGCTCTACGTCTTCACACGGACGATGTCGCTAGTAAGGAATGGGGAGATATTTGAAGCGCCTTGTGTTCAGGAGATGGATTTGTCGGCCCCGCGGGACGGAAAGATGCCGGTCATGCATTCGCAAGATGCCAGTGGTGGGTCATCGACGATGATGGAAGATATGGGGTGTCGAGGGTCGGATGGGAATGTTAGATGAGGGCAATGGCACGTCATGGACCGGAAGCGTCGCGACTCGCGAGTGGTGATTTTTGCATGAGTGTTCGTCGTTTGGAGAGCCTAAATATACGAGCAGTGTTCAAGTCGCCCGTGCCGTGGCAGATAGTACTCAAGCACAATGCCTGGCGATATGCTATCAGACTTCCTTCTCGACGCTCCGCTCAGTCAAAGTCGGACACACGCTGGTCGAACGACTTATCCGGGTCTTTAGCCACATCGTTCTATGTCGAGGAAAACGTGAGCAATCTAAAGGAAAATCTCCAGCCTCTTTTCTTGGAAAGGCAAGTAGAGCCTGACGGCACCGTCACCACTCAATGATCGGCACACAATTCTAGATAGATAGAGACAGACATTCCCAATCTTCTTTACAAGAGGTATTCGATCAAGCAAAATATCAACAACATTACGAGAAAAAAAAACAAGTCCAAAGGAAGGGTAAAGCTCGGTCATCTGGTGAGAGCTAGACCAGTTCAAAGACAAACCAATGATCACGATGAATCAGGTCGGCAGAGTAAGGAGTAGACCTCTGCACGCATGCGAGCGGCACGGCGAGCAGCTCGGGGTTTGAGCCCCTCACTAACGGGCATCTCGATCTCATCGACGACGAGATATAGTGGTGGGTGCACTTCTTCCAGATGATCGACAAAGAACCCTCCCTCCACACCCTCCGCATAAGTTCCATAGAGTGATTGAGTGAACCACTGGTGGTTCCTCCAGCCCAGAGCAGATAATATACGTTCCGCAATCATCCGCAAATCGTCCACGTCTCCTCCAGCAATGCCCTCCAAGACGGCCGTGAATATATCGACGCCCGCCGATGTCCGCGGTGGAGCGAGTTGGAAGTAAAGCCATTCTCTGTGGGCTTGACTCTCGGAGACATCTGATGGAAGGCTGTCCAGGAAGTGATAAAGGACGAGGATCCGAGAGAGACAGAGCGCGTAGAAAACTTTGTCGACTAAATGAGACGTGTCGACGCCGGCCGCGGCTGAAGCCCGTAAGCGTCTGAGTAGTTTGAGGGCAAACGCGAGGTCCGGAGATGTCGACGGAATACCAGCTTGATTCTGAGCGCTAGTTGTGGAGAAGGAAAAATAAAGGCCCCAGTACTGTAGAAGGCCCTGGAGGAGCAGGCGCGTCTTTCGTGTCGATGTCGCCGTGATGTAGCCTCTACAACCTGTTGAGTATCGGCATTTCGAAAGAACTTGGGGATGAGTACTAACCTTTTCATGTACATGAGCTCCTCGGCAACCAAAATGTCACTGGCAGCATTCGGACCATCGAGGTCCTCGAGATGACTAGTGGTTCTAGGATTGACACTCGTAGGAGGAAAGGACGTAGAGGGAAGGTTTCCGCCCCGGATTGAAGCGAAGACATGGTCAACACTACAGATGACTTTGTCGATGATGCGGCTCAATGGATTATGGAACGCAGCTATCAGAGGCGTTAGACGGCAGAAAAAGAAAAAGAAATGGAAGAGGGGCTCACGATGAGAAGATATTTCGTGGAAGTCCCCGGTATCAAGGACTCTGTGAAAGACTTTCGCAAGGTCAGGGTGGGCACGTGTTAGCGTTACACACTCCTTCCTTGTTCCGGTCCATAGACCAAGGCGAACGATGAGGTCATAAAAACCTGTTGATGCCTGCATAATAGTCAAACTGCCAGCCCAGATTCGCCTGAAATCGTCTTGGAAGCGCGCTGTGAGGCGTGCTTCTTCGTCGGCCGTAACATCATTCGCGAAAGAACATGTGGGGAGTGCTTCAGCGTTCTCTGATGAAAGAAGAGCATTCGGTACAGTATGCGGTGACGAAACAGATGCGACAGTAGGTGGAGAGGAAGGAGGTGTCAGGCTGAGCAGCAATGAAGCCGGAGACAGTGACGGCGATAAACATTCAAAAGGCGAAGATGGGGATAGTAAGAGTGGTGACTCAGATTTATCTGTGACTTGCAAAGGGGGTGCATCAGGAGAAGATAATGATGAGGTCGTCGATGCAACCGTGCGAATAGGAGCCGACGGTGTGAGACTCCGCGACGTGTCGAGGCAGTCGACCTTCGTTTGAGCCGGTGAATATTGAGGTAGCCATTGACGGCATACACGTTTCGCCGTAGGTTTTACAAAATCTGAAGAGTCGAGCGAGAGGGCGCGTTTACGACTGAGCACCATGTTGTGGATAGGGAGATGGCGAAGAGCAATGGCGAACGACAAACCACAACCGGGGAAATCCGGCAAACCCCGCCAAGCAAAGAGAAGACGGCCCGAGTTGAGCCGCGCGTGTCAAGGATGACAAAACAATATTGCGATCGTGAGCACAAATAAGTTGACAAGCGATTATGTCGCAATTCGTGTCATTCTATCTATTCACCTGCCCCATTGTATCCCTATTTATACAACAGTTCACAAGTATTCTCTATTGAAACAGTCGGAGCATTTATCTACGGGAAAGGTTAGACAGAGTTAGACATGGGGCACGAGAGAATGATACATAGGAGTACAGAGCAGGGCCGAAGAGGAAACATGTAGTCAACAGGATAAGCTAATAGATATAATGCTGGGAGCTGGGGTTTAGGCAAGCGATGAAAGAAACCCTGGTCTGGCGTACAAGAAAAGATTTCAGACAACAGTAAGTATTGGAGGAGTGAAGGAAGACTTACCGATTACACTGACATTATGTGCGATCTCGGCAGAGAAGAGAGTAGACCTCTGTGCGCCTGCGAGCAATATGGCCAGCAGCTCGGGGTTCGAGGCCCTCACTAACGGGCATCTCGATCTCATCGATGACGAGATATAGCGGTGGGTGCACTTCTTCCAGAGGATCGACAAAGAACCCTCCCTCCACTCCCTCCACATCGGTTCCATAGAGTGACTGAGAGAACCACCGGTGGTTCCTCCAGCCTAGAGCAGTGAGTTTACGTTCCGCAATCACCCGCAAATCGTCAACGTCCCCTCCGGCAACGCCCTCCAAGACGGCCGTAAATATATCGACGCCTGCCGATGTCCGCGGTGGAGCGAGTTGGAAGTAGAGCCATTCTCTGTGGGCTTGACTCTCGGAGAGATCGGATGGAAGGCTGTCCAGGAAGTGATAAAGGACGAGGATCCGAGAGAGGTAGAGCGCATAGAAAACTTTGTCGACTAAATGGGACGAGTCGACGCCGGCCGCAGCGGCTGAAGCCCGTAAGCGTCGGAGTAGTTTGAGGGCGAATGCGAGGTCCGGAGATGTCGACGGAATACCAGGTTGATCTTGAGAGGTAGTTGCGGAGAAGGAAAAATATAGGCCCCAGTATTGTAAGAGGCCCTGGAGGAGCAGACGCGTCTTTCGTGTCGATGTCGCTGTGATGTATCCTCTACAACTCGTTGAGTATCGGCGTTTCGAACGAACCCGGAGATGAGTACTAACCTTTTCATGTTCATGAGCTCCTCGGCAACCACCATGTCACTTGCAGCACTCGGACCATCGAGGTCCTCGAGATGACTAGTGCTTCGAGAATTGACACTCGTAGGAGGAAAGGACGCAGAGGGAAGGTTCCCGCCCCGAATTGGAGCGAAGACGTGGTCGACACTATAGATGACTTTGTCGATGATGCGGTTCAATGGATTATGGAATGCAGCTATCAGAGGCGTTAGACGACAATATATATATACATCTTGGAAGAGGGACCCACGATGGGAAGATATTTCGTGGAAGTCCGCGGTATCAAGGGCTCTACGAAAAAATTTCACGAGTTCAGGGTGGGCACGCAGTAGCATTGAATACTCCTTCCTCGTTCCAGTCCATAGACCAAGGCGAACGATAAGGTCATAAAGACCTATTGACGACTGCATGATACCCAAGTTGCCAGCCCAAATTCGCCTAAAATCGTCTTGGAAGCGCGCTGTGAGGCGTGCTTCCTCGTCGATCGTAACATCGTTCGCAGAAGAGCATGTGGAGAGTGCTTCAGCGGTCTCTGATGGCAGAAGAGCATTTGGGACAGTATGTGATGGCGAAATAGATGCGGCAGGAGGTGGAGAGGAAGGAGGTGTCAGGCTGGAAAGTAATAAGGCCGGAGACAGTGATGACGATAAGGAGTTAAAAGATGAAGACGGAGATGCAGAGAGCGATGACTCCGGCTTATTTGTGCACTGCGGAGGAGGTGATGCAGGAGGTGATGACGATGTGGTTGTAGAAAGAGGCAAGGGCGTGAGACTCCGCGACTTCAAGTTGTCGAGGGACTCGGAGTCGACCGTCGCCTGAGCCGATGGAGATTGAGGTAGCCATTGATGGCGTACACGTTTCGTTATATGATTTCCAGAGTCGTAAGAGTCGAGCGAGAGAGTGCGTTTACGAGCGAACACCATGTTTCGATGGGAGATGGCGCAGAGCGACGACAAACCCAACAAACTGTGACATTTCGCGATGCCGCTTCTGTGTGAAACACGTGAGAACCTTGCCAGTGCGGTAAGGTAGGTAAGGTAATTTATTCAGGGTACAAAACGGGCCCATGAGGACCAATACCCCTATCCGTAGGAATACATGTAAATTACACTACGGAAAACAGCACAGTATCCTTTACCGCTGTGATACCCACAATGCGCCGTGATCTGCACAGAAGCATCAGGCCTCTCACGGGATCCAGAACAGGCTGTAAGTACTATAAGTCATGTAACATGCCTTACCCAAAGAGAAAAAACAATGAAAAGTTTCGACCGTATAAAAACCCATTAGGGAAAAATTGGTACATCTCAAATGGGAGCATGATGCAGAGCTCGGAGTACTTGCAAGCGTACCTTGTACTCGGAGGACGCTGAGAATGATGATTTTCAGTGGTGTACACACCCATAATCAACTGTGTCGTTGGAGGTCGACGACACAATTACGCCACCTTGGAAGAGCCGTGTGGCGTGTGCCGGTGAATCCGGTGAGGACCGGAGTGTCTCGGGAAACATCGGACGATGCCAACGACACTCGCAAGGATAGCAGATTTTTTGGAAATGAGCTATTAATTACCAAGAGCAATTCTAGCAATCTAGTTTGTTCCAGGGCCAAAGGCAACATTCTGTTGTGACACGGTACAAAGACCAATGTTTGAGAGTGTCGCAATTGGGTGGATGGATCGCAGCGCAGGCCCAACGGACGCTGGTCTGTGAGTGAAGTTTTCGACTGTGGCGAGCATCAGAGCACGACGATCTGTCGTCTCCGAGCACCGCGAGCCTTCGACAACGCTGAGGGTGAGAGATAAGAGAGCGTCTGACTGTGGCATGCGTCTGAGCGAGGAATGTTCCATCACTTCCGTGCAATGCGAGCCATGAAGAAGAATATCCGAAGATCAGCGAGTGTCATCCGAGCCGACAGTGATCCATCCATCCCATATTTTCGCGCAATCAGGCTCTGGACACTCCTCGAAGGTATGAATACCCTCTCGAGGGCCTCTGGCTCTTTACAGTCGTTCCTGTACGAGTCCGTTGCCGTAAGGAGCTCCTGAGAGATGGTGATACACTGCCTGTGTGAAACTTTCTTTCCCCGTTTCCCATGCGCAAGCAGCTGCTCTGTCTTGACTGCGCGTGAACAGGGCTCTCTGTCGTCGATGTGGCGATGGCGAGCGTGGCGTCGTTCATGCTTCGTTCCGCGATTTTATGCACATTCCCTGTTCTAAATAAGGAGCCAATCATCAGTGAGAATACTCACATTGATCCAGCACCCAAGAAACTGACTAGAGATAAGTATCTTAGGTCAAAAAGAGTTATACGTCAGTTGCAAAGTAAGCACTCACGTTCAACCTTGACTGTTCACTGTCGATGAGTGGTGACTGGGGAGGATAAGTGGTCTCTGCTTGACCAGAGCCTTAGAATGAAGGACCAGTCTGATCTGACGAGCTGTACGGCGTTACGTTACAAGAATCAATTACATCCTCAGTTGGAGCATACACCCTCATCTCAAGTGTCTCATGGCAAGTGCTCCCTGAAAGTATCCCGACCGTGACTGCCTCGTCTTCCTTACTATCTAGCTCAACAATCACGCAGTTCACCGCATTGTCCTCGCCCCCAAACAATGTTTCAACGCAGAAGAGTTCTGTCGTCTGTAATGTGGTAGGACGAGCGTCCACTCATCCTCCCCGGACGTCTTCACAGATGCTCCGCGGGCAGACTACTTGGAGGGAGAAGTACGTCAGAGGGCGAGTGTCGTACTATCTCGTTATTCGAAGTGGCAGAGATGGCACGAATTTCGCAAGATTGGGGAAACTTGTCTGAGATGGGCGGTGTCGATCACGATGTAGGAAGCGACGACGGTGTGCAACTGCGTGATAATTATAGTGACAGTAGAGCCAGGATAGGAGGTATGAGATGAGCAGAACCATACCTTTCGGCGGCCTTGTAACGACTTTCGAAGTACACGATCAGGAATGTGGGGAGAAGAGTCTTCCTCCGATTATTACTGGGAAAAATACCTGTTCGTTCGGGGTGAATAAAATCAAGACAACAAAATGACAAAAACATGAAGAACTGGATCAATAGGACCAAGAAAATCAAATCGGCCAAAGTGATATAGGAAAGAAAACGACCATTCTATTGCAAGCCAAATAGTCCTGTAGCGTCTGAGACCCCCTTAAAATGTTGCCCTAGCTCATCCCTCTTCACATGTGGGCACAGAGCATTACGCCTCTCGTGCCCTGGCCACTCCACACGCCACAGTACATGGCCCTGCGCTCTGCGCGGTCTCGAGTATTCTGCTTAGACGCTCTCCTGCACCTGGGCATACTCGCTCTCGACACCGGGCTCAATGAACGTCGCATGTCCTAGAATGAGAACCGACGAGGCACCGACGAGCCAGAAGAACGTGCTGACGGGCGAGGCGAACCAGAGAAGGGGGAGGCCGATGACGAAGAGACCTGTGTAGAGGGACTTCTGAGTCACGACGTGATCTCCAACTTGCATTGGCTCGGGAGCTGTGTGAATATAAGAAACGAAATGGAAAAGGTTATTAGTATTTGTGTCTAGTCTTTGAGCACTTGGGGTGGTACTGTTGGCGGGATGGAAGGGTTCTGGGATTTACGGTGGACGTACCAAATCGGTTGATGGCGGCAAATCCTCCGACGAGGAAACCAAGAGCAATGAGGAGAAGGGGGTTGGTTATGCTAGCAAATATTCGGTCAGACACACGGAACAGGTTAATTGAATGCAAAAGAGTCGGACTAACAGAGCATAGACGGCCAAGATAGCGGCCACGACACCATAGTTGCCTGCAAGAAATGACACTCGGCATCAGTCTCTGACCATCCATTGACCACAGCTTCTTTCATAGATACCGCCACCCGTTTCAATCACTCACCGGAGAAGTAACGTGTGTTGTACGATATCCGCTACAGAGTCGAATAACGGTGTACTGTATGAGCAGAGTTGGCGCAGTGATTTGCGAAGAGTAGACGCACCTGAACGGCTTGGTTGAGATCCGCTGGTCTCGAGACACGGTTGTGATCAAAGAATTCATTGGGCGGTCGGAGTGCACTCAGACGAGTTTCCTGCCAACATTGCAGAACAGGACGTTAGACTCGTTCGCGGGCTCGATGTGTACGTATTGCACATAGACGCCGGTAAGGCAAGCGTACCCGGAAAGACTTGAGACCATCAACGACACGAAGAGCTTGCTCCATTGCTTCGAGGGGGAAATATGTCAGAGTAGTTGGGTATGTGTCGCTGAGATTTCGGCAGGAGCAATTGGTTGGGCAATGGTTGGGTATGTTTTCTGGTGGCGACGTGGTCGGAGAAGGAGGCGTGTGAAATATGTGAATGCTGTTCAGGTCGTTCTTTCCATCCCGTCTCTTGCTTTTGTTCCCTTCCGCAGCCTCCATCGTACACGCATACGGCCTCACACGGCCGGCAAGCTATACGCAGAGTCAGTCTGACAGTCTCCTGCAAGACACGTCACCCTCATCACCATCGACAGTGGCATTCGAAACACCCTTCCTAATCTTACTGTAATTCAACCATGATTCGCCGAAACCCGACCCTCATCCCCATGAGCGACATGGACGTCCAAGACATTCGCAACCTCATTGCACACAAGAAGGCAGTAGAGGCCGCTCAAGTCGCCGATGCAGCCAGTATCTTGATGGCTGCAAAGGGCAAGGGCAAAGACACGTATGCTGCGCCTGCGAACACGGCGCAAGGAGGACAAGGCTATGCAGCTGCTGAGGAGGCGAAGAGGAAGAGAGAGGGCATGAGCAGAGATGAGAGGCTGGGGCTCTGATCATTCTTTGTTCGATTGTGTCTGCACGCATGGTGTGTCTATGGTCTCTCAATTATGGTGTGACACGCAGAAGTGAAGGCTACAACTCTGTTCGGCCATGCGTTTTAGTATTGGTACAAACAGAACAAATACGCGGATTACATGGCTGTCAATGAGATGTGTATCAGAAACTATGCGAGCACTATGCGAGACTTTCACGAAGTAGAGCCTAATGACCTCTTTCACGCCACGCCGTCCAACCTCCTCCGGAACTCTATACAACCCAGCAAGATAGTTAATACATGAATTTCCTGAGACGATACCTCCAGAGTGAGAACAGCTGGAACGTACCTTCCAAGTCCTTCACATCACACGACCCCGCCAGGTCCATCCTCCCCATCTGCAGGACTGTCGTCTTCAAGCTATTCCAAAGCGCGTTCGACATAATGCCCCTTCCACCATCATCGACACCAGAAGCAGCACCCGATGATTGTGAGTCGGAGGCGACGCGATCGCTATCTTGGAGTACGAGGGCGTCGAATATGTGTTGAACGGCTTCGTCGAATCGCTGGGTGCAGAATGGTTATATCAATGCGATCAGCCACTTTATCAATGAATATGGGGCAATATTACAAAACATACCTTGAGGTTTAGACACGATATGCCTAGGTTGAACCTACAAGATTGGAACGCTCCTCGTTAGTAACTAGGTCGTTGATAATGAAAGAGGGCGCACCACACTCACCTAGCACGAATGTACGCAGGATTCAACTCCAACGCACGATAATAATACGAGACCGCATCACCGGGTCGTCCATTGTTAGCCATCGTAGCCCCGACGCGATTGTACAACAGCCAGTCATCTGGTCTGACAGACAACGCAGCCTGGAAGCAGTCTGAAGCCTTTGCGTACTCCTGCGCCACAAAAAAAAACAGAATACGCAAGGAACATCAGCTATCGGACATGAAGAAGAGACAGAGAATGTAAACGTGCCTCGTTCGTGTTCAACAACACCGCGAGCGCAACCTGCACATCCGCATCCACCTCTCCCTCCCCCACGCTCCTCGCACAAGCGATCAAACAACCAATCATCTCTCTAAACCCATCATTATCCCCCTGAACATCCGAATTCACCATCCTCCACCTCGCCACAGCTTCCTCGTACCTCTTGTTCCGTTCCACCCACTCTTTCACAGCCTCATACGTCTCCTGCCGATTGCCTTCATTGGTGTGCGAAACGGCAAGAGCCAGCCAAGAGGGCAGATGTGACGGATTGAGGGAGACGGCTCGTCGAAGGGCGGCGATAGCGTGTCCTTCGCGTTCGTTCTCTTGTTGTTTTACGCCGAGGGTGAACCAGGCGAGAGCGTTGGTAGGGTCTTGCTGGACTGTTGCTTCGAGTTGCAGGACGGTCTATTAATCGTCGGATCAGTCTTCATAAAACGCGATGAGGGGAATAAAACTGATAGGCTTACCTCGAAGAATGAAGATTCCATTCCTCCATGCAACATATGCATCCTATTCATCGCTCCCATACCCGCCCTTCCAGCTCCGACGATATACGGATTTCCTTCCTGAAACCTATACCCACTTCCTTCCTGGCCGACAGTCCTAATGCCACTCTCTGTAGCCTCAAACTTATCCCAATCCTCCTGTAGCGACCCCCATGTCTCTTCCCAGGCCATCTCTTGGCCCCGTCCATCGCCACTTCGGATACCTGGGTGGGCCACATCTTGACCTTGTGACGATGAAGAAGAAGACCCAGCATGAGGGTGTTGCCAATAATTGATGTATTCCTCGTTGTCTTGTCTGAAGTAGGCTTCGTTGGGGTCTTCCTCTCGGCCGGGAGCGGAATTAGCGGTGGGGTTCGCGTTCAACTGTGGCTGCACATCCGTCCAGAATCGTCGTGCCTCAGGGTTCGACATGGGCATATCGAAAGTCACCGCTTTCCCCTTGCCCTTCACATCCCTCTGCGATTGCGACTGCTGGGTCCCGTCATTCTCCACGAACGAAGAACCAGCGTTGTCAACGACGAGTTCTCTGTCGCGGAGCTGTCGCATGAGGCCCATGAACGCGCTGTTCTTGAACTTGGGGTTCTGTTCGTGTGAGACGGCGTCGATGAGGTTACCTGCTGTGCGCGCTAGTTCGTCGGTCTCGTTCGCTGGGCGAGGCCGAGTTTGTGTAGCGGGTTCGATGGTGGTAGGCTGCATGACGGGCTGCGATGAGTGGGCATGAAACTCTTGGTCCCAGAGTTTCTCCGAGTCTGTGAGCAAGCGACAAGATGGCCCAATCTCAAAGACGTGAAGTAGATATGCGTTGAAATGAAGCTTACGGTCTGGCTGCATTGGCTGCGATCGTTGCATGACCTGTCCGAATTCTTGGCCAAACTGAGGCATAGGAGAGCGAAACCCTAGTTCGACCAACATTCACATCGCTAAATATCCTACCCTCGCTTCCTCTCATGTAAAGAACGGACACACCTTGCATATTGAAATTCGGTGGTGTCATTTGCATTCCACCCATGCCCATTGCCTGCATCTGGTTACTGGGGAGACTCTGTACCTGCGGGCTCGCTACTTGCATTGGAGTCTGAATTTGACTCGATGAAGCCACACCACTTTGCTGCTTCGGAGACATGACCATAAAATCTGATGCCCAAGACGCAACGGCATTGGGTGCAGGAGAGGCCATAGTTGTGTTGAGATTCATCCGTGGCTGAGACGTAGATGTGGAGGGTAATGAGGCTTGCATGGCCGCAAGGTCAAATGCGCTTGGAGGCTGGACGACGGGGACAGAGGAGTGTTGATTGGCAGAGAAGAATCGGGCTGCATCCTGATGGATGTCTGGTCGCGAAGATTGTTCTGACCTAAATACCTATATATTGGCGAAGCAAAAGTTGACGGTCAGGCCACACGCGTGGATTAGCAGCACTATGCTCAACCGACCTCTCTCGATGATCCAGCTCGTCCTGGACCAAAAAAATCCTGATAGAAATTCAGCAAGAAGATTTCCCTCAGTAAAGTTCTCAAAGCGTTCAAGCATTGTACTACACACCTGCTGAATACCCCGATCCTGTTCAAACCTCTTCGCGAGACCTTGTAACGGATTCACCGGCCCACAGTCGGCCCCGCTCATCAGCATATTGAGCGACATCCTGTAGATTTGCTTTCCGACAGAATAACTAGCCAGATGCAAGTAAAGAAAGCCAGCACGTAGAAGTAGCAAGGCAAGTGATGTATGTTTGTGTGCAGAGTGCCACCGTGGCCATCTCGACTTGGCAATTGATTTCCTCCGGCGACCTCGAGCCAAACGCGCGTGATTCTGGCCATCGGACATCCACGTGCGCGTTATGCAAATCGGGCTGAATTCCAATTTCCATCGTGCATCGTTCTTGATCTCGCCACACCAGAGCACCGTGACACTAGCCTCTCCTTCTGCGTATCGAGCAGCCAAACACAAATGACTCCCGGGTCAGAGCATGGTCTGACGGCGAGCAGTTGAACTCGATACATCGCATCTTAAGGAGATGTGCTACTGACCAAAGTGGTTTTTCTACCTCCAAAGGTGAGCACATCACCATCCTCAGGCTGGACGAGTCGACGGGTTTTGAGGATAAGATAATCTGTTGTACTAGCCTGGATTTTGTGTCACATCTCACAAATGCTCCAAATAGACCTGAACACTAAGGCAGCTGTACCTGACTCGAAGCCACATCTCGGACAGCGCCATGCCCGATGCTACTGACTTCAAGTCGTCGTCCTTTCTACGCACACATCTGGAGCTGTGTTGATCAATAACATCAACACCCGCAGAAGCGCGGGGCAACGGTGGTTGATTTATACCGACTCTTAGAAAGGTGCGTTGTCTGATAATGATTGAACTACCCCGATGTAGTCCATCGCCTATACTCAGCAGGGTGAAATTGGTGGTGTGCTGGGTTCTGCCCATGCTCTCCTTGAATCATCGCGGTCCATACTCTGATATTGGAGGTGGCTCTTGATTCGTGATGGATAGCTTCCCCGTCGTATTCTCTTGGGGATAATTCACTTTGGCAATACACAAGGTTCGGACCCACATACCCTGCCGTCGTTCAGAGACTTCGACAGCTAACGTACTCTTCGCATGCTCAGTCTATTGCGACTTATCACCGACCCAATCTAACGCCGAATCGTAGCAACTAGGCATAGAGTTCGTACTCCTCTTGTCCCCAGAAGGGTTCGAGCGTTCGCGAGGATAGCCCACAAAGAGTCTCTATCAAGGGTAGGTTATATTGCTGTGTGCGTTCCTCGGGAGGAACCGCCATCGTTGATCATTCTTACGGTAACTTGAAGAGATCCTCCTCGGAGTCGTCAGCGTTGCCAGTGAGCGTTGAGCGGTCCAACAATCCTTAACTCGTGAGCGCGGTTTCGCAGGATCTATTCCCGTGTCGGACAATACAGTAGGTTACTCAATATGATGCTGTACTTCTATGTTTTGACTGCCGTTATAATTTGGAGACCTGCGCCGCGGCATGGTCATGATCAGCTTGAGGGTCATAGTGGAGGTCTCATCTTTTCATCTTCTACGGCGCCGCTGGGGGTATCGTATCGCTTTACCCGCCTCGAACAAGTCGTTATGAAGATGTGCAACAGCACAGACTAAGACCTCGATTCGTCACTCCACCTGTATCTTACAAATTTACAGGTCTCTAATTCAAGACTTATTTGTGTGGTGTGGGTGTCAACGATCCAACACGCCACAATCAGAAGATCGCAACCTCGAGTCCCCATCCGTCCCGTTCTCTTCCCCTCCATTCTCTGTCTTGACTCCCCAATACAATCCTACTATCTAAATCCCGCGTCCCTTGACAAGAACTTTGCCCCGGCAAAGACAATTTATACGAGACTGATCATCCAGCCTATCTTCGTCTTCCGGCCCATCTTTGTCTTACGGTACGGGAGTCTGGATATATCCATCGCGGGGGCGAAAGCAAGCCGAAGTTCGAACGAGTGTTACAGCATTTGAATTCCGCCTCAAATGAGCGGGCCATCTCTAGCGGGAGGAGGAATGAGAGTCGGATACTAGTATCAAGTGCACGTATATATCTACGCGCCTCGCCTCGCCTCACTCACGCTCCAGTCCAACATCATCATCAAAACATCAGGAGTCCTCCGGGGTTAGGACCCACTTCAAAGTTCATACATAATTTGAACATTGCTTGTTCCATATCTTGACTGAAATATATTCAGAGGCACCGAGGACATAGTAACTTACCTGTCCTTGCACTTCATAATAAAATCATAATCATTCGCCATCCATCACCATCCAATCCCCATACACACTTATACACACCTCTACACCTCCAGAACCTCACTGGAACAACTCAACGACTCAAGAAAAACAGACAAAGGAAACGGATGGACGTAGATCGCCTGCCAGGACGCGACGACGCCACAATGATCCCGTCGCGGCACACGGCAGATCCGACAACTCGGCGCGAAATCTTTTGTTTGCCCGTTTGTCTCACAAGTCACCCTCTCCTAAGTACCAGCCGCTCGACCCATCGATCCAACTATGTATCACCCAGCACCCCCCAGAAAAACATTAATCAAAAAATCAAATTACCCAAATCCACAAATCATCATCATGCATCATCAACTGCAATGCATATAAAACACATCCAGAACCAAGAACCGCAAGAGCAAAAGTAAGACTAAGGCGTGCAATATAAAGAAGTACTTAGTAAGAAGACCGAGGAACGAGGAACTAATGACGACGAAACCAAAACCAATAGAGAGAAAAGGGGCATTGCGATGAAATAACTGGCGAGCAGACTAGAGGACTATAAGGAACTGTACATACAGATTGCACACGCATAAAACGAGGGGGGAAAACCCGAAACATTCGTAACACGAGAAGGGTACGAACGAGAGACTGAGAGCGGGACGTGAGGGGGCTATATCATCCCCTTACCAAAAAACACTGGATTTATCCGCGAAAGGAACAGGACGACGAACGTACCAGCACATCCAACTCGTCTCTCGTCTCTCGTCTTCTTCACCCGAATCATCGCATCTCATCAGAACTCCTCCCCACCTCTCCCGTCGACGGCATACTCATCCCAGACGACGCCGACGCCTCCGTCGGTGTAATACTCGAATGCCTCGACGCAAACGCGTTCTTATCCTCCGCGGGCGACGCGGCGATGGTCGTCGTGACATTACTATTGTTCATATTTTTATTGCTCGTGGGACTGCTCGTGGCTATACCGGTCGGTTGTGTTTGTGGTAGAGGTTGAGGCTGAGGCTGAAGTTGTCCTTGCGCGTCGGCGACCTGGCGGCATTCTGATCCACCTTCAGAACGGACTAATCCGGTTCGCATTCGTTGGGTGTGGTGTGGTGTGTGTTTCAAGAGTAGGATAGGATTTGCGGTGTCGGCGGTCGTGAGAGAGACAAGGTTCACGTTTTAGGCGCGCAGGGGCAAAGGAAGCGGATGAGTCGAGGAAGAAGCAGCGAGGAAGGATGTTTGTGGCGTCGACATTGACGTTTGATGCATGGCAAAGGTAAATAGACAGTCAGCCGCCGAGCTTCACGGAAGACGTCAAGAGATAGATAGGGACATGGCAGAAGAAGAGTGATAGACAGAGAGATGTGCGGATGGGGCAAGTGTGAAGCTAAAGACGGAAAGTGGTGTGTGACTTACGGTGGCGCTGAGAAAACCCGAGGGAGGAAGATAAGCGGAACATAAAAGTTAATTCCAGAGGTCAGTCAGTTGTTCGAGGACGAGGGATGGAAGACATGTGTATGTGTATAAGCGTCGTCGTGATTGGTGATTGAGAGAGGGCTTGGGATAGGGCAGGCTAGGGGAAACTTACATTAAGAGCATCCAGTCTGCTGAAGGTTTTGCCACAGCCTGAGCATGTATTGTTCGTGGACTTGGACTGATGAAGGGCTTGGTGGCGTCTTAATGAAACGCAAAGAGGCGTTAGGCATCCCCAAACGCGACAGACGAAGAGAGGACACGAGGGCGATGAAACACTCACTTGCAATCGTGCTGACGCGCAAAGCCCTTGTTGCAGCCGGGATACTCGCACCTATACGGTCTTTCCTCGGTATGAGAGCGGAGATGACCTGGGAAAGGGGAACGGGCCACAATTAGAACGGAACATGGGTGCCACAATTAGGACCGGCGCGGCACGAAGAGAGAAAGCTAAAGGCAAAACCGCAAACAGTGAAGGGAGACTGACCACGCAGGTTGAACCTCCGAGTGAAGGTGCTGCCACATCCCGGGACGGGACAGATGAAGTGCGCCTCGTTCCTCCTCCTGCTCGCGCTTGCAGCCTGTGTGGCGGTCGTGGTGACCTGCTGTTTCTCGACCTGGAGAATGGGTGGAAGACGACAGGGGATGCCGCCAATCGGAGATGGAGCAAAAGCACCCGCTGCAGAAGCGCTTTGCCCTGCACTGCCGCCCATTGCGGCAGAAGCAGACGCAGATGAGGGAAGTACCTGGGCGTGGCTGTAGAGAAGGGCCGCGTTTGGGGCGTAGTATGACTCGGGCTTCGGGCTGCGTCTGCCGTCTCTGCGCACGGTTGGGTACGGATGGCTCTTGCCTGCGTGCGGGTGGAGAGGAGGCGAGCTGCGAGCCTGCTGGGGCTGCGACTGGCTTTGGGACTGGGTGGCACCGCTGGCGGAGGGCTGCTGCTGCTGCTGCTGGGCCGGGGCGGACAGGGGCGCCAATTGCTGGTCCGGATTAGCGCTAGTTGTGGCGCCGGCAGGCTGTGCAGGGGTGCTATTAGGCGCGTAGTAATTGTTGTAGTAGGACGTGGGGGACTGGGCAGAGGCAATGGGGGGTGGCGAGTACGAAAAGCTGGCCGAGTGCGAGTGTGTCGGAGTGGGCAGGTCGCGCTGGGCAGTATACCTCTGCACTGGGGGACTGGCCATCTGGATATTGGAATTTGGGAAGGGAGAGTGGGAGTTGTCGGTGAAGGGTTGATGGTAGAGAGAAGCGGTGAGTGCTTCGCGCATACGGATGTGGGGGTCGATGATGGAAGACCTGGAAAAGGCCGAGTTGGGACGAGACGCCTGGCCGGAGTCGGACATGTAGGTCGAGCCGCGCGACGCGCTCGAGGTGGACGCCCCGGGCGTGTCCCAGAACGCGTGCGCCTGCGGGTGGAAGTTCGCCAGTGTCGCGTGCATTGTCTAGCTCTTTCTCGACGTCGTTGTGGGCAGCGGCGGGGACACAGTGCACAGAGCCCATCACCTCCGTCCTTTATACATCCCCCCTGAACCTCTCGCCTCGCACTCGGTCCATCAACGTCAGCCCAGGCGGCCACGGCAATCTCATCAATCCCAGAATGGCAACTTCCGGCCGAATCTGCTCGGGCCTCTGGTGCCCGATCCGATCGAACCCCAGTTTATGCCCGATTGTCAATCAACGCCGCCTTGAGCTCGCGCACATAACATTCCCACGCCGCTGGGTCCGTATGTTTTTCTGTTTGGCCTCGTCTTGTATCGCGCTCGCGACTGGCAGATATCAGGTAAGACCGTAAACATATCACTAACTGCCAGCGCTGCTCCCACACGCTGTCTTGACTACCTCCCGATGCCTACACGTCTATATCCCCAATCTGCTCCTCCGTTTCCTCAAACATCGCACGAACCCACATCTCGTGGCGGTGCTAGACCGCCGTTCCTCTACTACCTCCGTCAACCGCGCATGTTACCCAGCATCTCCCTTCAATTCAGGCCTCACTTGATGCTGATCGCAACTGCTTTCGGAGGCGTAAAAATAGCTGTAGGTAGGGCGTAATAAATTGCTCTCAATTACCGCTTTACTTGATGATGATCATCGCGGCTTGTGTTTTCCGCGTCTCTCAACTTTTGCAGAGGCAAGTCACCCACCCTTTGAAGCGTTTACTGGCCGGCCTACCGACGCCTCCGTGATCCAGGTTTACGCGTCGTGTTCTCAACTCTTTCCGTGTATACTGAAACAGTTCGGCACTGGGACTACGGAAGGAACGAGCGCTGATGAATACCGTCGGCGGATAATTTGAAGAAGAACCCAATCGCAGCACGAACATACGCAGCTTGCAGCCCGGTCTGAAGTTGGCGCCGGGACGAGAAGACTTTTTTTCGCGACGACTATGTAGTCCTCTCGTTTGAGTCGTCTTTGCCAGCGAAACGTGCGGCGCGAGTTGCTCATGGTATGTCCACCGCCCATGGTATGTCCACCGCTCATGGTATGTCCACCGCTCATGGTATGTCCACCGCTCATGGTATGTCCATCGCTCATGGTATGTCCATCGCTGACCCCAGCCTCGACTAACTCTAGGTCCAATACACAGACTCGGGACCCATCCAAACAGTATCCAAACCCAAACCCCCGATTCGAATCACGAATCCACAAACCACGAAATTAGACTCGACTCAAGTCACCGTGCACTGGCACACCGCAATCGACACCCACCTCCACCCAGAAGCCCCGTTCATCTCGCGAGAGGAATCCTGTGCCGTGCCGTACATATAGTACCAATCGAGCTCATAAGAAAGTGTTTTGATCCTTGCAAGCGAAGTGTCTTCTTGACCCTCTCAAGCGCGGTCTTCTTCTCGGCAGCCTGACACTGAGAGCACAGCAGCAAGATCGGAAGTGGACGGTGGCGCAGCAGCGTAGGTAAGCTCATACAGTACCGATCCCTCAGTGTTCACTGTGTTCTGTTCATTTCCTTACAGTAATTACGCAGACCGCCGGGTCATCGGACAAAGATCTCCACATGCACGGACCTGGCCTGGTGTGTTGCCTGCGACTCAGGACCATCGATATCGTCGTTATTCTGTTACATGGCACTTTACAGCTCTAAGTATCGATGCCCACCAGCTTGACTGCTATCTGACAGCCTCGTTCACGTTCGCATCCCGTCAGCGAAGCCCGTTCGAGCTCATGCTCAGGCTGTACAAGCATGTCCTTTTCCTCATACGGAATCGGGGCGTACCTCCTCGAACTAATACTCCATACGCCGTGCCCCTACATGCAGGGTGCATATCGGACCTTTCCTGTTGCCCGTCCGTCCCTTGATGGTAGTAAAGTAAAAGGCCTTCAAACCGACACTGGCAGGTCCATTGACATGCAAATTATGACAGGCTTCCCTCGCGCGCACTGCTAACACCGCAGAAGTATAGAAGCATCGTGAAGTAACGCCTGAATAGTTGTCGGGCTAATGGATCATTTTTCACTCGTCCCTGTCTGTCTGCCGCAACATTGCGTGGTGACTGTAACGATCCTCATAATCCCCACGCATACCCTTTTGCTTTCGTCCGTTATTCGCCGTTCGCCGTCTGAGCCTTCTGCTGTCGTTCCCAATCTCGAGTATTCGCCTTCCTCTTACGGGCGATGCAGACTCAGGTATCTTATCGATTCAACTTCACCGGTCACCGCTCTACCCTCCTTACCTCCCGTTGCCTTGCCTTTTTTCTGTCAGTACTCACGACAATACCCCCGTACGCTATACAGAATGGGGCTGAACGGGGGAAACGTCGGGAATTATACTCGAGTAGAACGCCCGATTGTTAGTAGGGCCCGCCGGCACGCTTTGTTGTCGTTTTAATGGAAGAAATGATGATTAGCCTTGCTCAGAGTTCGCATATTGAGGCCTAGCATATGCCCATTAGGGAGAAACTGCTCGGCAAACCCTCTTGGCTGTGCTGGAGCTCATCTCAAACTCATATCGAGCTCATATACAAGCTCATATACTGCGTTTATGAGGGCTCGATATGAGCACTCTGAACAAGGCTATTCCTTCCGGGTCGATCTTTGGTTTGTGGCTTGGCTCGAGCTTGAGCGTGTAAGGCTTTTTGTTTTGGGCTATGTGATGAGATTGCTTGCTGAACGTTTTGTCCCCAGTTAGACTCCAGTGCAATGTTGTCCTGCATGACACGGTTTCTCGATGGGACTACTCCGGACGGTCTTGCTCTCCCAACTGCTAGGTACGCAAATTTACCGGTGGGCGATGTATTGGAGTGATCGCAGGATACTTATAATCTTCTGATGCTCCACTGGATAAGTCGTGATCTATGATTTGTCCACTGTTTCAAGACATACTTCTTTGCAGGCTGCGGATTGGAGCACTGGGAAGTTTTTTTTTTCAAAGTCTCAATGCCTGGGAGATCATCTCACTGCTGCGTACAAAGCGTGCTTCATGATACACGACGCAGCAGTGCCTATGATTTCGTTTCCCCCATCGAGTAAGTAAAGTATCTCGATGTTATCGGGGGGTCGCCCAAGGACTAATCCCCTCACACCACGGAGAAGACATAACAACTAACGGCTAACCATCAAGGCTTATGCCCAATTGCGGGGAAGTCGGAATCATCATGATGGTTTAACGTTAAGTTTCGAACCCCGAACTCGAACTTCTTACTGATTCCAGACTCCGACCTTAGGCTGTCCACTGGCATGCGAAGCTGATTGTTGATACAGACAGTTTCGCCTTTGATCTCTAACGCGCTTCATGCGGCCAGTATCGAGACTTTTAGTGCTAGGGTGAAAGGCCGAACCATGTCGGACATCATCGTATTTTTGAAGACTCGTCGGACGGCGGCCGTCGTGCGTCTGTATTCACAGTATCCACAGTACTTCAGTACAGCAAACCTGATGGGATGCGAAGATCATATCTAGCTGGTTACCTGACCCCTTTGGTTCGTGTTGGAAGCCCGTGGCTGTTTCCGTTCGCGAAGGACTCGGAGTGACGGTTCCTGCTTGAACGGAGTTCCCAGGAACACATCGGGTGTTATTATGTCAAAAGCTATCGAACGTGTACAACAATATTTAAGAATACAGAAACTCTAAGTAGATTGTCGGTACATAATAGAATGTACAGTAATAAGTGTTGGTGTTGGTGAAGGCCGAGGTGTTGCGTCCACGATTGCCAGTTGGCGTCCATTGCGGGTAAGGATGCCAGAGGATGGAAAGAAATGGACAGAGCCGATGAAACGATCACGTATGCACAGAGTGCGAATCCTTGTCGCTCGATCAAAGCTACACCTTCTATCACCCCATAGCGCTACACACAACAGTCACCTAGCGACATGTAGATCTCAGAAATCCAGCCAGCTACTCACTCACTCTCAAAAATATGCGAATCCAAAAGCCTTCGTCTCCTCATCAGCTCGGCCTCCGTGATCGTCTGCCTCGAGTTCGGCACCGGCGTCCCCGTCTTTCCCCCCACACTGCCAGTCCCAGGTGTGGCACTCCTCCTCTTCACCGCTTCCGGTGACCTCGTCCTGTCCCGTCCTTTCCGCTCGCCCACTTCCGTGTAGTCAACGAGGGGCATCTTGCCAGAGGCTGGCGGGGAAATACTTTGTGGAGTAGTTGCGGCAGGCCTTGTTGCTGATGTCGCACCTTGGGACTCACGGCGAAGGGATATCGGAATTGCGGATCGACGGGGAGGAGTAGAACTGGTGAATGACTCTGCGACGGTACCTTCAGGGCTGTCTTCCCTTGAGTACGTTGTCTTGGTCTGCGACTGGGATTGGGAAGGTGAATGTTTGCCGGCCAGAAGATCCTCGGTCAACGGAGGCGACCCAAAGACGGGGATATCTCTCGCCACATCACGAGTACTACTAGAGAACCTCGCCCGTCTCGTTCCATTACCCGTCCCTGAGACGTCGCTTGACTGTCTCCTGGTTTTTGGAATGAACGTGATGCCCTCGTCGTTCTCAGTCTCCGTCTCCGTCGCTGTCGTAGGGTACGCGTTGGGCTGGAGGTGTTCTGCGTGGATCGCAGCAGACTCGTGGGATACTTTATGGTCGTTCTCGCCTTCAAACTGCACCATACTACCTTGTTGGTGCTGATGTCTAATCCAGGGCCAAAACCTCCATAAGCCAATATGCTCATCCTGCCCAGTCGCCGCCACAGTGTGGACCGTCGAACTCGATTCCCCGCTCGAGTTCGCACCCGTACTGCTTTCCGCCCCAGTGGCTCCGTTAGCAGTAGCAGAAGCATCGGCCGACTGAGCCGCAGGGCCAAGAGTATTGAACGCGTCGTTGATCCAATCTGCAAGGTCGTTGATCGCGGCCCCCGCCTCCTTCATCAACGCCGGCATCTGCAAATAGCCATGGCTCCAATCCGAGAAGATTTGCATCTGGACCCAATCTTCTTCGCTCTCGCCATTCAACCTCTCCAGCTCCTCCTGCCACTCTACTTGTGCACTTTGCAATGGCACGGAAGTCTTGTTGAGGAGATCCACGAGTTCATGTTTGCGTTGTCTCTTGGCCTCTCGTACCCGACCGGCGAAAATGATGGTATCGTCGACGAAGGGATCTTTCTCGCCGCATTGCATGAGGAGAGGGGGGAACTTGGCGAGGAGTTGAGAGGGAGTGAGGATAGGTGAGATGTGATAATCGGTAGCGAAGTCGGGGTTGAGGTGTGGGCCGATGTAAAGGATCGCCATGGCGCGCATCTACAACGACGTTATTATCGTCAAGGTTGGGCTCAATAGAATTATGGACAAGAGAGGTAAGACGTACCATCGACGGCGAGATGATCCTATCTTGGAAATACCCGGTCCGACTGGTCATCGTCAATCTCGTCCCAATTGGCGCCACACCTTCCCTTCGCCTCTGATCATGCACCTCACTATCCGCCTGAGCTACCTCGTTCTCCAGCGTAGCCTGTTCCTTCTCATACAGCACTGATAACCTCGACGCCACAGGCGAAGCAGCCTCCGAGCTAATACCGCTGTCGGGATTCACCACAAGGGGTGATCCCGAAGCGTTTCGTGAGGGAGGATAATGCCACTTGACCCGAGCTTGAATGGGTCGATCCTCTTCTCGCAGATGACTGAACCGGTCCACATCGTCATTCTCGGCATCCGCATCCGCATCATGATCCTGCCCATTTCCATCCAATTGCTTCCCCGCCACACTCTTCGACTTTCCCGCCCCCGATTGAGCCTGCGAACTTGAATTATGCTTGGACGAATGTAATGCTGAAGTTGGCTTTCTTGATCTCGAAGAACGAGTATCGATGGTCGTCATTGGCGACCGAGACGCGGACCCGAACTTCAGCGAGTCTGCCCAACTTTTCTTCCTCCTCATCGACGGTCTCGGTCTCGCCCGATCGTCACCAACGACCGCCAATGGGCTGATATGCGCCAGATGATCCTTTGCGCCCCTGAGCTGGCTAGCCCAACTGTCATACACATTCTCATCCTCGTCTTCGTCCGACTGATAGAAGAAGCTGGAACTTCGACGACTTGGAACGTGGGAGCGGGAAGGGGTGCGATGGGACTGTGGACGAGGACGCTGTTCGTCGGCCTCTGTTTCGATGCGGAGAACGCGCAGGTTGGCGGGTGTCATCCAAGAGGTGAAATTGAAATCGAGGGCGGCGTAGTTGAGGACTATGGCGATAGGAAGTGGGAGGGGAGAAGGAGGCAGGGAAGAGGGTTTAGGGTAGCTGGATGCTGGATCAGCGACGGTGTGCGCGTGTTCTAGCACTTTGATCATAGCGCCGATGGTTATTGCGGCACCACTGCAAATAAAAGATGATTTTCAGTGCCACATCGGATGAGAAGAATGTGGCACAGTAAACCTACGCAGAGTCGCCGGAGACGATCACATTGAGGTTCTTCCCCGACATGCCGATGACCTTCCCTTTCGATTCGACCAAAACACGATATGTATCGAATACCTCGTCAATCGCGAATGGATACGGGTCTGTAACACTGTTAGCCTCCTGTGGCACAACGCATAAATGGGAAACTGCTGACATTCAGGTGCCTTCCCGTAGTCTACAGAAGCGACAGGACGACCTGTACGCATCGCCCACATCCTAAGACGCTCTTCGTGATGCTCAGGCGTCATCGCAACAAATCCGCCGCCGGGAAAGTCTAGGATCAGATCCTCCTGCATTGACAACGCCTCGGAGACCGCCTTGGAGCTTTTCGATGACGAGTTCGTATGGGCTTCATGGGAAGCAAAGAAGAGATGCACCGTGATCGGGCGGGTGTACGGGGAACCCTGAGGGCGTGTAAGCAAGATCTTGCGGTGGAGCGACACGGAAGCACGAGGCGTGAACAAACGAATCTATTGAAGTTTACCGACAGGGCAGGAAATCAACATCACGTCAGTCAGCTTGACAGTCAAATAAGCTGATGAGATTATACTGGAAAATATTCACGTATGGGTTGGTCGTCTTCTCCCATGTTACACGGAGCATTTCTACTGTGGGTACGGCTCGAAACCGACGAAGCTGTATGAAATATTGCGTGAGTTGCACTACTTCATGACGCGTGGGGATGCATGCGAGTGAGTATACCTTCTCGTCGGCTTCATTTGCGTAGATGATGTAGTATGCAGAAAAAAGTACGGAGCAGATGTCGCGCATCCATTTTGGACGTACGGCCATGGCTGTCGCAAAGCCAGCGTCTAAGCCTGTAGTGATCCATGTTGCTCTATAGTATGACGGAGAGTACTTTATAACAGTTAGGGTTTGATTTCCGGTTCCATCATCAAAGGCAACTTACTAGTCGTGCCAGAGGTTCCGGGGCTTAAAAGGTAACAAGGTTATACGGCGTATCAAAAGAGGGAGAATACTATTCGAGAACAGAACACTTACCACCAAGATTCAGGATCTTGTCCAAATTTCTCAAAGCGTACACCGCTGTGAGTGTGCTAGCAATGATTTGCCATGGTGTAAAGCGTTCTGCGGGCAAGATTTCGAGATCAGTACGTGGTGTTTAAAGTCACGATGTATATAGTGACGCACCAAGTGCCCTATTGACCTTTCTGGCATAGAAAAGCCGAGGTCCTCTAGAATCTCCAATTACAATCCTCCAAAGCCAGAATAGGATAACCAAGAAGACCTGTGGCAGAACACAATGAGACTACGAGCGGTCTGCGGGGAATAATGCATAAAACATTACTTGGTTGCGCTTCCAGGATGGACTAGGTCGTCCTACTAGATGGTCTATCATGGTGATACACAAACAAGTTGTAACGGGTGCTGGTTGTGAGGCTCAAGGGGGATTTGTGTGATACGAGCATGGCAGATGGCCACAGCACTGCTAAGAAAGCAGCGGACCTGCATGTGATTCTTCCGACACACCTTTTGAGAACGCCTCGATTTGGATAGCGGCGTCATGGCCACGCGAGATTACGTACATATGTGGCGGACGGCGGAAGCAAATCACGTTCGTTGGCTTTCCAACAAGTGGGATGCTTACTCCATCAGCGAAACCGCAAACAAGTTACGTGTGCTCATGCGAGACCGAAATCGCTCATGGTCAATTACAATCGCCGTAATAGGCGTCCTCGACCGTGAAAGCCGTCAGAGCCCGAGATCTCTCGTAAGTGTTCATGACAAAGCCTCCCAGCTCATAATTCTGGGCAAAAACCATACTTTGGAGGACTTCATACAAGAGTTTTGCCGTTTCGGTCAGTGTGGATTCATTCGAGGCTTGCTTTTCACGCAGCAAATGAGGGCGGAAAAAGTTATTTTCATTGCATGGCATAAGTAGCTGTTTCTATACATCCATGGCACAACCATGGCCTAATGCAAACCGACCCAATCCACTGCAAATCGACCCAGTCCAACGTTCCAAACCGCAAGTTCTCGGTACAAGAGTGAAACTTCCATATATGCTAGGCAGGGCATTTAACACAAAGAGTACACATACGTAGAGGAAAGCTGTAACGACGCATATATCGACAAAGAGGATAAATTGAATCTACGAAAGGTGAGTTGCTAGAATAGAAACGAAAAAGGCACGGCACTCACCGGCGCAGAGCGGCGTGCAGATATGAAGGATCTACGTACGCACTACATTAGATACGCGACAAGACAAGATGATAGGGGAGGGCGTACCAGCGTAAAATACATATATGCTTTCTTGAGTCTCTCAGACGGCATCTAGCTCAATTTCAGGACACGGATATCGAGAGACGAGATTGACGTACGGTAGCGGGCTGACAAGGCTAAGTTACGAGAAGCACGGCAAGGCGAGGAGAGCAGACTGTCAATAAAACCGGGAGGATATGCATTGGGCAGGAGGCGACAGAGGGAGGAGTCGGAAGAGGGAGGAGTCGGAAGAGGGAAGAGGCGGCAGAGGGGGGAGGTGGACGGAGATGGAGACCGGAGGAGAATGAGGGAGGGAGGAAGAAGGGATAGGGGCTGGGAGGGAGTGACGAGTGGCTATATGAAGGATAATTCAAGCGCCGACGCAACCGCGACGCACGGACCATGCCCCTGACGTCATTGTATTTGGGCTGAGGCTTTGGGCTTAACGAAAACCACAAAGTCGAGTTGAGGTCGAGGAGAGAGGTCGAGAGGAAGAGGAGGAAGAGTGTGATCCTACACAACTGCTCATGATCGGTTCCGAAAACGGCGGAGTCTGAGAAGCGCCGGTGAGCGGATGCAAATCCGGAATCACGCGTCAGATTTCTGCGGTTTTGCTGATGTCCGAACTCTCGCCTTCGCAGACATTGTGTATGATGAATGAGTAGACCATTGCGACCCAAAGACCACGAATATCTGTATCATGTCTTCCAGCTTCCGTAGATATTTCCTTGTGAGTTGATTTTGCAATGATTTTGAGCTGCGTTGGATTCTCTGAGACCACGCAGCTGGTAAACGTCTTCTCTCCATTTGGTGAATACCTAGAGTGAGAATTACCATGGTTTTGGGTCAGAGCTACGCCCTGCCTTAGCGCAAACAATTTAAATATTATGGCCGGTGACTCCCTGAGCTGGCCGCTCCCGCCTTGCTTTCGATCAAGAAAACTAGCCAATTAGTCGGAACCCTGTATTGAATAGATTAGATAGGCTAACAAGAGCGTGATATCAATGTTTATCTAAGCGATATATCAAACAGATAACCTTCTCTGCCTGACTCGGATCAGCATCGCAGGACCACCGAGACATAAACGAACCAGACTATAACCAACGAGTCTGCTACACATGATGGAATACTCAAGAGTGCCTCTCGATCAATTCTCCGAGATGTTTGCTGCTGCGACTGGTGCGATCATATCTCAGGCAACATCACACGAGTCATCTCCCTGACTGATGTATTTCGTGTGCGTTCATGCCCAGAGCTCTCTAGCGTCGCCATCGGAGGAAAGATCTGTTCAGTCTCCGATGATTTCTTCGCAGAAGCCTATCACTTGCTGCTCGTGGAGGTGCGATAATTTAACTCGTTCGCATACAATCCGATCTCATGGCCTATTTATAGCCTGCTCCCAGTTTGAAGGGCCAATTTGGACCAAAGGGTGCGCTGTTCAGTGGATGGGAGTCGAGAAGGCATAACCCGGAATATGACTGGTGCGTAACATTCACTATTGCAATCCATGCCCGAGGTTGACAGCGATAACTTACAGGGTCATTATCAAGCTGGGAACTACTGGAACCGTCCATGGATTCGACGTCGATACTGCCCACTTCAACGGTAAGCTTTCAAGTTACTTTCACCTTTTTCATCCTCGCCTACATGTGTTTGATGGCTGATGCGGGGGTTATGGACAGGGAATGAGGCTCCTCAAGTCTCCATAGATGCAATGTTCTTGTCGGACGATGCCAGTCCTCCCGATGCAAAAGACAGTGGGGTACGTGATCCTCACTGTGTGTGGTTGTAATCATTGCTGACTTGCCCCGTGGTATATGGCATTCTCTCTCGCAGTGGCACGAAATTCTGCCTAAAGTTGACCTGGGACCCAGCTCGAGGCATCTCTTCAAGGTACCGGAAACGAAAGGTATCAATTATGTCAAGCTCAATATGTATCCAGACGGCGGTATCGTAAGTCCACAATTTCACCAACCTCATCTGTGTCCCCGTCCTCGCTTCACCGACTGCATCGGGTTTTCAAGTTGCTCATCCTCATGTCTGCATCTGTTCATAGGCTCGTTTCCGCGTTTACGGCCATGTCGTTCCCATTCACCCTGCATCTCCCGACGAACTATTCGATGCAGCACACGTATTTGCGGGCGGTCGCGTTACTTACACCTCAGATCAACACTTTGGTGTTGGATCAAATTTGATCTTGCCTGGACGAGGTCAGTACGCCCACAAAGAGAGCAAGGAATCATTTGACCAATGACTGGTTATTTTACCACTATCGTTTCTCTATATCTAGGGAAGGATATGGGCGATGGCTGGGAAACGAAGCGGAGCAGGCAACCGGGCCACAAGGACTGGACTGTCATTAGACTGTGAGTTCCATCACTGGATCATACTCGTCCTGCGTTTCTGTCCGATAATGGCTCATTCACATTCATATCCTGGAAGTGGCACCCCTACGTCGCTCTCCCACGTCGTGATCGACACCGCCCATTTCAAAGGCAACTTCCCCCAGTCCTGCGAACTACACGCCACCTCATCCACCTCCGAGATACCGCCACACTCACCTTCTCATGTACCGCCTCCATCCAGCAATCCGTCCTCTGAAGTGTCCGCGAAGACATCCGAGGAAGATGAGTGGTCACTCGTACTGCCCCGCACATTACTCGGGCCACATAGGGAGCATTCACTTGTATTGGAGAACGTGGAGGTGAAGAAGTTTACCCATGTCAGGTTGACAATATTTCCGGATGGAGGCGTGAAGCGTGTTAGGGTCATAGGCACGCTTGGCGCCAGTGTTAACACTTCACCTCAGTCCAGTGAAGCCACCCAAGCCACCGCCGATCCGTCGACCTCTACGCCGGCTGCTTCACTACACTCGACCAACAACATCGGCACGAGGCGACCAATCCCTGCTCTCCCTCTTACCCCCGAAGCTTTTGCTCCTTTCGGCCAAGTCATTCAATCCTACCCTGATCCCCATTCCATACCCTCCCCTCGAACTACAAAGATAACGCCCGCCAACTTCGGCACCGCTACTAAGTATCACAAACTATCTTTACTCCAGTCATCTTACCCGTCCGGTACGGACCCGGAAGCAACCTCCGGCATCTCGGTGTACACATGCATGCCTGTCGTTCCCGTGCGAGGTGGAGACAATGTTGGGTTGAGTGGGATGGAGGTAGAGGTGACGGCGCTGGAGAGACATCCGTATACGAATCAGGCATTCATCCCGATGGGCGGTTTGGGTGATGGAGAGGAAGGGGGTAAGAAGTACTTGGTCGTGGTGACGAAGAATGGAGAGGATGGCGCGCCGGACTTGAAGACTATGAGGGCGTTTGTGGCCCATGGAGGACAGGGGATCGTGTATAAGACCGCCGTGTGGCGTAAGTCCTTCTACTTCTTGTTATGTCCGTCCGCTTTCCTGAATGCAGCGATACCGACTGAGTTCCGGGTGTGTTCTCCTGTTAGATCAACCTATGACCGTATTGGATGGCGTGAGTACCTCGTCTTGTTTTGAGGCCTTTCGTTGCTCATCCCATGTTACTTTGACGCGTTGCAGACAATGGACCTCGCATGTGTTGAGACCCAGATGGGGAACGGAGACAAGACCGATTGCGAGATCGTCCAGTTGGATGCAAAGAAAGGCGAGATAGTCACCGTTAGGATACTTTGAAAGGACGTTCTTCATGGCGGAACTGAATAAGGATAATGTATGTTTTGGCTGTGCGAGCCGTATATGTGATTTAGTTGGGTGACTGTGTATGCTTTTCCAAACGATGCTGACACGGAGGTGGAGAAGAAAACACTTGTTTGGTTCTCCTCGTTCAAGTCGCCCTTCGGGATTTGCCGGAGTACCACGTGGCCGCGGTTGGGTTGGTCGCTGCAGCTTGAACTTCGCCACAGCCGCCTTGTCCATCGACAGGATGTTGCACGCTCGTAAACGCACTCTCTCGCTCGACTCCTTGGACTCTGAGCAATGCATGGCGAAATGTGTACGCCGTCAATGGTCGCCGCAATTCTCACCGTCCCCGGTTCCGATGAAGGTCGGCTCTCTCGACACATCTATACTTTCGGCTCCTTCCACGGCTACATCGAATTCCGCATCGTCTCCTCATGGGCCTTCACCTCTGCAATGTTCAAATCAGCCAGAGCCATCACTCTCGGCATCGCCATCTTCGTCATCATGCTCTATATCGCAATCGTCTCCATCCTCGTCATCATCTAGCATAACGCCTCCCTCATCGTCCAAGTCCAATGCCGTCTCTGCTTTGCCACCGCCTATTGAACCACAGACCCTTCGTTTTTTGGAAGATGCTGGACCAGATGATTTACCTTATGACAAGGATGCCCGTCTCACAGCGCGTTACCAGGATGATTTCAGGCGGATCTGGTCTGGAAGCATGCTCATTTTTCAAACCACGACCGGTATCTACGATCTCCTTGTCCGCCTTGGTCTCTGGACAGGAACCAGGGCAGAGAAGACTCAGCTAGGGCGTGATTTTCCAGACATGAAACACGTGTTTCGCAGAACCATTACTACTGGTAACCTGCGCGAAATCTCTACGCACCGTGAGTGATTCTACAACAGGAAGTCTGCTCATCACCTAATACCAATCGTAGCTGCCTTTTTCAACCCAATACACTCCATCGTTGACGATATTATGCAGTGTTGTGATGGCATTTTCCGAGAGATTCGGGATGGCGCCCTTCCATCCACTGCGATTGCTCGGCTGGTGGCAATTAATCCACAAGTCATTGATATTCTTAAGGACCTCAATAGTCCGACTCAAAGAAGCAGCATGAAGCTTGTGGACGAGCTCTTTTCTAAGCAACGGTTAGTCGGCCCCTTTTCCATGATTCAAACGGCGAATAGACCTTATATGTTAGTGAAAAACTCGACCTCTTTTTGTACTGACCTTGTATTGGTCTTGAACCAAGTGGAGCTTTTTTTGGATTGACTATCCCGTCGCCGTTCCAAGTTACTTCGGCGTAATGGCGGGCGTGGAGCGCGCTTGGCCAATCACGAAGAAAGAAATTTCTTGCGCCACCGGGCATTTAGTACTGGAAATCACCATGTTTTGAGCTGAGTTTGTACTGATCTGGATTGAAAACTTTCCAGAAAACTCGTAACATATAAGGTCTAATATTTACTTTTAATTCCAGACCATACATCACGGCGTCGTCAGCTAGAAAGACTTGCCTCTTATATCAGGGTCTTTCCCAGTACTGGGGTCTTTACTTCTCTTTCTCTGCGACCATCCACGACGATGAGGGCAGTCTTCCGCCACTATCTTCCGATCTCGCGTTTGCCATTAAGCTGCTCAACAGCTATGCTCAATCGGCTACAAAGTCAGCCGCCAAGTCGCCCTCCGAGGTCGCCAGAGTCTTCTACGCTCTCTACCTCGCCCGTATCCTCGTCCTTCGTCACTTCTTAGACAACCTCCCATCTAACCTTTCCGAAAGCCAAGCTCACAAAGAATGGCTCTACTTCCAACTTGCGCCGCCACGCGCGCCGTCGGGTATCGATATCTTCACGGCCGTCCTCGAAGCTATCAGTGGCGGAGAGCTCAAAGATCTCCGGCGCTGTGCGGATTGTACATTGACGGGTTTAGGTTGGAGGAACCATAAATGGTTCTCGAAGTCCTTCGACACTATATACCGGAAAGAAGGAGCATATGTTGAAGTTCGAGAGGATGGGATCCCCCCGCTGTATATCGTCATCGATGAGATCGAGACGTCTGTCTGTCGGAGTCTGAAGCCTCGGGCTGCTCGCCGTGCCGCACGCAGGCGCGCACATGTCTACTCTTTGCTCTGCCAGCCCCATTCATCATGACCATAGCGGGCTATTGCCACCAGTATGTCTCGTCTTGATCATTTTGTACTATACTCTGTTGTCTGACATCCTGTTCGCCAGATGATCGGGACTGGTTGACGTGTGGACCAATATATACAGCTGTTGTAGATTTCCCTTTTCTTCGTTACCACTTATTTATCATCTATCCTTGCTTCTCTGATCTCTTTTTGTGCTCCTTTGTATCAGCTCTACAAGTCACATCCCCATCGGGCTCGCGGACGCGGCTCAGTATCCTCATTATCGACCTGCATTTCATGTTTTTGTTCATCTTCTGGGCACCAATGTACATTATCGCAGTATCAAACTCTTCCTCCTCCGTCTCCCTCTATCGTATCACTCTCTATTTGAAGCTGTGCTTTGCTTCTCGTCATTGCAATCGTTGTTTCCCGTCTCATCGTTCTTTGAAATGCCTCTCACAGTTCACAGAGGATCCGCATTGTCCCGATCGGGGTGCGGTTTTGGGCTCAGTACGTGGACAATGGTAGGGATGATGGTTCGCGACACTTCTTCGAATGTGGCGGTGTTGCCTTGGTCAGACATGATGGGCGGCAGTGAGGGGGGAGACAGCCGTTCGGTGTCGCTGGGAAGCCTTTGTTTCCCGAATTGGGATACTTACTTCGTGTCCAGGACGACTTTGCTCGCCACGACGCGGTATCCGCCGGATTTCCACGTGGTTCGACGAGAACGGCTTTTGGCTGCTGTGATAACTTGTTATTGTCCCTCACCTAGGCCTCAGAGATTCATCCATGATGATCGCTACGGAGAAACATCAACTTCCAGACAAATGTAACACTTCTCGTTCTCGACAGCAAGGTCTCGAGATCAAGATGACGTCCCATCAACATCACCAGACCTCCAGCTTACGCTTGAATGCTCATTAACATCGTCCGCTTCGACGGGCATCGACTCATCCAGGGCCGTGGATCGGGTCTTCTACGCACTATACCTGACATACATACTCGTCCTTCACCACTTCTTGGACAATTTTCCCTCTGGTCTCTCCGCCCGTTCCTGAAAGTCCCAAGTCCTGGGGCGCTCGTCGTGCCGCACGTAGACGTGGGCAAGTCTATTTGTTGCTCTGCAGACCTCATTCTTTATGAAGACCACTACAATCCGTATTACGCCTTGCCCCTGTCTTGCGCGTTTATTAAATTTCTCCGTTTACAAGGTCTTCCTCGCCTTCCCCGTTCATCGCCTGCGCACGGACCCCGCAGACTGGCTTGATGGTGTTGTAGGTGGTCTGCTTTGTCTTGTTCTCTATCGCCGACTGAAGACGACTTCATGTACAGGTCTGATCAGTACGGGTCGATATAATTTTTCCGAATAGCGATACCTGTCGTATTTTCACCGCATGTCTTTTCTAACTTGTTCCTAACCCCGACGCACTATTCGTATTACTCACGGTCTCCTAGCTTGCTCGCTTACAACGATATACGTGTGCATAAGAAATGCTTTTGTCAGCAGTGCGCCCCTATTGCGGCGCTGTATCCTGTCTATCGTTAGCGCCTTCGTCGTTCAGCCTTATGTGGTTGACCTTCGTTGTCGTTGTTCGGTTGGTCCCTCTTTTATTCATGTCCCCGTCGTTCTTCGCGCTTCACTGAGGCTCGTCTTGCCCTCCAATCTCATCCCCAGTTCATGTTTCAAGGCCTCCCTAGCACTCAAGTTGGTCCTCTCTTGCTCTAAACAGTGGTAAGGTGGTGAGCTCCGAGTCTGAACTATGTGAAATTTGTGATTGAAAGTAGTGAGAGCTGGTACGAACTAAGTCATTTGTAGTCTGCTAAAGGCCTTACCCTGTTATCTTTCTGTTAGTTCTTGCTCCGTAGTACACTAGGTACTTACTCTCTACCAACAGAGACTACTTGCTCCACTCTAACCGGCACTACTAACAAGTGCCACAAGTAAAACAGACGGCTCATTCTACATTGTTGGGTTTTTCCCGTCCAGGAAGACATCGGCTGTCGGTGTACTTGGGACATTCGATATTGTCTTCTATTTTGACAAATATCTCCCATCGGTCAGTGGAATGCTCTGCTAAATTAACTGTGTGTAGCTTTGCATCCATGATAAATTTATATCGATGAACCCAAGTTGAACCCTTGTTTCCGCCGCCGGACCTGGCCCTCTCCTTGCCGCTTTATACAGCCCTCCGAGCCTAACGGCAGCCCATTTCCTGGACGAAAAAGGGTAATCTTCTCGCCACAACTCCTTTCCAACCATGCCTTCTCTGCAGATACCTGCCCTCCTGCCTTCTTCACGCCTCTCCGTCTATTATTCCGCAAGCAAATTACCGCAATTTGTGCATTCATTCACAGCGGTCCGATTGCGGAGTCCGGGGTAACATGAGCAACAGGCATGCTCACGCTAGCAGGTTCGGCGGAAGGCATGGACATTAATGACTCTGCAGGGTTTTGCACCTCCGGTTGTGGACAGTGCACATCTGAAGGGTGGAAAGCTGTTCCAGAATCATGTCAGACGACCGGAACACGTACAATAAAGCTCACGGCACGTACCCAAAATGCCGTCGCCGAATAGTGATGCATACGCATTATTAAGATCGATCTTTATCTCGTTACGGTGCTGCAACGTAGTCCATTCCTCAGGTGAATAGAAGGCATGGTGTCGGGGATCCGTTGAGTCGATCGTCAAGTTGAGTTGTGAGTGTAGGAAAGCACCATGCTGCGTTTGTAAATGTTCTGGATAGGCACCGAGTTCATCGCGAATAATGTCGAGGGTTCGTATGAAAATCGGAAAGAATCGACAGAGTGGGCTACAAAATAGGTCTTTGTGCTCAACAGATCCCGGAAAACCGAAGGGATGCTGGTGAAACTTCAAAGTGTCCGCCCCACCGTGACGGTCAAATGACTCCATTGCTCGGACAGTCTTTACCCAAGCATCTGTAAGAGTAAGGCAGAAAGAACGCGGGAGGGATCCCAGTTGTCTGTTCTTTGCCATCGAAGAGTATGTTATGTTCAACTGGTCCAGGATGAAACCCAGCCAATCGGCTTCGTCTCCGCATGGCCAACAGCTCATATGGTCTATCGTGACCATACTCTGGAATCTATTCGTCGCATTGGATAGACCCTGCGCAAGTCTACCCAACACAATCCCATTTTGCCAGTGAATAAGCCACTGCACCAGGGCCTTCAGAACATAATACTCGCTTTTACTGCACCGCTGATCGAGCATGACGCCAAGTTGAACAATCATAATGTCACCCCGAGGCGGCTCGCAGAGTAGGTTTGCATAGGAATTAGAAGGAGAGTTGAGCCTAGCAGAAATGGCCGACAATATTTCATCGGATTGGGCTTCCATAAAATGATGTATGCCGTCCTTGATGGTTTCCCAGTCTGAAACATGCAGACGAGGTAATTTGGCGCCAAGAACGCTGAGGGCAAGTCTCGAGATATCTAAACGAAGAAAACGCAGGAAGTCCTTCGTTGCAGGAGCGGTGTCCTCCAATCGTAAAATATAAAAATCCGATAGCAAAAGCCCAAGGATAGGAGCCTTCTCGGCCAGGATTATGTCATGCTCTTCCAGTACAGTCACCCCTACGGGTCCGGGTGGTGGATTATGACGAGCGAGCTTGGCAAGCGCGACTGTAAAGGGGCAGTTCCATAGCACAACAGACCATTGGGTGCCAGTGATCGATAAAGAGAATCTCTGGGCAGCCTGCACGAGTAGATTGGTGAGATGGATGCGATCCTCTTCCACTTCCAGGTATCCTATCGATCCAGAGAACAGCTCGTCAATCATGGAGTAGAATGCCAAGCGGATAGATGAAATCAATTACCTCTGTCATATTCGCAAATTTCTTTAAACGATGGTGAGCTTGCAATGAACGTGGCCGCAGTTACATTACTGCGAATACTGGCCTCTGACGACAGAAGACGAAACAAGCCTTGCATTTCGTAGCTGTCCGGTGTATCTGAGAGCTGGAATGGATATGACCCAGGATCGAGACCGTATGATTCTCTGATTGCGACTAAAGCAGCTGCCGCTTCATCGAGAATGTCATCATCGTGCGTGTGGAGTAGAGTGTGAAAGAAAGCTTCATGTTCAATCTTCGACACGGGGGTACTAATAGGATTCATTAGCGCCAAGTTTCGTTTGCTACCCGAAGATGGAGGTGTGAAATACTGGGGGTTCTCATATACGGTATGTATTGGGGGTGACCCTCGAAGCGTGTTTACATAGCCGATCAAGCGAAACCAGATTATCGGAGGGTCGTTTTTGAACGAACGGTAAATGGATACGATGACATGGAGCATCGCCTGCACAAACATGGAAAGTCGTGACAGGTGTTGTGAAAGCATAGACTGAAATGGAGAACGTTCTGGATAACGGCTGCCATGAGCGACGGTCCACACTGCGTAGGCCGCAACAGCAAATGCAAATACGCAGGATAGAATGCCCGCAGCAAGCATGGGGGCAGAGGGCTTAGACAACGAGATGGAAGTTGTGAGGATATTATCGAGTAAACCAATGATGAAGAGGATAATGGGCACGGTCAATAGTTGAGGCAAAACATCGACGGTAGGGGCCAATACTCGTTTGGCCTCTGACCAGCGGACGTGAAGCTCGGCGAGTTTCTCAGAGGCCTGTGGGTGGTGAGAGCGGGTTAGCATTGCTACGTAGCCTCGAATGGTCACTGCGAGGACGGCGACGGAAACCTGTTCGGAGAAAAGGTTAGTTCTTGTTCAAAGAGCAGCGAGAGGGCCCTCACACTTGAAACCAATGCGACACACCAGTAGAAGTTTAGGCGTACTGCATCCCGTTCCGGAGTGAATGGAACGGAATGAGGTATATCTAAGTGCGAAAAGCTTGTGTTGCTTATAGCGAGGATAATATCCGTCAGGTTAGTTAATAATTCGTTTGTTTTCTCGCCAGGGTCTTGGGAGAGGCTGGTCAACGACTGAACGACGAAGGTCGTGAGAATGCTCGAGAAAAGGGCGATCTGTGTGCAGATCAGGAGAATTACGTTTACTCTGACAATATACAGATCGACGAGACTCACAAACACAAGCAGTGTGTCCAGTGCACCTCTCCATCGATCCACAGTGGGCTGAACATTGGCCATATGAGACCGTATTAACGGAGCCCAGGCGCTCGAACTCCTCGCCGATTTCGCAGGCATGGGCTGCCTAGCTGCATTATCTGAGAACACAACGCGTTGAGCGACTGTGTGTACGCAGGAGCGAAGAGGTCTAAACGAGAGGTGGGTGATAAATACAACGTACCAGTGGCGACCTGCCGGTCGCGTATCTCACGCAAAATCTCGACCATATCCTGCATACTTTGCGTTATCTCCGTGGGAGGGTAGTAGCTCTGAGGAGCACTGGTGGGAATGACCCCCGAGCCTTTAGGCTCGTTACTATCCGAAGACATTTGTGAGGATGGTCGACTCAACCTGTGAATGAGAGATAGTAGAGAGGCGAAAAAGTGATGGGGCCGTCGCGCTATTACACCCTGTACTGGAGTGTTTTATCTGATCCCTGATGTTGCCTCATGGTTGTGCCACTCGCCCGCCGGTGCTTTGTGGTCGTAAATCACTTGCAATTAGTATTTTGGCCTATTTTAGCCCCTTTCACTTGACAGGCGCTGCGGTCGGATGGTAAACAAGGACAAATACTGTGGCGTCTCCCCTCTAGCACTAAGCAGATAAAGTCTTCAGACGCGCAGCATAACTCCTCCTGAGCTCCTGCTATGAGAATGTCATAACGATGATGATCGGGATAGGCCTAATAAGACTTGACGGCCTAGGTAATATAATTACGATACCAAGTAATCCAAATGGCACGATAGATCGCGAATGAGCTCCACCCATCCCGGGCTGAGCATCGCCATTATTACAATCCACAAATCGACGTTCGTTAAATATGGCATGAGGAGATAGTAAGGTAATAGGTAACACATCGATAAATGAACGCCTTATCTGGACCTAACTTACACATGGTCGTCCTACTTCACCATTTGTACAATGTCTTTGTCGTTGACAGCAGTATACACCGATCTGATCATCTACATATAGTACTGACACTTATCGGACTTTTGGAGTAGAAAAGTGAAAAGATCGGATTGGAGCTAGCGAGGAACATTGCAGGGGTATTCTGCGAAGAGCATAGGACAGTGTTTGTGATATGCGATCGAGAATAAGAATATAAAGTTTATAGATGTAATGGAGCAGGTGGGACTACTACTGATAACATAGGAAGATATCACTCAATCAGCGATAGTAAGGACTGATAATCCATGAGCGTCCTTCTCTTTTGTGACATTGAGCAGAGAGGCGTTATCATAGCGGGCCAAGGTGGAAGGGCCTCTATGTTCATCATGCAACCGGATTGCCTGCGGCGGCCAGTACAATATCCCCACAGGCAGCCGGTATGATGTAGCGTCGGGGCCTGTGCATTACAGATTTTAATAGGGTTTTGATGACGATATGCAAGCAGAACAATCATAAATACACGTACTTAGACGCTCCCATCTTGATGACCCCGAGGGTGTATACTCCAGTGCCACGATCTCAGCAAATGTCCAGCGATCTGTGTTAGTCTCTAGATAGCACTTGACTCTGTCTTCACTAGGAGCACGGGTCCACAAGCTCAGAGATCCTCCCCAAAGCGTCGTCTCGAACTGTCGAGCATAAGATTGGCGTCCCGTCGAGGGATGAGACCACATATGGGACTCGCAGGCTCTTTTTCGAGTCCTACCTGAAGATGTCTTGGTTCCAACTAGCATGTGCGCAATGCTAGATAGAAGGATGCCGAAAATATAAGAAGTGAGAGTAACGAATTCGCTTTGATGAATCGATCCTAAGTAGACTGTGTTAAGTCAAACCATCATGCTAGAACGAGGTAGGACTCACTGCGTGCAGATAGAAACTCCAACGCTTCGACCAAATCGCGGTTCAAAAATATTCTCCTGTGAGCAGGACACGCGAGGATTGGGATAGACGAGTCCCGCTTCCGAGGAGGAACCAGAACGATAGACATCGGACCTCTCTTAGAGCAGAAGACGTCGAGGATAGGAATTGGTGAATTAGCTGAGACTCTTTCAGTATCGTTGCCTGAGCATAGACGTTGGAAGATGGTCCGAATCACCAGATGGTGCTGAAAAAGCAAAACGACCTCTTCCAGGAGATCTCGAAGGCAAGGACAGGCATTCCATCCGCCTGGCGCGAGATCGATTTCGTCATATATGTAGAAAGGGATGGAGTTATGATTCATCGAGGCTCCGGGGACGGTGCAAAGAGAGGGGGTGGTGTTCATGGCGGAAGGAAGATAACGAGAGTTGGTAGGGAGCGGCGATGGTGATGGGAGAAACGGGGCATAGGGGGGAGATCAGAGCAAGAGCCCGCCTTTTTAAAAAGAGGAGGAGCAGCCGCTTTTATAGTAGGGAGAGGCACAAATCCAACTGGGCCATCAGGGCACCATAAGAGTCAGACGGGCTGGACTCGCGCGCGCGGTGTCCGCCATAATTATTCTCCTCGAGATACAAAGCCCGACTCGACAATGAACAAAGGCAGAAGGCGGGGTGAATAACCAATCCCGATGCCGACTCGTATGGACGAGGATGGCACCGTCGATCGTGTGAATTGGAGAAATGCGGGGAAGAGGAAACGCAGCTCAAAATAACTCCGCCGCCGTAGTACAAAGAGCACGACACGGGGATAATATTTCCGCGGCGCGCCTTGGCGACGCGTTTGACCCCCCCATTTGATTTCCATCGAGGTAGTCCGCCCGGGGAGGATTGTAAGCAGGGGAGTCATAGTCGACAGACGGAAAAAAAGGGGACTGACACCAGGACGGAATCGAGACATTTCAAAGTCCGACGCGTGCCGGCGCGCCATAGAAACGACAAACAAAGCGTCCCCCCAAATTGGGTGCTTCACGGATTTTGTCCGTTCTTATCTCCAGACAAAGAGAGGTGAGATCGTGGGCATCGCTTTGGCTGCCGGCGAGATCAAATCTCGACGGCAGCGCACTTTGTCAAAAAGAATTTCCACCAAGTAGGAACGGACACCGGCATCTTCGCTATTCAAATGACCCCAGCCCAGGGTCAACCCAAGCCCTTGTGAAGATGGCACGGATAATATAAAGACCACAACTGGGACAATGAAGATTATATTTGATTTCTTCAGTAGCAATTTGAATGAGGGCGAGGACGGCAGCGGCTTCTGTGTGGCCCCAACGAGTGCGGCTGGGGATTAGCCGTAAAAGGGGTTGGAATGGGTTCAATGAATGAGCAGACAGAGGGAGCAGTAATTGAAGACAACAATAAATGGTCAACCAAGGGTAACCACAGTTTAGGGTATCAGACCTAGCGCGCACTCAGTGCGAGTAACGGCGCTCTTCAAGTCTCTGCACCTTCCTTCCTCTTCCTTCCTACCGTAGGCCAACTCGTAGACTTCAGGAGCACTCACCGGAAATCTTTGGGCGGAGCCACAGCTCGATACGATGGTGCAATGGATGAGTGTATCATGGTGAGCCGGCGAGGCTTCAGGATGGTCGTTGTGGCACCCGTGTGAAAGACCGAACGGATGATCCCGAGGCCAATCAGCGCACGGCGCCGCATGTGCGACTGATACCGTTGATGTATCCGAACAATGGCGCACTACGTTGAACATTCTAGCGTAGAATGTTTCAGATAATTCGAAGTCATTCCTGAGAGGACTGAGGAAAGGTTCCTGTGCAGTGGCTGAACCTTTGGCATGACACCATGAATCACGGAATGAGCATCATGATGGTGGTTTGAAATCGTGAACGCGAATATCGCTTACCACGAGAAGGCGAGCCGGTGACGCAGGACTGAGCGCACGAGCATCAATGTTGACCGTCATAAAAGCGCCATAGGATGCTCGCCACTTATGTCGCATACGTACATGAAGGACGTCATGGGCCACACAAAGTCTTCAAGTTCGCCTAGACATGCATGGATAAGGCGAGCTAAAGACTGTCAGCTCTTACTGATGAGATCAGGCGGTTTGCTTACCTGTAATCATGTACTCCAAGGTTGAAGGCGCGTGAACAACAATGGTGTCAGTGAACATACGCTAAAAAGGACGTCTTACTATAAATAGTCACGCGAAGTGTTCGTGTGTTTGGGATGTTCGCATCTTGCCCGGTTGACGCCGTAGCTGTTGAAATTCGCGAAGTAAGGTCGGTGGAAACGCCACAGCAGAGGATGAGTTGGACGACTCGTAAAGAGGTATGATTGTCTTCATCGATCTTTGAGTAATTGTTCGCGAGACTAGCTTGGACGGAGTCTTCGATCTTCACTTGACGGTCTGCATGTGAAGGTAGGTCAGTTCTACGTCGTTCCAATACTGGAATAATGCGAGAAGGAGAAGAGAAGAAGGGTAGGAACAACGAGAGTGTTGTATGGGTCGATGAGATAGAATTGGGTGGGGACTTCGTATGGAATGTTCATAGAATTCATAAGACCTCCGTGACTGCACAGATATGGCGACGAGTCTCACCAAGCATCCTGCCGCAACAACAACTCCGAACAGGGCGTGCGATGTTGCAGGGTTGCCTGTAATCCTAGCGCTGTGAACTCGGTCGGGGCGTTGCACCTTGGCTGGAAAGTACACGGTCAACTTGTGAACCATCCGAGTCGGCCGGAACACCCACGACTTGGGTTGGTTGCAGGTCATCAATGAAAGTCATTTCAAAAGAACCAGTGGAGAAGCTACGGTGAGAAGTGGCAACTATGTATAGAGCGAAAAGCTCGGCGAATAAGCAGTTCAGTGTAGGACGGGTCCCAGCCGGGCATCTAATACTACGAGAACTGCACTGAGTATAGACATGCAGAGTCAGACTCGAAGCCCAATCTCCTCGCAAGGATAGGATGATTCGCACATATGCAAACCGGACTTACGGCAGGAAATCTAAGAGGAGTACAGTCACTGCGGAGGTACCGTACCGATATATTGGTCAATCAATCAGCGCGTGCTCGCCGTTGCAAGCGGCGACGGCGGGCGTTGAGTGCGCTGCCCGCATAAAATCGAGGATATGGCCGGTGAACGAAAGGATTTTTCTTTGTTCGTTGACAACGAGGATGTAGATGATTACAGATGGGTCGAGAATCCATGCGAAGGGCTGAGAACGTTTGGATCTCGAGAAAACGGGATGGACCGGGTCGGGTGCAGCGGGGAGCGATTGTATTTGTATGAAGGCGGTTTGGAGCGACCTGCAACGGCCGACCACCACGTCCTTCGAGTCTGCGAAGACAGCGATGGTGAACGCAGTGGAGGACGCCATGGACGACGGCGACGGCGTCCAAGGCGAGCGGTCTCCCACGTGTCGGAGCTCGGCGCCGTGAGTATATATACGCCCGGACAAAACGGGCCTCTGCGTCTTTTGCAGTCTTTTGCTCTGCTGGCTCCCCCTCCAAGGCCTCATCGTCGTCCACGACGTCCACGAGCCCCGCGCCCTCACCAGTTCTTCGTCCTCACCGCGCCCCTCGACGTCTGCGCCCCGACTATCTTCCTCGTCTGCCTGACATCGCGAGCCACCACCGAAGCCGAATTTCCGGCTTATCCATACCGCACAAGCCGCGCCTAAGCCGTATTTCTGCCAGCTTTTCCAGCTCCTGTCGTCTGTCGACTTTTCTTCCTCCTCACCCTCTTCGACGCCGACTGCTTCACGATGAACCCAATACTGTCAAATCCCTCACAACACCAACCGTCTGCGCTCAGCATCAACCCCGCTACTCTCAGCGCAGCGTCAACCTTGGGCGGCACACATCCACGGTTACAACCAGCAACTCCTTCATCCGATGCAACACGGCGGTCTACGCCAACATCTGGTAAGCGTCGGCGGTCAGAGGGTGCGAACGACTCGGGTGACCATAGTGGTTCAACGCCAGGCGCGAAGAAGGACAGTCAAAAGAAGAAAAAGGCGAACCGCGCGTGTGTTCACTGCCAGAAGGCCCATCTTACTTGTGACGACAGTGAGTCCTTTTTTTCTGCTACTTTTTTCTCCCCTACTCTGGCTTGCTATACCTTTCTTTGTGGGCCACTTTGCGTGTGGTGAATGTTGAACGGGAGTCTCTGCGGTTCTGATCCGGACCGCGTGCCGTTCAGCCCGAAAATCCGGTGATGTTCCATCACATATCTCGTCCCTGTGTCTTTGCTCGACGTTCACCTCCGGGAGAAAAGGAGGTGGAGGGACATAGCCCACCAACTTTTCTGTGGACACTTGTGGCGTCATACCTCGCTCTCTTGTCCAAGCGCCTCCCAGTGGGCGCTTACGTTTGTCATCACGACTTTGCGTACCTTGATCAACATGTTCTGTCTCAGAGTGCATCACAATTTCTATTTAGGGTGCAAAACAAGGAGCGAGCGTAGTGGCGCCGAACATGCCGTTGACTGCAACGCAAAGCCTAACACTCGTTTCATGCTTACTGATTTTGTTGATTTTCAATCGCAGCACGACCATGTCAACGATGCATCAAACGCGGTATTGCAGATACATGTACGGAAGGTCATCGAAAACGAGCCAAGTACTTACTCGATGACGAGGAGTTGGGTGAGTCTCACCGTATCGTCTCCATCCGCACTAGCTGAATTCTGCCCTGACACCTGACTTGCTCCCAGAACGATTAAAGAAACAGAAAACCGGATCTTCAAAAACTGCAACCACGATGCACACACCAACACCAGTGCCCACGTGTAGGTTGCCCCTATACCTCCACACCTTCGCATACTTCATGAATCATTCATCGCCACAAGCCATTTAGCTTGGCGCATCCCTTATCCCCACACATCTGATCTTCTCCAATCTTCTCGTCTGACCTTCGTCCCTCCATCACATTCTCGTTCTATTACCTACAGCAGAACCCTTCCCTCCAAACGACCCTCTCTTCAACGTCCCGTACGACCCTTCCTTCCCCTTCGGCTCCGAGGCCGCCAACCTCGAATACTCCATTCTCTCCGCCATCCTCGGCAACCCCTCCCCAGGCGAATCGCACTCTACCAGCACCCCTCCGCCCACACTTCCTCCGTCAGGCTCAAATCCGTTCGCGGCCGAATACGGCTGGGGACCGAACGACAGCGGAGTGGGCAGCTCATTCCTCACGTCGCCGACGGGTCTGGGAAGCACGAGTGACATGTTCGATACGGATCCACCGATGGTAGGGATCTTGGCGCCTGAGGCGGGGAGCGGCGCGGGTGCGGGGCAGTCGGCGAGTAGTATGGGGCAGGAGTTCTTGGCGAGTCCGTATGCGTCGTCGTCTCCGAATATGTCGATGCAGAGGTCAGGATCGCCCGGATTAGGGTATCAGTCCATGGATACGGCTGGCGAAGGGTCTTCGGGTCAACAACAGCAATTAGGCGCTTCTCAGACAGGTCAGAATGCTCAAGGGCAAGTGCAGCGCTCAGAAGAACCATTACACCCATTAGCTCCAAGATGGCCACCTACGACCACGGACTCGACGTACGTCTTCTGGCCAGGTCCGCCTGGGAGGGGTAGGAACGCTGCCGCGACCGCTCTGGCCAATGCTGTCGCAGGTGGGGACGACATAGGGTTGGGACAGGTGGTACTCAGTAAGCAAAAGACAGCGCAAGAAGTATATAGCAGTGTAATAGCACCCTATGATTATACGGCGGGGTATCATTCGTTAATGAAATATCTGCCACATCGGTGAGTGACTAATTTTCGCTGCTGTGTTACACGCGTTCTGTGAGGCGTTACGCCGCTCTTGCTGTCAACGAACTGTCACACTACGCGTGCTTATGTCTGGGTTCCGATATTCACCCATTATTTACAGATTCGAGAAGAACGACATCTTGCGCATTGTCCGGGCCCTGGCGATCTTCCGACCGTCACTGATCGCTATGCAGATGCCATTAACGGAGGAGGACGAAGTCTTTGTCGAGAAGTGTTTCCAGCGCAGTATCATCGTACGTCTCTATCATCCTCTGTACAATACATCCCAGCTCGGTTGCTCATGGCGGTTTTACACTCTCAGGAGCTGGATAAATTGATCTCGTACAGCGGTACTCCGACAGTCGTGTGGCGACGGACGGGGGAGATCTGCCTCGTTGGTCCTGAGTTCTGTATGCTCACCGAATGGACGAAGGAAGAGCTTTTGGGCAAAGGGAAATACATATGGGAGGTACGTGACCAGTCCTTGTTCGACCGAATTTGATGCATTGGTTTCTTCCTGTCCTTCCCTTCACGATGCCATGCCGCGCCCAAATCGCGAAATTGCGCAATCACACGACGTATCTCTTTCGCCGCACGGCGTCCGTCCCGAGCTCAAGCGAGGTTATACCGCACAAGTTCTCGAGCATGCATGAAAATTGAGCGGTGTCGTGCCCATCCTTTGTGGCTTTGGTGTAACACTTATTTTCTACCATCGATGCTGTTTCTCGATCTATTGTCCGTGTCATACCTGGAATGTACTGACCATTTCTTCTTTCCCCGTCGCACTCTATCGGATATACAGCTCTTCGAAAACCAGTCCGTCGTTGAATACTGGGAGAACTTCGCTACCCACGCCTTCGAGAACACGACCCAATCGGTCTACTCGCATTGTATATTGCTCAAGCCTTCCGGTGCCCCGGTACCCGCGACATTCTGTTTCTCAATACGAAGGGATATATTCGATTTGCCCAGTTTAGTTATTGGTGAGTTGTCCATCTTCGTCAATCTTGTGAGTGCAGTCGTGTTGACCTTGTTGTTGGTAGGTCAATGGTTACCACTGCTTTAGCATTGTGCCATGGCTCGAGCCAGAGCGGCCATGCCTCCTTTCAGCTCCTCTTTATGTTGTACATATTCCTTCTATCCGTCTACCAGTTCCCTTGTCGCCGCCTATTATTTCCTCCTTTTTCTTTCCTCTGGTCTCGACGCCAATCTCCTTCAAGTTACAGCCGAACTATGGACCCCGGTTCCGGCTGAGAACATACACTTCTTTCATCTCTATACTTAACTCTGTTGTCCCTTTATCGCATGTGTGGCCCCTGCGCCCCATGCTATCCCTTCCTGTCCTTCCTGTCCTTTCTCGTTTTGCCTGTTTATTTCCGTGAATTCGTGAAGTTGTCGCCGTTATCATGCTCTGTCGACTTCAAGTTCTCATGCCTGCGCTGTGTTTTCTGAATCCTTCCTACATTCTACATTACTAGGCCTATCATATGTGGCTACCAAACCGAGCCGGCCTTTTGGTCGGTTTAACGGTCTTATCCATCCTATTTTTTTCTTATGATTCTGATTCTTTTGCGTCCAGCTTGCTTTCGAGCTCGAGTTGAGATCGCCATATTGGCGTGCGTATGATGGTTGATTCTGTCGTACGAGCTCTGGATGTTCCTTCAGAGGCTCCCAAGGGCCAAATTGTTTTCCTTCTTTCTCTTTCACACTTTTCACGAGAAGCTGAGCACTCTTGATGCTCGATGCTGATGTTACGGTGGTTGTTGCTGGAGGAATTTCATGTACACGTATCGTGTTTAGAGACGAGAGCAAGTGTGCCAGTGGAGGGAGGTGTAACTTGAGTCGGTGCCAGGAGTGTACTTATGGTGGCGCAGGGACGAGGGCGGTGGTGTAGGGTGTACATGTTGCTTTCAGTTACGCCATTCATGAAAATACGATCATTTATAGATACCCCTTTTCGTGGACGCAGTGCAGTACACACAATGAGGGGCAACGCTTGGTAACTTAAGTTATTTGGGATTGGGAGGCACACGATTCCACCCGAAAGATAGTTCAAGGACCCGATTGCGTCCGGTTTTTCTGTCGAAATCTGCTTGCGGGTATCCGTCTTTGAGTCGTCCAAGCGTCGACGGTCCTCCATTCCTGCCGGAATTTTGCTTTTCAGCTGCCAGTGTTTTTGAAAGTAAGTCACAGGGGGCACAAGCTTTCGCCTGCGCCCAACAACAGCGTGAAAGATTCAAATGATCACCGGCAGAGTGCCAAAAGATACGGATGAATAAACAACCATTTGATTGCCGTTGCATAAATTCAGAACATTTATCAGAGGTACTTTACCTGCTGCGGTCCTCTATATATCAGAGAGTGATTGGCATCCCGTCGACTATTCTCTTGACGTTGTGGCCCAACTTTGTTGATCATACGCCACACGGAAGGAACCGCGTCAGCCGAGCTGGCGAACAACCATCGGTTTTGAGACAATATCTTTGCCGACCTCAGTCATGTTCTTATACACGAAACCACTATTACATTCCTCGCATCCTAGACCGTAATACCTCTTCTGAAGCTGGCTTAAGATCCTAGCATTACACGAGCATAGTCGCCTGACTGGAATCCCCCCTGTCCGCCGGTCTACTTCATTCTAACGGCTTTCCTATGAATCTCTCACAGTCGCTGGTCAAGAGCTTAGAAAATGCACTTGGTCATCAATCTGCCCGTCAAGAGTTGAAATGGATGAGGGCGGCGCTGATGAATCCACCCATCGAAGAGCTCAATCGACCAGCTCGTTCGAAAATTCTGCGCCAGCAATGGGAGTCTCTTCCCGATCTAGAGACTATGGTCCAGAGACGAATAGCTGGGGAGCCTTTACAATATATACTTGGTATGTCCCTTTATCACTCGTGAACTAGTGCTAGAGATTCGCACCAATATTGCATCTCGGATGACGAACGTATATCTGTTGGTCGCGTTCACGCAAATTCGTTCACCACTTCCTCGTTTTACGACTTTGATGTAGGCACACAACCATTTGGCCCCCTCACACTCTTAACCCGCGCACCGACCCTCATCCCTCGCCCTGAGACCGAAGAATGGACCATTCGTCTCGCCTCCTTCCTCTCAAAACATCACGAACCGATATCCTCATCCAACCCTATACGTATCCTGGACCTTTGCACTGGCTCTGGTTGCATTCCTCTTCTTCTATGCCATCTCCTACCGAATGGTACTGTGCACAGCGTTGGGGTGGACGTGAGTGTGAGTGCATTGGAGCTCGCGCGGGAGAATGCGGTGATTTGTGGGAATTGGAGCCATGGCGATGACGGCTATGATGAAAGTAGAGCCGAAGGAGGGCTGGACGAGAGTGGTAGCGAAACGAAAACACCAAGACCGAACACTTTCACGACATTGCTTGCCGACATCCGGAAACACACTGAATTATCGAGCCTTCTCCGTTCTCTGACTTATCCTCCATCGCCACTTTCAAAGCCGAAATCGACATCCTCGAAGCCGTTCAAGCCATTTACGGTTCTGACCGCCAATCCACCGTACATCACACCGTCCGCGTACGAGAAGCTCGATCCCTCCGTGCGCGACTACGAAGATCGTGGAGCTCTCATCGGGACGGATGATCCCCGAGCACATACGCCAGGTTCAGGGCTTGGCTTTTATTATGATATCGCCACGCTTGTTCGGGAGGGCGGGGTCCTCGCTGGTGGCGAAGACATCGCTCTTGATGATGTGGCATCGGAAGAGGACGGTGTGAGCACTCGTGGAGGGTGTGCAGTTGTTGCGATGGAGGTAGGTGAGGATCAGGCAGGTGATGTAGTTGATATTGTTAGGGAAGGAATGCCTGGATTCGGAGAGAACGTGGAGGTGTGGAAGGATGCGTTTGGGGTCGATAGGGTCGTGGTTGCGACGAGGAGTAGTTGATCTGAGACACATCCCCATTTTTGCGAGGGGACATTTGTCTGCTTTCACAGGAGAAAAATCCGTTCGGCAGAGCGATCGGTTTGGCTGATGTCATACGGACTGAGAAATGAAAGTACATTGCCAAAAAAAACTGCTTGCGTCAAAACGCTTCCCGTCGAATCTTCATGACTATGGTACACGTATTAGACTGCCAAAAGCCCAAGAAATAGCTGCTCAAATGTTACTTCCGAGGATTCCTGATTAGTAGCCCTCCGAGCCCGAAACCGTCTCCGACTCGTCCTCCGGCGAGAACGAAGACGACCAAAGCCTCTTCTCCACCAAGAAAGTCCTGACAATCTGCCCCACCCTTTCACTGTTTCCTTCAGACGGCGTTCTAATTCTGTCCTCTAATATCCTCTCCCTGATCTCGGCCACCAATACAGTGTTATTGAAATTGAGGTATGCCGCTTCAGCAGCGGTAAGAGGCTCTTTACGCGCGGCGAGAGCGATGAAGCCTTCGGTTGTCCATTGCAAGATCTTGCGCCTGGTCCCGATAGTGACCTTCTCCACGGGCGTAGCAATGGCGGAGAAACGCTTCATGGCGAGATCATGGATTGCGGTAGAATGGAACGCCCGAGAGAACTCAAGGACGAGTGACCAACCGTACGGTGTTTCTTCGACCTGGCCAGAAGAAGGTCTGGTATAGCCAGAACAATGTTTGTTAGGCAACACAACACTACATTTGAAATGGTGACAGCTTACCCGGGGTACAAAGCCAACAATAGCGTCTCGATGGCCTGGCGTTTTATCTGGATAGGCCAGGTTCCAACGGCGCCCAGATCATGGACGAAGTTCGCACGGTACTGCATGACCCTCTCAACAAATTCGGGAGCCCAGCGAGAAACCACCGACCGATGGACACAGTAGTGGAGACCGTTGATCTAAGCAGATGGGTGTTTAGCAAAGGGATTCAATAACACCGATTGTGCACTATGATGTGCGAAAACATCCGCACGAACCTGGAAGTCCATATTGCCATCCACGAAGTAATAAACGGGATGTTTCTCGATAGGCTCACTGCTCGTAAGATTCATCGGAGTAGTTTCTGCACGACCGGGTGAAGATGTATTCGCATAGTGCGAGTGATGGTTCGCGTTCGTATGGTTCGTCGGTGAAGGGGCCTGATTTGGAGGCGGTGGTGGGTGGTTCACGAACGACGAGGCCGAACGATCAACGAGCGGAGGGACCTGACTCGGAATCTGAGGTAGACCGGTCTGTGACCCATGATTATTCAGTGGCAGACTCAGGCGCTGCAACTGTCGAACAGCTTCAATGACATCTATCGTCTGGGCCGCGAACTGGGCCGAGGGCGCCGTGTCAAGACCGGCATCCGTCTGACCGCCAGATGTGGCTGGCCCTAAATTCGACATAGTCGAGGAGAACGGCGTCCCAACTCGGGGTAACGGTGGCCAAAGAGGGTTGGTATGACCCGGAAGAGATTGATACGCCTCGGTAGGCGAATGAACGGTACTGAAGGCAGAGGGAGTGGCAGGCTGAGCGAGATCTGAAGAACTCTCTGACGGCGACTGAGTGCTGTAGGAGTGCCAGCTCATGTATTCTGGTGTTGTAATTCGAATGATGAATTCGAATGGTGGTGGAGAAGAAGGAAAAGGTCAACATATATAAGCGCCCGGCGGCGAGGTGTTTCACGCCCCTATTCTCTCACGCACTCCGTGTCGCCACACCGTGCCACCAGCTCGCAAAACTTGAAGAACTTACATTCATCCTCAGACCACGACCTTTTCATACTGAGTAGAACATGATGCAGTACTCGATGTATTAAAGAGAGACGAAGCCCTGGACCGGAGCAAAACATCCAGGGTCCGCCACTAGCAACGACGATTGCTATATTCTGCGAGGGATAGGATCAAGACCAGCAACAGAGGATCAAAGCGTATAGTAAACTAACCAAGAGAGTAACCAAAACAGAGCGAGAACGCAAGATGCGATTCAAATGCGATTGTGAGTCAACGGTTCGGAGGGGGGGATAGATGAAGAATACTAGACGGACACAGCAGAAGAGTTGTATAGTAAAACAACTAGACGAGTGGCTAAGCAGACTGCAATATAAGAGAGTAGATAATTGTGCCACGAACGAGACAAGACGAGATGCGATGCGGCGCCCCAATAGATTCAGTGGAAGGGGATAGATGAGACATAATCTGAAAAGAAATAATGCTATGTACGAGAATATGAATGATGTATACACAAAAATACGGACAGGATAGATTGGATAGGCGAGAGTAGCAGGAAACACAACAAAACATGTTGCAGCGAGATGGTAGCAAATCGTGAAGATCGCAAAACAAGCAGTACAGTACTGAGACAGCGGAGATGAGCATGATATAACATCGCGAGGACAGAGAAGCATAGTGGGGATGACACAAGACGGCCCAGACGAGGGACCCGTGCGAGATGCGAGACGAGAGATGATACGTACGATAACAAAACAAACAACAAACTGATGAAAAAAGTAACAAAACAACAATACGATGACGAACTGGTCATGCCGAGATATCTATGGACGTGCGGACAGCTTACCGCTGCGTATACGCCATCAGATGGCCGAAAACTTGGGCCAAAAGCACGCCAGCGCGTCCGTGTCAGGGCTCAGCACCGATTGATGAGCGGTTTGAGTATTGGTGGAAGAAGTGGGAGGCTGAGGCGGAGACGGATACAAGGCGGATGGTGACGGATGCGAGGAGGAATACAACAAAGATATATGAATAAATTCTAAAACCAAACATGACCGAGTCAGTGCTTCGAAGAAAGGGGCATAAACGACAGGACTTACCATACTGTCTTCACAGACAGTTATCGTCCCTCGAAGCGGTCATCTACATTTACTTCACTTCTTCCTCGCTGCACTTGCCTTACCACTCCCTTTACCCCCCGCCGCAATCGCAGCGTCAGCATCTCGCGCCTTCGCACTCTTCCTCCTCATCCGCTTCGCCCGCGGTTCCTGCACCTGCACCTCCCCAGCCCCAATCTCAGGCTCGGTGTCGCCGACCACATCCACCAACACGTCGTTCTCACTAGGCTCGTGCCCCAATTCCCGCTTCCTCTTCGTACCACGAGTAGTAGCGGCCGTGGTGGTCGTGATGACGGTGGAGGTAGCAGGAACCCTACCCCTAGCCTTGCGCCTGTCCTTCTCCTCGGAGGCAGGGGCAACAACGGAAACTTTCTGTGGAGAGTGGATGCCCTTGAGAACACCGGCCTCCTCGCGTGATTCGAGCTGAGAGTAACGTCTTGGGGGAGTTGATGGCAGGGCTTCAGGTGTGGGCCGCGGGGAAGTGGATGGTCCAGAAACAGCCTCGGGATGAGAAGCGAGAGACTTTGAGCTCGATGTCGTCGCCCTCTCCTCGATGATAGCAGCGGCTACCAAGGACAAATCGAGGGTTGACTCGGGCGCGGTCGCCCCCGATGCTGCATGTGTCGGCGATGCGGCCTGCACAGGGGCAGGGGGAGCTGGAGAGGGGGCAGTAGCTGGAGCTGGTATGCTGCCCGCGACTTTGGCGGAGTTGAGCGGGATGATTTTGATTTTGGCGAACCCATCAGGTTTCGCTCGCGAGATCACGTTATAGTTCTCCGCCGTCTGCACCACCTCGTCCACGATTACCTCGCCCTCGGTATTGTCGCCATCATTGACAGCCTTCGCCTTCGCTTTTCCCTTCCCCGCCTTACCCGTGACCACAGGCTTCGGAACCGTGGCGGTCAGACCAGGATGACCAGGCATATCGGGGCCAATGACGGTGCTGGGGGTCGAGGTGATCACGAAATCACCACTTCTCGGGAGCTTCTTCACAGTGCGGCGTACGACGGAGGCGTTGTTCGAGGCAGCGGTGTGGGTGGGAATGGGAGGGGTGACACCATCCTCAATGTGAGTGGTTGAAATGGCCGGGGCTGGTGCGGGTTGCTTGCCCCTAGCACTGCGCCGAGCAGGGGCAGGAGCAGGGACAGGAGCAGGGGGAGGAGAAGCGATACGGACGGGAGACTCAGCCCCTTGACGCGCGTCCGTGCCCGCAGACGCAACTAGCACCTCAACCTCAACGTCGACCACCTCGTCCTCGACTTCCACGGCTTCCTCCACCGGCTCTTGCGCAACCGCAGGAGCGGGCTCAGCAACATCCTTCTTCAACCTAGCGCTCCGCCGTGGGGCGACATTCTCCACCACCACCTTCTTCGCCCTCGCCCTCTTCGCCTTCTTCTCCGGTGCTACCGCCGTTTTGGTCTTCTTCTGAGCAGCCACAGCTGTAACCTTCCTCCCCTTCCCCTTGCCCCCCATCCTGGGCTGTGGGACCTGAACCTGCGCCCGTGGAGTGCTGTGCCAGGTTGCTAACTCCCTCCGCTCCATCTCTTCCTTTTCCTCCGCCGCCTTCTGCGCCTTGACCCTCTGGGCCTCCATAACAATGCCTTTCACAATGTAGCAGTCGCGGGCCAAATCGGCAGTCATCGAAAGACCGTCGAGGTAGGCCAATACGGCAGGGCTTGGGCGTGCGTGCTCGCATAGAGAGGACACGGTAGTGCGGGAGCGTGACGTGGAAGTACGCCATTCTATCAGGGCGTTCTTGAAGGACGCCCTGTATGCGTGATGGGCGGCAAGGAAGGTGGCGACATCGGCAAGCAAGGAGGGAGGCTCCGAGAGTTCGCAGGGAAGAAAAGTGACTTGGTCATTCTCTGGATAGAAGGAGTGACGGTCAGTGAGGTTTGCTGGATGGAAAGGAGAAAGGGAAGGGAGGAGGCAAGTCGCGCACGGGAAGTGGTAGATAAAGCTGAGAAATTGGAACATAATATACGCACCGACCGCATAGCTGATTCGGCGAACCGTTTCCTGTTTTTCCTCGTGATTCGGTGGCCAAAAGGCCGTGAAACTGTGGTGCGCGGGCTGGCGAAGTATGGCCACCGCGCCGAGTACAAACAAGCTATTTTCCCTCATCAGGGCATTTCCGGCATCGTCGCTTCTCCATGGTTTTGGGCGGCGGAGACGCTCGTTCTGAAGATACAGTTGCATGTAAGGGTGTGACGTGGTTGGCAGCCCGCCGATATCCGTTGGATCTGCGGGGATGGGGGACTGGAATATGGCGTATGTAGGGTGGGGACGGATGATGAAGGGTGCCGTGGGGGTGATGGTGGACGGCCCAGGAGGTGGGTGGTCATCGCTTCTGGCGATGTGTATATCGCTGCACTCGGTAGACGGTGTTTCCGGAGGAGAAATGAGTGTCGCCCTGTCACAAGAGAGGGCGTGTCGAGTCGTGATTGGGGTAGCAGACCTGTAGGCGATGTATGGTGGTGGCGAGCGCGGTGGCCCAGAGAGCATCTGTCCGAAAGGCATCATCAGAGGCTGATGTCGAGCGGAAGAGGGATGGGAGAGAGGAGAGATAGATGTGGAAGGGAAGAGGGAGATCCGGGGCTGTCAAGCGCAGAGCGTCGAGGATTATATGTGAGAGCACAACGAGCCAAAGAGGAAGTCGCAAACAGATGAGTATAAGAGGAAGGTGTGTCCGCACGTGTTCTAGGGTTTGGGGTCGTCGGAGTGTAGGACGAGGGTGGGCGAAGGAGCATATCGAAATTCGACGTACCATAATAAATGCAGACCATAATGTGCACGGCTCTCATCCGCGCTTCCCACGGGCGCTATTGGTCTGCACTATCAGTGCTTTATCGTCGCTTCATCATCTTCCCCGATGTCCGCTCTTTTGTTCCCTATAATCTGGAACAACGAAGAATTCCAAGCCCCACACTTGCGGCATCGTATCCCGCGCTTCTTCCAGCGTACTGCGCCGACCAACCCATACGTCCCCAAGGCGCAGTGTAAGCGTGTAAAGTTAAGATACTGGGGAGCATAAAGTTGCTGAGAATTACTGGAGAACGAGCATGCAAAGAGAGAGCCTGAGGTCAACGGCGAGTAAAAGCGCTCGAGACAGACACGCCAGTCGCTTGATTGCACCGTCCGAGCCAGTTCATAGAGCATCCACAGTGTTGCGTATAAGGTGCTGATAAAATCAAGCAAAAATCCCCGAAAAATCGCCGGAGGGCGAGCGCACAAAGGGAGGGCTGGACGTCGTTGAGGACGACCGCGGGGAACTTCCGATCGTGTCGGAGGTTTCTACTATATTCTCCCACGCTCACTCTCATTCCGTGAAGTGCCACTGTGGCGTACGGGGTGTGGGGGAGCGCAGCAGCCGAGCACCACTTCAACCCGGACAATCGTTGATTTTTGCCTCTGTATATCGCATAGTAGACATCTCATGTTCTTCAATGGACTATGCTCATCTTGAAATTCAAGAAGAAACTGTAAGGTGCAGAACAGATGCAGTTGAATCGAAGTTCGCTGAAACAAGGCAGAGTCGAATCAAACAAGCACACTTCCGGTCGTATAGAAATTGTATTCCGATTGTATTGATACACGCGATAACAGACAGAATAATGAAAACACTGACAGCGACAAACTAGCTATAGTATGAGCGCAAGCGATTGAGACAGCAAACTTGGAAAGCGGGCATAGTATGTGTGCTAAGACGAGATGCGAGACGGGATGATGTGACAGTGGTAAGTGAGTGAGTAAGTAATCCAGACAGCCAACGCTCTCTACATGAGGGTGCAAAAAATACATGAGGATGCCATGATACATGACAACAAAAAATGAGAGCGTCGGCGAGAAGTAAAAAGTGATAAAAAGGAATCAGGATAGCGTGCTCAGTGGTGAGGTAATTGCTACAGGAATCCAGAGATGAGAATATAGCGAGATAATAGAAAATAAATCGAGGAAGGTTGATGAAGATCAAAACACGAGCCGGGGAAGAGACGAGAGACTGGGGAGATAGCAGGAGAGCATAGCGGTATGGTGCAGAGCGAGATGTAGGGGATGAAAGTGCAGAAACTAGGAAAACATAGATGAGATGAGATTGAGAGAGCTACAGAGCACGGAGACAGAGAAAACAGAGATAGCAAAACAAGCAATACAGAGCAATACAGCAGACTCGAAGACACAGCATTGCAAGCTGCGCCAAACTTTGACGCGACCCACGTGATCGCGATTCATATATGAATAGGGGCTGAAGGGCCCCGAGGCGCGTCGAGGAGAGTAAGGAAGTGGGCAATGGGCAGTAGGGGAGTAAGGCAAAGGAGACGATGGAGAGTGTCAAATATGGATAACTCTACAAAAGAAACACCCGCATCAGCACACAGAATACCTCGAAAAAAAGACAGAAAAAAAGACTCACCAAGTCCTCGTCCCAATCTTGCTCCTCCAGCCAGTCCTCCACTTCATTCTCCACTCCATTTATTTCCTCTTCGTCGCACGCCTCTTCGGCTTCACCGCCTTCCCCCCAGTCTGAGCGACAGCCTCGACCAACTTGGCCTTCTCGCTCTTCACCCTCGTCCGCTTCGCCCGCGGCTCCTCCCTCTCCTTCTCCACCTCGGCCTCCGGCTCACCGACAATATCGACGTCCATCGCCTCTGCATCGACATCGATGACGGGGACCTCCCGTTTCCTCTTCGCAACACGCTTCGAGGGTCCGGCTTCGACTTCGACCTCAACTACGGCCTCGGGTTCGGGTTGGGGTTGAGGCTGTGGTTGAGGGTGAGAGGGTGGCGAAGGAGGAGTGGGAATGGTGGAAGGGCCGGCATCAGGTTGAGACACTGACACTGCCCGTGTCAGGACTTCTGCGGCGAGAGCTAGAGTATCCAGGGCCGCGGACGCAAGCATGAGCAAGGACGAGGGCAAGGGAGAGGGAGAGTGGGAGTGGGATGCGACGGGTGCTGGCGATGGTGTGGCCTCAGCACCGAGGTCTAGGATTCCCGCGGCGCGAAGTAGAGCATCTACACCCTGCTTGCCGGGATCCTGAACAGGACCAGACACGACAGGTGCTGGTGCTGGTGCGGCCTTGCGGGTGAGGACGATCTTTGGCAGTCTTCTGTTCGGCGAAGGACGGGTAGTGGCGGTATAGGTGTGGTTGCTCACCGCCCTCACTTCCGCATCATCCTCCGTTTCGTCACCACCGACGACTGGCAGAGCTTTGCCCTTACCCTTATCCTTCACAGACACAGACGACCCGATCGCCGTCGCGTCGCTCTCGCCGGTCCCAGTCTCGTTCTCGCTCCCACTCGCAATCGGCGCCACCGTCGCATCGCTTTCCCCGTTCCCATTTCCGAGCGCCGAGACATTACTCTCCTTGCTCGAATAACGCAGAGGGCTGCGAACAGGAGACCGAGACGCCGTCCTGCGACGTGTCGCTGTCGCAAACAACGCCGTCCGTGCACGTTTCGCAGGCGGAGCATGAGGGGTGAGAAGAGGCGGGTCCGCATCAACAGCGCGACGTTTCCTAGACGAGGGCCCGGGGGCAGCGAGGAGAGAGGGATCGACGGGTGCGGAGTCAACGAAGGACGAGCTTGGGGTTGGGCCTTCGACTTGGATCTCGGGGGCGGGGGAAGAGGATGAAGTGGAGGCAGCACGGCCGGGCATGCCGGGTCCCATGAGGTGAGAGGTTGGGATGATGGGAGTTGGTTGACGGGCAGGAGGGGGAGAGGAAGGGGAAGGGAGAGAGGGCGTTGTGGCGATGGTGATGGTGGCGGGAATGGGAACGACCTCGGGAGTGGGATCGACGGCTTTAGCTTGGGTCTTCTTACTCTTCCTGGTACGCTTTGCAGGCTGCGCGCGAGGCTCGCTCTCGTCGTGCTTGCGCTTGTTCCGAGTAGATTTAGGAGCAGATGGTGCAGGAGCGGCCTGTGCGACTGGAACTGCAACATCCCCGCTCGCGTCTCTCCCATTCCTCTTTGCTTGAAGCCTCTTACTTCTCCTCGCACCCCTGGGCAGCCAGAGGGAGCGGCCGAAGTATACGTGCATCGGATCACGGGGGACCAGGAATGGCACCCCCGGGCGCATCGCCTCGGGTAGTCGGTCGAATGGGGACTTGGGGAGACTGGACGGTCCAGCGATAGGTTCGTCGTGCTCCACAGGAATAGTATTTGGTGTGAGCGTGAGTGGTTGTGTGCAGTGTGGGCCAGGAGGGGCCAGTGTTGGCACCCTCGGACGCATCGCCTCGGGTAGTCGGTCGAATGGGGAATTGGGGAGACTGGACGGTCCAGCGATAGGTTCGTCGTGTTCCATAGGAATAGTATTTGGTGTGAGCGTGAGTGGTTGTGTGCAGTGCGGGCCAGGAGGGGCCAGTGTTGGCACCCTCGGACGCATCGCCTCGGGTAGTAGGTCGAATGGGGACTTGGGGAGACTGGACGGTCCAGCGATAGGTTCGTCGTGTTCCATAGTAAGTAATAATGTTTGGTGTGAGCGTAAGAAGTTGTGTGCAGTTAGTTTGTTGTGTACGGGGGTGTATAGGGTTGTGGGTGGCCGTGTACGGGGTGTCGGGGGCGGGTTTATATATGTAGGAGGGACAGGCAAAGCGAAGAGGCACGAGGGGAACAAAGAGCTAAGAAGGCCATGGAAACGAACCTGAGGATTGGCGGTGTGTCCGCAATTACACGAGGCTCACTTCCCACTTGAAGCCCCGATCATCATGATCAAGATCCCTTTCTGTGCATCTCAGCAACTCGTGTCGTTCAAGATTTGCGGAAAATTGCCGGGGGACGAGTGCATAAAGGGAGGGCTGGACGTCGTTGAGGAGGACGACCGCGACTTCCGATCGTGTCGGGTTCTACATGTTCTCCCACGCTCGCTCTCGCTCTGTGAAGTGCCACTGTGGCAAACAGGAGAGGCAAAGCAAGGCAGAGTCGAGTCAAACAAGCACGCTCCAAATCGTATAGGTATTATATTAATACACGCGATAGCAAAGAGGATAAACAAAACATAGACAACGATAAAACTAACTATAGGGTGAGCACCACGAGCGAGAGCGAACTAGGGATAACAAGTTGGAAAGCGGGCATAGTATGTGTGCTGCGACGAGATCCGAGACGAGATGAAGCGATAGTAAGTAAGTAAGCAAGCAATACAGACAGCCGACGCTCTCTACATGAGGGTTATAAAAATACATGAGGATGCCATGAGAGATGGCAACAAAAATGAGAGCGTCGGCGAGAAGGAGAAAGTAGTAAGAAGGAATCCAGGTAGCGTGCTCGGTGGCGAGGTGATTGATACAGAATTCCTGTGATAAGAGTATAGTGAGATAATATAAAATAAATCGATGAATATTGAAAGGCAGAGGGGTGGATGAAGATCAGAACACGACGAGAGACTGGGGAGACTGGGAGCATAGCGGTGTGGTGCAGAGCAATATGTAGGGGACGAAAGTGCAGAAACTAGGAAAACATAGATGAGACGAGATTGAGAGAGCTACAGAGCACGGAGACAGAGAGAAAACAGAGATAGCAATACAGCAGACTTGAGACACAGCATTGCAAGCTGCGCCAAACTTTGACGCGACCCACGTGATCGCGATTAATATATGGATAGGGGCTGAAGGGCCCAGAGGCGCGTGGACGAGAATAAAAAAGTGGGGAACAGGCGAGTAAGGCGATAGAGACGATGGACGTCTACAAAAAAAGCCCCAATAACTCCGCGTAAGCATTCAAACCACCTCGAAGAAAAGACCTCGAAGAGGACTCACCAAGTCTTCGTCTCCATCGTGCGACTCCAGCCAGCCCTCCACGCGTGGAGGGAAATAAGGAAGTGGGCGATGGGCAGCGAGTAAGGCGAAGGAGACGATGGACAGAGTCGAATATGAGTAACTCTACAAAACGAAACATGCACTCCGCATCAGCAGTCGATCCCCTCGAAAAAAAGACAGAAAAAGCCGACTCACCAAGCCCTCGACCCCATCTTGCTCCTCCAACCATCCTCCACTTCACTCCACTCTATCTACTTCCTCTTCGTCGCACGCCTCTTCGGCTTCACCGCCTTACCCCCAGTCTTCTCGACAGCCTCAACCAACTTCGCCTTCTCACTCTTCACCCTCGTCCGCTTCGCCCGTGGCTCCTCCACCTCAGGCTTGGGCTGAGCATCGCCCACAACGTCGACGTCCATCGCCTCCTCGTCGACATCAATGACAGTGACCTCCGGCTCCGGCTCAGCTACACGTTTCCTCTTCGAAACGCGCTTAGGTTCGGCGGGAGCCTTCCCCTTCCCCTTCGACTTCCTGGCCTTCTCGACTTCAGCAGCAGCCTCAGCGGCGGTGGCGGCCTCGATTATCCCGGCCTTCTCTTCCCGCGTCTCGCAAACAGGAAAGGTGAGGGTCCAATCCGTAGAGAGAGGTGGAGCTGGAGAGGACGGGTGAGAAGTCGAGGGTCCGGCTTCGGGTTCGACTTCGGGAAGGGGTTGAGGAAGAGAATGGGAGGGTGGGGGAGTGGGAAGGGTAGAAGGGCCGGGAAGAGCGAGGGTCGACGGTCCTGCCTGTGGAGACGCAGACGCCCGTTCCAGGACTTCTGCGGCCTCAACAAGAGCATACAGGCCCGCGAACGAGGGCGCGGGTGAGGGAGAGTGGGAGGGAGAGTGGGACGCGGCGGGTGCGGGTGCTGATGCTGATGCTGATGCGGCCTCGGCAGCCCTTTCAGCGGCGAGTAGCTCCTTGAACGTTGGGTACTGGGGTTGGGGTTGTAATGCGACAGGTGCTGGTGCTGTTGCTGACGTCGATGCGGGCCTACGGATGATTACAATGGTCGGCAGTCCTCCATTCGGCGAAGGACGAGTGGTCGCGGTATATTTATGCCTCACTTTCTCGTCGTCGTCGTCGTCGTCGTCGTCCGTCTCGTCACCATCGACATCGTCCTCGTCCTCCGGTTCGTCCTCATCGAATTCGGGTTCCAAAGCCCTCCCCTTGCCCTTATCCACCTTGACCACAGGCGACCCGATCGCCGTCGCGTCGCTCTCGCCGGTCCCATTGCCACTCCCGCTCCCACTCGCCACCGCCACAGCCACAGCCAGAGTCGCGTCGCTCTCCCCGGTCGCGAGCGCCGCGACACTCTCGTTGCTCGAAGAGCGTACGTGTCCACGAGCAGGAGACGCCGTCCGACGACCTTTCGGAGGCGATGCCGTCCGGGGACGTGTCGCGAACAATGTCGTACGCGCACGTTTCGGCGGGGGCGCATGAGGGCTGAGGAGAGTGGGGTTTGAGTCGACAGCAGGGGATGTCGTCCGGCGACGTTTGCGAGATGAGGATGGGACGACGAGGAGAGAGGGGTCGATGGGCGCAGAGGGTGTAGCGTTGTAGATGAAGGAAGAGCCCGGAGTCGGGCCTTCGATGTGGATGTCGGGGGCGGGTGAAGAGGCTGGGGTGGGGGCTGTGGTGAGAACGACCTCGGGAGTGGGGTCGACGACGGGAGCCTCAATCTTCTTACCCTTCCGAGTCCGTTTCGCTGGCTGCGTGCGAGGCTCGTCCTCAGCAGCCTTGCGCTTGTTCCTCCTCGACGCACGAGCTGGTGGTGCGGGGGCAGCCTGCGGCTCCGGTGCTACCACCACCTCCTCCTCCTCCGCGGCCGCCTCCACCACCACCTCCATCTCCACATCCTGCGCGACTGGAACCTCAACATCCCCGTTCGCGTCCCCGCCATTCCTCTTATCCTTAATCCTCGAACTCTTCCGCGTTGCACCCGCCTTCGCCTTCTCCATCGCTGCCACCTTCGCAAGCCTCCTCTTCTCTGCCGCGGCCGCGAGCACTGCTGGGTCCCTAGGCTTCGTCGCCTTCGTCGCCCTACCCTTACCCTTACCCCTGGGCTGCGCCCACGCCTTCCCCGTCGAACCCGAGGCAACAGGGTGGCGCGCGACATCGTCGTCCCAGGTTGGATAGGGCAGTTGCTTCTTGTGCTGGTTGTGTGCATAGACGAATTCGGTGGGGCCACTGCGGAAGTGGGGGGGTATGCCTGCGTGGTACTGGATGTTGGGTGTGGTGGCGCCACCGTTTGTGGCGTTCGAAGTCGATGCGACGACGGTGGGGACGGTGGGCGCGGTGGGGTGGGAGTTGTATACGTGCGGGCCAGGGGGAGCTAGTAGTGGTGGCCTCGGGTTCACCTCGTCGCGTAGAGCGGATGTGGGGAAGGTGAGTTTGGACGGACTAGCGGGTTCGTCGTAGTCAGACATGATAGAGCAGGAGTGATTGTTGTAAGAGTTTAGTTGTTGTGCAATTGGTTTGTTGTGTGTGGGAGTGTATAGCGATGTGGGTGGCCGTGTACGGGGTGTCGGGGGAGGGTTTATATATGTATGAGGGACAGGCAAAGCGAAGAGGCACGGGAGAGACAATGTACCAAGGAGGCCATGGAAACGAACCTGAGGATTGGCGTTTGTGCCACTATCGTCCATAGCAATTACGCGAGGCTCACTTCCCACTTAAGCCCCTGATCATCTAATCATCATGCATCATGATCTATGCCTTTCACCAACTCGTGTCGTCCGTCTTATTTCGCCAGGAAGCCCGCCTCGCCTGTGCGCCCCACGGCTCGCTGGACCGCGGCTCTTCTGTGATACTTGCTTTCGGTGTGATATCATGCGCGGGGCTGTGTGCCATGCGGCCAAGACGATAGTAACGAGAGAAACAAAGCTGGTGAATTGGGCACAAAAGACGAGTTTGGAACAACGGAGAGCGCTGGACGAGGGTCAATGCGGACTAGCGCCCAGATACGTAAGTTACACCTATCTACGGATCTGCTCGCGTGCCCCAGATCCGGTTCCGATCACGCCAATCCCGCAAAATTGACTCGCCACTCATTTCTCGGTCTGCTCCTGCGTCTGTCCCTTGCTGTTTTGCGCTCTATGTTGAGCACGATGTACATAGCAGTCGGACCCAACATAAACTCTGAATTCCTGTATGTTTGATGGTCGGAAGGGCAGAAAAAGACCCGATGGTCCTTGCTTTTGAGCCACTGATACTCCCACGCCGTACCAAAATAGGCTGTGCTTCCATTCCTCTCCGGCAACTCCCATTCTATGGCTCAAGCCTCAGGGTCAACGCAGGTCAACGCTTCATGATCGCCTCGAGGCTCGATATGATTGGCTCCTCACTTCAGCTTCAGGCCTCATATCGTGCAGTGCCATCCGAACACAAATATTGAATGTATAACCCTTGCACAGCTAAGCATGTCTAGCTAACCTCCAAAGACACCTGCATCACACCGCAAACCCTCTCCATCGTTATCCTCGCAAATATCGATGCAATCCGGCACATCAGAAGAAGAACGTCGTCCAATCCTGCAACACCGACATCGAGCTCGACGTCGTATTTAGATCTCATCTGGGGAGGATAAACCGCGCATGCTTGCGAACGTCGGAATCGATGCCGACCTACTCGCTCTGGACTGGAGCCTGATGAGCCTATCTTCGCGCGCCGTATGAGTATCCGGACCCAGCTCAGAACTTACGACCCTGGCCAGACACCAGACACGAACTGGGACGAGTGCGTCAGACGTTCCGGGAGGGATTTAGGAGTACTAGTGGATATTTATCTGGGTTGTGCACGCATGGTGAGTACGCCCACGTCTGTGACTCGGATGGCGGATGTTGAACGTTGAACGCTGAACTTTCGTCTGTGGCACCCAACCAGGGCCATACATCCTCGTCTTCGCTTCCGCCTTCCAAGCCATGACTCGCTCGAACTCGAATGGCACCAGCCCTCCCGACTCGGTCGATATCCGAATATGTGCGCGGGGCAGAACGTCCAGTACGGCCTGGAGACGACTCCAATGGTTTCCGAGAGCGCTCGTTTCGCGTCTTCGAGGACGCGGAAGATCCACTGGCGGAGGAAAGGTTTTTGACGAGTCTCGGGCGGTTGGGGATTTGGCTTTTCGTGGATGAGATTACGCTGGGCGAAGTTGGAGCTGGAGGCCCTGTACATGTAAGTGCGTGGCCCTCGAGGTGTCAAACTTAAGATCAGCTAGTTTCGATTTTTTTTTCTTGTCCTGCCTCTCCATCATGCATGTCTCGATGTCTTCGTATACATATCACTACTGTAGGGCCCGTTTTCCGCACACATTGTTAGGCTTAGTCTCTCTACATAAGTAGTATCTATAGCCCATTATTTATGATACACTGTCGAACTTTGCAATTGATCTCGAAGCTAAGTCTACGAACATCCCAGTGCCACCCATTGTGGCCCCCCCAATTCGCGTGTCGTGTGGCCCTCCGCGATGTCCGAGTCTGACGTCTGCGCTCAAAGTTGCCTGCCACAACGCCCCAATGCTCCCTCTCCGTCGAGCATCCACATCCTTACGCTCCCCACTCTTCACGCGAACGATGTCCTCGATCTACATCCTTCCCATATCTCCCAACGCCCCCAGTTCCGGCACAAATTCGAATTCAAGTCCAGCAGTGCCCAACGCCATAGATCCGCACCAACTCTGGTCCACCGTCCCTGCCCCACATTCCTCCAAGCCCGCCAAACTCGGAACGACGCGCGTCTTTTATGCACCATCTGCTGGAGGAGGAGAAGGAGGAGTCAGTGCGGTAGTGAGCCTGGGCAGCCAGTTTGGTAAGAAGAAGGGCGATGAGAGGAGGGAGGTCGTTAGGAGGGCTGTGGGGAGTGGGGTTAAGACTGTGAAAGGGCTGTGGGAGGGAGAGAAGGTGGTGAAGGTGGATGCGAGGGAGGATGCGCATGCGGCTGGTCTGTTGTGTTCCTTTTCTGATCTGAAGATTTGGAAGTCCTGCTGACGTTCGTTGCAATTGCTGGGTCTTTCGGGTTTGGAATCTAGCTGTGGCGGCGTATTTGGCAGAATACAAGTTCGACCTCAAAACGGACCCACCATCGCGTTTCAGACCCGGATCCAAAATCGACAAGGACATCACGTTCGAGCCGTTGGAGAAATCGAAGGAATGGGATAGAGGGGTTGTGTATGCTGAGGCTCAGAACCTCGCCAGGACGGTATGCATTCTCCACATGCATACCATCACTGGCATGCTAGAAGTTCAATGGGCTGACGAGCAGTGTACTTATAGTTGATGGAGCTTCCGGCGAATATGCTTACGCCGACGGTATGTCCTTTCGTTCTGGTAAGAAGTAATGGTTCGGATGCGATGCTGAGGTGGACAGGTCGTGGTAGGCTTTTGCGGAGCGTATGAAGGCTGAATTCGCGAATGTGGCAGACACAGAGGTCATCGTGCGCGATGAAGGTGAATGTCCTTCAAATCGCTAATAATATCTGAATATATGGACTCAACCCTCGTTTTATTTTCTTGGTCAGAATGGGCCGCAGAGAAGGGCATGGTACGCTCTCGGTTTGTATTTCCGCGGTTAGCGTCATCTCAACCGATACTTCGCAGAACACCTTCCTCTCCGTTACAAAAGGCACAGACGAGCCGGCTAAGTTCCTCGAGATGTGCGTTTCCGTTTTCGTGTTCTGGCCTATACCGAACCGGACGCTCATTTATGTCTTTCGGTTGAATGATAGTCATTATAATGGTGCCGCGAAAGGTGACCAACCGCTTGCTTTCGTCGGGAAGGGCATCACGTTCGACTCTGGAGGTATTAGCATCAAGCCTTCTGCTGTGAGTTCTGCTCCCACTATGCATAGTTCTCATGTACTGATTGAATGAATGTAGGACATGAAACTCATGCGCGGTGATATGGGTAGGTTCTTGCACGCGTAGGCGACACGATTGTACTGATACAGGGGCTCATGTATAGGTGGTGCTGCGACAGTCGTCGCTGCTGCTCTAGCCATCGCAAAGCTCAAGTTTCCGTACGTCCCGACTATCAATCCTTTCGTCGTGTTATACCTTGTCAATGACAGTGCGTTAGCATCAACCTTGTCTGCATCACGCCTCTTTGCGAGAACATGCCTGGACCGAAAGCGAACAAACCTGGAGACATGTATGTACAGTCTCATTAGATTATGACAGCTCACGGTGCATCTATCGGGCGTGGCTGATGTGCAAGTTTGTGGATAGTATTTATGCGATGAATGGCAAGTCGGTCGAGATCGACAATACGGATGCTGAGGGACGATTGATTCTCTCTGACGCGCTTTACTACACCTCGACAACGTATAAACCCCACACGTTGATCGATGTCGCCACACTCACTGGGTAAGTCCTTCCAACATCCCGTCTGACGAACGCGTGACTGAGTACTGACTTCAACCGTTGTTTCGATAACAGTGCCATGGACATAGCCCTCGGCGAAGTCTTCGCGGGCGTATTCTCCGTACGTCGTTTTTCCACAAATATCTTCTCCTGGCTCGCTGTTAAACGTCACATCTCGTAACACCCAGACCTCCGATAGCCTCTGGTCCGAACTCCACGAAGCTGGCGAGACAGAATATGACCGTTTCTGGCGCATGCCTCTCGACGACGAGTTCGCCCCTCAGATCCACAGATCAAATGCCGACTTGTGCAACGTACGTCATCCTCTCCTCTTCCATCCATCCATCCATCCTCCCGCCAACATTCCAAGCTGACCGATACTTTGCGTGCTTATACGTATATGTGTATAATAGACTGGTGGCAAGCCCGGAGGAAGCTGTACCGCCGCTCTTTTCCTCAAGCCTTTCGTTGAAGGTATCGAGCCCAAGGAAGGTGAAGAGGGATCGGAGGAGGAGGAGCTGAGATGGGCTCATATTGATATCGCGGGCGTGATGGAGGCGACTAGGCCGTCGCCGTATATGGAGATGGGGATGACGGGGAGGCCGGTGAGGGCACTGGTGGAGTTTGTTAGGAGGATGGGGCAGGAGTAGGGGTATTTACATACAATGTTGTTGGGTGCTTAGTACGCGGGAGATGCTGCTTTTCTTGCTCTTCCTCATTTCATGAGGAATCTGTTTGTTTGCGCGCAACATAGTATGCACAATGGCGACTGTGGTGGGTAGGTCCATGCTGTAGCCGTGTTGATGGGCCACATGTGGCGTTAAAATGGCTATGTTACCTAAGTTATCATTTGGGCGTCTACGTCTGTCAGTGAGTCAACACCATCATCGACGTCCTTTACAGCACCCAAACTATTCTAGACTGCTGCGTGTTCTCCTCCAGGACAACTCTTTCACCACACATCTCATCTTTGAACAAAAGAACGCCTCTGCGTTGCAGAACCTCACCACGAAATGGGCCGACCAAATTTCCCCGTCGTTGGCTCCCGCCGCCCGACCTCGCGTTCTCCCCAGACTGCACCCCATCCATCTCACCCGGATCCTGTTACCACGAACAACGCAGCATTGACATGACAAAAAACTCACAGAGGAGATATGCAGGCAAGTGGCGCAGTAGTTGACCGTGATGCGAGATCCAACAATAACGCGTTTCGCTCTCCGCACGTCCAGAACCATCGTAGGTCGTGAAAAGTAGATCCGTTCACATACTTACTTCCGGGCGGAAGAAGGAGATATCTCGCTAAACGCCAAACGCCAACTATCGACAGACTCTATGTGCTCATTCGTCCACAACCGAGTTTCGCTCGCCCTGTCGAACTCATTCTCCACAACCTCTCGTCCCCTGCGTCCAATCTACTCGCGGATCCATGGAGACACGTCAACCGACCTAGATCATCGTCGCTCATGGCTTCGGGTACGATCGGACGGCTCAATTGTCGTTTTATACACAAGGTCGGTGAGCGGTAGGGACTTGTAGGGATCGTGAGCCAGGATTCACCGGATAGATCAGATGGTGACTAGGACCGGCAGAAAAACTGGGTCGGTATTAACTTCTCTGGGTGTGCGCTGAGATCTTTTTCTGGCCGATGTAGCGAAGCGAAGATATCGTGGGGTAGGCAAGAGAAATGTATATCAGTGTATTTATCAGGTTCGTGTCTCGGACGCTTGTATCTCTTGTGCTGCTCCCGTACTGTGTCTGACCCGTGTCGATTTACCTCTTCAGCTTAGTACATATTGTATCGCAGGTGAGCCTGTTAGTATTGTCCATTTCCGGGAGTACGCACGGATCGCCGTCGTCTCCTCATATTTGCTCGCAATGGCAATCATGTACTCCATCCATATTCTTCGATACTTTGGTGCGGAGGCAGCGGCTCCTTGCACTGTCGTAAAACATATATCCTACCTCGTCGATGCAATCAGATCTTTGTAACGCTTTCGACGTCTTTCCGGACCGTACGGGCTTTCCAGATATCCTGCTTCTCTGGCGTCACTGATCAATGAAAGCCACGGTAAGTCTGGAAGACAGAGCATCGGCCTCAATCCTCCCGTGAATGACGAACGCATTACCTTCAAGCCCCTTGGATATTCGTTCTGTCGACATTATCAAGTCTCACGACCCGTTGCCCCTGTCATGCGCACCTTCACCCAGCGGTCCGGTCATTGCTGCAAGCGCTTCCTCGTGCTCTTTGGGATCAGACGACGTGCTTCCCGCCTCCTCTACCTCCTCTTGCACGGAATTCTATCCCCGTGTTTAATACTCTCGCATGGTTCAACCTGCAGCATTTTTGATAATAGCTGATTAGGAGGCCATCCATGGCATGCTACCGAGGTTCTTGGGGTAATAACGCTCAGCGCAGCCCGGTCTTGTGTTCAGGAGGTGTGCGTCATCGCGGGCATGGCGAGCGATGAGGCGGACTTGAGCATTGAGAGTGCCTTGCAAGTGCTGGTATAAGTATCGAGGAGGCGAGCCGGAGGGGCTGTTTGTGAGCATCTTGCCGTGCGCGATAGCTTTGGCCGTTCGTTTGACGGTTCTTTTCTGTGTGGCCCATCAGTATGATGCGCACGTGCAATTTCTTTGCGCTGGGGGTATTCTCGCTAGGGCTGGTGAAGGCTCAGACTACGGTGGTGGTCAACGGGACGGCGAGCCATACTATTCCATCAACATTATGTGCGTTTTTTTTTGTTCATCTCGTTTGATAGAATGATTGATTAAAGTGTCTTCGAAGGGGGTTTGATGTACGAGGTACATTTTTCTCTTCCAGAGCGAGATCCAGATACGAGTCGCTGACCGTTGATTCCCTGTCGATTGCAAAGGATATTAACGTGAGTCAACTTCGCTCCATAGAATAACTAGCCTTCCCCTGAAGCCCATACTTCTTTTGCGCCTTCTAGCATGTAAGTCTCACGGCGACCTGGTAGGATGCGTCCACCTAAATACTGTTGTTTTAGAGTGGAGATGGCGGTCTGTATGCTGAACGTAAGTCCACACCACGCTCTTCATCACATCCCTCTCAACTCCTGACGTTACTTCCAGTTCTGCAAAACCGTGCATTCCAACAAGTCGATGTCACAAGTAAACTTCGTTCTTCCTCATTCGCTTCCCTGGTTCAATAACATATGACCTCCTTAGATCAAACGGAGGCGCAACTCGCATGGCACTCCGTCAACGGGGCTGAACTGGAAGTCATCGCCGACTCAAGTCCCGTCTCTTCTTCTCTTCCGAACTCGCTTCAAGTCACTATACCTGCGGGGGCCACGGGGGCTGTAGGCGTGGGCAACGAAGGATATTTCGGTATGCCTTCGCTTTCGTGTGCACTGCTGGTCGTCATATTCGGTCTAACTATGGTGGTTGTCCTCATCGCAGGAATCAACGTCAACAGCTCATGGACATACAACGCCTCTTTCTACTACCGCCTGTCCTCTTCGAGCAATGCCACCGCCACAGTCTCTCTCATCTCCTCCACATCTTCCACCGTTTTCGCCTCCACCACAGCCTCCCTCACGTCGACCAACTGGACACAAGTCTTGGTCTCACTCACGCCAAGCAGCTCGGCGGGGGACTTGTTGAATAACTTTACGGTGACGGTGGATGGTGAGAGTTTGGCGGGCGAGACGGTATATTTCGCGCTGTTTAGTTTGTTCCCGCCGACTTGGGAGGGGCAGAGTAATGGGATGAGGGAGGATCTGGCGCAGGTGAGTGGCTTTCATCCAGTGATATTGAGTCGTGGCTGATGGCACCTTTTACAGATCTTGGAGGATGCCAGTCCGGCTTTCTTCAGGTACCATATATGTTCTTGTCCTGCGACGTAAGCTGCTAAAACCCTCTTGTCATGTTCATAGGTGGCCAGGAGGAAACAATCTTGAGGGTCAATCAATCGAGACACGCTGGCAATGGAACGCCACAACAGGCTCTCTACTCGACCGTCCAGGCCGCGAGGGAGATTGGTCGTATATTAACACCGAGTAAATCTTCACCAGTGCCTTTACGCTTAACGCTTTATGCTGATACGATGGACGCATCCAGTGGTATAGGCATCTACGAATACTTGATATGGATCGAGAAAATGGGTATGCAGTCCATCATGGCTGTCTGGGATGGGTATTCTTTGGATGGGACTAGTGTCGCCGAGGGGGATTTGGCACCTTATGTTGAGCAAGCCAGGGCTCAGGTAAGTTTCATCTACTCTAGGTTTTCCTTCTTGCCCGCTCGGTACGAATGCTGATGTCGGCTGCCCGCATCAACTTAGATTGAGTTCGTGGTGGGCAACACGTCAACACCAGGAGGTAAATACTCCTCCTGTGTCGATGCCAATCAAGGTGAAGATGCTGATATGAATATGTAGGTGCCCTTCGTGCCAGCCTTGGCCACCCAGATCCCTTCACCCTCAACTATGTCGAGGTTGGAAATGAGGTGAGCTGTGCTTTTGATTCATCTTTGGGTCAATGTTTTTGATTGCGACGTGTGGATAACAGGACTTCATCGGCGAAGCCCCCGAAACGTGAGCCTTCATCCCTCGTTCTTGCTCAATATAACAACTGACGGGGGCTTGGATTGAACGTGGAAAGCGTGGCTTACCGTTGGAATGCATTCTATTCAAGCCTCTCCGTTGACTATCCAGACATCCGTGCGTCACTTCCTATCAAACTCACGTACTCTTCGTGAAGTTAACCGTGCTGTGACTCTGGGCGAATACCAGGATTCCTCGCTACCCCCGATGTCAGCAGCCCAGTGTTGACGCCTACCCCGCCGTCATATGATATACACACCTACCAAATCCCATGTAAGTCTTATTTCAGTGACCACTGGTATCTGGGTGTCGCGTACTGATCGACTCGAACTACATGTAGCTTGGTTCGCCGAGAACACGGATTACTTCGATGACTTCGAGGTAAGTATGCTTTCTCTACTTCGACGGAGCTTACACCGTTACTCATATTCTCATAGCGCAACGGGACGACCTATTTCTATGGAGAATACGCCGTGACATCGACAAACTCGAGTGCTCTCTACGGTACATTCGAGGATGGACGTCTTGAATATCCCATCATCGGGGGTTCGGTGTCAGAAGCAGCGTTTATGACTGGGTTGGAAAGGAACAGCGATATAGTATTTGCGGCAAGTTATGCGCCATTGTTGGGTGTACGTTGGTTTCATCATGTATTCTTGGTGGAATCGGTACTGATTAAATTTCTGGGGTGGCGGTGGCACACCATAGCACGTCAACGGAAGCCAGTGGGTGAGTGCATCCTCTGGTTGTTCAATCCATATCCTGAACTTTTTGACTCATTATGGTATCCATGCGATTAGACTCCCAATCTTGTCAACTTCGAGTGAGTTGATTTACTAGTAGGACGCGCGACGACAGTGCTAACGACTTGGTGTGGAAACTAGTGCAGGAACGATCTATCCTTCGACAAGTTACTATGTGCAGAGGGTATGTCGAGACAAGACTCCGATAGCTGAATTACTACGTGCTAACATTCATGACATGAATCTCCAGCTGTTCAGCCTGAACACAGGCGATGAATACCTGCCGAGCACCCTTCCAAGTGCCAACGGCACCCTCTTCTGGACCATCTCTCGCAGTAACTCTACCAGCGAGGTCTTCATCAAGGTCTGCCTTGTATTACCGTATCCTATAATCTAACAAACTGACCGTTCGTCTTCGAATGTGGTAGGTCGTCAACACAGACGAAACGTCTAGTGCATCAGTGACCTTCGAGCTGCCCTTCGCTGTCGCCTCCTCTGGGACCGTCGAGGTTCTCACTGGATCTTATGACACAAGCAATACCCCCGAGACACCTACAGCCGCTGTTCCTACCGAGAGCACCGTTACCTTTGCGAATGCGTCTGCGGGTGTTTTGGATTATGAGGCACCGTCGTTGAGTTTGAGTGTACTGACGTTGACGCTGGCGTGATGCGATGAACTGGTGATTTTGTTGTAACATGATTGAAATGTAAAGTAGCAATAGGATAAAGACAGGTTTCATATAACTTGCACCCAGTACAACGGGCCACCAACTTGCGGAGGCCTGGTGCCACTCTCACGGCACGTGATGGCGCGCGACAACAAACGCACAGAATCTCATTCTTTAACAAACCATCATGTCTAACATCTGTGTGGATTGCTCTTCATCATATGTTTCGTTCTTTCATTTTCATCATATAAGCCCCGTTCGACTCTCACATTCGGAACTTAGTAGGCTCGCCTACGCTCTTGCCAGGGCGCACTTCGAAACGGTCCCATGGTGTCCTCCGTACGACATTGTCCTCGCCGCTTGCATACGTCATGAACTCAGTTTCTCCACGGTACACCATATTGAGTGTCTTTGCCTACTAGACCAGAACCTTTTGACCGGTCTTGAGAAATGATCGCATGTACAGCGCCTCTACTGTGTCAAGCTATGTCCCACTCAGTCTTCGGAGTCGTGGTCGAAGTTATCTTTGAACCTACAAACGATATCGGACTGTCGTTTCCCCTGTGACTCCTTTGAAATAGCCGAGAACATTACTCAGGTAGCGCCTACCCGACATCTGATCCCGGTATCCACCCCCTATCGGATGAGCTTTACGCCTCTGGTCGCTCATACTAGCAGCTACTTATATCCCTAACGAACGTCGTACAAAACGTCGTCTGCGGCCCTAATCTTCTTCACTGTCAATTGCTGCGCACGTATCTGCTCCTTCCCTTTATCATCGTATAATGTCAGAAGAGGCTTCTTCTTCTCAAGCGGTCATCAGAGTAGGCGTAGTGGGAGCAGGTGAAGTTGCCCAGACCGTACATGTACGTGTTCTTTAATCCACTAATACTTATAAAAAGATACTGATAACTAGACATTCGTTCATAGCTGCCAACCCTCGCCCTCATTCCTTACCTTTTTAAAGTGGTGGCACTCTGTGATGTTTCCAAAAAGCTGCTTGACCATTGTGGTAAGAAGTTCCATCTTCCGGAGGATGCGCTTTACCTCGATACGTGAGTGTTCTTGCCTACTGAACATGTATATGTATTCTGGGTTTTGCTTACACCAGAATAATATCTGAACAGTGTCCCGTTACTGGCAAGGCAGGACATCGACCTTGTATTGATCCTGACTTCGGATGAATACCACGTATACCAAGTTCTTTCTCCCAAGTCTTCATTTGGCTCACCTTCTTGTCAGGCAAATGTTGCAGTGCAGGCTGCCGATGCCGGAAAGCATGTCTTCATCGAGAAACCAATGGCACTGACACTCGAAAGCGCAAGGTCAATCGCAGAAGCTCAGATACGCAATAAGGTCGGTATCAATATCATGCCTGTACGTGTCTCACAAGACACTAAAATGATTGATTTACTACCTCTGTCAGGTAATTGTCTGGATTGGATACATGCGCCGTTACGCACCCGCCTTTGAAGAGGCTGTCAAGGTTGTCCGTTCGATGAAGTCCATCGAATACGCGAGGATCCGTGATATCATTGGCCATGTAAATACTACTTTTTTTCTTATCTGCTCGAATTTCGATTGACTCGAAATTCCTCAGAATTCCATGTTCATCGAACAAAGTGGCTCTTTCCCCGTCCGCTTCGCTGATGTATCTCCGTCCGCCGTCAAGGAGCTCTCTGATCTTGGTCGCGCCTCGGCTGAAGCTACTCTAGGTTTCGCCCGTGCGTCCGATCCAAATATCGTGAGTACCTGGCGCCAGCTGGGCAGCCTCGGATCGCATGATCTTTCGGCGATGCGAGAGTTGTTGGGGCCACCTAAGCGTGTGTTAGGGGCTGGTAGTCACGGCACCTGGATCACGTCTCTGTTCGACTATGGAGAGTTCGTGGCTACGTACGAGACTGGCGTTGACACAGTTGGTAGTTTCGATGCGCGTGGGTGGTCATTGCTCCTTGCACATCGACTTTGTATTGATACTGTTCAAACCTAGATCTTGAAGTGTATGGAGACGGAAAGCGCGTCCGAGTCGATTATGACAGTCGTAAGAGCATCGCTTTTTTGCTAAATCTGACAATCTTGCCACTCACCATCCCACTATATTTTCAGCGTACGTCAAGGTATGTATGGGTTTCTTTTCTCGAAGCTTTCCGTCATGCTAAGTGGACATTTCAAAGGGCCTACCGATCACGCTCACGATAGCGGAGAACGATGCTTCCGGCCATTACGTTGAGCGAGTGATACGCCCGACATACGAAGATTGCTGTACGTCTATTGTCGCCTCTCACTCATTCGAATGTCCTTTTCTGATTCGCTGTTTGTAGACACTATCCAGTTCAAGGCTCTTCACGCTGCAATCACGGTTGATGGGCCGGTCAAATGTAATCCAGAAGACGCTGTACAGGAGCTGAGAACTATTGGCATGGTCATCGACGCCCTTTTCCCTACTACTTCCTGAGGTTTCCTGTATGCCACCCATAAATGTTACCGGAATTCTACTTAGACTGTAAGGAAGCGGCCACTGTAGAATTTCTGCTCAACCCAAAGGTCTGTCACTCAGGCCGTTTGAACTACCAGCGTAAATCCAATTTGTGATCCCATTGTGCCCTTGTGCCATTTGTGGCGTGGAGCCGCATATCCGGGTCGGCGCTAATTTCAAACTCCGGGCCCCATTTGGAAACACGTGTTCTTTGTTCCACTTCCTCCGCCGTGCCAACGACTCTGGAGGATTTCCTTGGAGTCTCCAGCTGCTTGTGACATATATCTACTGGGATACCATGATTGAAAGAAGTATTCCAGGTGCTGGCGGTGCTTTGACGGTGCAGGCAATGCACGTTCTCTCTTCATTCAGAATATCTCAAACTGGACCGTCGCTTTGACCTCGCGGAGCGCACATGCGATGCATTCGTTTCCTAATTAGGTCCACGGCCCTCTTTGGCCTTGTCTTTTCCACCTGAAAGTCACTAACTCTATGGAAAGGCCAACGGAAAAAGTCTCGCGATGGCATATAGTTCCTGAAATCGGTTCTCCAGATCGAACTCTCGCCATGTCTCACTTTGCCCTTTCCCCCTTGCGTGCCAACCCTCGCCGTTGCCAGCACCGTTGCTCTGCACCCATTCACGATCGGGACGGGTGGCACTTGCGGATATTTGATATCCACGTTTTCAAAGTCAATGCGCGAAAAATATAAAAAGGTGCTTGCCAAACTCCTCTCCCCTCATTTCACTCTGCCCGCCTCCTTCCGTTGAACTGAAACGCACTCAGCCGCTTTGCTTCCTTCTGTCACCGTGTCCTCTGCACCCGACCTTACTATGGTATCAACCAGAAGCAAGAAGACTTCCTCCAGGCAGAGCAAGGCACCTATCAAAAAGAAATCCTCCCAAAAGAAACAGAAGCCGCAAGTAGACAAGAAACCGGTCTATAACCGCGCGCTACCAGCCATCATCGACGTCCCCTTACTAGCCTACGATGAGGTTCGTTTCCTCCCTTTCCCGCTGCCTTTCTTTTTGCATCCTGTATCCTAACTTACGTATTTTTGTCCATCGTACTTCTTAGATCAAAGGTGCAATCTGTCTTGACACTTCTTCCTCTTCCTCAGTACCAGGACCCACGGCCGCCTTGAGGAGAAAGTTGGCTACCAACCCCAATTACATCGCACGCCCTCGCAACTCCTTCATTATTTTCCGAGGACTCATGTGCACGTTATTCTGCCCTCCAGAGGCGAAGGACATGTCAGCATGGGTGGCATGGCAATGGTCCCTTTTATCTCCGGAGTCGAAGCAGCACTTCCAGGACCTCGCGAAGGAGGAAAAACGCAGGCACACCCTCAAATATCCAACCTATGAGTACAAGCCGGACCATTCGGAGCGCAAAAAGAATGTGAAGGTGCGCCCGTACGAGGCCAAGGAATGCAAGGAGGAGTCTGTGGAGGCCAGCGTGTTGGCGGGGGAGGGATTGAACGTCGATCACGACTCTTCTTCTGAATCCTCTTCCCCGGCCACTTCTTCCGAATCCTCTTCCCCGGCCACTTCTTCCGAATCCTCTTCCCCGGTCACTTCTTCCGAATCCTCTTCCCCCGCCACTTCTTCTGAATCCTCTTCCCCCGCCATTCCCTCCGACAAACTCTCTTCGCCGCCTGTTCCTAGTCCATCCTTCGTGCCTAATTCTTCCGCCGCCCCGCCTAGCTCATTGGCTTGTTCCCAACCCACCGTACCTCCAGTCGTGAACTTTCCTTTCAGTTCCACCGAGTTTTACGCCCAACAGCCGTCGACGTCTCTCTGCGCGTCCTGCTGCTCTCGAATGTCGCAGCCGTCCCACTCCGGCTTCTACGGCGGCATACACAACCAGCTCCCAATGCCGCCCATGGGCCCGGCTGGTCCTGCGATGTTTTTCTCCGGCAGCTATCCGAATATGGCCTTCGGCGCTGGGAACAACCTGAACACATCCCTCCCACAGTTCCCCTTCGCTCCGTCCTACACACCCAACAGCCTTATAGACCCGAGACTTCGACTTTCCGGCTACAACTTGTCTTCGTCATCATCCCAACATCGAACTGGTATAAACGATGCCGCATTGGGCTACGTACCCCTTGGTGGTCACGAAGTCGAACTCTCCCCGAGCGCGTTACGAATTGACCAACAGGCAGTGCGGGAGTACTTTGCGCCAGGTGCTGAGCATTCTTTCCAGGCCCAAGCACCCTCTTTCGCGCTCATGCCTTTGTCATCTTCTTTCACCCCCGCGCGCTCATCCGAGTCCTCCTCTTCTGCGTCTGCACCCTTGACGTCCTCTTTCGCTCCTAACGACTCCGCATCCCTCTTGTCGAACCTGGACAATGTCTTCCTTCCTACCATGGCATCCCAGGCCGATATGAATGCCGAGTCCGACGGAGTAGATTTGAGCTGGGTTTCAGACGAAGTTGCCATACCAGGGTCAACTCTATTTTGATGTGGGTCGTTGCGTTAGCCGGTGGAACGAGCGACGGTGAGACATAGTGTCGAACCTTTGATTGCTCTCAGACCTGGAATCACAAGATAAGTAGATGTTTCTGAACTGTATGATATCGGTGTTATTTGCTTTATACGTGGATTCCTCGTCTTCACCTCTGTGTTTCTCATATTCTCTCTCTCTCAGCCTCAAAAATGGTTCGAACTTGTCTATGTCTCATCGCTTTCATATTTTCCTCCCTATATAGATTGCTCTCTTGCTTCCCATATGCTGTCTTGCTTCCAGTATGCTGTCTTCCTTCCCGTATGCCCTCCCCATATGCTGTCTTCCTTCCCATATGTTCTCTTCCTCCCCATATACTCTCATCCTTCCCATACTATATTTCCTTTCAAGATTTCAAGCTATATCACACTCGTCACGATTTATACTTACCCGCTCTGGCTTCTTTACTTTTGGTATTCATGATGTATGTATTGTAAAATGTCAATTAATATATGCTTATGCGCAGGAAACATGACTTCAGTGCTGAAGTTTGTAGCTGACCGTAGGGTGCCACACTTTTGTGGCGTGATGGTGGCGAAGGCGCAGTATGCCTCGGATTCAAAGCGCCTCCTCTCTCTCACCAACAACCACCTCTAACAACACCGAACACAGCGCACTATCACTCATGGATCACGGCGACCACAGCGGCCATGGAGGTATGGATCATGGAGGCATGGACCACGGTGGAATGGACATGTCCCCTAAATGTACCATGAATATGCTCTGGTAACTACCCTTACTTCCTTTCCCCACACCCACCTCACATACTCATCCGCAATAGTAACGCTAATTGAGATTTATTTTGAACGCAGGAATACCCAGATTGAGGACACCTGCGTCGTCTTCCGTGGCTGGCACATCTCCTCAAAGTTCACATTCTTCCTGTCCTTCCTAGCCGTCATCGCCATCTCTCTCGCCTACGAATGGCTGCGCGCCTATTCTCGTGCTGTAGATCAGCGTATCGCTTTAGGTCTTGCTAAGTCTTCGAAGGGGAAGGATAGGACATTCTCAAGCGGGCGTAGCAGTCCAGAGGTATTGAATGCAGGTGAAGTCGAGGAGGCAGGGCTGTTGTCAGGCAAGAGAAAGGCGAAGGCTGGGTGAGTCTCCTTCACACGGAGACACGTCGTTCTCTCGCGCGCTTAGTAAACGAACTGATATTTTGTTATTGTAGAACTCCTGTCCCTCTTTTCCCGAGGTTCTTGCGCGCGGTGCTATACGGCGCCTCTGTATTCGTGTCCTTCTTCTTGATGCTGGTCTTCATGACCTACAACGTATGTCCAACACATCCTATTTCTTCTTGCAGCCGTTCAATGACCGGATCATTGACTCTTCCAACATGTTGTTATCCTCAACCTTTAGGCCTACCTCATCTTGGCTGTTGTCCTCGGAGCGAGTATTGGCCACTTCGTATTCGGTGCTTACATGGACGTCGACGGTGTACTGGCTGGCGCCGGCGCTGGCAAGGGCATGGCGTGTCACTGATTGCCCATAATACACATTTCCTGACACGGGCAGTATACATTGTGGCAGAGTACGATGTCCAACGCTCGTCTTCGGTCGTGCAAGAGCTCCGGCCTACGAGTTCGAAATCGCAGGACGGACTCCGTCGGATTGGGTGTTAGGTGGATTTGATTCCTGTACTATAGTCCTTAGTCTGCATTCGTGTTGTTTGTTTTACTATCTTTCTCGGAATATATCCGACGCCGCCGCTCGTGCTCTGCAGGTGCGGTACAGTGCCGCTCACACTTGTACAATTCAGTCCATGGATACCAGAACGTACAGAAAGAAAAGCTTCGAAAGCATCGGTCGGATTACAAGACAGATCAAGCAGCCCTCATCCCCTCATCTCTGAGTCCTCGTCTTTCTTCCCCAAATCGTGTTTCTGAAGTAGAGCGTCCACTTCCGCTGGCTTGTAGATCTTGGCCTTTGGCTGGCCAGTCGTTGGGTCGAGGGTCAACGTCGCAAACTCGACTGTGACGCACAACGCAGAACATAGCATCAGAACTGTTAGGCAAGAAAATCAGGCTGGATCAGGACTCACGTTTCTCGCTCCCCAACGTCGTACTATCCATCGTCTTGCTCATCGTCCGCATAACAAGCCCAACTGCCTCCTCCACCGTGATATCGTCCTTATACTCCTGCTTCAACAAACTCTGCGCGGTCCCGTTATTCGCGCCCACACACGTCGCCTTCCATCCGCTGTAGTTCCCGCTCGGATCGGAGTGGTACAGCTGGAACTGGTAATGAGGGTCCCAGCCGGCGTAGAGAATAGAGACGCCGAAGGGACGGAGACCACCATATTGGGTGTATCCTTGTTTGAGATCGCACAGGCGCTGAGCGAGGAGTTCGACGGGGATGGGTTCGTTGTAGGAGAAGAGGTGGCGTTGAGAGGCTTGTCGGGCGTAGTTGATCAGCGAGTTGGCATCGGCGGTCAAACCAGCGACGCCACCCAGGACATTTCTGATGCGGGGCAAGAAGGTAGTGCAAATGCGGGTACGGTTGAAGAGTATGTTGTAAGTAGGTGCGTGCACGAACAACTGTGGGGATTGAGACGTACGAGTTTAGCAGGAAGATCTTCTCTCCACTTCCTCCGTACCCACCATCCTTTTCTGCTGATTGATCCAACAACTTTCCGGTGACTTTCTTCTCGGCGGCAAGTACTACGCCGTCCTTGGCCAGGACACCAAGGACGGTACCAGCATGCGAGATGGCCTCCATGGCATACTCAACTAGTCGTTTCAAGTTATGATTGATGCCCCAGGGTGATGGTACCAAGGAATAATGAAGCAGTAGAGGTGGATATATACTGTCAATATGACCTTGGACGTGGGGAGGCGTCGATGCTTACTCTGATATAACCGGCCTGAAATAACATAATTGAGAAAGATCAGCATCAGTAAAATCCGAAAAGTGAGAGAACATACCTTCCGGGGAGAAGATTGTGGTTCGACCTAACAAACGAGGCAACAAATCGATCAGGCCACACAACCTTCGAGACGGTAGATGGTAAGGAGTACACACTATCGTATCTGCGTGCCTAGACAATTGTCATGGTCAGTCACAAGGGGTAGTACAAGAAACTTCATGAGCGTACCATTTTCACCAAATACTAATGAGATATCAAATGTCTAGAGGGTCAAGAGGAAGAGAGGGGAGAGTAGACGGTACGGTACAGCGGAGTGACGCGTCCTGAAGCAGTCGTCGAGTGCATACGCGTCGCGCGACATGCGGCTGTTTCCGATTGCCACTGTGGCGGATAAAGTTCAACCACACAAGACCACCACACTTTAAACTGGAACTGCACATATCACACTGGTAATACGATGCAGGGATTTATTCAAAGGGCCTAGAACTATCGGAGTAGTACAGAGAGATGCTTTAATCTGGCTCTTCCCATGCTAATCGTCCAAACGCGACCAAAAATCCGGGCGTGGCCCCCATGGGCCATAGAAAGATTAGAGAAACAGGTATTTCAATCCCACCTGTACTCAACCCCATCATACCTGATACCCAATTGAGATATCCTCTTGTATCGTAGGTCAAAAAGGGCTTTCCCGCCACCAATGGTGCATTCGTGGACTGGTGAACAATTGATGAGTTAAACAACCATGGAGTCGCCTCGGTTCGAGCTGAGTCGAGACGTAGACAAAGAAAGATAGAGCGCTCACCATACCAAGCGGCGCGAATCCACCGGTTGGATTCGGTCAGCTCGAGGCAGCCACTCAGCATTGTGTATATCTGCGTCATGATCAACATGCATTGGTCCTGTATGGCTAAATTCGCTGGCAGGTGGTTCTTCGCGATGGGCAGAGTGAACTCGCTTGGCGGAGAAAGCTCTCGTTGTCGTCGCGATCCATAGACTGGTTTATTCTGTGCATCCAAGTAAGCTCGGTGTTTCTCCTCATCAAGCACCACCATCCCCGCGGCCTTTATAGCCTCAATTCCGTGGTAGACTGACATGCGGGCCTGATGATTATTTCCGCCCCTAATAGAAGCCGCGGAGGGACCGCATCTGTCCTGGTACCACTGCATAGCTTCGTCGTGAGAATCGACTAGGGATGGATGCAGGGAACGGCCCGGAGATGGGTACGTAGAGCTCATCGAGCGTATATCAGCCTGGAGCTGTGCTTCCGTAGATGAGCGACGGAGATCCTTCGCAGCCATCCTTTTTCGAAGAGCTGCTGCTCCTTCGCCATCTTTTCTATCCCATGTACAGAGCTGGCAGTCGCAGGGCGTGGTGATTTTAGGATATAAGCGCTGTGCTCGATCCGAGTAACCGCCAATAGGAGAAGTATATGCCAGTGTGATCTCGACTCCACGCTGGATGTCCTTGTTGGCACGAACGACGAGGAGGTCTCCCATGGTACGCCACGTCGCGTTTGGGATGCACGAATGGTTGAAGAATGAAGGTAGAATGTGCAGCGCGGCGGTGCTAGGTAAGTGGCCGCTCCCAGAAAGAGACGCTATGCCCACAGATTGGCCACCGAAGAAATTGTGGAAGGTGATGTCCTCAATGAGCGTAACATCAATGGGGTTCTGGCCCACATTGTCCGGACGAGTTTGGGGTGATGTAGGGGGAAATGGAAGCGCCGTGATAGACGGAAGCGGCATGGTGCCCTTGGAGCCAGAGTATAGTTCGCAGATGCGACTCATGTCATTTGTGCATCCATAGAGCCTTGATAACAGGTCAGAGTCGGACATACCATGCATTCGACGACAGATGCTGCCTACCTTTCACAGACGCGAGAGGTCATCCGTAAATCTTCTGGGTGAGGCATCTTCTTGGTGTCAACATGTAGCGTATTCATTGAACCCTCTTGTTCTGTTCGAGGCTCGCTGACGACAAAAGCCTTGGATACCACCTTTGCATTCACAGGATGATAGACTCGCTTCAGGTAGATGTCTCAACGAATTGAGCCTTGGGCAACGTACCAGGATATCACCAGCCCGTACGTCTGCCTTCGCTCGAACACCCCGCCCTCCCCCTCGATTGCGTACGGCACATACTTCAATAGGACCCACAAACTCAGCAGCATCAACCTTCGGATTCTTCTCGTCATTGCATTGATTGAAGATGGATTGCCAGTCATATATTCCGTCGGTACACTCCCTCTTGCGAGCGCGGCATCGAGCAATCCATTGATTGACTTCCGTCGTCTTCAAGCGCGACCGCAGAGCAGTGAACCTCTCAAGGGCGGTATCATATCGTCCCAAGCCATGTAAAGCTACGGCAGCGCGGTAGTCGCCCTTGTCCTCCGCGCCCTTACACGCCTCAAATGCAGGCGTTCCCCGAAGTTGGAGTACGTAAGTAGCGTCTCGAAGAGCGGCGTCGTGCCATTCCAAACGAAGATAGGCCTGGCAACGATTGAGGAGAAGTGAGCAGGACGTTGGATCCATTTCGATGGCATGCGACCAGGCATGTATAGCAGCGAGATAGTGACGATCGCGATAGAACGCATCGCCTTTCGCTTTGAGAGCATCGGCTGTCGCCCAGTTGGCCCACTTCGTGTTGGCCAGCAGTGGATGCGAAGGACCGAGAAGAATGACGTCGGTCGGCGAGTCTACCTTGATTGTCGGGCTTTTGACGTTGCTATCGAAGAATTCTCTCATGTGTGGTTCGCGAATGGCCATGACAGTTTGTGAAGGAAATATAGCGTCGATAGCGGTACAGTGCGCTCGAAACAGGCCCGGGTGGTTGTCGATGGTAAGCAAGCTGGGTGTTCCTTTTTCGTCCTCGACGCCTAGTATGACAGATATGTCTCGAGCTGCGAGCAAGTATGAGAGCCGAACCATTGGAGATGAAAGTAAGCACTTACCTGCAGGGCAGATAGTCCGACAAATCAGAAAAGTGCCCTGTCGCGGGTACCTCACATTAGTTCACGAAAATGAGCGTGAATTTATATAGATGTGCAGACTTCGTGGCGTTTGGGCGTTTCCAGGTCGGATATAAAGACTGTGTCGGGTATTCATCAGGGTCTGACCCTGAATAAGCTCTCTGGACGCACCTTTCGAGAGACTGTCTAAAGGGACAGAAGAAAACCCTTTCTTCAATCCGATGAAGCGCCACTCGCTGTCGAGCTTGTCACGATGATCGCCTGTACCGGAGTCTCGAGCCTTTGTTTGAGCCCTCATGTTCCGTATAGTCTGCAAAAGTGTTTGTCTATCAATAAACTGTGGCTTCATGGAAGGCTCGTCGCTGTCGATGCCCTGGTAATGCTCCACGCTGAGCAGTGCATTGAAGAATATCTCCATTGTTTGCGATGGGGATAAGTGTGAGGTAGGAAAGGAAGACATGATTGAGGGGAAATGGAGAGGCACAGACTACGTTGTGGAAGCTGCTGTGGTTATGGGAATTTGCGCCTGCACTGTACTCTGCCGCCACACAAATTACGATTGCGGTAGCGTCATGGGGCATCGTGTTATTCTGCGCCCTTCGCCGTCACAACGCAGCCCCCTCAAAGAGGTCGATTCTAGAAGGCACTAAAGAGTCGTCTACGTTCATGTCGCGAATCGATGTCGCCGAGTCCGAGGAAAGTCATGGTGAGGCAATCATCAAGGCACTGCCCCGTCTGGCGACTCGGTTGTAGGTTTAGCTCTCGACCTACCGTCCAATGCGTGTCAGTGCAGCACACTCTAACCATGCTCTGACCAAATATGATACGGATGGCATCCGTTCGATTGTGCCGAATCATCTGTAAGTCTGATATCTTAATGGGGATCCGTTCCAACTGCAGTCAGAATAACAGATATAAAAAGTGCACTGTTTTACATACAGGTTCATCCAATCCTAACCTTCGTGAAGTATCGTACCACGCTATCCTCACCGCTCTCTATGTATCCTCCAAAGAATGATTCCATCACTCAAGCATCAAAGTGTCTCACAACGACGCCCCGCTCACCCGCCGTAACAATCCGCCTATCATCAAACGTGACAGCCGCTCTCTCCAGCCCTGCCTGTATATGTAGCTTCTCCACTCCACCCTGCATCCTTTTCCCGACCCCTTCGCACTCGCTATCCCCACCCTCATCATCTTCGCCGTCAAAATCTATATCTCCACCTTCAGCATCCAGACCACGATCCACAGAGTGCCGACCCAGACTTTCTACTTCGACTCCAGTCCCCACCTCCAGGTCCCAAACCCAAACGCTACCATCCACGCCAAAACTGACACATCTCCCGTCCGCGAGAGCGAGGGCCTTTGACGGACCACTCGGTCCATATAGATTGCGGACGAATGTGAGCTTTGGATTACTGTTTGATGACGACGATGAAGGGAACGAAAGACGGTATAGTTGAATAGGAAGAGAAGCTGGTGTATAGCTGGATACGCCGAAGTCGTGACTCGAGGGTGATGAAGGCGGCGATGGCGATGACGGCGATGATGTGCCGGGAAGTGGGTTCGCATACGAGTCGGCAGACGCGGACGCAGTTCCATATGGGTTATGGGTGGGTGCTGCAGCGGGTGCGAGGACGACCCATTTTCCATCCGTCTGCGTGCCCGAAACATGAAGGACCTTTCTTCCCCACTGTTCCCTGACGAGCTTGTACTTCGCCTGATCGATAAACCCAAACGGTATATCGAATGCCCGCGTACTCCTCGAGGAACATAATCGTATAGCGCGACTTTCTTCGGATGGACTCTCGGAATCCAGTAGCGAGGTTGAGAAGTTGATCCCACAGAGCGCAGAGGTAGAAGGACCGATGAGGGATGAGAATTCCGATGAAGCAACATTCGAGATTAAGATTTCTGTCACTCCTACACTCCAATGTTCTGGAAACACGGGGCTGGCATAGGTCAACAGCACGCGCCATTGGTATATTCCACGGAGCTTATCTTGGAAGGGCATGGTGAGGACCATGCTGGACGGTGGGTACGAAGTGAAGCTGTTGAGAGTATCTCGAAGTTGGAACTTGTCGCCCGAGAGGTCGTAGATGGAAAGATGGAAAGACGACGATAGGGTGACGAGGAGCGGATGATGGTATGCGACATGGTGTACTGCGACAGTTCGTTGCGTACGGGTTGATGGCGCGTAAGCATGAGTAGTTGTGAGCGACTGAGATGTGGAGAGCACTTGTACGATAATTTCGCCTGAGGAGAGGCAGACGACGAGTCGGGTTTGTGGCGGACTTGATGAAGGTGGGCTTTGATCTACAGCTATAGCGGTAATGTGTTGCAAAACATTTCTACGCTGCGGCTGAACTCGTAGGCTTGTTCTCTGCCCATAAGGTGAGATGAGAATGAGTTCGGGAGAGGTCGAAGGCATTGGAGAAGCGAGAATGGTGGCGGTGCCAGCAAGGACTACGTGTGTAGTACGTGTTCTGGTATAAACATCTCGCTGCAGTCCGTGAAGTCTTGACGAGGAGGGGCCTGGGATGGGAGTGTCCTCCGACTCGAAATTCACGTGAGATGTGCGGCAGCGACCTAAGAATTGTGAAGCAATGACGCTTGATTAGAATGATGCATCGAAGGTAAAGAGCTCTCTGACCAGTCCTCCAGTTCGTGCTGATCCTAAACATCTGCTTCCAATCCTTTGATAGTTCAGGATCCTGCACCTCGACCGCCTTTCCATGTGGAAGGGGTTTAACTTCTCTCCCGTCGCTCCGTCCCAGCTGAGACCTCAAGCCTGTTATGAAGCCCCTGCCGCCCCTTAACCTTCCTTTCCCATACTCCCTTAGATATAGCCCTTTCCACAGCTACGACAATCGTCTCGATAGATGAACATCACCGAGTTCTCTCAATAGGGAATAAGATGAGGCGATGGGATATGTACCTGGTTGTCAAGCGCTAGACGTGCCCAGTTTCGGTTCGTCCTTTGGACAGCACAGAGATCACGGTAAGAAAGATGAGAGAATATGTGCAGGATGAGCTCGTCGTAGAAGAGTGTATCAAAGGTTTCAAGTGAGCGACGTGGGACAGATACTGAGGTGTCTCCTTCGGTATGGGCTCGCTTCGGGCGAGGAAGCGCAACCAAGCCAGGAGAAAGCGAACGCTTCGACATATTTCAAGACAATTCAAGAGATGCACGCCTCTTTCTACTTGACTAGACAGAGACTAGATACGTCGACGTGATAAGTGAGAGTCAAGCCCACCGTAGACGCCGTTTACGGTTTAGTCACTGCTTGACGGAAGTCCCGGGCCGTCGGGCTTTGGTGGATATTCATGTTTTGTTTGGATTTTGTTTCGCACAACTTCCACGACCATGGCACCCTCTCGGGGCCCGCAACCCCTCCCTCGTACCCTTCACAAAACGCTTTCATCTCATAAGGGCGCAGTACACGTCTCACGCTACGCTAAAGGAGCCGCAAAATATGTTCTCACCGGTGGGCAAGACCGGTCCATTCGTCTCTGGAACCCAAGTCTTGGTACAGAAATCAAGTCGTATAACGCTCATGGATACGAGGTACTCTCGATATGCGTGTACGAGCATCATCATATGCTGCTAGTAACATTTGACTGACATTACGATGTGGGCCGACGTAGTGCACACGACAACGCGAAATTCGCATCTTCCGGAGGCGATAGGTCTGTGTTCATATGGGACGTCACGTCCGGAGAGACCATTCGACGGATTTCTGGACACATGACAAAGATCAACGTCGTCGAGTTCAACAAGGATGCTACCGTCGTTGCCAGTGGTATGTCCACATTATCCTTGATCATCTCGCTGTTCTTGTCGATATCAAGTGTGGCCCTGATTGTGGCACTTCGTTGTCATCGTTCAGGCTCGTATGATTCAACCGTCAAGCTCTGGGATCTGAGGTGTGCTCTCATGTACTCCTTCACAGCTTCATTCAATGTTGACTTTTCGAACCCAGATCCCAGAACAGACAGCCCATCCAGTCGTTGGAAGAAGCGCGGGACTCTGTTCAGACGCTTTACATCGGTCCCACAATCATCATGTCTGGCTCAGTCGACGGTCACGTCCGTACATACGACCTTCGCAAGGGCGAATTTCGCGCGGACTACATCGGACGTACGCATTTTCTCCGGGCACCTTTTCCATCTTTCGTTGAACCTGTGTTCGTTTCTCAGACCCGGTAACATCCATCGTCCCGACTCAAGACGAGTCGACTTATCTCGTCACCACGCTCGACGGACACATTCGACTCATGGATGCCTTCAGCGGAAAGATGCTCAATGACTTTACTGGCCATAGTCATACTTCTTACAGGTGTAGGGCATGTTTTGGTCACGGAGAAGCCAGCGTGGTGTGTGGAGACGAGAAGGGAGAGGTCTGGGCTTGGGACCTACTTGACGTGAGTCTCCATCTCCTTGTGATATCGTCTAGAATCTCTGATCGTAGGGGATGTGGCACTGAGCATTGGTTGCTGACTCGTTGATATTCGATCGATACTCCTGGTCTTGGTTCTGCTGCTCGTGCTATTCCCGTATGTGTCCTTGGAACAGTCAACTCCCCTCCAGCCCAACCCACCACCAAAAGTGCACCACAAGGTCATCACTTGGACGGAACACCACCCAAATGAGGCTGGGGAGATGATAACTGCCAGTGCTGACGGCACGGTGAAAGTCTGGAGACACCCAGACTCGGGTTCCTGACATTCCGATATCCATGTACTTTTGTATCGAGATTCGTTGACTTGTCTAATATATTGAGCTTGTCTTCTTGAGAGATAGCGAGAACATTGGTGTAGAATAATCGTACAATGACGGCTTGTATTCAAAGCATCATGCAGGTAGCGAAGTGCCAAAAGCTAGTGAACAGACAGGAAACGGAAAACTATGACGGCAGGACTGAGTCGATACGCCAATATCATCGTTTGGCCTGGTTGGCGGATTCTGCACAACCAACACCAGAAATGAGTATCATTCATAACAACAACTAAGGGTAGATCGCATGATGATGATGAACGAAAAGATAGCGAGGGACGTACCTCGTCGTGTGGCGTCCTCCAATAACTGCGTGTCGACGTGCTCTGATGGCAGCTGAACATACCGCACCACAGACCCACGAATAAAGCAGTTCTTTACCGCCATCTATACCAAACACATAAACATCCAAAATTCTACAGTCAGAGAGCGAACGTCGAACAAAGTGGACAGTACGCACCATGTGTGGGTGTCGCGCCGGATCCATCACCTCGATCTGGTCCAACCTGATGTTCAAGAACCTAACAAACGCCCATCCATAAGTTCACATTCACCCAATGCGTAACACCCAAATCCCGTCCAGCCCTTGTTCGAAGGGCCATGGAATATTGAAAGAACGTACTGGTCCACAGACTTGAGCGTTCCAGTGATAGAAAGATCATTTTTGAGCTCGACGGTGACGCGTTGGTCCGTGAGCGTCTTGAATACGGAGAAGATGAGCTGTATCGCGTCGTTTCACGTCATGGGGGCAAACAGCAGAAAAGCTATGAATCAGTTGGGTGAGGAAGTAAAGTGGCAGTTAGTCGGCGGTACTCACCATGATGGTGGTAGGACGCAAAGCTTGCGCAAACGGGCGCGTGTGTTGTGGCGTTCAAGTGGCGTCCATGTTACTGCTGTTACTGTGTCCGGTCTGAGATGAGGCAGGCGTCTTCAATAAGTATCACATATTCGGCCGGCTGAGTAAGTGCAGTCTATACACGAGTATGAGAATTTCCCTGATTTTCGATAGCATGCCATTGCATGTTGGGTTCAGGCATTGTGCAATATCTCAAAATTTGGCGTTTAATTGTCAGGTTCGGGCTCCGATTCGGAATGTTCCGCATAACCCCGGGCCACGTTTTCTTTCAACCAAGACACGACTGTACATGTCTCATACTTCAACCGTACCTTTGCTGCACGCCCGTCGTCTCGCACTTGCTGCACTTGTCCTTGAAGTCCATAACAGATTAGTACTTTGATATCGCTCACAGAAACCGGCCCCCAGACGTGTGAACCTGCGTCCAACATACCAGAACATCAATCGCTACGGTATGCAGTTTTCAGTTACACGCGTTACTTTTCTGACCTTTCTAATAACATCATTATACCTAGATGCATCATGTATTGACTGTCCAAGAAATCATCGCCCATATCTTTGGTTTCTTGGATCAAAGGTCCAATGCCCGGAACGCTTGTGTGTGCAAGACTTGGTCGGAGTGCGCGCTGGATGCCGTTTGGTATGAGGTGCCACTGCCCAATGTATTTTCATCCTTGAGTCCCATGGAAAAGCGAGACTGGACGGGACTGGTGAGTCTTCACAGCATTAACAGCGGGTGTGCTTTTAGATGCTAACCATCCACTGCGATGCAGTCGTTCGTGAAGTCTCCCAACGACGCTGACTGGGTACGATTCATGCAAAATACCCGTCGTGTCAGACGCATCAAAGATTCGAGCAATCGTCCCACCTTTGCTCTCACTGCACTATATGAGATCGCGGCCTCGCGACCGCATTCCCCTATCTTTCCCAACCTTCGTCACATCCAGGGGTCTAGGGGCAGTTCCACTTTCGAGAACCTCTTCCTTCAAAGCGGTCCGGCAACGTCTCTCGATATATTAGCTTCTAGACCTGCTCGAGGCAACTACGATCTTCCCTGCCCATCCACTTCCGAGGCTCTATTCGACAGAATCATGGATAGACTTCCATCCCTTCAGAGATTCGAAATCAACGATGCACAGAAAATAAGCGACAAGGACGCTAACGAGATCGCTAACGAGATCCCAAGATTTATCAAGAAATTTTCCGCCTTAACGGTCGTTTCACTTACCCCGTGCCTCCTCACATCGGCCGTCATGTCGAGCCTCGCCCGCCTGCCATGTCTCTATTCCCTCCGAATGCCCATCAAAGATTTTGGAGTCCTCGACGGGACCCTTCACGTCTCGAACCTGGCTGATGTAGAGCTTGATTCCGATTCCTTTCCATCTCTTCGCGAGATTTCGCTCTCGGCACCCTTACAACAAGCTCAAACATTTTTCACCCACAAAAACTTCCCCTTGGGGAACTTAACCAAGTTGTCGTTATATTATACCCTTCAAGAGGTCGCATCGCATCGTGATCTTCAGGTCCACGACTTCCTATCGATGCTCGCACCCGTATGTCAAAACCTTCAGCAGCTGGAATTCTTGGTCGAGTGTCCGGTGATTGTTCAGGACGATGACTCGTGTCTCACTTTCCGGGATATCAGCCCTATTCTGGATTTCCCTGCACTGAGAAAATTGACCCTCATACATGATGAAGCTATCGAGATGACAGATGATGAGGCGGAAACACTAGCTCTGCGTTGGTCGACTCTCGAAGAGCTCTCCCTTAATCCTTGTCCTACCCTCGCCCACCCAGAGGATGCCTCGATGACTCTGAATGCCCTCATTCCATTTTGTCGTCATTGCCCGAATCTCCGTCAACTCTCACTGTTTGTTGATGCCGTTGCACCTGTCACCGTTCCGACGAACCTCAGTGCCCTCCGTCCCCTTCTTTCCTTCGATATGGGCGCATCACACTTGCCATCTTATAGTGACCGGAAAGGTTGGGACATCATACGTGGTACCCTCCCTCACTTCTTTGCGCGCATCCTCCGTGACTCCAGTAGCCTCAAGTTTGAGCGTTCTTCTGCTGGATTTTGCAATATTTCGAAGGACCGGAAAAATTTGCTTTCATTGATCTCGCTCGTCATGGAGGAACTGTGGGAACGGGAGAAGGCGGTGAAAGAAGCAAAGGCAGAGGGTATGCGACAGTTCACGCGACAGTGCTGAGTCGCAGCTCACCCTCGCAGAATTTATAGATTACCTATGCATATCTAAAGCTGCAAGCAGAGCACTTTCATAATTTGAGCACCCATGATTGCCGATTTGTTACACTCCCAGATAGACACTCCTGTATGTACACAGATGGCCAATGATTCGAAAGCCAGAACATGCCAATAGTATCATTTTGTAGTATACTACCATTGACAGAGCCTTGATCTACTCCGCAACGTTTCTCGCCAGCCTTGCTTCAGTTGGGTAAGGCAGACGGATTGCGACACAGTCACTTGTCAAAGTACTTGTGCTATCACAATAAATATTGTTTTGCCCTCCTTGACACGCGCAGCTCGAACTTCTCGGGCCGTCTTTGCTGTCCATTGTTCGCTGGACGGGATTTGCCGGACTTCGCTGTGATTTGGTCGTTGTCGATGGTAGGTTCGCCGTTACTTTTTGGTGTCTTCCATTGACAACATGGTGTTCACTCGTAAACGCACCCTCACGCTTGATTCTGCCGACTCTGGGCAACCCATGGCAAAACGCGTATGCCATCAATGGCTACCTCAATCTTCACCAGCTCAGATTCAGACGAAAGTCGACTCTCTCGACACATCGCGGAGTCTCATGCCCTTACCTCTTTCTACGGCCACAGCGTCATTACCTCCTGCTTCACCTGTTCCGCATTGCTCAAATAAGCCAGAGTCATCGCTCTCTGTATCGCCGTCTTCGTCCTCTAATTATCTGTCGCCATCACTGTCTCCGGCTTCATTGCTAAGTTCCAGCCTGACGCCTCCCTCCTCACCACCTACTGCCACAACACTTTCGTCGCCGCCTATCGTGCGCAAAACACCTTCATCAGGTGCTGTCGGAAGGACTCCTGTGTCTTCTCCAGATGATTCTTCGACCGACGAGGCTCGCCTCGCAGCGCGTTACCAGGACGATTTCAGGCGGGTTTGGTCTAGCAGCGTAGTCATGCTACAGGCGACAGTCGGTGTATACGAGCTCATCACTCGCCTTGGTATCTGGACTGGAGATACCAAGGACTTTGGAGTTCTGGCCCGCGCTCATCCCGACCTGGCCCAGGTCCTGTACAGGACTCGTGAGACTGGGAATCTCCGCGAAATTTCTACTCATCGTGAGTTCATCGTTCACCCTCAATCCTTCCGCCGTCTAACGCGGCTGGTAGCTGCCTTCCACAATCCATTGAACACTGTCATCAATAATGTCATTGACCGTGTCAGTTATATATTCACTGCAATCCGGGATGGAGCCCTTCCCTCCGTGTCCTTTCTTCAGCACGCGGGCGTCGAGTCTCGAAACATACCTTATCTGCACGATCTTGATAACTCAAGTACTGCCAGCTCTATCAAGATCGCTGATGAGCTCATGAACACCAAAAGGTCAGTTCCTATTTTCCATAAAATTCAAGAGCGAAGTACTGAATGACTTGCAGAGGCTACATCACTGCGTCATCGACAAGAAAGACCAGCCTCCTTATCCAAGGTCTTCTTCAGTACTGGGGCCTTTATTTCTCATTCTCTGCGGCCACCTCTCGAGACGAATCCGGGATCCCTTCAACTTCACCGGACCTTGCGTTTGCGCTCAAAACGCTCGCCCGGTTACGAGCTTCGTCCGCCTGCAGGAGCACCGATTTCTCTCGCTCTCTGGACAAAGTCTTCTACGCCCTTTACCTCTCTCGAATCCTCGTCCTTCATCATTTTCTGGACAGCCTCCCACCAGCTCTCTCAGAAAGTCAAGCCCGCAAAGAATGGATCTACTTCCAACTTGCGCCACCGTGCACATCGTTGGGCGTCGATATCTTCACGTTTGTGCTCGAGGGTGTCTTAGGAGGGGACGTCGATGATCTTCGTCGTAGCGCGGAATGCAAATTGACCGGTCTGGGATGGAGGAACCATAAGTGGTTTTCCAGGTCACTTACTGCGTCTTACGAAGATGAAGGCGCCTATCTCGATTGTCGAGAGGGGAAACTTCCACCGCTGTACCTCGTCACCGATGAGATTGAGACGCACGCTAGTGCCAGTGAGAAGGTCAAACCCCGGGTTGCTCGTCGTGTCGCTCGAAGACGCGCGGAGGTCTACTCTTTATTCTCCCGGCCTGATTCATTGTGATCATTGGTCTTGGAATGGTGGTCTGGCGATGTTTGGTTCTCCCCTACCTTGAACTTGGCTTTCGTAATGCTGTTGATATTCCGTTTGATTGAGTATCTCTTGTAATGAAGGTTAGGAATTGATGTCTGTATCTATGAACCATCGTATATATGTATGCTACATGCACTAGGTTGACTGGAGGTATTCCAATCCATGTTCCGACAGCATACCGTAAAATCGGGTCAACACACACTACTGCGTTACACGATTGGGTCTCTTACTGAGTCGTGACGTTGCCGCCGGGCTCTACTTGGGTCTACAAGATGGAGAAAGATTTTCTTTTAGCTTCTGTCTATTCTCCATTAGGCACCGCAAAGCTTGCTCACTTGTACTTGACAGCAGATGACGCGGCTCAAGGCTCGGATAAGTCGCTCGGCCAGCGTGTGTCTAGCTTTTAATTAAGCAGAACGTCGAGAAGGAGTTCAATAGCGTATCGTGGCAGGGCAATGTGCTTCAGTACTGTCTGCTACGGCCTGAGAGGCTGGGATCACCTCAGTCTGGGTTGTGCCACAATGCCAAGCGCTGACAGCGCTAGACATGAACCGAAGTTTGAGCGGGCTTTCAGATAGGCGGTCGACGATATGAGCATACGTTCTCTGAAGCTGTCCTGAACTAAGCTTGGAACCCACTGAGCGGTCAAATAACGGACTATAGTCATATCGAGCCCGCGAGATAGATCGATAGCAAAGTCCTTCAAAGCTTCGGCCTTCAGCCAGGAAGATCGACCGTTTGTTCGAAAACAATTCGTGTTCAGTCCTTGTTCGGAAGGTGACAGCAAGAATGGATGAACACTGCGGGAGCACGACTTCTTGGGAGCTCAATTGCGCGAGAGCACGAAGCCAACGCTGGTTGTTAGTTTCAAGGAGTGAATGCTAGCGGCGTATAGATTGAGACGGTGAGAGTAGCGCTCGGTGTTCATGTTATATCCGAACACGAGTGGTACTCCCTCTTCCATAGCAGTGTGGTTCGTCCATCCAACATTGTCACTGCACATTAACAACGAAAAATAATGTGATTCCGTATGCTCCACGCAACCGCCCATCTACGTCTACTTCACAAGTATCATAGGGAAATACGCATTCGGATCATGAGGCGCATCTGGGGCGAGCTCGGGTATCCATCGCTTGTTAGGAGTGGGGAGGGACGGGGGGAGCTTCGAGGCGGAGTAGGCTTTCGCAGCGGAGGAGATGGTGGCGATGGCTTCGGTGAGTTCGACGGGTTTGGGAGCGGTGGCGGGGACGGAGGCGTCGCCTTCCTTGGTTTCTGATGGTGCGCTCACGCTGGACGTTGGGTTCGATGGGAGACGCATGGACGAAGGTGTATGCGAGAGGACAAAATGGTGGCGGGGTGTGTCGTATGAAGTATAGTGTGGCGAGCACGACATCATGTGCATATTGAATGTCGGATTACGATGCAATGTCGAGCAAGGGACGAATGAAAGAGGTGAAGTGGGATGAGAACAGTTGTGTGAGCATGCGGGGAGGCAGGATGAACTTGATATGATAGACGTACGCAGGTGCGGATGAATGTTGGATCAAAAGGGTCGAGAGCTCGCTCTGGGTGACAACGGAAAGCTGAGGGTACGCGCGGCGAACATCTCGTTTCCAGTACGGGTTCTGAGCGGGGTCAGAGGCTGTGGGTCCGCGGGAGGTGATGTTCCGAGTCCACAAGTTCATCATCAAGTCTCGTCAGCGATATGTATATGTAACAAAATAGAAAGCGTACGAGTACGCACCTTTCGTGGCGGGAGTGCTGTATTTCTCTGGACGAGAAGCAGGTTGGGGACGTCTGTTGACGGCAGCGAGAGGAAGACCGCTGGAGATGTCGGGGTTCACGACCGTTGCATCACCTAAAGGTCCAACATTGGAAGCGTTAGTTTTCGGATAGTAAAGCTAAGTAATTAATTACACACGGAATTTCTTCCAGAAGCCGCGAGGAGCGAGATGGTAGAGGGTGTGGTCTGCAGCTTTCTTGGTGGCAGCCATTGGAGGTGAGCGTTCGAGAGATATCGGAGGCGTCGTGGACCGTTGTGGCTGAGCGATCCGGGACTTACCGAGCGATGGTCCAGCGTCTTTCCTCCAATCGTAAACAACCTTTTGCTTGTCCTAGAACTTGCGCTTTTGTTGGCGCACACGACCTGGTTAACCCCATACGAACCCGGAGACTACTATGATATCTTCTGTGCTGTGCGGGAATGGACAAGAATATATCTTGAAACTTGCGCGGAAGTCTTCACCCTGAGCTCGTTGCCGCAGGCTCATCCTTGCGAAACATCGCGCAATCCAACACCGTCCTTCCTCGATAGCTCGTCACCGTTCATTTCTCCAGGCTCGGCACCTCATTCTATTGCAATGGGCTCCTAATATTCTATTTTCTGGCGGATCTGTCAGCACTTCTTGCTCTGCGCTGGCGTGCTTCCGAGCTCGATATAAAAGCCCGTATAACGAATTCGCGGGCTATATCAGTACTCTTCTCCCCCAACGTTTAGCCTAGTATTGACTCAAGCTATACGGCATCTGCCCTGCACGTAGAAGGCCTTCTGTTCATATCTTGACCGCTGCTATATACTCCTCTTTCTGCGTCTGACAGTGACCCACTCTGTGCTCACGATCGCCCACACGTCTTCGCAATGCACGCCACAGCATTCACTTCTACTGTCAGTGCCAGCGCCCAGGAGGTGAAAGACGAGGTGCCTCAGATCCAAATACATGACTCCGACGCTGGCGAGCCTTCCTCCGATACCGCCTCCGAACCTCCCTCTCCCGCCTCGAGCATCTCTTCCCTCCCACAATCACACGACCCGCACCACCTCCCAAAATTCTCCTCCACGACCCTCACGAAACCGACTCAACCGATCCTCTACCTTCCGCCGCTCCTCTCCTCACTCCCCTATACCTATCCCACCCACATCCCCTTCTCTTCCTCGCGCTCGACCAAACCGAACTCCGATTCGAAGTCCAACCCACTGACGACGGAGACGAGGTTGCCTGATATCGATCCTGCGAGTTTGAGTTTGCATAAGGCGTTGCATCATTTTGCGCCGAGAGACGATAGGTATGCGGCAGTGGGATACGAGGAGGCGTTCAATTGGGATGAATTGAGGTTGCCGGAGGAGGAAGAGAGAGAGTGGTATTGTGTTGCATTCAGGAGTTTGAGAAAACCTGGCAGCGAGAGTGGACGTGAGTAGCTTCAATGTTTCAAAGCCATTATCTTCACCCCGCCCAATTCATCCGCCCTTGAAACCCGATTGACCAGTATATCATATTATTAGCACTCTACGAAGCAGACAAACAAGCCCACGAAGAAGCCATCCGCAACGGAGGCCTCATCCTCTACTGGTACGGCATTCCTGACCCAGTCACAGGCCTCAACCTCGCCACCTGTATCTGGCAGTCCCGCGCACACGCCGTCGCCGCTAACGGCCGTCCGCACCATATCCGCGCGATGAGGCTTGCGGCGAACTCGTATGCCAAGTATGATCTGGAGAGGTATACGTTGAGGAAGGTGAGGGGTGAGACGGGGGTGAAAGTGTTGCCTTTTGAGGGTGGTCAGGTTGGGTGGTGAGTCGCGTCGGGGGTAGGGGGCCGGGGCGTCCTCATAGAGTGGTTCGTTATTCTTGCGCTTTTCTTCACGCTGTGTCTTTGTGGATAGCTTTCTTGGACTTGGACGTATCTTCCGACGTGGTGGCCTCCCGTTCCGCTGCCTGCGCTTTGTGTTTTCTTGTTATCAATATCGTTATTGCCTCTTCTCGTATATCTCCGTTTTAGCTTTCGCACCATCCCAAAAATCCGTTCTCATGTTCCGTTTCATACTTCGTACTCGAACATAGATACCCTACCTCCTACTAGTACTGGGTCGTAATGTCTGACTCCTTTCTTGATACACTAGCTTGTCACCTGATAAAGTTTACGATATGGTACTCAATAGACGATGCGAGCTCGATGCGAGCTCTTAAATCAACCTTTTCTTATGCGGGTGTCGACCATGGCGAGTTGTTTGGGATGGTTTGAGCATCGTAACGCGCCACAGTAACACGCCACACGCCCCTGAGAACCGGGCGGCAACTTCCACTGCAGTCGCCACTGCATGACGAACGTTCACAGAACCAAGTAAACCCTTTCCGGCGCGTGCTTCCTCAACCACAACTGCATCTTCTATCATACCCTCTCGTCGACATAGTGCGCAACGATGTCGGCCTCGTCGTCAACGTCAGCCTCGACCGCGACACCGTCCACCCTCGCCGCAGGCTCCTCCGCCGAAACCCAAGCAGCCGCATTCGCCTCCGACCCGCGCATCCATTTCGACACGCAGAGCCAGACGTGGAAGTTCGAGGACGATAATGGAGATGAGCTGGAGTATGATGCGGGGAAGGGGGCTTGGGTTCCTGTGGTCAGTACGCGTTCTTTAGTGCTTTGCTTCAGTCTTTCCGCCACGGGTTCTTCTTTCTTTCTTTCTTTCTTTCTTCTGCATTTTCTTCTGTGTTGTACGTGAACAGTGTTTTGTATCCCTCCTTTGCTCTGTTATATCATCTCTCTTTTGGCTGGGGTTTGGTTGTGCATGTGAACGAGAAAGATACGAACGAAACGCGTGATTTTGGGTTTGACGTTCACAGGTAGATGAGGAGCTCCTGAAGCGCCAAGCCGCCGCATACTCAATCGCAGGCGTAGACGAAGAGGTACGTCCACCACCAGTTTATCCTCCCTCCCCTTCGACAATACACTCATCATTGGTGGGTATGTATGTGTGCGTATACAATCGTTAGGCCCCCGCAGCGCCCGTCGCGAAACGTGCCAAAAAGCGGAAACAACCCGAGGACTACACCTCCGCCACGCCCGATTCTGGTCCCATCTCCATCAAACGCGGTAAAAACTCGTCCAAACCGTCCGCCTCGACTTCCAATGGTACAGGTGCGGATGCACCACCCCCGAAGAAATCGAAAAACACAGCCGTATTCGTGACCCGCCTCCCGCTCGACGCGACACACGAAGAGATCGTGTCTTGTTTTTCTAAATGTGGATTGATCGAAGAGGACGATGATGGGGAGCCGAAGGTCAAGATGTACGCCCGGGAGACGGATGAGGGGAGTAATGGCAATGGCAATGGCGCTGGAGGTGGAGGTGGGGAGTTTAGTGGAGAGGCGCTGGTGGTGTATTTCAAGGAAGATTCGGTGGAGTTGGCGGTCAATATCCTTGATGATACGGAGTTGAGGTTGGGGGACGATACGACGAGGATGAGGGTGCAGAGGGCTGAATTTGGGCATAAGGGGGAAGAAGGTGGTGGGAGCGGCGCTCCTGGGTCGGCGAGCGGGAAGGGTGAGAGGACGAGGAAGGTGGTGGATAAGAGGAAGACGACGAGGAGGTTGGGGAAGATGCAGAAGTATGTCGTTTTGCACTATCATCATCGCTTGGTAGAGGACTGTACTGATGGCTTTTATTATGACAGGAAATTGGAGGAATGGGACGATGAAGATAACTTTGGGCCATCGCTCACGGACGCAGACCGTCTTGGGCCAGGCCCACAAGGCGCAGGTGCCAACCCGAATAGCCGTGTTGTCGTGCTGAGACATATGTTTACGCTGGAGGAACTGGAGAAAGATGCCACATTATTGCTGGATCTGAAAGAAGACGTGAGAGAAGAGTGTGAGACGCTGGGTGAGGTGACGAACGTGGTGTTGTACGATGTGCGTGTTTTTCTTTCGTTCTATATCTTCTCATGCTTCAATGGCGTTCCCGGTGTATTAAAATTCGTGCTAACGAAACGTCTGTTCGTTGTCTGTTGCTTGGGTTCGGACGTGCAGAAGGAGCCAGAAGGGATCATGACGGTCAAGTTCCGCGACCCAGTCAGCGCCCAGGCATGCGTCATCGTACGTCTACTCTCTTCCTCCACCCTGGCTACCCTATTCACTTAATCCAACTTACAATGTTCGATTTCCCGACCTTCTGTTAAAATATTTCAGAAAATGAACGGTCGTTTCTTCGCCGGACGCGCCATCGAAGCCTCCCTCTGGGCGGGCAAACAACGCTTCAAACAGTCCGGGAAGGGAGGACATGCCTACGAGGAGGAGACTACAGGTGGGGACGAGGGTGAGAAGAAGCGGTTGGACGACTTTGCGAGGTGGCTCTTGACGGAGGGTGATTGATTTGGTCTGTTGGTGTTGTGCTTGTTCGATGTCTTGGTTTCGTTGGAGGGTGATATGTATGGGTGGGTTGGAAGGACGAGTGGTTAGGCGCGCGTGGTGTAGACCGTAGGTAGTCCGGGTTTTAGGGGCTTCATCATTATGGTCGTTCGGTTTCCAAGTCTGGTGCAAGGTCTGCGATGCGTCCTGGCGTGTGGCGTGTGATCTGTAACGTGTGGCGTAAGTTCTACTGCTAGGGCTGCCCGCTTATAGAAGTTGGGTATGTCTTGAGGTATAGTCATGAAGCTGAGACAGAGGAAAGAAGTGTGAACTGCGTCTTCGCTCTCTTGGATTCGGATTTGACATGCACGGTTGAATACCCCGACTATGCATCCAGTCTATTCGTTCCCTCGTCAAGCCAGCTACCAGAGTATCGTGAATCAAGTACAACATACAAAACCGTCCTTCTTCATGCCTTTCGCGTCCCCCACACTACCCCACTGATACAGTCACATCGCACTTCAACCCAGATCAGAGTACTAATCTTTCTTCGTCGTCAACATCTTCATCCACCCCCTCTCATACTGATTCGCAGGCTTGACCGCGACACCCAACTCCTGCGCCGCTGTCATCACGAAATGCGGGTCGCAAATCATAGCACGAGCGAGGAAAACGACGTCGGCATCGCCAGCGGCGATGATACCGTTCGCTTGACTGGGTGTCTCGATCAGGCCGACGGACCCGATGGTGAGAGAGGGGTAAGCTTTCTTGAGTGAAGTGGCGAAGGGGACCTATGAAGACCAACAAGAGATTCAGTGAATCAATAACAGAGGCCGAATCTTATCCTGTGTAAACAAAGCGTTAGGTGTAAAGATGGCTGACCTGATAATAAGGCCCAACCGGGATCTTCTGCCCCGCCCAATTCCCTCCAGTCGATACATCCACCAAATCCACACCCAACTTGATCAACTCACCCACCAGCACAGCGTTCTGCTCCGGGCCCCACTGCAGCCATTCTCCACTGTCGCTCTTTTCGGGCGTTTCGGCCCAGTCCGTCGCACTGATGCGGTAGAAGAGAGGTTTCTTGGGATCCCAGGCCGCACGGACACGCTCGACGATGCGGAGGGGCCAGGCGATGCGGTTAGAGAGAGAGCCGCCGTAGGAGTCTGTGCGGGTGTTGGAGAGGGGAGAGCAGAATGCGTGTAGGAGGTAGCCGTGGGCACCGTGCAGTTCTATGAAATCGACTGGTGGTAGGGTACATATGTAAGGTACATATCACAAAGGGCAGTAGAGGGTAGGAGAAGTCAGTCAGGATCTCGAAGAAAGGGAGAGACAAACGAACGTACAGCCGGCTTTCTCACAACGCTCGACAGCTGCCGCGAATGCATCCTCGACCTCCTTCATATACTCTTCCGTCATAGCCTTTGGAGTTGGGTATTGCGGGTTGTAAGGAATTGCACTGGGCGCGTATACTGTCCACATTAACCCAAAGTCAGTACCCACGCATCACATATATAAGAGGCATGTAGAACCGTACCGTTATCCGGCCAGCCGTCCTCATCTTTCTCGGCGACCCACTTCCCCGCTTTATGCGTTCTAGCGGCATTCGAGAACACCCAGGGTGCGTACGTCGATGACTTGCGTCCGGCGTGTGCGAGTTGGATGCCGATGGTACTACCTTGGGAATGTACAAAATCGACAATACGTTTGAGGGGAGCAATTTGGGAGTCCGTCCAGAGCCCCTATAGGATGGTGGCGACGTCAGTACCCGCCCACGTCATTGGCAGTATTGTGTCAAATATACGAAAGGACAGTGGACGTACGGCGTCTTGCGGTGAGATACGACCTTCGGGGACTACAGCGGTGGCTTCCATGCAGATCGCACCTGCACCGCGAGTGGCGAAGCCCTACATATGTTTGAAAACCGGTCGGTGACAAGGACTTTGGAGGGGGAAAGCACTATACAACTCACGCCGACATGAACAAAGTGCCAATCGGTGGCGTGGCCATTGTCAGAACTGTACTGACACATGGGCGACTATGGCATAAAACCCGTCAGATTTCAACCGAAAGTTGTAGAAGAATTAATATCAGTGCGAGTAGAAATCTCAGAACTTACAACGAAGACGCGGTTGTTGAAGGTCACATCTCGGAGCTTGAGAGGATGGAAGAGAGGAGGAAGATCCTTGTTTTGGTGAAAGTTCTCCTAAGGACATCAGCACAATAAATGACGGTCAATACGACCAATTATCCGATCAATGCGTTGATCCTAGACGAACTGGGGGAAGTGTGGCGCCGATGCTAGGTTCGTTGAGTGAGATGTACTGCTCCAAACCGGGCACTCTCTTGTTAATGTTCGCCATATCTTGATTTAGGAGTCGTGGAAAGCTGCTGGGGATGGCTGTCGGATGAAGAGACAGACTGAACGGTGAGCCATTTATAGGAAGATCAAGTCACCGGGATGTGGCGTCGTGGTAGAGCGGACAGGATGCGCATCAGCCTGAGAACTTCCGGAAGCGGTTGTGATAACTCCGACAACGAACACGAAACGAACACGCTTCTTTCCGTTCGCCACTTCCATGAGCTTGGCTTGGCTTCAGTGTTCCTTCTCATGGCTTTTGCATGCACGACGCAGCAAAGTGGCACCCTATCTTGGATAGAGATCAAGCGCCGACGCAATATCCATCGCCGTCGAAGCCCGGGTGAGAAATAATTTGGGTTGCATCGCGCTCACGCATGTTGGAAGGATCACAGAAGCGACTCGTTGCAGCTCATTCCACGATACTTTCGAGTCCCGGAAGAAAATCTCGCAGTTCGGTGACGGTAGGATATCCCAAACCTGGCTGGTTCTTCTCATGTTTGCCGTTCATGTCCTGTCAACTTGATATTCTTGGACCTTGACATGGCATCTCCGCGCTGCGCTCCCAGCGCTTGATACGGTCAGAAGTATTTGAATCATCCAAAACAATCCACACGGTGATATCTTGAGTAAGATCAACCACGAACTAGATTTCTGCCTGGATCAGCCCCTCGCTCAGCCGCGCTTTATGTTGGGATCCTCTCTTAGCACCGTGTATATATATACATGGCATGTACCTCTAGGCTAAGCGTCTCCACTCAGTCAACATCCAAAACCTCTCATCTCTCTCAATGGCGAGTACCAAAGTCATCATCGTAGGCGCAGGAATCGCCGGGCCCGTCCTTGGCATGCTCCTCAATATGCGGGGTTATAACCCCATTGTCTATGAACGGTTACCAGCGTTTAGTACCGCGGGTCTCAGTCTAGTGTATGTTTTTCTTTTTACATCCATTGCCGTTACACTTCTCCACAGACCGACCCTTTCGACCTGCTTCTTCTGCTACACGTCTAAGCATGCTTGGATTCTCATATATGATTGGAACCTCTCAAGTCTTCAACTCAACGGTCTCCGTCTCCTCTCCCAAATCCCCGACTTCGTCCCTAACATCCCTGGTCGGCCTCTTTACCAGTTATCGTCGTATTCCACCCTCTCCTCGGACCCTGGACTCTTGCATTCTTCCAACTTGCCGTCCCGGCTCGCCGAAATGTTTGGGGTGCGCATGACAGCTGTGGCGCGGCATGCTTTTCATCGGTATATCATTGATCGTGCGGAGGAAATGGGCGTGCCTATAGTGTGGGGGCACCAGGTGGATGGAGTGGAGGAACTTGACGGGAAGGCTGAAGGGAGCAATGAGGGAGAGGAAGGAGAAGGGGGGACAGGTATGGTCAGGGTTTTATTCAAGGACGGAGGCAGCGATGTGGGGAGTTGGGTGATTGGATGTGACGGATTGCATAGCGGAGTGAGGCGAGCCGTTTTTGGAGAGGTGGCTGCAGACTATACCGGAGTCTCTCAGGTTGGTCTCATACCGTTCGCAGCTTGACTTTCGCTGACTAACGAGCCAAATTTTTGTTTTCCCAGACTGGTGGAATCTCGCCCACGCCCGCGATTCTTGCCGCGACACCAACTATGGCGAACTTTTATGGATTGGGCGCGCATATGATCGCGTATCCCGTGTCGGACACTCATACGTCTTGGGCGTAGGTCGATTTCCCGTTCTTATTTTCGCCTGACTTGCAAGGCATTGCCAAAAGCGATATCTAGAGCTTCAATGACAGTTTGGTTACAGGGTCACTCTTCCCGAGCAAAAGCTCAAGGAGACATGGCAAGCTGCTGACAAACACGTCTTGGAGGAATTTCAGAGCTCAGAGTACGCTAACTGGAATGACGGAGCTGGTGAATTGATCAAAACCACGGAGAAGCTCATCAAGGTCAGTGCACATCGTGACTTCAGGCATTACTATACAGAAGAGGCGTTCGGGCATTGACTTACTTGTCCGCAGTATGGTCTCTACGATCGACCAGAGCTCAAGACGTGGCACAAGGGGAGAGTCGTGCTGCTTGGTGACGCTGCCCATCCTACAAGCCCCGTACGTTTGCATTTTTGATCCGTTATAAGTATATATTCAAGTCCATCCGTGACAAATTCTTGGCATCGACAGCACCTCGGCCAAGGAGCCAACCAGGCCTTCTCCGACATCTCTCTACTACTCTCCCTTCTTGATACGCACAATCCAACGCGCACCCCACCCAGTACCTCAACCCTCTCAGTTATATTCACCGCCTTCGAAACTGAGCGCATCAAGGTTTCTGCGCCTATCGTGAAAGATGCGAGGGCGAGGGGCGAGTATAGAGTTATGAAGGGTGAGAAGGAATGTCGGGAGAGGAATGAGGAGATGAGGAAGGAGGGCGATAAGGATATTGTGAGACTTTATGCACGATTGGTCGAGGAGTTGGGAGCGGGCGAGCAGGTAATGAGGCAGATTGAGGAATCTGCTTGATGTGAGGTGTACGGCCTGAAGTATGGTGACGCTGTTCACATTGTCGTGGAAGCCCTGTAAGCACGCAGAATATATTGATGTCCTTACACAACGTTTGGGGCATCCCGCTGTTTCTCATGGTTCAGAATTCAGAGCACGGATTTACTGACCAGCGATGGCCATGGTGTGTGGCGAACCGCTGCAACTTTGAACGTACCATCATAATATAACAGATAAGAAGATGTATCGAACTTCAGAATCTCAAACCGCCTTCTTGAATACCGCTCGAACTTCGCCTCGTCTTGAGCACCGTCGTGATCCGGAGTTTTCTGGTTCCTTGACAGAATTTCTAACAAGCTCGATTCGAGGGAATTCATCGGGACTATTCTATTCATTAATCGAGGCTCGAGCATAAGTGAGGGTCGTATAGCATGATAACATATTTTTGGGACAACGAGAAACAGGTACGACAAAAAGATTACGGTGAAAGACTCAAAACCGTCTAAGCATGAGGCTGAAAGCATAAAGTAGTACCAGCACATACTCATAATTGAGAGCGATGGGACGTAGAGACTGAAGAGATGAACGAGCAGATGGAAATCAGCTCAGAATGGGTCGACAGACACGTTCTGTCTCGTCGAATTCCACCAATTCGCTCCAAATAGTTGGACCATACGCTCGTTCTTGACCAAAAGCAAAGGGTAAGGATGCGGCTTGCGAGCTTCCTCGCCGAAGTAACGATCCGCGCTGGCCGGTCCAATGGCCAACACACGCAACCATTTCGGAGGCACACGTTCTTGGTGACGAGTCGAACGCCGAGGGTTGCGCCGTGGAAGGGAAGAAGCCCCACGTACTGTGTCGCCGTTGGTAGCATCCAGCATCTTGTCGAAGGCCTGAAGCACCCTATTTTTGACCTTCTGTGATGGACGCTTGACCTATGGCCCGGCAAGAACAGCATTGCCATGAATGGAATATTGAGCGACATGTTTCAATGAGGATGGAAAAACAGACGCACAGGAGTTCCATTCTCTCCGAGGGGAGCCTCCGAGGCTTTCCTGGAGTATATATTTTTCGGCTCTAATGAACTAACGGCCTTGTCGAAAACAGCCTTCGAGATATGCGACACTATAGTACCCTTCCCAGAGCTCAGCTTAGCCTGAACAAGAACACCAATCAAGTTCCCGTATTCGTCTCGGAGGGTGAGGAGGACATCAGGATGACAGAACGGGTCGGGGCGAAAGAAAGCAGTTCCGTTGCAGCGTTCCAGTGCAGAGGCCATCTTGTCGCCAGAAGGAGCATCGTAGCCAAAAGGGAGATGAGGCGCTTTGTCCCAGTTCACAGAGAACGAGCGATAGTCAGAGCCGCCCATGTGCTTGACGCCGACCAAAGTCACCTTTCGGTCTTTGAGCCAGCTCCATTCTGGCAAGTCAGATAACTCGAATGCGTGGTCAATGGGGGTATAGACGCCACCGAAGTGCTCCAAGAACAGAAATATCACCTGCCACTCGAGCACGTATCCGTTCATCTGGTTATTGAGCATGGCATTCGACAGCTGGTTTATCCAATCCATTCGGTCCTCCTGAGCGAAGTGTTTGATGATGGTAGCAAGGGCGACCGGTTCGTCGATGTAGATCGGGCCAGGGGTCATTTAGATTCTCCATATTGTCCTTGTGAATGCGTCCCAGACCGATCTCGAGAGCGACCACGGATTTCGTT